TCTATGCAAATCACGGATATCACCCATGGAAAGGAGTGGAGCAACGGATGGAATCGAGGAACGAGTCGGCAGAAGAGTTTGTAAAAAGAATCAAAGAAATACAAGACGAAGCAAAAGCAGCATTGGAAAAAGCAAATGAAAAAATGAAAAAATACTACGATAAACAAAGCAAAGAAGTTCCGGAGTTGAAGGTTGGGATGAAGGTGTACATAGAAGGGGAAATATCGAGACGGATAGACCATCAAAGAAGATGAGCGACAAGAGACTGGGGCCATACGAGATATTGGAGAAGGTTGGAGCGGCTGCATGGAAGCTGGATTTGCTGGACACGGACCGAAGGCATCCGGTGTTCAACGAGTCACTGTTGACACCCTATCACGAACCACCCCCCCATCGCCGAGAGAAGAGGCCCATAGCCAAGATGATCGGAGGAGCAGAGGAGTGGGAAGTCAAAGAAATCGTGAAAGAGCAAAATGTTGGCCGAGGAAAACAGTACTTCGTCAAATGGAAGGGATGGCTGCATAGCGAGAACACCTGGGAACCATCATGTCACCTTACCCACGCGAAGAAGGTCCTGAGAGATTGGCAGAGGAAACAATCCAACCCAGACACACGCATTCGCCTCCTGCCAACGCTCGAAGCCGGACATTGGGATTATCTCATCCATTGCTACAAACCCAGAGACGAACGCCTTCCATACCCCCAACAACGACTCTTCGACACTTACAAGAACATCTTCACACCCATTGGCCTAGTCGATGAGGACATCGACCCTAGAGAGGGGGTAATGTCATAATTCGACCCCTTTTCATCTTATCTTTGACGATCTCATCTTATCTTGGCACGACTTATCTTATCACGGCATCAGATGGTCCGGGCTAGGGGTTCCAGGGGTTATCCTTATCAATCCAAGGCTGCGCGGCATATGCTCCAGAAGGTTCTACTACAACCCATGACCAGTGCTCCATGCGGTACATAGCCCTATGACTCATTAGTTGTAGATATGACTAAGACTGGATTTGGGTATAAATACTGTAGCTACTTAGTTGTATTCTCCAGTCTTCGAATTCACTTCTCTTTTCGACTTTATTTTTGGGTTGATTGTCACAATTTGGGTATAAATACTGTAGCTACTTGGTTGTATTCTCCAGTCTTCAAATTCACTTCTCTTTTCAACTTTATTTTTGGGTTGATTGTGTTAATGTATAGATTTTGTGTGTGCTTGCTTTGGACAAAGGATGTGACATTACTCCGTGACGCATAGTATATAGCATCAGATCAATGTGACCTACTGGGCTTTTTGCCTCCCATTTGTGCCCCTAGCCTCCTGCGGCTCCCATCTGAGTTTTCTGTGTTCAACAGATTGTCACAGTTCAGGTCCCAACTAGGACTTGAGTTCAAAAACTTGTCCTGAAGAATTGGCCAATGAAGATTCCACTTGCAAACACTATTATGTGGTTTTTAGCATGGGGGAGTGTTGATTAAATATCATCTGTCAAGATGGATGTTACAAGACACATCATATGACTCCATCACGTGTCATCTAGAGTCATGCTGTTGATGTGTGGATTTTGTGTGTGCTTGGTTTGGACAAAGGGTGTGACATTACTCCGTGACGCGTAGTATATAGCATCAGATCAATGTGACCTACTAGGCTTTTTACCTCCTATCTGTGCCTCTAGCCTCCTGCGGCTCCCATCTGTGTTTTCTGTGTTCAACAGGAGGGTCCAAAGAGGAACCAAGTTGGGGACTCTCCTTGTCAGAGCCCACTATATATAGTCTACAGAACAATGGGGATTATCAGAACAATAGGAAGTACAGAACAATAGGCCAGAGAGCAATGGGGGACTGGATTGGGGAGAACAATGGGAGCTGGACTGTCAGAACAACAAGGGCCTGGGCCTGAGGGTCATGTGGATGTGCTTGGCAGGGAAGTCCGGACCAAAGCATGTGATGCTTGACAAATAGCATGTGTGTGGTCACATGCATGTGACGATCAACCAAAAACAATAGTCGAAAAGAGAAGTGAATTCGAAGACTGGAGAATACAACCAAGTAGCTACAGTATTTATACCCAAATCCAGTCTGAGTCATATCTACAACTAATGAGTCATAAGGCTATGTACCGCATGGAGCACTGGTCATGGGTTGTAGTAGAACCTTCTGGAGCATATGTCGCGCAGCCTTGAATCAATAAAGATAATCCCTAGAACCCCTAATCCGGACCGTCTGATGCCGTGATCCATGATAAGATAATCCGTGTTGAGATAAGATAAGATGGTCAATGATAAGATGAAAAAGTGGTCAAACTATGACAATGCAAGATCTCATGATGATTGGATGAAAGCGGGGGTTTCTCTGACACTTTCTTGGGCACATGCTCAGATGTTGCCTGTGCATATCAGTAGTCTATCATTCTTGTATCATATAAATAGTGGCACCTAGCAAGGAGAATCCCCAACATGGTTACTCTTTGGATTCTCCCTTGCCAGTTATGCTGGTCTTGTACCTAGCTACCACATTTATTCACTTTGGATTCTCCCTTGCCAAAACTCTAAGATCAGGTCTCAAGATTGCCCTTACAACGTTTGGATACTTCTGGTCCCTTGTAGAGGTCTAGAGTCATGGATTGTATAGAATAGAGGCATAAGTAGCTAACATGAGTTGTGTAAGCTGGTAAGAGGCTAGGGAGGTATAATTGACTAAGATTTACATGAATATATCAATAACTAATAGTATATCAGAGAGTGGTGCATGACTGTGTAATCAAACAAGACTTGCATCTTGCAACTCTTGGAATAAAATTGATTTGTCTTTGTCACTGCTTTGGTCATAAGTACTTGTGCTTGGAGCAAAGAATGTAGTTGACATGAGAATTTCAACTGGGATTCGAACCCATGTCCTTTGCGTGTCGGTCCAGGGTGGAGTGACCAACAGTGGTGTTGGAGCTCATATCAATTCCACATTTCTTTCGTCCCAGTCCTCCTTTAGTTTTGTTGCAATCAGCTCGTCCCATCGCTTCGCTTCATCGACAGCAACATTTATCAATCGCAAGATGTCTGATATGTCGCACGGCACACCACCCAATTTTTGCACTACGCACAATTCGCGCTGTGCATTAAGAGCAACGGACATGAGCCCTGCGCTGAGCCGTTGCTCCAGTTGTGTTGGATCCAAGATTGCCAGAGCATCCGAATCGGAGAAGAATGCGAATGTGAAACAGAACGGGCTGTGGTGCATGGACAGTGGGACAGGAGCACGTTCAGATGTACGATGCTGCAGAACGGTGAACGAACATTAAGAGCACCTTCGAGGAACACGCACTACCGTTACTTCGTCACCAATTACTTCTACATCTGGTCGGCGAAAATGCTTGAGCGCTACGATCCCTGCGAGACACGCACAGTCGAGCAAGTTACCCGCGTCCGCCAAACAATGAATCATGAGTCGTACGTGCCAGACCTGGGTCTTTCAGATTGAGGGACGTGATCTACATCACAGACCCACCCGTTCTCCGGCTATAACACACAGCGACTCTTTATCCACAGCGTCACTCCTCCTCAGCACCTTATCTAGCATCCTTGTGATCATCACCTCCTCGTCAGACGCCCTTAGGAGGTTAGTCGACCCTCCAAAGCATGTTACTCTACATACCTACCGTCCAGATTCGTACTCCATCCCTGCCATTGGTGAGATTTCCGAGTGCACCGTGACAAGACCCTCGAATGGCCGTTCGGGGGGCGGCTTCACCATCTTGGCTTCTGTGTGTGCGAGAACACTACGAGGGTAATAAGCGAGTGTGGTGGTGAGTGAGAACGCGAATAACGCGTGGACGTACCGCGTTTTTCCTAGCGCACATTCCACCCAGCCGAGCTCAGGTCCAAAGCTCAAATGAGGTGTGCGCGACTGGAGAGGTTTACGTCCATCCAAACGAAGCGATTTTTTTAAAGCTGCACTGAGGAACTCCTTCTCAGGGATCGAAGGCGATGGTGGACGCATTTTGTGGAGAGCAATAATTACGATCAATCTGTTTGTCTGTGCTTGCAATCGAATTTATCTGGATCTCTGAACACTCTTACAGTATAATCGTTGAATCTCCCCTCACATGGTCCGCCTCATAACACACAACATACTGGCCTGCCACGTTAAAAACTGTACCTCTAACAACTTTCCATTGAAATTTCAAGATGTTCAAATCGTCTTACGAGAAAGCGAATTCAATCCCGAGTTCTTGAGAGGGTTCATACCCAAGTTGGAATGGAAGGCATTAGTGGATGCTGCCCGCGAAGTGCTTGGTCGATTCAATGAAGTGAAATGACGAATTGACCGATCTCCAAGCTCGGAGACACCTCACTCCCGGAGGAGATGCCTGAGATGCTGGACGATGAGTTCTTGAAGACGCTGCATCACGTTTTGCTCGAAGTACGCCGGGTCTTTCCATCGATCCAGTCATCGCCTGAACTTCTTTGTTTGTCTGAAAGATTCACGTTGAAGAGGGAGCCATGATCTGCCCGAACTGTAGCCACAACTATCTCATATCGAACGGCATTCCGAACATGGTCCGTGCATCCCTGACACCTATATCTGCATCTGACTGATCTTCAGCTTCTTGCTGAGCACGAGATTGGTTAAAAAGCCTGCTAGATTACAGAACCTGTTCATTCGCTAGGGCAATCGACCCGATTCGTCCTCGTAACTAGACCCAGTCTTTAAAATATACAACGGTATACAACATTCACCGTCTCACGCGCCTTGATACCGCCTCAGTATCAACGGCAGTTGCCCCGTCATAGTCTTATCCCCGGCAAGCACAGGTTTCGTCAGTGGGTTGCTGCTGCGACAGATTCCGCCTTTAGGAACCGCATTCTCGAACACGAATGCACGAATCAGCGTGAACAGGACGGCTTTCTGCTCTGCGAGAGTAAATCGGAATCCGATGCAATTGTGTGGTCCCGCGAAGAATGTCAACAAGTTAGAGTAGATGCCTGGAACCGCATTGGCGGCGTCGGGAACCTGGGCCCAGCGCTCTGGTCTGCGAAGGTGGCACCGTCAGATACGCCTTGCGATGTACTTGTGGCTTGCCTGAATTCTGCTGCATCAAGCCCCCAGATATCGGGATCCGTATTGATTGCCAGGATGGGAATGTGTATCATCTGTCCCTTTCGAATGCTGCAAATGTATCTCGATGAACTGTTCCGAGTGGTGAAAGAGCGAACTAACGGGAGCGTGTTATGCTGGATTCCAGCCTGGTCAGTGTACGGCCTTCCCAGTGGAAGGGCGTCCTCTTCCATAGCCATCCGCGAAACGAATGTGACAGGAGAATGGACACGCAGGTTTTCCCGTATGACCCATTCAAGATACTCGCAGCTGTTGAGTTGTTCGGCAGTTGGAGTGTCGGTGGGAATGGCTAAGAGTTCGTTTCGGAGTCGGGATTGAACTGTCTGATTCAGCGATAAGGCATGCAATGCCCAGCTTATGGCCGAGCTGTATTCGTTGAAGCGATATCGTCAACGTTTCAGACAAGGTTTTACCTGGTTGTCTCGTGCCCAGCGATGAAAAAAGTGGGTATCTCTGTGATTCAAATCAGTGAGTGTGAAACCCCCAGTGAAACAACTGACGAGAAATGACTTCATCCTCTGTCAGTCGCTGGTGTTCAGGAATGTCGGCGGACATGTTAGCTGCGACTAGGATCGACAACAGATCCGAGCCAGAAGATGGAGAACCTTTCTCTGTGAGTGATTTGCATTGGTTCACAAGTTCTCGGCTAATGCTGAACATCTTCTCGCGCGTAGCGAACAGCTGCGTCGTTCCAGGCATGCGAATCAGTCGCAGAATCGGTATCATCGCTTGCGCGACCCGCAGAGCGCCGTTGCGTTGAGAGTTCGGGGAATGAAAGAGCTTGGTAAGAACACAGCTGAGATCATCCGGCTCTTCCTTGAGACTGTTGAACTGATGATTAAAGCCTAGCACAGTCCAAAATTAGCCTGTCAAGTCAGATGCCGAAAAAACGACGCGCCGGCTTGTCCAATCGCATCCAACGTCGATCGTCGCAGCCACGAAAGAGCCTCAATGGTAGTGCTATCACCCTCAATGTGGGCATCCCAGACGTCACGAAGCTGAAGAATGCGATTAGAGGAGCATTGAAAGTTGAGAATATCTTGCCTGCGCAGCCTGCTCGACAAATATGTCCGACATCCGTCTGATCTGGGCTGCCGAAAAGGCCGGATTCTTCGATTAATCAATGTCAATGCATCGACCGAAGATGCGTTCATGAAACCGACCATAATCCTTCTCTAAATAGATGTTGAGTGCAGCTCTTGGGACATGTAAAGAATCCACTTACTTGGCGTTTGTGGCTATCAAGCTCCGATGATAGAAGACCTGGACTCGACGAATGAGCAAGTTTTACTCTCCAAGGAACACCGCAAAGCTCACCATCTCCGAAGAGCTGCTTGACTACACGAAGGTTGAAATGTGCCTTGCGATATATGGTAGAATGCGAGATGATATGACTAATAGCTTTCACGTCCGAAGTGTGCAGTTCTCGAAGCTGATTTCACATGAATAGATAGAGCGGATATATACCAACAACAGGAAACGCACATTGAATAGTCCCTTGAACTGGAAATTTGGGCCGTAGGCGCGTCTCCATCCGTCGACGACAAAAGCATCATCCTAGCCAACGTTGTTCATTGCATGTCAAAGGCTATTCACGTGACGGACCATCATCTGCTTGAAGTTCCCGACTATGAAACTGGGGTTCTTGGGCCCTGGCATACCGCGGAGGGGAGAAGAAATATCGCGATACACAAACTGGATCGCATAGATCACAACATACGCGAGCATGGTGATGATAACAGGGAAGAGTACTTGCGAGATCATGTCGATGGGCCGGAGGCGTCAATTTTGAGATCTCTCGAGCAGAGACAGTCTTTATACTCTTTTTCGGACTAAGCTACCGCGCAAAGCGGACGGGAAGGTGGGCCGCGCGGTAAGCTGAAATGACAGGCAGATTCGTAGAGGAGCGATCCAGCTACCATTTAGTGTGCTTCAAGTCATCCTGTAGTCATTGTGCGGGCGAAGTTTGAACGACTTAGAGCTACAATCTGGATTGAGGTATGCGTGTAACGAAGAATGGTAATATGCAAGCAGATTGTATGTGCTGTTTGGATGCATGAGAACTGAGATACAGACGGAGCAAGCACAAACATCACCAGGTCAGCGACTAATGCGACGACAATGCGGCGATCACAACTCCGAAGAGAAGTAGGGGAAGGGCCAAGCTTGGAGCGAGACGCACCGATGACGAATGGCCATTACCAACAGGGCTTCTGGAGTTTCGATTAGCAAGCTTTCAGTCTGTGTTTTGCGTCACGCACTGCGTAGCGGACGCTGAAGGAATTGACTTGGTGGACGACGTCGAAGTGGCTTGCGGGTTCCCTACCAGTGCACTGCTATTAAAAGCTTTCGTGGTGTTGGAGAAGAGGGTCCACAGTAAACCGCCAGTGACGTGAGCGATGAAAAGAGAATCCTTACAGAAACGATGTTGAGCGATAAAATAAGTTGACGTCATGATTGGTTCACCTTCCAGGTTTCATTCAGGTGGCCTAAGCTCGTGTAGAAGCTACGCCCAGCGCTGTGTCCGCTCTGTACGCCGGCCCCGCGCTCTTGATACCATGCTGCAGAGCGCGGTCAGCTGATCGCAACGTGAATGTCACGAGCCACGCACCGGATGGATGCGGGCTGCCTTGGTCAAATCGACGCACACCGGTGTCTAGATTTTACATATCATCCTCACCCTTTAGATCCTCGTCGAGCAGAAGGCGGGGAGTTGACAAACCAATATAGCTCGACTCGTTGGCCGCGAGAACCACCACCGCTCCAACAGATCGGGGGTCTGATTTGAAGTTGTACCTGAGCAACTGGATGTAAGGTATGGCCCTGAAAAATCTTCAAGAATGTACATTTCTTCTTGTATATGCCACTGCGCAGGAAGCATATTCACGCTCGGATGAGACGCTTCCAATACATCCACTGACTGTCGATCGTTGGGGTTATACTTCCAATGGAAACGTCCGTGACATACCGCATTCTGGAGGAAGGGATGGTAATCGAAATAGGCACCTGGAAAATCTCAGAAACAGCAGAACAAATGATTCTCGATCCCCACCAGTTTCATTGCCGTAGAATGTTGAGGTGTTTAAGCAGTCGCTCGAGGCATGCACACCCTAAACCACCGTGATCAGAATGTCTTTCAATGGTGGCAAGGTCAATTTGCCATAAAGTTTCCGCCCAGGTTCAGATAGTTCTGAAATGCAACTTTCCCACCGTCATCAAGCACTACAGTCCCGGATTTGATTTCTAGGGCTGCAGTGGGCTGAAAAGGACAAACCTTCGCCAGTGGTACTAATGAAGACAATAGCGTCGTAAACAGCCAGGTTTTGGTCAGTGAATTGACCAGCATCTTCGGTAGCGTCGAAAACGATATTCAGAGACTGAGACTGATTTTTGAGTGCTTGGACAGCGGTAGGTATGGAGTCATGCCGAAAGCCTTTCGTAGCAGTGTAAATGAGGACGCGAGCCGGTGTCGACGTAGAGGTTGTCGTTGTCACCCAGAAGATGAGGGACAGAAGAGGTTTGAGCAAGGCAATCCTCATGTGGTAAGAACAGAAACCGGTGATGACATCATTAACGATGTGTCAAAGCGAATCAAGACTGATGAGAAGGATTCATTATTGAACGTGACCTATACTACTTGGTACCATAGTTAAATATTCGAGAGCAAACTTCGAGGGAGTAGCACTGGATGTCACACGATATCATTGAGGGCGGCATTCTGGCTGGCCGCCAGTACCGAACTCGTCGTCTTCATCATCATCGACCCAATCATCTTCTGCCTCACCGAACTGCGATGGAAAAGCCCGGTCAAAGAAATCGTGGCTTGGTGGGAAATATCGATCACGCACTTCCTCCAGATCGGCTGCTTCAAACGGGGCCGACGACACAACCGCGGGTTGAGGCTCCAAATCGCGCTTTTTGGGGGGAATGAGGGACATTAAAGCCTAGTCGACGCCGCGTCAGAAGCGGACTCAAAGAACGAGAGGAATGCAGAAATGAGCCCACCTGATGATCAACAGTCTTCAACCAACTTTCGTCTGGCATTTCTATAGTGAAAGTGACATAGAGATCTCCCTTCGACCGATGTTGTTTATGGGATGGCATGCCTTCGCCTCGTAATACGATGGTGTCTGCGTGTTTGATGATCTTCCCAGCCGGGCTGACGACCTTGATGCCACGGCCGTCCAGGTGAGTTATCAGTATCCGCTCGAACCCAAACAAGGCTTCAGACAATGTTATAGACACATTTGCAAGCAGGTCATTGCCGGAACGTTCGAATGACTCATGAGGTGTTTGTTGCAAAACAAACACGACATCGCCTGCTGGAAAGCCGGGCTCAAGGCATCATCAACGACTGCATCAACTCCAACTGCGGAAACTCACCTCCTCATCGCCTGCACCCGCAAGCACTATGCGCTGCTTATCTCCCATGCCTGGCTCTATGACAACCTCATACCGCTTCTTCTCTTTCACAGTCTTCTCGCCCTTGCATTTCTTACATCTGCTTGCCTTAGCACACATTTCAGGGAATGATACAGCTCACGCACCTATCCTTTTCCTTCAGGCGTTCTCCGGAACCATCGCAGCTGGAACAAGGCACTCGGGAGGTTGTCAAATATGAACCCTCCTAATCTGCCGGTCAGTGATTGGAAGATGGCGCAACGGATGTACTAACACTTCTCTGTGCCGTTGTCCATCCTTTTCCTTCACATATCCCGCAAGGTTTAGGCTTTGCCGCACCACGAGCACCAGATCTAAGTGTTCGGTCGATCCAGAAGACCTCAGAATCTTACCATTAACGCACCCTTTACAAGTGCCGCACAAAGCCTGTTTCTCCAAATTCAGCTTTAGCGTCTTGCCATTGTAGAGATCCTCCAGAGTCACAGGGTGGGGTACAATGGTATCTTCCCCTTTCCCTCTGCCCCCTCCTCTGCCCGCGCCAGGACCAAAATCAAAGCTGAATCCGCCGGACCCTCCACCGAAAAATTGCGCAAAGAAATCGGCAGGATATACGCCACCGGGTCCCGGACCACGCAAGCCTTCCATTCCTCCAACATCGTAGGCGTGTCGCAGATCAGGGTCACTCAGTGTCTCATAACTGGCTCCAGGTGAATAAAAATTCACGTATCAGTCAACCGGACGCACGCAGCTTGTAAGTCCTGGAACTTTTCGCTCGCTCCCGGATCATTACGATTCTATTGCAAAATTCAGGCAATATTCCTTCGAAAGAATTGGAAACAACCATGCCTTATCCTAAAAACGGTCAACGACTCTCAAATCAGCGACAGAGAGACATACAGGGTGATGTTCCATCGCCTGGTTGCACCGTTGGATATCAGTCATCTTGAGAGCCAGGAAATGCACTTGCCTTCTGTCGGTATGCCCTCTTGATTTCGCCTAACGGACTCTGAGTTTCTGAGGATGAGGTATTGGGAGCCGCGACGAACTGTCCGTCGCATCTGGTGACACCCCTAGCACATCGTATAGCCTTGTCTCGAATGGTTCCACTGGTTCCTGTTTCAACAGCGATGAAAGGCAGAAAATGTTGGTGACAAACTTTGGTTGGGCTCGAGTAGAGTGAAGACTAGAGAGAAAAAGCGCGACTAGCACTGGATTGATGATGCACGTCAAAGGATGTCCTCACGTGAGCGCTAAAGTTTGCCTATGATTGTAAAGCGCCGAGTGCATTTCTTCCACTGCTCCCACTTCGTCAACCCATCGCTCAGTCTCTTAGTTCTGCTCTTCCGACCATATTCGAGGGTTATCTGTGCTATGATCTTCTTCTCAACGCTGTAAGCATCCTGTTTTCGCTTCTGCTCGCATGATGCCAAACTTTATCTACATTGTCTGAGACGGTGTATACCATTCCTTGACGCCGATTTTCTTCCTGACGCCCTCTTATCCCTTATATTATGCATGCAGTGCTGACTCGTCTCTCCTTTTTGGCAGCTTCTAGGGACAGTCAAGTATTCCTTCAGTCTTTCCTAGTTTCACATAGCTCTAATTTTTGTACTCTATGTGTAGAATCCATGAATTTTTACTTCGATGCGGCGGTCACTCTGGACCGTCTAGGTTCTAAACAAGGCTCAATCAAGGGTGTGATCGCGTCACTGCCCGAGAAGAACAGGAAAAGGACGGCTGCGTTGGTTATCGAGACGCTGAAGTGTGCGTCTGTGCGTCTGTAGGATGTCCTGTCCCTCATCCGTCCCAGATAAACCTGTTCTATTAGACGTCATCGAGACATCCAAACTCATGAAGGAGGAGCGTAAGCTGACGTCTTTGAATTTGGCTCTCGTTTTGGTCCACGATCTGCTCCTTGCTGGTGGAATTCAAGCTGGCAATGGGCCATTGAAGCAGGCTGTGTTACGACACAAGACGCGGCTCCACGGAGAATTCCAAAAGCTGAAAATCAAACGGGGGGCAACTTCTGTTGCCGACTTGGCCCAGACAGGCGACGTACGCGCTGGTGTGTGTTGAATCTGTGCAAGTGTGCCACCCGGGGCTCAGCGCATGCTAGAAAAAATTCCACGATACGTGCGAGTGAATACGATATTGTGGAGTTTGGAACAAGCCTTGGAATATCTCCAGTCTCGGGGATTTATACTCAGCACCTCTTTGGATTCCGAGTATGTATCGGCTCTTGGGTTCATATCCTCACTGTTCTTATTATGGTGGCGGTACAGCAAAGCTTTTATGAAGGACAAGCATATCTCTAACCTACTGTTGTTTCCCGCCGCCGTAACATTCCACGATGACCCGGCGTACAAGGCAGGAAAACTCATTCTACAGGACAAAGCCTCTTGTTTTCCCGCAGCGATATTGTCTCCACCAGCACATAACCAAGCCGTGGTCCTCGATGCAACCTCAGCTCCTGGTAACAAGACTACACATCTAAGCGCCCTCATGAGAGGCAAGGGCAAGGTGACACCTTGCCATGTTGTCCAAGATAGTGAGTGCCGTCTACTGATTCGGATTCTAGCTCTTCGCATTCGAACGGGACAAGTATCGGTTTGGTACACTCAAGATGATGTTGGCCCGCGCATCCTGCAAGAATGTCAAACCAATCAATTCCGATTTCCTGGCATTAGATCCGCAGGACTCGGGATTTAGACAAGTGTCACATATGCATGTTCTCCTTCACTCGCAGCTGCTCTCAGTTTAAATTTCCGCAGTCTCCTAGATCCGTCGTGCAGTGGTTCAGGAATCATCAACCGGCTGGATCATCTTTTGGAGTCAGGTGGGTACTAAGAACTCTCCAGGAAATCAAAACTTCCTCTGATCCACTTGCAGAAGAAGAGAACGCCGAGATTCAGGAAGATAGACTGAATAAGCTGGCATCATTCCAGCTGATGATGATCAGACATGCCATGAAATGTGCGTTGAATCGTACCCTGCAGTCAGAAATCTCAGTCATCGCGGTCAGTCCCGAGCGTTCGACGCATCGTGTATTCGACTTGCAGTATCCACGTGATAGAAAACGAGCACGTGGTACGAGCAGCCCTACTTTCCGAAGAAGCCCAGGCCTCGTCGTTCTGTTTGGCCCCGCCTACTGACATCTTACCCGGCTGGCCTCGACGAGGGATTGCAGAAGAGATGACACGTCCTGGTAAGATAGAAAAATTCCGAGGCAAAGAGATGACTCTCAAGTCCTTGCAGAGGATGCCTTATCACTAATCCGCTGCTCGCCCGGCGAAGACGAAACCAACGGTTTTTTTGTGTCGTGTTTCGTAAGGAACGATGGGACTCTCAAGCGCTCTTTTCCGGAGCTCGAGGAGGACATCGGGTACGAGACGATTATGGGTCCGACTAAACGCAAAAAGAAGAAAAAGAAGTCCACTCAGGCCAATGATTAGTGAAATGCTGAGTTTGTTACGTCCTGAGGAATGAGGAAGCCTCGCATGTCGACATGAAGCTGATCTGGCGAATAAAAGCGTCTACTCCCCAGACCACAATGATATGTAGCTCACAATTGTTGCACATATTCAAGTATCTACTTTCTGCCTAGAAGATAGGGATCCAAGGCTGTGATTCCGATTGGTAAGGTTGCGAGTGCACGCAAACATTAGCCCGTAATGAGTGCTCGTGAGAGTTGCACGATAAACGGTGGCTGTGTAGTGTAATCAAGATCAATTTGATGGTCTTGACGTCACTGGGCAAATTGCGTTCAGCTCCACAAATCCCCTACTCTTGTGTGGATTGCATTCCTTAGGCGATGGACTGTCTCTGAAGTTGCTTCGAAACCGACACCCTCCAGCGTCTTATCGCAATCACATATCTCGGAATTGATGGTCGATACTACGGCACACCCCGCTCGTAAGATCAGGAGTGCAGCACGTCCCTCGACTGCTCCAGAAAAGTTGCGCCAGGCCCTGCTGCCTGCAGCCATGCACACATTGCAGGAGGATGAAGTTCCGGAATCGATTGGCTCTCACTCAGGTACGATTTCCGCCTTGATATACTACCTCATCCCAGCTCATGCGACGGATGCAACTGGCACCCGAACCACAACATCACTCATTCTTCTCTTGAGTCTTTGAAACCTTCATTCGCATTTTTATGCTGTTTCAGATGCAGCCTCACCGGCGTCGGAATTTGTTCCTGCGCATCGCCTACCTGTCGATCTCCCCAACTACGACTGGGCCACGTTTATCACCGCATACGCGTGCGGCCGTTGGGACCCACACCGAATACCAAGACCGCCCCATGTGCCCTTGTCACTGTCCAAACCTGAATCACCCTCACACACCGGATCTGCTGTCCCGCAGGGTGCTCTCGCGTTCGACCACACTCGCCTTGTGCCCCGGCCACCGTCTCATCGTCTGCGTGCATCCTTCTCAGCGGTGTCATCCAGCGCACCTTCTCCGCCCTCATTCTCTTCGACATACCCGTCGTTCACCCTGCCCGCCACACTTCCATTCACGACAATCACTACATCGGCGGGCTCAGTGTCTTCCCCGATCAGTACAGTCGATGCACAGACAACCGCTGCGACACTGCGATGGGCGGGGTCGCGTGTCAATGTCGCACCTCTGGCGCTCCCCAGCCCGGAACACGAGCTGATGGATCCGATGCGCGGAGCTGCAGCTGTCCCAGTCCCTGGTAGTCATCCTGAGATTCCCGTTTCATTTGCCCACGCTCAGCAGACTGTATCACCACACCCAGTCCCGGGGTTCTTTTCTCAGTTTCATGGTGCACAGACTCCCGGCTGGGATGTCATGACTCCCGGCGGGACTCGTCGCTCGCGATTGAGCGGTTTCTGGAGTGGGACAATTGACGTTGACAATTCGGACTACGACTCTCCGGAGATGCTACCAACGCTGGAGGACTTGGCTGACCGAAAGGATCAAGAAAACGAAACACAACTTACATCCGGCCCTCAGAATGGACATTCAGTTATCCCTGACGATCTTCCGACATTTCGCCCTGGTCCCGCGACAGCACCACTCCATGTTTCACGGGACCTCACCGAAGATGACAACTACTTTGGGTTGCCCACAAACGATAGAGTTTCGACGAGCTCGCCGGATCGCCAGAGGCCCAGTGCTGGGTTCGAGGTTGAGCTGAATAGCGGCGCGGCGCCTTCCTCACTGAAATCTGTTGACCAGAGCATCGTATCCTCAGGATCGACACCAACATTGGTGAACTCGGTTCCGTATTCTGTTCTGACGGAATCATTCACGCAGGCCACCGCACAATCAGTCCCTGCTCCAGGAACAAGAAGACGATCTCAGCTGACCAGGCAGTCAAGTGCGCCGCTTCCCACGACATCCGTCTCCATTCCTGTTTTGACGCGAACACTCTCTGGCGACTCGCTGACACGGCCACCCATTGGAACTATCTCAGAGTCAGCTCCTGCTATTCCGACGGCCAGCCTTGTCGAACAAAGTCCTGTCCCCACCCACACTTCTTCCAAAGAGGATGCACGTGCTGTTCGAGAGGAATTGGCTTTTTTAGCGCGGGGATTCCTCGCACCGCCCTTCCCTCCAGATGAACTGGGTCGTCGTCGAGCATTATACAAGTTTGTTTCACGCTTTTCTCGCGGGCGAAGCTGAGGCTTCAAAAGGTTCAATATCATCGATACGACCCCTGACCTTAACTTTGATCGGATCGCGCATCTCGCCATGTTAGTGTTCAATACCAAAGGAGTGGTCATTTCCGTCGTAGATGGGGAGAAAGAGTGAGCGCTTGTCTGCATTGTCTGTCACATCTGTCTGAAAACCACAGGTGGTGCAAATCAGAATGTTCTCTGTCCTTTGCTCGGGCGTCTATTCCTTCACTCACATTCTACAGGGGGGATGACCAAAATCCACACCTGTGCACGATCAGCCTCTTTTGCAGCCCATGCGATATTACAACGTGGGGATGAGCCCATGATAGTTCTGGACACGAAAGCGGATTGGCGATTTGCCGACAGTGCAAGTGTTTTGCCCTGCTTGCCCGCATCGATATAAATCCTTGATAGCCTCTGGTTGTTGGGGGCCCGAGCCTTCGGTTCTACGCTGGCGCGCCTCTTCGTACTCATGACGGCTTCAACATCGGATGCCTATCCCTCATCGATGATTCGCCACATGAATGTTTCACCCCAAGGCAACGCCATACTTTGAAGGAATTCGCAGCAATCGCCATGCGAGAAATGGAGTTGTGGAGAGACAAGGTTCGCACTCCCTCTCTACTGGGTGTTTCCAACTTACCCCACCAACTTTGCAGATCCAACTGCGTATTCGAGATCGGATCCAAACATCTGTCAGTCCTTCATCCATTCAGTCGGAATTCAACGATTGACGACGACTCAGATGGAGCAATTTAGTCGAGAATGCCTTGAAATCGACAATGAAGTCTCTGGCCAGTCGAACAAAACAAAGCCCCCATCGGACGAATCGAGGTCACCTCCGCCAGTAATGGGAACTATGACGTCCATGGACACAGTTTATGACCGGGCTGCTCATCTCGTACAACAGACACTTGACGTCGAGGGGGTTGTGGTGGCCGATGTATCGCACTGTGAGGTGCTCGAATCGATGAGCAGCGAAGCTACAGTTTCGATTGTGCTGCATCACGGCGAACCTGGGGTGCCAACAAGCACTCACACGCTCTCAGGAGAAGAGCACATCCGCTTGAATGAGTTCTTCGCCAGGTATCCCAATGGCAAGATCTCTGAAGGCATCGTCCCACCGTCGTTGCGCTTTTTGATGCCATCGCCACATATTCAATATGCTCTGGGTGTGTTGCCTGCTCCTCTAGAGCGTAGTCGGTCCTCACTACTGTCTTAGCGGTGCCTATATACAACATCGACAAGCGGCCATTCGCACTGTTGTGTGCCTGGAATGCCTCGAATCAGGCGCGACGGTTTGTAAGTATTTGAACTGGTGGAGAGTGGTGCATCTACGACCGAACTTTGTAGCTCGAAGGCCACGAGCTCTCGTTTTTGAGGGCGATAGGAGTCATCGTCGTCTCTGCTGTTCTCAAGCGGAGAATGATCTTAGCTGACAAGGCCAAAGGCTTGTTCATCTCTAAGTATGGCACCTGTCTTTGAGATCCTCGCTTCTAATGCTTTCCAGCATCTCACATGAACTGAGAACCCCCTTGCACGGCGTCGGTCCATCCCATTTTGAGACATGTACTTAACACCTTACGACGAGCCCAGATCCTCGCTGCGGCCGAACTGCTGAGCGACAGCCCCCTCAATCACTCTCAGACATCATTCTTGCAGACTGTACAAGCATGTGGGACATCGCTTGTCGAAACCGTCAATCACGTGTTGGACTTCACCAAACTCAGCGGGAATTCGAAATCGGGTGGTGTCGAGAATGTGATCGTGCCTTCCAAGTGAGTCAAATCACGGGCAGTTGTTCGTCAACCTGACCTGAGCGCAAGGGTGGATCTGATGCAACTGGTCGAGGAAGCGGTCGACGGATGCTGGATAGGGCATCGTGCCAGGACAGCTATCATGAGTGATTCAGAGATCGGGAGCGTCTACTCCCCTCCCGAACAGCTTCTGGCCACGAAACAACTCGTCGAGACTGTGGTTGATATCGGCTGGCGCCGCGGAGTGAGTCATTGAGCGTCACTGTTTGCTTATCTAATGGTTGTCTTGAGGGCTGGACGCTGAAATGCGAGAGAGGCGGCATTCGTCGTGTTCTGATGAACATCTTCGGAAACAGTCTCAAGTTCACATCGAACGGATATGTGCATATCATGTTGCGTGAGTTGGCACCGAGCCCAGCTCAATCAGCGAACGAAGTCAAGGTGGAGCTCGTCGTGTTTGACACCGGAAAGGTGCGTCACCATCGACACGTAATCCTGGTTGTGTTGACTGGCGGACAGGGTATCAGCGAGGGTTTCCGCAAAAACCAACTGTTCCATCCCTTTTCCCAAGAAAATCCGCTTCAGACTGGAACAGGCCTCGGATTAGCAATCGTCAATAGCATCGTGAAGTCCGAAAGCGTCAATGGCAAGGTCGACGTCTGGAGTGAAGAGGGCGTTGGGACAGAAATCAAGGTTACGTTCACGGCCCAGATTCCAGAGGAGGCTTCGGCACCCGAAATGGAGCCTTTCCGCTTTGACACGAAGCCACTCTCGGTGTCGATGTTGGGCTTTGACACGGAGCACAAAGGCGTCCTCCTTGTGCGTTCTGTCATCGAGACGTACCTAACTTCTTGGTGGGGATTCGACCTCCAACCACCAGGGCCACAGCGCGGAGACATCATCATTCTCAATGAAAACATCGAATTGCTCAGAAAAGCCACCGCGGAAAGGGATACTTCTCGGCCATTCATCATCCTATCGACTTTGCACGGCAACCGGGGGGTTTTGGCCGAGGTAGCTGAGCACGAGAGTATCGGAGGCTTTTGTCGGGTGCTATACAAACCCGGTGGGCCATCCAGGCTATATGCACTGCTCAAGCTATGCGTTCATACCATCAAAATCGCCAGTTCGACCGATGCTCCATCCGGTGACGATCACGATCCGACCACGCCCACATTTACAGTCCATGTTCCTCGCCGTAACTCTGAGGAGACAGCCAATTCAAGTGTGATGGGGACGGTGAGGCCGGCGATGATGGCTCGCGCTATGACAATACATCCGACCTCTTCCTTATCCTGGAAGAAGCTGTCGACAACCGTAGAAAGCAACGACGAGGACAACCAAGAAGTTGACGGTGAAGATCCGGGGGTGCCGACTATCAACATCGGGGCCGGCAGTCTCCTGTTGCGCTCTTCGTTAGACTCCGTGATTGCTGATCGAAGGTTTCGCATCTTGGTCGTCGAGGACAATACTATCCTTCGCCAACTGCTGTACGTTGATCTCATTTCTGTGCGCCAATTGGTCGCTGCGACTGATGCGTCCTCAGAATCAAATGGTTAACGACTAGGGTGTGTGCATGAACGTGTGCGTTCTCGAGTTAGTTGCTCATCGATTAGGGATACGACTATCGAGATGCGGTGGATGGCAGGAAAGCGGTGAGCATCTATGAAGAAGATGGCCCCTTCGAGTGAGTGTCGGATCTTCTGTGTCGTATGCAATCTCATCTTTTTTCTTTTCCTTGCAGCGTGGTGTTGCTCGACATGTCGATGCCTGTGCTCGATGGCATCGGCGCCACTACTGAAATTCGCAGATTCGAAGCAGGATTGTCGTCTGCCAAAAGGCGACACCCGACACGAATACTCGCTCTTACTGGAATGTCATCCCTCGAGGACAAGCGCAGGGCTTTTAAGGCCGGAGTCGACGGCTAGTAGGTACCCTACTATGCTCCCCAAACTCGCATTGACTCCTTTTCTAGCATGATCAAGCCTGTGGCATTTAAGACCCTGGACGAGATGTTCTCCAAACTTGGCGTTTCATGACATTGCATGACATCCGGGTTCACTCACTTGGTTTTGTAGATCATCTCTCATATCACACCATAACACTACACCTTCCTCGTCATGTACTGGCGACCTTGTAATTCCACTCTGTAGCTGTACCTTATCTACTCCTCCTTGTTGCTATAAATCGTCAATCACATCCGAACAGTTTTCTGAACGTGACCGTAGGACCGTGTGCCAGGTCTGCATCGGCAAGATCCGGTAACAGCAAGGTCACACACACAGCACAGCCTTTTTTTCTCATCTTCATCTCCGACAAACGAGTCCACTCACGGTCAGAAACACCAACCTTACCGGTCATCTCTCCAACGATCAAAGAAAATGTCTGCTCGAGGATGCTTTAACTGCGGGGGCTGTGCGTTGTTGTTGTTGTTGTCGTCGTCGTGCTTTCTTTCCCTCCCTACTCCACATTCCCCATATCACTGTCCTTCCCCTCATTTCGACATATATCTGCTTCGCTACCAATTGGGGACGCTGCTGACGATGTTCTGTTCCTTTTCATTTGCATATCCTCAACACAACTTGTCGTGCGGTGCGGGGGCGAATATAATGTTTTCCAAACTTGGACGCAAACGCTCTTGAATGTCTTTCGATAACGGTTATATCGGATTTGGGATCGTAGTCGGCCATCAAGCTGCCAGCTGTCCCAAGGCTGGAACTCCCACTTGGTGATTGTTTCACGAGAATCGGCGGGACCTGTTTACTCACAACCGCGTGTCTCTCCAGCTACAACTGTGAGTTTCGTAAATATCAGCTTGATGTTTGGCTCACCAAGGTTCTTAGGCGGCCTCGAAGGACACGTCTCTCGCGATTGCACGAGCGAAGCCAAACCCAAGACATGCTACAAGTGCGGTCAAGAAGGCCACATTGTGCGTGCTTCTTATAATGCTGATCATAGCTCCGCTCAACGGCATGTTAGTCGCGTGAATGCCCCGATACCACTGCGGCAGCAGCTTCGGGTGGTGCCCAGCGCGGCGGTGCTGAATGTTACCGTTGCGGTGAGAAGGGCCATATCGCTCGGGAGTGCCCTCAGGCTGGGTGCGCTACTCCACATTTGGAAGCGATCGCATTGTTTTTTATGTTCCTTCCTTTTCAGCGGATCCAGCACTGGTGGAGGTCGCGGCGGAAAGTCAAGCTCATATGGATCGTTTGGAGGCAAGACCTGCTACACTTGCGGCGGAACCGGCCACTTGAGCCGTGATTGTGTCCAAGGATCCAAGTGCTACAACTGTGGTGGTGTTGTGAGTATCTGTTGACTGCCCAAACTACAAAAACCGAAGTCCAAATGCTTGTAGGGTCACATCAGCCGCGACTGCACTCAAGCTCAGAAGCGAGCCTGCTACACTTGCGGCAGTGAGGGGTAAGCAATGATTACCCTGTCTTTGCTCTGTCTCAATGTTATTTAGACATATCTCTCGTGACTGCCCGGGGGCGGAGGCTGCAGCTTGATACAATGTAACTAGGTGGACGCCGCTTACTGTGTTCAATCGGTGGTGCATCACATATCTGTACTGATAGGAAATGTCTGTGTCTGCTAGTGAATGTTCAATCCGCTCTCCAGTCCTGTTCTACAGCAACTCTACATATGTACTCCCTATATTATGATACTTTTCCGAGTACAAGTATGCTCCAGGTGTATAGTGGAAGCGTAAGATTGTCATTTTGGTCTGAGAGGGCTTCGAGAATAGATGCCAGCACGACTGCTGCTGAGTATTTGTAGATCTGCACGCAAGTGAGATCAAGGAAACAGGGATAGAACGCGACAAACCGAAAAGGGTTCGGCGAGACCACATAATCTCAACACAAGTGCAGAGGCGACCACAGATATAATAAAGGCCATGCTGCCTTCCAAAGTTTTAGGAGTTGTCGGAGACCATAAATGTCGGCCGATCCGCTTGCCGACAATGCTGGCAACAGCATCACCGACACCCAGTACTAATAATCCTGTATACTCTAGCAGGGGTGACGAGCTGGGCATAGTCAGAATGATGCCCTCAATGCTAGCCGACCGATCTCACCCTTCCAGCCAGAGCGCACCAGCACATCCGGTGAGCAAATAGAAGTGACTCAGAATTGCGGTTCCTCCGTCCTTGGTGTCGATGAATTCGCTCATGAACCGGTGCACCGCTGCTCCCAGCGGATAAATGGCGAAGTATCGGATATATTCTGCGAACACAAACAGGGCGAACGCTGTACTGAAAGCCAAGTGCGTGAATGCCGGCTGTAAAAGAAATGTCAGGAACCGGGGGGAGAAGCGAAAGAATGACGTGCATCGAAGGCAATACCGGGTACAAACATGAAGACGACGAGGGCATGGAAAAATTTGCGCCGAGCATTGAGTCGCAGCGTTGGGGCTCGATCGAACAACTCGCCAGACGCGGCGATCAGCGCACTGCGCGCAGAACCATCCTGAGTAGCACCATCGCTGTCACTGTTAGCCGTCCCACCAGTCATGTTCACACCCATTCCCATGGCCAAGACCGCTCCACGCCTTGAGCGAGCGAGTTGACGCGTCCAACCTGCTACACTGAGACCGCCAAGCGTAGCCCAATAGGCCAGCAGGGCTAGTCTGCGGTTGCGAGAAACGATCCACCGAAGAACCCACATCCAGGGATTGCGCTTTCCCAGACACCACCACACCCACAGGCCGATGGGACCGACTACGACCAAAGCAACACCGATGTAGAATGCTGCAGCCAGTCTTCGGCGAGCTTGCAGTGCCTCGGCGGGACTCAGTCGACGACGCCGTCGCACCGGCGTCTTTGCTGCGTGTCTGGACAGCACCAAAAACGGGGCCATCAAGGCACCCGCCAAGAATGGGCCGCCAACGAGAGCCATCTGCAGCACCAAGATCGGCGTGGGCAACCGAAAAGTCAGGAAGCCGGGTGTTGTTTTCGACCACAGCCTGGCAGTCGTGAAGCGGAGGAACTCGCTGAACAACGCTGCACCGCCGAAACAGACAAATCCTAGTTCTCCCAGTGTCAGACCGCGGTGGGCCATTCGAAGTGCTCCATACAGCGTGAGCTGATAGAATACAGCCGAAATAGTGATCTCCACTGGATCCAGATCTGATCATAGTCAAGTCAGGCGCCATCTCCCGGTTGTAATGGAAACGCCTACTCACGTTGCCAGAAACCCAGTTCAAACAACTCCATCCCAGCACGCACAGCGAGGAAGCCCACAGTGACACACAAGGTAAATAGAATGAAGTAAACGCTCCTGACGCCCTCGCTTCGAGGGACTGAACGTCTTTCTCCATCAGAAGGACCGACCATCGTGGCATATTGTCCAGGTCCGTTCTCGGTCGCAGATGCACCTAGCCGGCTGCGGTCCTCCAACCATCTCGATGCACAAACATGCACTAACAATATGCCGCTCGTCAGTGTCGACAGCGAGAGAAGCGTATATCGCCCTCTCAAGAGAGCATCCTGAGGCGAGAGTTTTGCTAGCCGGAACGGAGCCTCGATAGCCCACCGGGCCGGTAATCCATCTCCTCCAAAAGAAGCGCAAAGGAGCGAAGCAGCGATGAGCGGTCCAAGTAGAAGGGCTGTGAGAATTCCGTCGTCATTGGATTCTCTGGAAGGTCTGAGATCGCATATCATTGAGTCAGATGTGCCTCACACCTGTAATTTTTTGGGACGGACATCCAGATAAAGCCAAACTTGTCAGCAGATTTGACACCCTGGCCCGTAGCCGGTCTAGTCGCCGTCTCCCCCACGGAGCCGTACGTGTACACAATGTAGACAACAGTGGCGGCAAGAAGAACAGACAACTCGTAGGCCGACCACAGATTGTCGCTACCAGCAGCGGGTTCATGCGCGATCTGGACTGTCGCATAGAATAGCGAACCCCAAAGAATGAGCGATTCCCCAGCTCGCCGAGAATCTATCGAAAACGAATAGGAATTCCGGGAGAAGGGAATGGGGAGACAAAATTCTACCGACCGCGACAGTATTGGCTGACGGTCTGAGGCCAGTTTCCGCCGATGTAACAGGGACACTATCGGCGAGAGCGCAGGTTGCAGCTGGCGAGGATGGGGCGAGCGCGATCGAGTGAACGAGACCCTCCGTACAATGACATTATTCCTTGCCACTTTCTCAGGCAGACGCACTCGCCCACGAAGTTCTTCGGTCTCCGAGTCGTCATCGTCGCTCTCCGAATGCGACGCCGACGAAGACTCGCCGGCCGCGTACGACGTACTCCAGTCGATGTGTGTGAGATCGACGGGGCGCTTAGACACGGAGCCACGCTTTGAGCGCTGAGCACGGCGGTGCGCGTCTCGGGGTCTCGCGGAGGGAGAAGGTGACGGTGACGATCGGGATCTTGGGGCCAGCGTGGTGAGGCGGCGGATGAGGGCAATCAAAGCTGGAGACGGCGAGGCACGATATTCCGGCTGTTTGACAGACGCTTTAATGCGATTCCGTGGGAGGACGGATGGCTTGGCCCAACTTGAGAGAGACTAGCGTGATTATTTGTGACACCACGTTTTTGTGTGACACGTGACTCATCGTGACACGACGCGTTCCACCAGGCATAGATCGACCATGTCTACCATCCCCACGAAAGAAGTCGTGTATCTCGAGGACATTCCTGTCTCAAACAAAAAGGAAAAACCGGCTCCAAACTCTTCCCCGGACACAACAAATGCTCATGGGAAACGCCAACGGACATTGCTTGACATGTGCTTCACCCCCAGCGCGGATGCCAAACGCCAGAAACTCCAGCACTCTACACCGGCCGCGCGTTTCAGGGCAACTAAAGATGGGAATTCTTATCAAAAACGACGCGTTCTAGGGAGCCAGACCCTGAACTCGATTCCTTTCTCATTGTCGTCATTCGTCGAGGGTCTTTCAGATGAACAGCGCGCGCTCATTGCCCTTGAATGCGACGTCATCGGGAAGAGCTGGCTCAAAGTCCTCACGGATGAGCTGGTCCAGCCCTACTTTCTGAACCTCAAGAAGTTCCTGTACACGGAAGGTGTGCGAGGCATGATGGACCCTGCTCCTTCCAAGATATACCCAGCTCGTGCGTGCTACTCGGCTTTTGAGAACTATCTTGAGACGCAATTCTATAGCGAAAAACATATATGCCTGGTCAGATGTGCCTCTTGGACGCGTCAAAGTGGTTATCCTCGGCCAAGACCCTTATCCTGGTGCGGGACAAGCTCACGGCCTCTCATTTTCTGTCCCGCCGGGGATTTCAGTGCCTGCATCTCTGCGAAATGTGCTTGTTGATTTACTCTGCTTCAGCACGTGCTGACTTCTCTGCGTAGATCTACACCGAGCTTCGCAACGAATATCCCGACTTTTCAGTGCCGAATCATGGTCATCTCGCCTCCTGGGCGTCGCAGGGTGTGCTTCTTCTGAACTCGGTGCTGACCGTACGGGCTGGCGAACCCAATTCGCATGCTGAACGAGGCTGGGAGCAGTTCACAGAGCGGGTGATGCAGATCGTTGATGCGTACGGCGGAGCCAACTTACCCAATGCGTGAGTGCTCTTGCGCTCTTCAGAATTGCAAATGAATAGGTTTCAGGGACGGAACCAAGCCTGGGACGGGCCGTGGTGTCGTGGTTCTTGCGTGGGGCTCCCATGCAGCCAAACGTGTCGCCAAATTGGACTCGAGCAAGCACTTGATCCTCAAGAGTGCCCATCCGTCACCCCGCAGCGCTGATAGAGGTTTCTTCGGCAATGGTCATTTCAAAAAGGCAAACGAATGGCTCGAACAACGCTATGGATCAAGTGCGGGGATAGACTGGTGCAAGTTGTAGCCTGATCTTGATGGTTACGGCAAACACACCAGCAGGGGTTGACGTTTTCTGTCAATGACGTCACAGGCAGTATACTTGCATATACTAGGATCTACTGTTACATATACTCACTGTTTCCTCCATGCTTGTTGCGACAGGTGACCTGAGCGTCCTTGCACGTGCTACCTTTTCCGCAAGTAATTAGATCGGTCCAAATCTGTCTAAGCGGGTGCCTGACGATCGGCGACCATCGGCGACCCGCCAAAGGTCTCCGAATCATTCTACCAAAAATCGAAGTCGCGCGCAGCTTCCAGAGCGTTCCGACATCAGCCAGATCGCACAGGGATCTTGGGTTATGTTTGATAGAATTTGATGCGTTGGGGTAATGACGAGTTACCTACTAGATTCGATTTTATGTAGGGTACTGTAGTTAGGTGGGTATGTAAACTAGAGGTTGTATACAATTACATGGCTAGCTAATGATACAAGCCGATATCAGGACATTATATGTCCGCTCGCAGAGTACACCGCCCTATGATGGGGGGGCAGCACGGAATGCTCGTGCAATCCTCGCGGCGGCGAAGGCAGTCGGATCGGCCCCCCGTGGGAGCCCTGGTGCCGTACTTGTCCCTCAAGTGTGTAATCGCCCGCTGTCACCCGCCTCTGGGGAGCCGGCGGGTACGGCGGGTCGTACGGAGAGTGCGCATGGCTGTCCGGGGTAAAAGAGTATGAGCGATGTGCCTGCTGCGGCACCGGAAGGGGCGTCGTCGTCTGGTCGTAGTAGGCAGGCGTGGAATGTGAGCGTTCACTGGGTGGGTACATATGGTACATTGGCGCCAGCGAGGATGATGACGTTCGTGAGGTCGTGTATGAGGATGAGTATACGACGGCTTTGGGAGCCAAGGTCGCCGACGCCGGGAGCGGAGACAGAGTCTGATACTGAGGCATCTCTTCCATCACTATCGTCTGTCCCCAGGGTCCTGTGCCATTTTGAATTTCTTCAATGGCAGACCGGGACACAAGCTCCGGCGATGCAGACCCGCACTGAGAGTCAGCGGATCCAGTCGATGGCGGTGATGAGTCGTGGTGAGAATGAGAATGGAACGAATGGGCGGCCAGCGGTGGTGGCGAGTCGTGAGGAAGGTCGTGAGCAGAGGTGGCTTTCGGTTTGTCTTTGCCGGTCGGCCCCTTCCCTAGCGGTGCACGGCTAGCCTGGGGAAGATTCAACGCCTGTCGCAGACAGCTGTTTTCCTCCTCAAGTTCTGACACGCGTTCTTCTAACGCCTACATGCGAAAGTCAAATAATGGGGTCTGTCGATTTTCGATTTTCACATACCAATAGATGAGCAGCACGGCGGGCTCTGAATGCGCGTTGAACATCCCGGGCACGGTTGGGCGGTAAGTTGTCATTGCGCTTTCGCCCGCGCTTGGAGGTCATGGAGGTTAGTAACGTCTGACGGATTGGGGGGAGTTTTCTTCTAAGCGACAAACGCCATATATGTGAAAGGGGTCCTCCGCCAATCCGCGTTGATGGGGGAGGAGAGATCTCCAGATCTGAGATCACGTGCATCATGAAACGGCAATTCTCTCAAAACATTGCAGTCTCAGTCGTCGCAAGGCAACGAGACCCACTGCATTTAATTCTTTGCGTTTTTAACACTCAGGAGCTCACAATTTGGGTCGTGTTTGAGGTCACGTTTTGCCGAGCTGAATGCCGACAGCAAGGTACATCGACGCTCCGCAACCAGGATCGCTAAGGCGCTCTTTGCCCCGGCGTAAGCACTTTGCCTGATCGTCACGACGGCCGAACGACGTCGCACGACGTCCACACAACGTAAGCTCCGATTCGGCAATTCCCCCGACGGCAGGTTCCGGATTTTTTTTTACCGAAGCGCACTTTACCGAGTTCGCATCATTTTACGACACAAAAATTACATAGGTATGTACATATATCACCCTTGCCTGGCAGCCTTTTTGGCGGCAGCAATGTCCTTGTCGCGTTTGGCAAAGAGCTTGTGCCGAGGAGGAGGTTCCTTGGGAAGCTTTTTGTTGGCAGACTTGTTCTGTTCCATGTAAGATATATGGGCGCCGCCGCTCAGAGCAGTGAGAGAGCCCGTTGTCCGCTGAGCAGCAGGCATCCGGCTCTGGGGAAGGCGGCCAAAGTCCTTGGTGGTAATGGTCCCCTGCAGGTCACCGTCGTTGTGCCGGACATCGCTTCCAAGATCGGCCTCACTCTCGCTTGCAAGCAACACAGACTGCACCAATTCAATCTGCTCGTCGCGGGTACGATAAACCAAATCTTCCATCTTGTCGAGACCGTCCAGATGCGTAATGACTTTGAAGGCATAGCCCTGGTCAATCAGAAATTGTTGTCGTTTCGTGGAGTAGTACATCTCTTGAGTGTCCTTCGAGACGAGCGAATAGAAAAAGGCATTGAAGCCCTCGTCGTTTCGTCGTTTCGCCCGCAGGATTCGCCCCAGTCTTTGAGCTTCTTGGCGGCGGGATCCAAAATGGGAGGAGATCTGGATCAAACAAGTGGCTTCAGGAAGGTCTATAGATGTATCTCCGACCTAGCGTCCGTGAGCAGAAAGATCTGGAAGCATCCGTTGAAAGCTGCTCACTTTAGAGAGGAAGATGGTATTGACTTTCGGACTGTGCTGAAACCAGGAGAGAATGCGCATTCGCTCCGTTTGGCCTGTGCCACCATGGATGTAAAGCTTGCCCAGTCGTTTCGCGTAAGCCTGAGTCAATCAGAGTCACTTAGAGGATCCAGTGATCAAGGAGGCGTACTTCAAGAGCATAGACATTATCGGAGAATACGATGACCTTGTCGCCGCGATCCTCGTGGTACTTGATGAGAAATTGGCATGCTTGAAACTTGTTGGGATTCATGCAATACAGCAGAGTGCGCTTGCGATTCTGGATTCGAAGATATTGACGGTAGAATTCGGGGGTCATCGGACACCAGACTTCGGCACACTGTTCACGACTGTAAGCCACAAACAAGCATAGGTTTTGATGACTTCACACCTGTACGTTGGCGATGTGTCCCTTGGCGGCAAGGTCCCTAATTAGGAACGTCCAGGACAGATCCGGTGTAAAATTTAACACACGCACATCCAGTTCGCCTCGTACAGCTTAGGTCCGATCATGTAATTCAGATCCGCGATTTTGTCATCTTCTCGCACCAAGGTTGCGGTCAGACCAAGCTTGGAGTGGGCTTTGATAGTGGTGACCACACGGCGGAACATCGCAGCAGGAACGACGTGGACTTCGTCTAGAAGGATAAAGCCCCATTCCCGGGAAGTCAAGAATTCCATCATCTTCTTCGACTCGTGAGACCGATTGTGCGTGTTGGCTACCATGGAATAGGTGGACACCACGATACCACTATCTCCCGCAAACTATCGAAACATCAGCCTATATTCAGAACTGAGAACAGTGCGCACCTACCCTTTCCTTCTGGTCGGCGGTGAAAACAGCAATTTGCTTTTCGGTGACATTAGACCATTGCAGAAATTGTTGTCGCCATTGCATAACAGAGACACTGCCCCGGGACTGTCAGCGTTGACCGACATGTGAGGAAAAAGAGTTCTCACGAAGAAGTACAGAGAACTAAGCACGACTTCTTGATTGTACATGCAGCAGTGATTCCGACGAGAGTTTTGCCCGCACCACACGGCAAGACAATGATACCGGACCGAGCACGACTGTGTTGGAGTAAGTTCCGAGCCACCGCCTAAGATTGTCGACTTGCCCATTCCCAAACATCTTACTAAGACTGGTCTCTTGATAGGGTCGGATGATGGTAGCGGGTTTGAGACTGATCTCAAGATTGGCGTTGACCGTATCATTTCGGAAATCGTACTCCTCCAGCATGGGATATTCCAGCTCATTGCATCGTCGTTTCACATCCTAGATGTTGCATATTGTCAGCGAGCAATACGACACAATAACCTCATCCACTCGCGTCGATCTTTGTGTCGTCGATTTCAAAAGCATGAACGTTTTCGTCATCTTCCTCGACTTCATCTTCACCAGTAATCAATGACATGAAGGATAGACCACCGCCGTACTCACCAGCTTCGACACCGACAACGGAAGTGAATAGGTCTGGGTTATTGTCGGCCGCTATCCCATTGTCCTCCTTCCGTTCGGCTTCTTTAGTCCCGGGAATGATGAGACTGCCCTTTACAGGAGCTTTGGAAGTGGTGAAAGTCGCAGCTTTGATGCTTGTGTCCGTTTGAGTAGTGACCACTCGCGCCTCACGTATGGTCCTATCTTTCAGAAGAAGCTGCAACGTCTCTGGATGACTTGACTCTACGAAGTACTTATTGTGCTTCAGGACCAGCTTGACTTTGCCGTAACTGAGTGTTCGCTCGCGTATGAAAGCTGTGATACTTTCGGGTAGGGGAACTTTGGAATATCGATTCAAAACCTGCCAGGGCGTTATTAATAACACACGGAAGGGAGACCGCTAACTAAACACCAACCTCGATGATGTCTTCCGTTTGAAGTCCAACAGAAACAGCCGCGTACAACGAATATGAAGTGAGCTTATACTCGTGAATGAAGGCAGGTCTAATCATGTTATTGAGAGATATCTCTTGAAGCGAACGAAGCTCTCACCGGCTGACAGGTTCACTAATCGCTGTGAGGAAATCCTGAGCTTGCTCTGCGATAGGTGAAAACGCCTCCAGAATAATGTGTCCGTCTTCAGGACTGATCCACAGAGGGCGAGAGGCATGGTCGGGCTTCAAGTGAAGCCAGGAAAAGTCTTGCTGCATAAATATGTGGGAAACAAGCTTGTCTTGATTCCGACGATGTATCTCGAGCGAGGACAAGTCCACAGGATCATCACCTGGCCGTCGGGTTTGCGCCAGCTTGCGCGTAAGGGCACTGAAGTTGATGGTCGCACTACGCGGGACTAAGCCGTCGGACGGGTCGTCTGGAGGCGAAGGTGGAATGGCATCTTCCTCATTATAGTCTATTGGAATATCCTCTTGATCTTCCAGGATCCGCGCACGCTTAGCAGGATGGTGAGAGGATCCGGCTAGGGAGTTCAGACAAGTCTCTCATTGGGACTTTGAAGATAATTACCTTCGGCATTGCGTTTCATGGCCATGAAGTGTTACGAAGCGGGTAAGATGATGGTACAGACCATGTCACCGCTGTTCTTGTCGGTCAGCATTGACTCGCGAGGCGTGACACCTGTGATCGTTACAAGTGCTCACGTTTCCTCCTCCCTCCCCCGTCGCACATTTTCTTTTCTTGGTTATAGTCATTCAAGTCCATTCATCATAATGTGGAGACCAGCGACTCGTCAAATTACTGGTACGAATGACGGTGAGTTCTCCCCATCACCTTGCATGCATCCATTTTGTTGATTTTGTCAGTCCCTCTTGGGAATCGCCGCCGTTTTGGCCCTGCGCCCAGCGAGGAGAGTCTTCCACCGCAACTCGCTCAGCCGTCTCCATCTGCCTATCCTCGTCCCCAAGAAAGTCCTAAAAGAGGCCGCGATGACACCCCATCCAACGATCCGAAGGGTACGTCTTTAGCCTGTCCCTAATGACACAGCGACCTCGACCCCACGGGCTTCGTCCCTTCTCTTCTTTGCGACTGTTGTCTATTTTCACATGTCCAGCTCCTCATTCACGCTAACGCTGATATGACACTAATTACGTTTTTATTCTCACTTTTTGCGACATATAGTGGATCCCAATGCACCCCGCAAGCGTCGCAGTCGTTGGGGTGATGCTTCCACGGAGATTCCTGGCCTTCCTACCGCAATCTCCGCTACTGGCGTTTCTCAAGCACAGCTGGACAACTACGCGATCCATCTTCGCTTAGAAGAAATTAACCGAAAGCTGCGGCTGAACGATTATGTTCCACCCGAGCGAGAGCGGTGTGTTTTCACCATCTACTTGGTTCCTCTGTGATTCTCACTTCTCGTTATTACAAGGTCCCCCTCCCCCCCTCCCACGTATGATGCCCACGGTCGCCGAACCAACACGCGAGAAGTGCGGTACCGCAAGAAACTTGAGGATGAACGTATCAAACTTGTCGACCGCGCCATGAAGAATGATCCAAACTTCCGACCTCCGGTCGAATACCATCAGCAAAAGCGCTCGCAGCGACCTTCCGAACGAGTGTACATTCCCGTCAAGGAGTTCCCAGAAATCAATTTCTTTGGGTTGCTGGTGGGACCTCGCGGCAATAGTTTGAAGAAGATGGAGAGAGAAAGCGGAGCCAAGATCAGCATTCGTGGTAAGGGCAGTGTCAAGGAAGGCAAGGCACGACCCGACCAATATGCGGACGATGCTGAAGAGGATCTTCACTGTTTGGTTATCGCGGAAACCGAGGACAAGGTGGTAGCCTGTGTGAAGATGATCAACAGAGTCATTGAGACCGTGTGTGCTTTTCTCATTTCGTGTGATCACAACTGACAGCGAGCAGGCCGCTTCGACGCCCGAAGGTCAGAACGACCACAAGCGCAACCAGCTCCGCGAGCTTGCTGCTCTGAATGGCACTCTCCGCGATGACGAAAATCAAGTGTGCAAGAACTGCGGTGGTGTCGGTCACCGCCAGTACGAGTGCCCAGAGCAGAAAAACTTCACTGCCAACATCGTCTGTCGGGTCTGTGGCAGCGCTGGTCACATGGCACGCGACTGTACCCAGAACAAAGACGCCAACATTTCCAATTTGTCTCAAACCGGTCGTGCTTTTGACTCGGAATATGCCAATCTCATGGCTGAACTCGGCGAAGGCCCCAGTGGAACCCCTACCAATGGCGCACCCCAAGCTTGGTCGGGTGGTGCAACCGATATCACTGGCGGCGGATCGAACATTCCACCCTGGAGACGACCAGAGTCGTGGCAAACCACTAACCAGCCTCAGAACAACGGTTATCGTCCTCCCCAGCCCGGTTATGGCGGTTATGGCGGATACCAGCCAGGGTCTGCTTGGGCAGGTTATAATCAGGGCGGTTACGGTCAACAACAGGGCTATGGCCAACAGGATCAGAGCAACAGCAATTACGCTTCTTACTACCAAGGCCAATATCAGCAAGCCAGCTAATTCATTTGCACTCCTGACCTCTCCTCTTCCGTTCTAACGTTCCGAAACAACCACTAAAACACAGTTGCACTTTCTCACATACTCTCAGCTCGTTCAGGTGTAGTATTTATGTTGGCGTGGTTTTGGCAAGAATGTCGCGGTTTACTTACCAGCCAGCTGACCTTAACAGCCTCGTAGTACGTCTTGTCGTCTGTATTAGAGTGTAAATCATCAAATATCGCAGTAGTGCGTGATTCGAGTCAACGTTCTTGAGTGGCTGTGTCGCCTTTTTATCTTTCTTCGGACTGTCATGGCAAGTCGAGTCCTCAGACCTTTTATTGGGGGGCCGTGCTTATCGTAGCAAAGATCATTCCAGTACGGTGCTTCTCATGCGGGAAAGTCATCGGGGACAAATGGAACACGTATCTGGATTTGCTAGGAAGCGACAGGTCGGAAGGGTTTGTCGATACGTGCCGCGGACGGTTGTTTGTCATTGACCATGCACAGTGATGCTCTCGACGAGCTGCAGCTGAAGCGATACTGCTGCCGGAGGATGGTGTTGACGCATGTGGATCTCATCGAAAAATTGTTACATTACAACCGTACGTTTCTTCGACCTCCCTTTGAACACAATCCCACCTTCTTTCACAGCGATGGAGCGGACAAAGGACAAATCTCAGTACTACCAAACATGACTTTTGCTCTCTCACGATGTGTACTACCAGTTCCGACCTCTTGCATCGACTCGTGTTCAGTGGCGAGAGCGTTTGGCCCATTCTCTTCTGCATTGACACGCCCTGTTGGCGATTGTGCGGTATTGAGCAGACTCGGAGGCACTCGAAGGCACAGGAAAAGCTACGTTGTGTATTCGCAGTGGTGAATGGAAAACTCGCTGTGTCGGATGATCTGCTGCTTTTCGTTGTATGCACTGTGGTCTAGCAAAACTATCAGAAAGCATTCCTCGGACCAAAAAGGAAAGCCCAGGACTCGATCCGGATTCAGCTGAATTCACCAAATTGTCAACTTGTCCTTCTTGTCCAATTGCGTGAAACTATCACCTTCCCTATACTGTTATTCACCCTCTAATCAACGCGAGTCGAGTGAGATACTCAGGGCGAGCATCTGCCACGATGAATGTCGTCATGTTCTTTCGTGCTGTAGTCGTCTTCCAAATCCTGGGAGTTCTCCGGGCTGCCTCGCTGCGCGATCCGACCACAAGGCTAGACATTCAAAGACTTGTTTTAGTCCCTATCATAGGATATCGTGGATTGGCGGCGAAGGAGGTTTTGGATGAGACACAGGTGTGTATGGCCGTTCAGTAATGCTCTCCGGTGCGATGTCTTGCTCCTTAGATTCTCGAGGAACATGTTAGTCGGGCCACCGGACGACTCCGAATGATGTTAGGCTCCCGTGAATCCGCTATTGTCACTGCAAGACACCGATTTCAGCGGTCCTCCCAATCGTTCTCGCCTTGGACACGTAGAAATCCGGACGTACTCCGCATGGCGAATCCCAGTACGGTTCACGTGGACCATGATCTCAAGTCCGCAACTGCGGGCGATGACCCCCCTGCAAGAGAATCGGACTCTGAGGTCACTCCAGCTCAGGGGACTGTTTACCCCCACAGCGCGGGACTGAATATTGAGTACGAATGAGTTCATTCTGTGCGGTATTTTTCCATGCAATACTGAGATAATCAGAGGAACAGATATTGGCTGTCAGTTTCCCCTTATGAGTGTTCACTTATGACTGATGACTCTGGTAGATCTGACAGGTGTGGAAATCGGAACACCTCCTCGACGATTTCTCATGCTTGTGGACTCGGGCTCGGCCGACATGTGGGTTGGCGCACAGAATTGCCACGGGGACGGTGGAGAAACCTGTGTGGGTGAAGCATTTTCTGGTAGCGTGGTGAATGATTGGTCGGTCAGGGCGATCATCCATACCTTGGACCCGAATCAAGCTCGTCTTTTTCTGATAGTGGTCGGCCCTGGGGAATCAGTTATGGCACTGGCTACGTGTCCGGAACGCTTGTAACAGACAATCTCAACTTTGCGGGATTTGAATTGCGCAATCACACATTCGGTGTGGCTTCAAACGAGAGCAGTACTTTCACAGTGTGGGTTCTCATGCCTGTGAGTGCGTGTAATCAATTCAACTGACTACAGACATGACAATCCCATGGATGGAGTCCTCGGATTCGCGCAACAGGTGCGCGCGGATTTTGTGGGTCCTGGAAGGATTATCCATCCACCGTCCAGAGACTATCTACGCAAGATACCCCGACATTCATCAGTTCTCTATATACCCAGGGTCTGATTGAGAAGCGGATCGTTTCGTTCAGGTTACCTCGCCTGTCGGACAATGCAAATGACGGAGAAGTAACAATCGGTGAGCCGTCAAACAGTCCAGAACCTGGAGCAGGATCGTTCCTGATGTCTATTGCAGGAGGAATGGATCCGACCAAGTACCAGCCGTTGTCGATGGCTTGTGTTGCGAACGTGAACCAAGCAGGATTTTGGGAAGCTTCGCTGGACATGATTCGAGTAGGGCTTTCATCGAATTCTCTGCCAGCGACACGTCGAGCAATGTGACTTCAGATCCATGGAAAGGATGCCAAATTGACTGGGAGGAACTGCATATTCGATACAGGCACAGTCAGTGAAATCTTTAACCGCCCGAGGTTTATTGACACGTTGCAGACGTTACTGATTGCCCCCAAGAATGTATTTCCTTTGATAAATTGCTTGCCTTGGCATGGAAATAACTCAACTCCATAGGATGTGGATGCCATTCATGCCCTGATTCCAGATGCTCGGGCTTCGGCAAACGGTTGGACGGTTCCCTGTAATACGACTGTGACGATCTCGCTTCAATTCGGCGGCAAAGATTTCACGATGACTCCTCGAGACATAGCATTCTCGCCGGTCAACTCTTCCAAACCCGATGGCATGTGTTCATCTGCCATCGCACCCGGCGGTGTAAGCGAAGGACCAACGCATTGGCTGGCCAGTTTCAATCCAGACAACTTCCTGTTCTCACCGATCTAATCTACACATAGGTTGGCGACGCATTTCTCAAAAACGTGTATCTTAGTGTAGACGAGGACAGAAATCAGATCTGCCTAGCAGTGCCGGCAGCTTAGAGTGAGGATTGTATCATATCACAAACTACTAAATGACCATCCTATCATTTTCTTTTCGAGTGTTGTCCCGTCATTCCCATCTCAAGTCTAAACCATTCTCTCATCGAAAGTTTTTCAACAGCTTCCAAAAGTGGTTTGATATCCTCGACCTCCTGTAGGCCCGGCTTCTGGTGCGGGAAACAAGAGGTGAATGACGCCGGCAAGGCTTCCGTGGCGACGTGATGAAAGTCGAGATACCTAAGACCTACCTTCCGGTGCTCGAAAGAGACTTTCAGAGGGGAAAAGAACCAGACGTACTTCGCACTCGATCCAGAAAATCCGCGATTCCTGTTTTGGAACCCTCGAACAAAAGAACGCCTGGCCTACCACTCTGCATCTAATGAGTAAAACAGTCGCAACGGAAGTCTCCGAGTAACCTTGACCAATCCCAATACGTCTGCGTTTAGAGCATGATGCTGTAGTCGACGGAATTTGGTCCGACTTCTGATGTCTGCATTCTGTCGGAACTCATTCCCGGTAGGAGAGCTGTGGTGATTCTCACGATGCATCCGCGCAATGGAGATGTAGACTTGTCCTGGATTGTGCATCTAGCCAGTCCATGGAAAGTTATACGACACGGTACAAGTGAAACCGAACCGGCAACCTGAAGAGGGCCGTGACATTCACGCATCGTCACGCGTCAAGACGCGTCCGACTGATCACATCACGCCGGTGATTCCATGAGGTGAGGTCATGCATTGCGCGCTCTTTCTCAATCCGCTTCATCGTCGTCCATTCTTATCTGCCTCTCTGCTGCACATCCGTAGAATGTCTCTGAAAACTCTTGGTGTACTACCGGCCTCTGATCTCAAGGATGGTCAAATGTACGAGCGACGATCCTTGACTCTCCGAGACGATCGCTCTAATGGCCATACTCTGCAGGAAGGAGGTTGCGTTCGGAGACGGAAGGGTCCTGCTCTCCAGGCTCGGGGATAAGATTCATGCTACCTCTGCATTCTGCACTCACTACGGAGCTCCCCTTGCGAAAGGTGTGCTGGCTGCGGATGGCCGGGTTGTTTGGTTCGTCTCAGGGTCTCCCCCTCTCGATTTACTAATCATCGCCTACGAAGCCCCTGGCATGGAGGTACTTAGTCATACTGCAACTCTTCACGGGCCCATCTAACAGAGTGACAGCTTGCTTTAACGTGTGCACCGGAGATATCGGTTCGGCTCGCACATTTGCCCCGGTCCTCGTGTGAGTATTGACTAATGCCTGACAGAGGAAGCGCCTGCCCCCAATGCGCTGCATTCTTTCCAAGCCAAGATCGTCGATGACCAGATTTTTGTTACGGCTGACCCGTCTGCGACGCTCAAGGACAACCTAGCCCGACCTCCGAAGCTCTCTACCAGTGGGAACACGGCCGGGGACGGAGTTGTTATCGTCGGCGGTGGATCGGCAACGTTCCATGCGATCGAAAGTCTGAGAGAGGCTAGACTTGTCTCTGCTACGACAGATCACTTCTGACTACCTCGCCAGAACGGATTCAAAGGCCCGATCACCATACTGACCAAAGAACGGCACACTCCGATCGACCGGTGATGTTCTCTCTCTCGAGTGGCTCTCTCAATTAACCTCGAATAGAACAAAATTAAGCAAAGCATTGATCACCGATGCGTCCAAGATCGAATACCGCAGTGCAGCTGATCTCAAAATCAAGTATGGCACCAACATTCGTGTCGGTGTGGTGAGTGTTGGCAATATTCCTGACGAAAGGATGTTAAGGTCGTCTCAGACGGCGACATCGATCAACTTTGAGAAGAAACAAGTCATCCTGGAGGGGGGCAAGGATACTGTGAGCTACGAGAAGCTCATCTTGGCACCAGGAGGAGTCCCTCGCAGACTGCCCATTCCAGGCGCTGAGCTGTCGAATGTATTCACTCTTCGCAGTGTCGAGGACACGAAGAAAATCGACGCTGCTGCACAAGAGGGCAAACGCTTGGTCGTCATCGGATCCTCCTTCATCAGCATGGAACTTGTTGCTGCCGTCGCGAAAAGGAAATTGACGTCTATCGATGTCATCGGGATGGAGGAGTACCCATTCGAAGTCGTTCTGGGCAAGGAAGTCGGGAAGGCTTTACAGAAGGTGCTTTCTTAGCGTTCAACACAGTTCGTGCTGAGCGGTGCTGAAATCTTTTCAGATTCACGAAGCGAACGGCGTCAAGTTTCACATGGGAGCCAAGGTCGACAAGATAGTGGCCAACGAAAGCGACGAATCGATTGCTACTTCAGTCGTCGTCAACGGGGAAACGCTTCCGTGTGACTTCGTTGTCATGGGTGTTGGTGTTGCTCCTGCGACGCAATTCCTCAAGGATAGCGGCATGACTTTGGAGAAGGATGGCGGGCTCAAGGTTGACGAATATCTGGCTGTGCCCGGTTATCCTGATGTCTACGCTGCGGGTATGCCATGTTCTTTTCACCACAGAAGGTGAAGATGACATTTCTCTAGGTGACATCGTCCACTACCCGATGGCGGCTGCTGGAGAACACAAGCGAATCGAGCACTGGAATGTACGTTGGCCAAGGCTGTTTCTGTTTCTTCCGCGAACTGTTTTAGGTTGCTGGGAACCACGGCCGAGCTATCGGCAAAACTATCTCGGGCGTGTCCGAGCCCTTTAACCTGGTTCCCATCTTTTGGAGCGCTCGTGCGTCGTCCAATGTCTCCTCGGCTTGCTGATCCGCGAACACGCAACCCTAGAGGGCCAACAACTTCGCTACTGTGGTGTCGGTGCAGGATTCGACGATGTATTCATCAAAGGAGATCTTGAAAAGTATCAGGTAAGTGCCAACATGTCTCAAGGACCCTCCTCAACCCATTTTCGCGCAGTTCATCGCGTACTACATCAAGCAAGGCAAGGTCGTTGCAGTTGCCACGTAGGCTGAGTTCTGCTACCTTTGTGGAGTGTCGATGTACCGACCCTCCTTTAGTATGGGAAGCGACCCCGTCGTCAGCGCTAGTGCAGAGCTCATCAGACTAGGACTCATGCCGTCGGCAGAGGAAATCAAGGCCGGAAAAGTGAGTCATTGAACCCCAAGTTGGATGCTGCTGACTTGGATTGTTCAAGGACCCTCTTTCCGTGGACATCTCTACTATTAGCGCGTTGAAAAAGTAGTTTCGCACGAATAAACCAATGTACAGTGTAAAAACGCGCGCAGTCGCGAGGCTCACGTGATCGCGTCACCACAAGCTGACGATCAGCGCACGGAACCTGAGGATGTAAGCCAAGATACAAGCCCCATTCATTCCTGAAACATTCACTTGTCGTGAGAGAATCCAGACCACTGCGAGCTGTCTGTCGCTGACATCACGTCCAGCGGCCACCCAGTATTTTTCAAATCGGGCAGTGTCAAGTCAGTAAACCAGCGTGCTTGAGTGCCGAAAGGAAACCCGAAAGCGACTGCAGATACATATGTAGCTGCCAAAGATGCGCACTCACGAAGCACTGCAGTCACTAGGAGATTGCGCATTGGGTTCCACACAAGGCACAAAGTCCATGAGACATTGAAGGTACTGGAGTGTACCTTCAGAAAAACATAGACGATACCAAGGGTGCTTCTGTAGAAAGTCTTTGAGTAGGTCTATCAGGCATCCAAAAACAGAAGGCGCTGAAGAGGTCACCAGAAGGCTGGAAAGCTATGATGATCAACTGGAGCTTGGGCTGGTAAACAGGACCAAATATTACAAGGCCAGGGAGCTCTCCTCCCAGCCTGCCGCAAACCGATACGTCCTCTCTCAAACTGTACAGACGATGCAGGTCGCCATGGCTCCTGCCATGCTCTCTCAGTATCATCTCAGCTCAGCCGCGGCACAGGTCCTCCCCACCCCGCCGGTGGCTACACGCAAGCGAAAGCGCGCCCACCAGTATACCGTCAGCTACAGCGAGGTGCAAGAGGTTGATAGCGACGGTCGACTGCGCGAAGTCCTCGTCATCGAGGACACTCCCCCTCCCCCTTCCACCATGTCCCCCTCAGTTACCAATAACGTCTTTTCTGCCGCTTCTTATCAACCTCCAGCCTACTCCGCACCTATCAGGACACGAGCAAGGGCCGCCGCGGAAGCTCAAGCGCTGTCCGGCAGCTCTTCATCTGCCATCGTTGTTCCTCCAGCGAAGAAACGCAAGCGAGACCCGGCCGAGGAGGTCCGTGCTCAGGCGCCAAAGAAGGTCGCTGTCAGTGGCCCCCAGTCACAGGTAGCCGCAGCGACCAAATCCTGGGAGAGCCGAAGCGGCGCGACGGACGATGTATGTTTCAATCCTTTCTGTGCGTTGCTCTATTTAGACCCAATCACCCAGACGTCAAAGGGTCCTGTTTCCTGCGACGACAAGGAAGGGCACTATATCATCGTCCCAGATGACATGATCTATCGCCGTTGTATGCTCTCTCTTGTCATGGATCTCTCGATTCAAAGCTCAGTTCCGCATAGATAGAACTGTTCGGTTGCTGGGTCAAGGGACTTTCGGCAAAGTCGTCGAAGCTGTGGATACTCAGACTGATGCCCGGGTTGCTATCAAAATCATACGGGCGATCCCCAAGTATCGAGACGCTAGCAAGATCGAAGTGCGGGTACTCAACAAATTGAAGGAGCGCGATCCTTTGAATCGACAGTGGGTAGTCTTCGACTCCTCCGATGGTTTGTCTGAACCAGTCTCGAATAGCAAATGCATTCACCTGCTCCATTGGTTCGATCATCGAAACCATATCTGCCTAGTATCCGAGCTCCTCGGGATGTGCTTGTATGATTTCTTGAAGGAGAATGACTTCGCGCCGTTTCCTCGGCAGCACATACAATCTTTTGCACGCCAACTGCTGGGCAGTGTTGCTTGTGCGTTCCATTTTGATTTGTGTGCTGTTTAGTGACGCCGACCTCAGTTTTGCACGATTTGCATCTCATCCATACCGACCTAAAGCCCGAAAATATTCTGCTCGTTCATAACGACTACAAGACAGTTCACGTCCCTGTTCCTGGCAAGGTGCTTCTTCTCTCGAAGTGCTTGGACTTGTCTGACATGAAGCAGCGCAACGCGCCGCCGAAGATGAAGCGCATCCTGCACTCGACGGATATCCGATTAATTGACTTCGGGTCTGCCACGTTTGAGAACGAATACCACTCTACCGTTGTGTGCACAAGACATTATCGGGCTCCCGAGATCATTCTGGGTCAGTCTGCTTACATCTCCCATCGTTCTCGACTGACGATCTCTGAGGCCTCGGCTGGTCCTACCCTTGTGATGCTTACTCCCTCGGATGCATTTTGGTCGAATTTTTCACGGGAATGGCACTCTTCCAGACTCACGATAATCTGGAACACCTGGCCATGATGGAAATGGTGATGGGCAGGATGTCCGATCGATTTGCTCGTGCAGGTGCTCGATCCAAGCCCGAATTTTTCAAGGACGGCGCCAAACTCGATTGGCCAAAAGCGAAAGCGTCTCGGCAAAGCAAGAAGGACGTTCGGTCTACCCGCAGCCTACAAGAAGTAATCCCGAACAGCGACGCTGTCGGCCGCCAGTTCTTCAACCTGGTTAAGGGATTGCTGGCGTTCGACCCTGCGGAACGGCTGACTGTCAGAGAGGCTCTCAGTCATCCCTATTTCTCTCTCATCATCCCAAACGAAATCTGAGTTGTACGCCAAGCTTTGGATATTCTTTGTTCGACCTGGATCGTTTACGGACAGGCCTGTTTTACTACCTCCTGCACAGCACCCCAACTGTACTCTATCTCACACATCTCGTGGCCCTTATTCTGGGTGAACGTATTATATCTATGGCTCATGTATCAACGAAAGGAAAAATTAAATATTCTAGAAATTTTTGACATGTGTGACGGATTGATCATGTGCAGTGACATGCGCGTTCCACTATCGCGGATGTTCCCCTCTCGTCCCACTGCATCCTGTACCTTCCAATGTCGACGAACAAACCCGTGTCTTACGGAAGCCCTTTTTGGAAAGGAAAAGGCAAAGCTGGTGATGAGAGCGACCTCAATCCCACCATCACGTACAAGTCACTCCTTTCCAAGACTCTCGGCTCCAAGGATCCTCTCCGCGTAATTGCTCTGTGCGACAGCGATGCATTCTATGCCGCGTGCGAGATGATACGTCTCGGGGTCCCGGACAAACCCCTTGTTGTCCTGCAGTGGCAGTCGCTCATTGCAGTCAATTATCCCGCCCGCAAGTTCGGAATCACCCGGGTGCGAACGACGCGTTACGCAGGCCCCGTGTCTTACTCTATGTACAGATGATGAAAATACAAGAAGCGCAGGAACGCTGTCCAGATCTCATTGTTGTCCACGTTGCTACCTATAAAGAGGGCGACCAGGAACCCCAGTACCGAGATTCCCCAGATTCGAGGACTCATAAGGTCCGTATAGTTGATTGTCACGCCTCAATGTATGAATATCTGTCCAGGTGTCGCTCGATTTATATAGGAGAGAATCAGTCAAGATGTTGCGTTCGTATCTTAGTTGTACCTGGGAGTGTTGACTGCTCTGAGCCGCGGACAGAGATGTATAAGAATGGCCTACCCGGAAGCGCTGAAGTGGGTGCGTAACTTGTTAATCATTCCACTTTATGGAACTGACTGCCGGCAGAGAAAGCCAGCATCGATGAGGCGTTCATAGATCTCACGCAGCCCGTCAGGGAGATCATGATCGAACGATACCCATATCTTACCCATGTACCCAACGACGCGCCGCTTGGTGCTGATACACCACTTCCTCAACCGCCTCAAACTTCCTGGCACGAAAGTACGATCATATCTCCGAACGATGAAGCTTCGGTCGAGATGCCAACCACCTGGCATGACATCGCGCTCTCCATCGGTGCAGAGTGTATGCAGCGAGTACGGGAACAAATTCTTAATACGCTGGGCTACACCACTTCCGCTGTACGTGACATCAGAGACTTGTTGGTGTAAAGACTACGACCGAACGACTAGGGAATCGCGAGGAACAAGTTTTTAGCCAAGGTGAAGGGTGCCTCCAGTACGGCGCCACTCAACACACTGATGCACACTACAGCTTTGTGCTTCGCATAGAAAGCCGATGGGCCAGTCTGTTCTCAGGAACGCGGCCATTCCTGCATATCTTCAACCTTTGGAATTCAGACGGGTACGAGTTTCGGTTTCTCAGTCTAAGATATAGCCTGCTTCTCAGCTTTGTGCAGATCCGATTCTTGGGAGGCAAACTTGGAGACGCTCTGGCCGATGTGTACGATGTGTCCACAGTGGCTGATCTTTTGCAAGTGATCATCGCGCGCCCCTTTTGCAATCTAATCTTCCCCTAGATCTATAAGTCTAGGTGAGATTATCACAAACATTTCGTGTGCCATTGACTGGTTTAGACGAAATGCAGATGAAATTTGGAGAGGAGTCTATTTGGATATACAATGTGCTTAGGTACCATTACTGCTTCTTCCTCGTGTGTTGATAACTGACATTCATGAGGGGGATTGACTATACAGAAGGCAAACTGCCAATCTCCCTACGCGGCAGGTAGTTGCTCACGATCTGATATAGTCAAAGAAAAGCAAGCGCTCATGAAAAGTATGTTGGCGTCCAAGAACTTACCGCATCCGGTGACCCAATTGGCCGACGGTTATCCCTGGATTCGAGTCCTTGCAGCAGAATTGGCCCTCCGACTGATTGAGGCTCGTACGACCGCACCCAATATGTGGCCGAAAACCCTTGTCATGGGTGCCCGGAATTCAAGATGTAAGCCTTTGTCCAGTCAAATCTTGACATATAGTTGATGACCGGAAGCTCCGGATGGACGAAATAGATCTAAACAAGCCCCGTGGCCGTTTATTCGCGACATTACTGTCGATGCGATTGCTGCAGTCGCGGACAGACTCTGGAAGGAGCTCATTGATCCCACCGTCCCATTCGAGATCATCGGGGTGTCTCTTGCATTTTCAGGGATTGAAGCTGTCGAAGCTGGCCTCAAGAGCATAGATGGATTTTTCAAGGGCCACTCGTTAAAACGACCATTCGAAGGGGAGCCACTCGAATGCGACAATGTCCCCGACGTCGAGTCAAAATCGAGCAGGAATATATCGAAAGATTCTTCCACATTTGTTTGTGGCAGATGTGGCCACCGTACAGTTCTGACTCCATCAGCTACACGGACAGAAACGGAGCGTCAAGCCGCGCTTGATCTGATACAGATGGAGCACGACGACTTCCACCTCGCTCTGAATCTGTCCAAGCTTTCTGGTGAACAGTCATCCGCGCGATCTGAACCACCCAAGAAGAAGCAGAAGAAGAAAAAGGATCTCCCCCAAGGGATTGCTCGGTTCTTCCAATCACAGTCCAAATCACTGTAGACTAGTTACTCAGAGTTGCCCATCAGCCAGAACTGAGAGGACATATGTGCAACAATGCTGTGCTGTGATGAGACGTCAAGCTCCAGGTTCAGTATCAAACGTTTACATAAAGGGTGTTGCGGCCAAGCGCGGATCCAGCGTAGCCGAGCAAGGTCACCTAAACTCTTCGTTTTCTTTCCGCCGGCTTGCTTTTCGTTTCTTCTTTTCTCTTCTATTTTTCTTTTCCCTGTGCAGGCTCGGGCTATTATTTTCAATCACAAGGACCGCAGGCGCTGGAGGCCCTCTAATTATCAAATTTTTCATTCACCATCGGCACCATGTCGAGTCCGCCCGACTTGCACCAATTCCTTCGCTTCACATCTCAAGAGATCCCAGGAGCTGTGGTACGTATATCGCCCTGCTCCGCCTGCTCTGCCGATACTCAGGTCCAAGGATAGCTCGTGAATGCAATCGCTGTCCTTTCGACTTTAGGCCTACTTACTGTCGCTTTTCGCGTCATATGGCTTGCCCTCCGACGCTATTTCTCGTCTGACTCGGACTCTCAGTCCCGCGAATACGTGTTCTTCAATACAGTGCTCGGCAACTACGCTGCCTGTCTACTCATCTCGAATGTGCTAAGCGGAGTGGCGGGAATGATGGGGCTCGGCCAGCTCGCGCAAGGAGGGATCGAAGAGGGGGCCTACTGCACTGCTCAAGGTATGTGGCTATCTTGGATGCATGGATCCGTTCGTTCAAGCCGTCCAGCCATCGTGATGCAGATCAGTAACATTGGAATCGCGTACTTCACTGTGGCAATCGGTTTCCATACCTTCAACTCGCTCGTGCTCGCAAAACGGCAATCTGTGCTTATTTGCGCACTGACCATCACCACCGGGTGGACGCTCGCGGCCGTGATCGGTATGTGCATATGCAGATCGTCGTTCAGGCCATTGATAGGATCTACCCAGCCGTCGTTCCTATGCTCAACGAGAATCCCGAGTTTGGCCCCACATACGGCATCTCGGGCTTGAGTTGCAATATCCGGCCAGTGTACAACCATCGACTCTTCTTCTATCATCTGCTCCCAGTGGGTCGCTCGTGTTTCACCTCCAGTGCAAGTCGTTGACATGCTAATAGATCTTTATCGCGTCTATAGCATCTGCGTTGCTTTATTCGATCAGCTTCTTGGTCTTGCGAGGAACACTTGTGATACGAGGTGGATTGAAGCTGACCCTTGATCCGAATGAGCGCTGGGCGGGCAATGTCAAGAATTACCACAAGTTCGTGGCAGGTATCTCCCGGAGCATGTTGTGGTGAGTGGTCATGCCATTACAAGTATCCGTTGATTCCAAGCGAGCGTAGGTTTCCCATCGGCGAGTACCAGTGGTGCATGCATCGAACGCCAGATCTGACCTGATTCTGACAGCCTATGTCGTGCTGCTAGTGCCGTATTCGATCACACGGCTGATGGATTTGTCCGACCAGTCCTGCCCATTCCCGCTACTAGTCACTGCATACGTGTTTTGGTTCTTGCTCGGTACGCTGCAGTTTGTTGTCGTGAACGGCATCTGACGACTCACCAACAGGTGTGGCCAACGTGATCACGCTTTACAACACTTTCCGGGTGCTTGGCCCAGCGATTTCGAAGGGATCCGGGGGTGAGAAGGATGCCGAGTCCAGTGCAAGCCGGTCTGGTTCGCACATTCTTCCTCCGATGATTGCTGTTGGAGAAGCCGACTACACTCTACGACCGTCGATGACATCTTCCATGTCGGAGAAAGTATCCCGGCCCAATTCGATCGACAGCTTCATCCAGGTTCAGCCTGCTCCATCGGAGGATTCGGCCAGACCATTTCAGTTGCAGCCGCCACCGTTGTTATCAGCTCGGATACAGCCCCGGAGAGAAGAAATATTCGACCAGGTGCCTCGAAGCCACAGTCGTAACTCCAGTTATTCTCGGACTCACTCGCGAAATGGAAGTGACATGTCCGCCACAACTCCGAGTTTCTACAGCTATGGGACAACGCTTTCGGTTGACGCGCCTTCTCGACCGAAAGCGCGTGCTTCCAAGTTGTACAACGAGCCTCTCACCCCGAACCGATTGCCTCGGAGCACTCCGCCTCCGATGATGCCTCCTAGCCAGGGTCTTCCCGCTCCACCACGTCCGTCAAAGCGCCCTACCAGGCGCCAGGAGCCCAGCACCCCTCAGCTTGCTTCATCGGGATACATGCCAAATGGACTCATCAGCGCAGTTGGCTCCGAGTATCAAGTACCCCCGATTCCAACCGACGTCCAACCTAATGCTTCCGAGATATTCCGCAGCCAGTCAGTCCAGAGCTACAATGTGCTTCGCAGCGAGGCGAACCGCCCAAGAGGAAACTCGGAACCAAAGCGGGCATGATGCCGCCGGCCCACCCTCTTTACTTTCCTTCACTTGTATGTAGCCGTCAAGTATGATAGCAAGCTATCTGTTTTGTCTAGGAAAACCTTGTCATCAGCAATGAGACAACGCGTCAATCACGTGAGCGCGACAAACTCATTCTCAAACCCGCACCGTCATGGCTAGTAGCCGCTGGTCCACCTTTTGGCGGCGCACCGGGGATGCTTTCCAGAACCAGACTCGTCGGAGTAATTCCCTCTTTCCTCCCCATCCGCTGAGCTGTCTGAGTCGTCAACCTGACAGTCGTTCGCATGGAAGGCGCGGATATTCCTAGCCGCGCACCCCGGACTCTGTACACATTCAACACCCCAAGAGACGCTACCGAAGTTGTAGTCGGATCTGACGCCGACATCGGAGGCTACTCGACCGTCAACTTTTCTCTGGACACGAGCAGCGAGAGTGAGAGTGTTGGGCGACCAACGGGCAAGTTTTCGGGCAATTTGAAGCTGGATGTGCTCCCCCACTTGCGTGGACGGATCATCGCTGGCTACGCCGGATTCAAAACCCCCGTAAGTTGCTGATTGGCTTGCAGTAGAGAATCGGGAACCTGACCTGACTAGGTGAGGCAAACTCTGTTTGGGAAGACCACAGACAACGTCTACTTCCACGAGTATCTAGCTTTGCGTGTCCGAGCTGCGGGGGATCCCGTACTGCATAAATCTTTCTATGTCAATGTTCAGACGCTGGATACCATGGCTCAAAAAACGGTCTGGCAGCAACCATTGCGATTCCGCAGACGAGATAACGACTGGGAGACTGTCTACGTGCGCCATGTACCTGCGCTGTGCGAGATGTGTACTGATGGAACGTACCCAGTTGCCTTTCTCTGACTTCGAAGCTTTCACCGCCGGAGAGCCGGCCGAATACGACGAATCAATAGACAAGGAGAATATCTTGACTGTCGGTATTTCTGTCCTCGGAGGGAAGGAACACATCGGCGGCCCGTATGAGCTAGGTATTGACTCCGTATTTGTGGCGAACAAAGAGGACATTCCTCCTGAAAGCTTGAAACCACACGGTATGACGGCCAATCGTATCAGCGCGCCGTTTTCGAAGCTGACTATGGGCGTCAGATGAACTGGCAGAGTTGGATCCGTACGCGGAAGACCCGGATCCGGAGACCTTGCCCACGAGAAGTGCGACATAGTTGGATGCTTTGCACCTCTACACCGTGCGTATTGAACGTACCATGTACTCAGCACCCAAACTTGACGAGGCTTCGTCCAGTAGACCGAAAAGGCCACAAAAATACAACACAACTTTATTCCTTCTCTACAATACTTACATTCACTGCAGGGGGACTTAATTTTTTTCCGTGGAAAATGCGTGACAATCTAGAAGTCCGATTTTCACCGTTCTGTTTTCAGACAAAAATATATATTGAAAATAGACGTCGATTTACAGCTCGATTTTTACCATGAATAGACATCTATTCCTCCCGAAAACAGAACTGTAAATAGATCATCTTTTTCTTGATCGATTCCCACCGGGAATAGACGTCGATTTTCACTGAAAATAGAGACAAAGAAAAGATGATCTTTTTTCACTGAAAACAGATTAAAACCACTGGAAGAATCTGTTGATTCTGGCCCCAATTCACATCACAAGTCCTGCAGCATGATTCCAACATGTTGTGAGTAGCATCCAGTAGCCTTTTGCAAGGCTAGGGATGCAAATTGGGGCCAGAATCAACAGATTCTTCCAGTGGTTTTAATCTGTTTTCAGTGAAAAAAGATCATCTTTTCTTTGTCTCTATTTTCAGTGAAAATCGACGTCTATTCCCGGTGGGAATCGATCAAGAAAAAGATGATCTATTTACAGTTCTGTTTTCGGGAGGAATAGATGTCTATTCATGGTAAAAATCGAGCTGTAAATCGACGTCTATTTTCAATATATATTTTTTGTCTGAAAACAGAACGGTGAAAATCGGACTTCTAGATTGTCACGCATTTTCCACGGAAAAAAATAAGCCCCCCCGCAGTGATTGTGCTTGAAATGGTAACAGAACAATCCACGGTCATCATCAGTCATGTGAGTCGTAATAAGCAATAAAAATCAGAGTATGACGCAGCCACCACCACAACATTTGCTCGAATGCTGCTCCTGCTCGAGACCATAGACGGGGGCGGGATTGCTACTTTGCAGTGCGTTGATCTGCTGATTCTGGGTAACGACAGTCGGTATCAAAATGCGGGATGGCAGCAGGCGAGAGCGATACTCACCCGGTTGTATCTCCGGATTTCACGGACCAGATTCAGGAAAGCGTCGTCCACGTTGATTCGTTGCTTGGCGGACGTCTCCATAAATATGCAGTCGTACTGTCGAGCCAAGTCGCGTCCCTCTGCGATAGCTGAGACTAGAGCGGATTTTGGGCAGCGGGGCTCATACCGTTCATGCTGACCTGTCGTTCGTACTCCAAATCACATTTGTTCGCAACGAGAATGACAGGAGCTCGATCGACATCTTTCACGCGCAGAATCTGCTGGTGAAAGTCCTTCACAGCCTCGAAAGACACACGCGAAGCGATTGAGTAGACGAGCAGGAAGCCTTCCCCTGACAGCATGTACTGCTCGCGCATAGCCCTGTCAAGTCATCCTGTCAACACACAGCTCCGCAAGGACGACCGTCAGGGAACACATGCCTGTACCCCTCTTGCCCTGAACAAGGGCACGGATGAGCAAGGTCAAAGATTGAAGGCCACACGCACCAGCAGTGTCAAGCAATTCCAACCAAGCAATCTCATCGTCCACCACACATTGCTTGCGGTACGAATCCTCGATGGTCGGGTCGTATTCAGTCAAGAATTGACCTTGAACGAACTGGATGGTTAATGCCGACTTGCCGACACCTGGAAGATTTGGGCATTCATAGGGCTATCCAGATAGGAGGAAGAGTACCTCCATCACCAACGACGACCAGCTTATATTCTCGGAAGAATTGTGTCTGTTCTCCAACGGCTTGTCAGGGCTAATGAAAGGGAGCTGCAGTCTGCATACACGGTGGCTCATTGGGAAAGAAAGGCGGGAGCGACCAAGAAAGTACAAGGAAACGAAAAGCAAGCGCGAGAGTTGAGAGGAGGGGGCACTATATAGGAACTGTCACTGGCAGCTGGCAGATTAGATTATCAATGACTACACGGTACACCTCCTTACGAATCAGACTGAGGACAGTCGCTGTGCAGATGGCTTTCCGACATCTGAGCTCCTAGGGAAGATGGATAGATGGATAGATGGAAGGACTAGTATGATCGGAAGGTGAATGTTATGCTATGTACTATTCGAGGTCGAGATGCTTATATTGCTATGTAGGTGGCAACTGCTTTGGGGCAGGTGCAGATAGAATCGACTCCGATAGTATATACAATGCAGAAAACGTAGTGAATGTGAAGAAAGAGGCAGCTATAACCTCTAAATGAGGGGGATATGATAGAGAATGCGAGATAAAAGTGCCCAGGACGAGTTGAACGAATCCATGAAGAAAAGTCTATCTGCCAGTTCACAGTACGACACAGCAGCAGCCCGATTCTTCGCTGTCTCCTTGCAAGGGTTGACCTCCGTAACTACCATTGGCGCCAGCCGGCCCGCCCATTGTGGGCCTTCCCGAAGCTTGTTCCTAGAGGGAGGTGAGTGCGTGCATGCTCTGATCATGTTAGAGGACGTACCTTGTTGAACCTCCGAATCTCGCGCACAAGATTGGTGAATGCTTCGTCGACGTTGATGCGCTGTTTTGCAGAAGTCTCGATGAATTTGCAGTTGAAATGCTTCGCCAAATCTCGGCCCTCTTCATAATTCGTCAGCTGACTACATTCTTCAGTAGCTTTTGAGGACTGACCATTCATGCCGACTTGACGCTCGTATTCGAGATCGCATTTGTTGGCCACGACAATCACTGGGAAGCTGTCCATATCCTTGACTCGAAGGATTTGTTGATGATAGGTGCTAATCTCTTCAAACGAGTCCCGAGATGTGATGGAGTAAACGAGCAAGAACCCCTCGCCAGTGCGCATGTACTGTTCTCGCATCGCACTGTACGCATCATGAGATGGAACTTCAACATTCATCAGGCGAAACTCACCCGTATTCCTCTTGACCGGCGGTATCCAAAACGTCTAGCAACGCGACTTCCTCATCTATGACACACTGCTTGCGGTACGAATCTATGCAAAGTTTGAATCCAAAGCTTGAGCGAACGCGAGTCGGCGCACCTTCTATGGTAGGATCGTACTCGTCGACGAAATGCTCTGCGGAACGGTCTTAGAATGTATCGAGGGCGGGTAAAATGTGTTACCTTGAATGAACTGAATCGTCAAGGCAGACTTTCCGACACCTGTTTACGTAGGAGCATGAACAACCGTCGAGGAGTTTGGTCATGCAAGTATGGGAATACCCACCACCGCCACCAACGACGACAAGCTTGTACTCTCTCAAAAATTGAGCCTGCTGAGTCATCAGGAAAACAACTACCGAGCTGTGTCATTGCAGGAGCATACCCTAGAAGCCATGGCGAAAGATTGAGTTGGAGAAGGAAAAGGCGGGAGAAGAAGAAGCGCGTGGTCAGATAGAGACCAGTCTCAAGTGCGGCGAGGGGGCTGTCACCGTCACTGTGACGATTGATATGGGCGTGCGAAAATGATCGGCCAGTCTTGCCTATGGCTCCTTCAATAACCCTGTCCTTGTGTTTCCAAGTACTATCGTTTCTCTGACCTTCATATCTTTATCTTGTTGTCCTATCTCCTCGTCTGCTTGGGTAAGCCGCCAGTTGCTGAGCGCAATATCTTCTTCCGCAGCACATATCGACGGAATTTACCATGGGATCATGATTCTGCAGCTTCAGCCGCATTGTAGGCACCGGCGCACGGTGGCAACCATTTCTCGATGACACAGGCGGGTCTCTTCTGACGTATCATTCTGTTGCCCTTGATTCACCCTGCGTGCCTGTTGCGCTTTCTCTTCTGATCTGTTTGGGCCTAATATTTTGAGCCTCACACAGCACCATATAGAGGGCGGGGATCTCATTGGGGATGACTGCTTTCTGACTTGTCGTCGTCGATATCGTGTTTAGATCTTGCGCCTCTCAGTTTCATTCGTTTTTGGCACTTTCCAGTGGTTCACGATCACGTGTGCGTGTGTATCGCTTTCCCACGTGATCTGATCTGCACCGCTTTTTTACTACTTTGATGCTTGATCATCATGTCCTCTCCCTCCAACTACCTACCCAAGGCCGAATATGCTCTGCTCGAGCGATCACTCCTTCTAGGGAGTTGGGATACGTCAATAGACAGCTCCTCGATCTCTGATCTCGCAAAATCATGTGTTCAAGGTCACTTCTCTGTTGTGCTGCGTCACTCGATTACGAATACTGTACTTCTGCCGGACGAGGGCGATCTATTCTGCATCAGCGAGACGACCGATGACATTGTAATACTCATTTTCGCTGTCGCAGCTCTTCATGCTTTCATCCAAATCAACTGGACTGGGCCGGAATTAGATTTCACGGTTGGAGAGGTGTTGAACAGAGTGGATCTGGACGAGGATGAAATTAATCGGAGGGCAATAGCAGAACTGGCTCTTGGTGGAGAACCTGCGTATCATCTTGCGCGCTCTGCGATGCTTCTCCGGGTGTCACAGAGACTATTGGAGAAGGCTGATGCCGACAAGTGTCCTTCGGTCCGATGGTGGAAGCTGCGTACAGCGACTGTGCACGAACATCTTCTGGATGAGGCAGTCGCTCTTCCAGACTCATTTGTTTCGGACCTGGATGTTCTTCTGCGTGCTTATGACAACGATCCAGAGCTGAGCGGCAGGTTGGAGCTGGAGAAGGGCTTGCTGCAGCATGCAATGGGACAGGACAAACTTGCGGGGGAACTGTTTGTTGCAGCATCTCGAGCTACAGGGATGGAATACGAGTTGACCGGAGCGCTTGGCAAGCGGACCAAGTTCCAGGTCAACGAACTCAGCCAGCTGATCCTCCTTGCTGAAAGCCACCTGAGGTTTGAGGAGCAGGAAGATGATCGCAAGGCAGATTCTGATAAAATCGACACCGTCGTGCCCGACACCCTTCTTCTGAATGACGACACTCTTCTGGAAAAGACTATGTTCACCGCATCGTCACCATCCGCCCACTCTCGACTGTCGCATCTTGACCCTGGTTCACAGCCTGCTCTCCATCCGCTCGATCAGGCAATCCTGCTTGCGATGTGTCTCAATGTGCGGAATACTTCGCCCGTGCATGGCCTGACCTCGGAGCAGATGATGCCCTATGTATCGCGGGTGATCTCTCATCCGCGGAACTGGTCGGTGCACACAATGGCGCTTCTTCTGAGAGCGCGGCTGGAATCCAACCGGACGCGTACGGTTGAGCGCGCGACCCTGCAGCTCCAGGCGCTGATCGAGCAGATGCCCACCTCCGACTCTGATATCACTGAGCGACTGCGATTTGTCCACGACTTGCCGTTGCCGAGCAAATGGGAAATGGAGAAGGAGCTAGCCACTCGTTTCCTGAGCTTGGGAGCGACGAGATCGGCGTTGGAGATCTTCGAGCGGCTTGAAATGTGGGAGGACGTGGTCAAGTGCTGGCAGTCAATGGAAAGGCCGGACAAAGGGATCGCAATTGTGCGCGATCTGCTCGAGGGACGAAAAGCAGAGTCGGAAGTTGTTCTTGCTCGAGCAAAGACTGCAACATCTGATGGAAGAAAGGCCAGCATGGATAGGGCCAGAGAAGCCAAGCTGTGGTGTCTTCTCGGGGATCTCGAGCCTGAAAATGCAGTCGTGCACTACGAGAAAGCGTGGGATATCTCCAAGCAGACCGCAGGTCGGGCGATGCGCTCGCTGGGGGCCTACTACTTTGCTCACGCCGACTTCACCAAGGCGATGGAGTGTCTGCAGAAAGCGGTCTTGATCAACCCGCTGCTTCCACGGTCGTGGTTCATGCTCGGCTGCGCCGCACTGCGTCTCGAGAACTGGCAAGAAGCAAAAAGGGCATTCAGCCGGTGCGTAGCAATTGACGAGGAAGACGGCGAGGCATGGAGCAATCTGGCAAGCATGTACATGCGTCTCGGTGTCCAGGTGCGCTTGTTTATCGTCCTTCGGTGGCTTTTCTGACTGATGTTCGTAGGACGCGAGCGACGATTCTGATCCGACAGCCTCTGTTCCATTCGAAAACAAACTGCTTGCGTATCGTGCATTGAAGCAGGGCCTGAAATCCTCGTACGAAAACTGGCGTATGTGGTACAACTACGTCATCGTGTCCATGCAAGTCGGCGAGTTGTCTGAAGCATGTCGGGCCCAAGGCCGTGTTATCGAGCTCAAAGGCGAAGGAAGTGTCGATGAAGATGTCTTGGAACGACTCGTCAATGCTCTCACGCGCGCAGCAACCCAAGACGACGGCGAGACTGAAGACGTCAGCCCCAATCAGGGCAAAGCTCTCTTCAGGCCGGTCAAGCATCTCTTCGAGGACATCGTGCTTCCACGGGTGTCTTCGTCTCCCCGAGTATTCCGGGCTTACGCAAAAATGTTGATCTGGGAGGGTCGCTGGGACGATGCACTCAAGGCTTCGCTGGACGCTTATAGGTGCAGTGCCGCCGGAACCATCGAGCAGGGCGACGACATCGAGAAATGGCGCGAAGGCGTCACCGATGTCGAGGAGGTGGTCGATGCATTAAAAAACTTGGGCCCTCGGGTGGAGGTCGGAGATTCAAAGTGGAGAGGGCAAGCCAGAAGCATCGTCAGGACGTTCATGGCGAAGACGAAGGATGCATTCGAGGATGAGCCGGAGTGGGCCACTCTCACAGCGCTGTTGGATGCTCTCAAGAAGAGAGAAGATGATTAAAAATGAATTCCTGTGTATTTGTATGCTGTAGACATGAACGTACCTGGCCATGTATGGCCAGTGTACCTGGCTCCTTTGAAACAGAATATTGATGCTCAGCATATCATGTGAAAGCGATCCAATTTCACATGCCATCGCCAGGGGACGTCACTGTGACTGGGGAAACTCTTACCTACTAGTATTGCTCTTTCCGCTCGACTTGTCATCGCACGGATAACAACGCTCGGAGGGGCAAACGGATAACTCTATGCCCAAAGCATCAATATCTCAGAGCCATGCCCTGACCATCCTCGCTGTCCTCCTCTTGACGCGCGGACGGATCCTAGCTTGGGCGCGCAAGCTCACTCGACTTCGGAGCTCAAAGCTCTCACCCAAAGAGCTTTCCGACGCGATCCAGCAGCTATACGTCGTGGACGACGATGTGAGGAGCTTGCTGGTGACATATCGGGATCGGTTATCCAAGGCGCGTGCATTCGGCGATCTAGCATACGTAGAGGGTCAACTAGATGCAATCCAGGTTCCGGTCCATCCAATTCCACAAGCGAAATTCGCAGCGGATGCGAAGTATTTCCCACTTGTGTCTGCGAAAGCGAAAGCGAATATCGACACAGCGTTCTTGCGCCAGCTAAGCGCCATTCTATTCCGTGTCGCGTTCCCAACGTTCCGGTCCAAAGAAACACTGATTGTGGCCTCACACTCCTTCTTCCTGGTACTGAGGACGGTGTTGAGTATCATGGTCGCAAGGTGAGCTGCTGCGCAACCTGCTGCTGTGAACTGGCTGCTCAAGCTATCGGGGTGTGTAGATTGGATGGAGTGATTGTTCGCGACTTGGTTTGGACACATCGTTTTCCTTCCAGATTGCCCCGCTCAAGCACCATGTGCAGGTCCGAGCAGATGGACGAGGTTTCTTGAAGGGCTTGGGGCTGTGGTTTCTGCTCGCCATACCCAGCACTTATACGAACACTATGGTGAGGACTTCAACAGCTGCTAGTGCCCCGTGCTGACGCATTGAGGTAGCTTAGACATCTCCAGTCGAAACTCTCCCTTCGACTACGAACTCGACTGACACGATATACCCACGACTTATATCTCTCTTCAGCACCAGATTTGAAGTACTATCGTGCAGGATTGGAGGGTGTTGACCAGTACATCACTGCCGACGTCGAGGCATGGGCAGAGGCGATGGCCGGGCTATAGTGCGTTTTTATCTCCCACCGCAGTGTCTCTCTAACCAAATGCAGTGGAAATATACTGAAACCGTCGCTGGATCTCATCCTGTTTACCAGTCAGCTGTCCAAGTCGCTCGGCGTTCGGGGCACGATCCTCTTGTTCGGCAACTATTATGTGACAGCGAGTATTCTCCGAGCTGTCACACCTGCATTTGGTCGACTCGCTGCAGTAGAGGCACAGCTTGAGGGTGAATACCGGGCCGGAATGGGCCGTGTAGGCCGAGAGGGCGAAGAAATCGCGTGAGTTATGCTAATGCCGCCGGTTGAGTGCAGATGCTGATCGGTGGATAGATTTTACGACGGTGGCGCGAGAGAGCGCGACATATTGAGCACCGCATATCTACGATTGGTCAAGCACATCAATTCTATCTACAAGGTCCACATACGGCTGCCGTCTCCAGTCAAGGAATCTAATCTGTTTGCTGCAGATCCGAATCGCATATGAATGGACCGAAGACTATGTGATCAAATATCTCTGGTCTGCGATGGGCTATGGTTTGATCGCTGTGCCTCTGCTATTCACCCGGAAACGTCGAGCTGTCGGAGTGCAGACGGGTGAAGGAAATGGACCAGCAGATGATGCAGTCGCTGGTCGCACTGAAAGTTGGTCTAAATGTCTGCATCCTCTTGATTGTTTTCTGACGCACCTCACTCAGCATACATTTCGAACCGGCGTCTGCTGATCTCGCTGGCCGATGCCGGCGGGAGACTGATGTGAGTGGGCTGCGTCGAGTTGAGAGTATACTTATGATGACGATGTCCATGCAGGTACGCCTACAAGGATCTGCTTGAGCTTGCTGGATTGACAACGAGGATCTACACGTTGCTGTCGACCCTGCACAATCTGCCCCCGGTGTCGTCTTCGGAAGCCGATGTGGACAGCGTCAGGATGACCAACGTTGATGTGGGAATTCCAACAGCGGAGATTGAGATGACGGGGACACATGAGCTTGTGAAGGATCTTTCATTCGCGCTCCAGGAGGGAGAGCATCTCATGATCACCGGCAGCAACGGCGTCGGAAAGACAGCCGTAGCACGTGTTCTGGCGGGACTCTGGGCGCCGCATGGAGCCGGGGCGCAACTTGAACGCCCACGAGATGGGACGGGCGTTTTTGTTGTGCCCCAGCGAGCGTACATGGTGACGGGGAGCTTGATCGACCAGATCATCTATCCGCACTCGTACCCGCAATTCTTGCAGTCGGGCAGGACGGAATCGGAGCTGATGGAGATATTGGAGATGGTCTTCCTCGCTTATCTGCCAGAACGGGAGGGTGGTTGGTCCACACGCAAAGAATGGCGTGATATCTTGAGTGGTGGCGAGAAACAACGGGTGAGTCCGCTCCACCTTGTGGCTTTCATGTCGAAGATGATTTACGCTGTGCTTAGATGGGGATGGCACGTGTTCTGTACCATCGGCCCAAGTTTGCTATTCTTGACGGTGCGTTTTGGGTTTGTTTTCGTCATACTGCTGAGACTGAACGGGACGTGGAGAATGTACGAGTGCCGTCTCGAGTGATGTGGAAGGCCGGATGTACGAGAACGCAAAGAAGATGGGCATCACACTGATTGTAGGCATAATTTATTCTCATATTCCGCTTCGGCTGACTCCGGTTTCAGACCATTTCCTTGAGACCGTCATTGTCCAAATACCATACACTGCTATTGACACTCAAGGGAGATGGATCCGGTGGCTGGACGCTGACGCGAGTTGGAACAGCCGAAGAGCGGATGGGCATTGACAGGGAGATTGCCAGTCTTGAGGCCAAGTTGGCGGAGAAGGAGAGCTGTGAACATCGCTTGAGGGAGCTGGATGATTTGCTTTCTGTACAGGAGGTCTGAGGATCTTGTAGCACTAATCTACCGTTGTGTCGCCCGTCACCTCAGGCGATGTCATTACTTGTACTGAGACTCGACTTTGCATATGGATTACTCTCCTGGTCAAAATGTGATCGAGACATATTTCAATGTCCAATTACGAGTGCTACCTATCGGAATTTATTCAGCAGTTTTGAGCTCGCTACATCAATTAGCGTCGGATGTTGCTCACGACAAAGAGAAACACTCACAATGAGCCAAACTGTCCACAGTGTCCTCTATCTGCTCCCTGGTACGTCTCCCCACAAGTCTCTCCATCGGCGAGGCCATAAATCCTAGCATTCCAGTACTGGATGCGCTGGTGCCTCCGGGCGTCGGGAATCCTGGGCCGGACCCTGGGCTGGGAGTCGGGAAAGCAGTTCCAGGTCCTAGAGCATGTCAGTGACAGTGCAAGCCAACCAACCAGTATGAGAGCGAATACGAACTTTGCGGCAGCGGCGGAGGCGCCCATTGACCCTGACCCTGATAATATGGGTCAGGCTGCGGCGGAGAATACCCTGATCCAGGATTCGGGAATGCTGGTTGGCCAAAGTAGCCTGACCCCGAATCTGAGCCCGGGAAGGGCGGATACCTGGATTGATCATACGCAGGGAACGGCGGCCAGGCTGCGCCCTGATTGGCCCACGGGAACGATGGCTGTGGAGATGGAGGTGGTCCAACTGAGGCGGGAAATGCTGGAATTGCCGGAGGAGCAGGAGGAGCAGGAGGAGCAGGATAACTAGGAGTTGCCGGCTGACCATGGGGAGCAGGGTGACTGGGAGTTGCCGGCGGGGCATGAGGAGCAGGATAACTAGGTTGACCATGGGGAGCATGAGGAGCAGGATGACTATGACTTGCCGGCCGACCATGAGGAGCAGGATAATTAGGAGTTGTCGGCCGACCAGACTGCCCGGGATGCAGAGTCGGCGATCCGTTGTGTTTATGTTGGCCAGGATATGCCGAGGTCTGATGAGACATGGCCGAATTGGGTCGTGGGCCTGGATATCCATGAGAAGGAGAGTGCGAGCCTGGCCGTCCATGTCCCGTGACAGGCCCCGGCCCAGGGGCAGGACGGGCCGAAGCAGGGCGCGGAGCTGGCGTGGGAACTTGATTCGACTGGTAGATCTGCCCCGGAAGTGTTGTTTGCGGGCGTGCCTGGGTTACCGGACTGGGAGGGGCGTAGCTACCGGAGGCCGGTGGGGGCCCTGACGGAGGACGGTAGCCAGAGTGTGAGGGACTCGAAGGGGTGTATCCATAAGAGGATGTCCCCGTAGCCTGCTGCGGGCGCGGTGTGCTCGAGCCTTGTGCATAACTGGATGGAGCTGCCCCGAATTGAGCCCCTGGGGAACCGGAGGGAGGCGCATAACTCGAGGCAGATCCCGGCTGCTGATATTGCATCTGACTAGACGCAGGGGACTGATATGAATTTGAGGCTGGTTGGTGCGGGCCGGGATATCCGCCAGGTGCAGGGGTGTATGTGGAGGCACTCTGCGGCTGTTGATACGATGCAGCGGGTGGTGTGCTAGACGGCTGGACAGAGCCAGTGCTGTTGACCCTGCCGGCCTGAGGATGCGTTGGGTGTAGCGGCGGTCTCTCTATCGCAGCTTGGTTCGCTCCAGGATTGGTGACTGCGCCTTGGAAGCTGCCATGTCGGCCAGTAGCAGCAGCTGCTTGGTTTGGATGCAACGGCGGCTGCGAATCGATGCGCTGTCTCCTAAAGTCAGAAGCCAGATCATTGACTGCTGCGTCGATCCCTGGCCGCGAATTGTAGTTGAGCTGAGGCGAAGGCGACGCAGAAGTTGCAGGTCCGGAACTTTGCTGCGGCGTCGATGCGGACACGGGTGTCGCAGCAGGTTGTACGACTGGTGCCGCCGCAGCTGGAGGAGATGCCATCACAGGCGGCACTGATGAGCCTTCCTGCTCATCCACCAGAGTATACGCGGGTGGAGGCATCTCCTGGGTCTCCGCTTCCTTCCTCCTCTGTTCGGCACTCCACGCCTCGAATTGTTCCTGCGCTGCGATCTCCGCGGGCGTCAACGTCTCCCGTGTCTCCGCAGACGAGGATCCTGACGCCGCCGAGGGGGTCGCCTGCTCCTCGTATCTCGGCCTCGACGACCAGTAATCCTGCAGTTCTTTGCTCGGGAAGGAGTCAAACACCCGCCGCTCACTGCGAAGTCCCTCGGCTGCGAATCCTGCAATGCGCATGTACCAGTCCGAGGGTAGATCGTATCCATCTTCGTCCAGAGAAAGAAAAGGCCAGCGGTCATGTTCGGGAAGAAGACGTTTGTGCTCGATGACGGGAAGAAATGCCGTTCCTTCGTCATATCTAAACGCGAGTGAATATTGCTTGGCGAAATCGCACAACCAACGACTCACTCATCCCACATAGCACCATACATAACACGCACGCCCTTCGTACGCTTTGCGTGGAAGATTTGGGACCACAGGAACTTGCCACCCTGTCTCTTGATCCCGTTGAACGCCCATTTGCCTTCTGATAGGTTGAAACCCTGACAAAAATTTAGAGGACTTGTGAGTACCGTGACGGAAAGACTTACTGAGCCGCCAGGCAGCACTACAGGTGCATAGTCTACCTTTCTTCCCTCCGATCTTTCGTTGTGCCTTGAAATCAAGTCCCCGTCACCACCCCACCGCTCTTCTGCCCATCGATCGACTTCCTCAACAGTGCTATATCGGCCCACTGACCAAGGCGACAGTGCATCTACCATTCCATCTTTGCCTAGCCACAAGTCTGACCATCCCGGGTCCCCGTGAGCGTCACCTTGGCCAGGTGAACGCCAATGCGATGGTACACCGGCGAAGATATACAACTGGCCCGCGATGGACCGCATAGCTTGCAGGATCCGGCGAGCGCTGTGATGTGAAACGGGTGAGTCGGACATGCCCAGACCCCAGATCCCGAGCACCGGGCGGCCATGGTCGCGCAAGTAAGCTGGCGAATCGAAAATCCGTTCCTCGTTGATCAAATGCGCCAGATCGAGGGTGAGGATCCTTTCGAGATCAGCCTCCGGGACGCCAGACACATCGTACATCACAGCCCACACCCGACCCTCGGCCTCCGCAGCCTCCCGAACCCTTCTTCCGATCTCGTCTCTCAAGCCCCTCGTGCCTGCCCCGTCCCGATTGCCCTCCGGCGCTGGATCAACCTCCCCTACGAACCGCTGCAGAAAGGCGCCATCGACCCCATGTATCGCCATCCACTTGAAATGCCTCCGGACTGTCCGCGCGTCACGACTGCTGAACACTCGCGCCGGCGTCCCGTCTCTGTGCGTCAGCCCCGCGACGTCGTACAGCTCCGACGGCGAGTATTCCGACGTGTCAGGCCAGAGATCCGTGTTCGGACGTCCGGAGGAGGGTGGCGGGAGGGGTTGGTTGACCCAATGTAGCCAGCCGTGGTGCCCTGGACCGATAGGAGGACCATCTCCACCGCATGTGAACCTATAGATTGTTAATAGGCCAGCCAGACGAGGATGGGTAGAGCGCGCACCATCCTTGATAGCCTACAAGGAATTTGTCTTGGATCGTGCCCTGGATCGCGCTATCTCCGTTTAGAGGGTCGTCAAGAATGCATTTTTGTCGTCACACACACACCGTTTTAACACCCTGCCATCTGCAGTTGCCGCCATCCGTGATGCTAGTGAAAGAAGTAAGAAGAGAAGAAGTTGTGCTAGTGTGCAACCGCAGTCCACCGCCACTTTGCTTGCACAGATGGCAGTCAGCGGCGCCCGGGCGGTGATAGATGCGTTGGCCGGGTTATCGATGGAATTAAAGGACAGCGAGCTGCGCGCTTAGCCCGAGGCACTTGGACAGACAAGTGACACCAAAGTGACAGGAGATACAGTGCCACAGTGGTATACCATACTCTCGTGCACGTGCAACATTTCGGGCGAACCAAGCTGATAGTCTCAATCACCTTGAACGCGTCGAGCCTCGAAGGGAACGCACCTTCTTTTTAGACCAGCGGTGGTGATCACGTCGGGAGTGGCTAATACGCCGGCTCCAGCTTTCATATAGTTCTTTTCCAAGCTGGGCTCAGATACATTCAAATTTACTGCCTCAGCGAAGCATGCCAAACCCAACAGAATTTCTTCAGGGCAGGACAGCATCACTGAATCCAGAACTGAACGGAAGACATTCGCAGTTCAGGTTGAATCACAAGCCGATTGATTACCAGTGGCTGTGCATCGGCTACCTGCCTCAACCAACCACGTCGTTCTTCCAGTCATTCCAATCGTGCTACACTCATGTCCGATTCCATACCATCTTCTACGTCGTCAATCGCCGATTCTGGTCTCATTTTTTCTTATGCTGGACTGCTTCTCTCCGCAAGTGCAACTATCTACGTGGGCGCACATGCATCGCTGCCGTCACCTCGGAAACACAAAGGCAGCTCGCAGGACATTGACCACGACCAAGAGGACGATGGAGGGGATGAAGAGGAATCGGAAGAGCGTTTGTCTTCTGCCGACGCGTGGCTGTTTCCCATCGTGAGTCCAGCGGTGTTGCAAGATGAGGTATGGTTTTGAAGAAGTGTTCAGATGGGATCTTGTGTACTCGTTGGACTATATCTCGTGATCAAGTACTTTGGTCCAGGGTGGATAAATTGGGTTTTAGGCTGGTACTTTGCGCTCGCAGGCATTGGTGCCGTGTGGAAAGTCAATGCTCAAAACACTCGAGCGACACGTTCACTCAACTCTATTCCCAGTCATACGTAGGCCTCCTGCGCTGGACTGTAGGGGAAGCCCGATGGAGATCATATCCAGAATTAGCCGTCGTGTTCAAGCAGCGACAAGTGCTGTCCGCTTCGCAGACGGAACCCAGCTCACAATTCTCCTCGGGTTCCGCATCACCAGTCCATGCTCCTGTGAAAACCAAAAGCCAGTTCTCAGTCTCCCCGCTGCTCACGTTCAAAGTTCCCTCTTTACTATTGCTTCCGTTCTCGGCCGCTCCTTCGCTTCTGTACATCCTGCGTCCGGACCGGACCGCTCTGCTAACCAACCTGCTCGGGATCGCCTTCGCACAGAACGCCATTGCATTGCTCAAGCTCGACGGCTTCCGCACGGGGTGCATCCTGCTCAGCGCCTTGTTTTTTTACGATATCTGGTGGGTTTTCGGGACGCGTGTGGTATGTTCTCGTTTCATCGTTCAGGTGCAAGTCATAGACGAAACCACCGGCCCGTAGATGGTCGAGGTGGCGACGAATCTAGACGTTCCGATCAAGTTGATCATGCCCAAAGCTGCCCAAGGAGGATACACCATGCTTGGGCTCGGTGATATCGTGATCCCAGGTGTTTTCATCGCGCTGTGTTTACGATTCGATCATCATCGCGCCGAACGGCCAGTTTCATCGACATTCAGCAGGCCGTATTTCTTGGCGAACCTGTTTGCCTATATCAGTGGGCTGGTGACTACGATGATTGTGATGGTGTGTTCGCTCGCTTGGTGCTAATCACATTAAACGAGCTGTCTGACCAAATCTACCACCAGCACGCATTTGGCAAAGCACAGCCAGCGCTCTTATATCTCAGTCCAGCATGCATCGGCGCATTCCTTCTCACTGCTGCCTTCCGAAACGAACTCAGTGTTGCTTGGAAATGGGAAGATAAAAGCACGTCCGATCTGGCAGAGGAGCTGGAAGAGAAAAACAAATGAGCAGGCCTGAAAACTTGACCATGCACCTACATAGAAATGTCTATGTTACCACCTCTGCTATATCTATTTGCTGCAATGTACAAATCACGATTCAAGAACTTGTTGTACAAATATGGGCTTCGTCAATGGCATCACGTGGGCGTGTTCAGATCAGGTGACTCGATTCTCTCGGTCGGGGGTTACCTGGCTTTGAACGCCTCAAATCTTGCACCACACCATAGTGGAGGGACTCGGCCCAGTTGAATGAAGAGCTTTCATCTGTTCATCTAGTTTAGAAGATCACACAAGGTCTATAATCGATACCACATCGAAGAAACAAACGACGCGTGGAACCGATCGGCCATCGACGCAAATATCATCTCCGGCTCCTGCGACAGGAAATAGAGTCCTGTAAGCACCGGCAAAGCAACAGCCCCCATCACAGCTGCAATCATCCCTTTCCGGGTGGAGGCCTTGATGCGCCCGAGAGCGGGGCCGAGATACGTGTTGAAGAGAATCCGCTCGCCGTCAGCAGCGTGCAACAACGCAAAGACCACGAGCCCGCCGTATAAAAACGCACTACGCCACGGCCAGGAGTTCAGGCCGAATTTGATGTATTCAAAGTCCAGTTCGGAGGGGCTGAGAGCGTGAATAGGGGCGATGGGATTTGACGGAGATACACGGTGCGTGGAGAAGTGGATTGGAAGGAAGAACAGCATGGTGCCATAGCCTGTGATTGAGAGTAGGCTAGTCCATGGCCGAGGTGGAACTTTCGACGGCGATATTAATCGTTTGGCTAGTCCCGAGACGGTGTGGAGCACAATAGGACCTAGAAGAAGATACTTTTCTCCAAGCTCTGTTTGGTAATATTCCCGTCCTAAGAGCTGCGTGGGCGTTTAAAGACGCATTAGCGAGTTCCAGGACGCGTGGATAGCAACTTACCAGAGTTTGAGAAGCCAAGGAGGAACCCCCCAGATTCGCAAGCAAGGGAGCCGAAAGGTGTATCAGAAGAAATGTGGTCAGAAAAGGTGCGGATCCATGTATACACTTTGTAATGACTGGGAGAGCATGCTTGCGGAAGCCGCCGTCGGATGGCCCGTACATGGTGGTTAGGGTCAAACAGTGGCGAATACACCTACGCACCGTTTCTGGCGAATCGCGTTGGGTCCTTTCGGGCTCATCCTCGATGTGGAATATCATTTCACTTATTAGCTCTAAGAGACTGCACATGAGAATAAGTATTCAGTAAGTCATGATAAACGATGAGGACTGTGCTACGGAAAGTACTTAATCAGACGATCTTTACTAGTAGTTGATCTGCTCATTCCCACCATTGGCCAGCAAAGCGGATGGCAGATCTTAACTCGAGCAGAGTGCAGTATGTTGTGGTTGCTCGAAAATCTCGTGTGTGCAAACACTCAAAGGTCTCGAATGCCAGGTTGCCGTTGCGGTAACTTGCGGAAAGGGATTTAAGGGATTTATGCTGTGTCTACTTTTTGACCCTCTGTGAGATAAGGATATCTGGTGTTTCTTTGTCACGCGAAGAGAGTCGAGAACACCTGGATAGGCAAACTGTCGAAACAGACAACGAGGAGAGCGCCAGTTTCACAATCCGATATGTCACAGAACGAATCAGCAATTTGTATGCAGGCTTAGTTGATCATCAGAGCGCGGTGGGTCACGTCACAGTCGGGGGTCGGCAACACCACAGAGAGGCTGAAGAAGTTGTGACTGCCCTCCTCAACTCACTCTGCTCATTGGATTAGAGTAATGTACGTGATAGGATCATCCGATTCTTTCTTTCTTCTACTTGACCCAGTGCTCAGGCCAAAATCGCGGTCACTCAAGATCGACGTTCAACGTCAGGCAGTATACGATGCGCGAGAACTTTGGTCACCTTCGCCCTCTCCTGTGGAAGACTGGGGTGACGAAGCGGACGTGGATTTCGAGATGCAAATCGTCGGCGAGGAGGTAGCATTCAATGGAGCCATGAAGTGCGTTCATCCTGCGTTCTAGTTCTACAACCTGAGCGTTGAAGCTGGATCCCGCAGATACGAGGTAAGTAATCGATGGGCACGCGCAAGGCTGATCAGCGAGCTGATGGTCGGAAGGTGGCGTGGAAGAACTGGATGCGTCCGGACGGCACAAACACTACATGGGAGGGACCTGAAACCACCAGCGAGGAGTTGCCCACGCGCGAGTGGCTCTCTACTGTGCAAGTCAGGACTCCAGCGCGACCAGATATCGTCTTATGGGGCAGCACAGACATCACCAACACTCTCACACGGGAGCACATTCAGGGTCTACGTTCACTCTCAGCAGACGAAATGTGGGCATTCGAGAAGGATTTCGATGAACTTGAGTCGGCCCGAGAGCAGCTGCAGCATGCAATGCAGTACGTTCCCCACTCGGATGAATATGTGGAGAGTCGAAGACCGCGCACGTTCCAAGAGAACGCTGAGGCCGGGCCGTCCAGGCCACTGATTCTGCTGCTGTCCGAGACGACGAAGTCCAGCCCAAACGCCACTCTCGTGCAGCTTCTTTCACAGGCTCATACTCAATCTCCAAGAAGTCATGGAAACTGGCGAAGGAAGACACTGCCGACTCTCGTCATCGACCCATGATATTCTCGTGGCGAGCCGGACTACCATTGCCTATACCTAGACTTCCTTCTGGATCATCACAGGCCTCTGTGCCTATATCAAACGCGGGGACTCGGACTCGATTGGTTCATGTTGACCCGTCGCAACACCCGGAAGCGCGACGGGTACTGCAGCCTTCACCGACGAAGCCGAAGAACAAGTCTGCCGAGCCTGTCTTTCCCATTCGCGCTTCTCTTCCAATCTCGATTTCGCCTTCTTTGACGCACAGGAGCAGTCGGCTGAGAACGATCCCGAAGGTGTCATCCTCATCGTCGATAGACGCTATTCAGGATGTGTGGCCCAACAAACGGAAAACAACGCTTCCTTCGTCACCATTGGACTGTGCATCTTGGAAACGAGTTCGCCTGACGGACACCTACCCGACACCGCCAGCGTCGAATCGCTCCAGCGCCTCTTTGATAGAACTCAAAGCGCAGTCAAGGTGATTGAGATCGTCGCATTCGGTGGGTATGTTGATCTCTAAAGTAACCCAGAAGGATGTCACTCCAGCAGCAGTGGTCTGACTTGGCCAGAAACGATCGTGGAGCTGAGCGTGTCTCATTCGTGAATACAGTCAATGACGAAGCGGTGCCGGACGGACTGGAGGGCTTTGTCTACCTCGAACACTCGTACCGCCTTCCGCCACAGCTGGGTTCGGTCCCCTGTCTCGATTTGGAGAGGTCCGTGTGCATCTACCATTCGTGACCCTGAATACTCAATGGAATGCAGTCGAGAATTGCATCCAGCGACTCCGCTGACAGACCGAGATAGGCTCGTCTACTGTGACTGCAAGCCCGGTTGCACAAATGCTGATCAGTGCACCTGTCAGTCAAACTGCGAAGAAGCCGGTTATGCCTATACGGATGTAAGCCACGACCTGGCCGTCACGCACGCTTTCTTATTCGACGCAGGGCCTGTTCAATTTTACCTATCACAAGAACCAGATCGTTGTGGAGTGCAATCCTGTGCGTGTGTAGACCTGGCTTCTGTCGGCGGATATTGACCGTTCGGTTCCAGTATTGCTCTTGCCCCGAGACATGTCCGAATCGCGTGGCTCAGAGACCCCGACACATCCCGATCGAGATTTTCCGCACAGAAAAGCAGGGCTGGGGTGCCAGGACATCAGTGCCCATCCAACGTGGCCGTGTTCTGGGGTTGTATACAGGGTCGGTCTTCGCAGGCTTATCATCACCGCGGTCTCATTTTTTGTAGCAAACTGATGTGCGTCGGGCTAAGTGAACTGACTTCATCTGACTCGATCGTAGACCCCGTTTGGAAGCGGAGACGCTGGCTAATGCAGCCTACTGCTTTGACCTTGATTTCAACGACGAACAGGTGGATGACCCAACTTGTCTACTCAGTGTCGACTCGTGTTCATATGGTACTTACTCTTCTTTTCGTGCTCTCGCCAACTAAACCAATCACAATGCCAGGAAACTGGACTCGATTTGTCAAGCAAGTCTTCTATCTTGCCGTCAACTGATCTCTGACCCATCGGCAGTCATTCCTGTGCTCCAAACGTCTTTGTCCAACCCGTTGTCTGGGACACCTTGCCTCAGCAGAATTGTGCCTTCTTGGCGCTAATTGCTGCGACTGACATTGCCCCGTACACCGAATTTGCCATCAATTACGACCCCGACGTTGATCCGTCCCTGCCGAGACCAGCAAACTCACTGGACTGTACGTGCAATGCGCCTGAGTGTAGGGGTTGGGTGAGATCTATGTAGCCGATTTTATAATCTGAGTATGCTGGCGGAGTATTTCCCCGTGCGATCATAGTGTAAGACATATGTATCAATCAAGAATGCTGTTTTGCAGCCGATCCAGAGGATTCAGAAGACAGTCGCTCTGCAGGACATGAGAATTCGGAGCTATTTCCTCGCGCGCCGAGAACTACTATTTGTCAGCCATCACACCAGTCTTCGATTCTGATCTCGCGTGAGATTTCTTTCTGTCCAGCCAGCGCGTGTGACGGACATCCCACTTTCTCGGAGACCATGCTAAGCTCGTAGAGCATTTTTACTTTCTTTTACTCCCAGGTCGCTCATTCACCCCCAACTCTTCACTACCCCCTGTGAAGACGTCGTGCTGTCGACATGGCCAACGACCTCCCTTCCATGCATATCTCTGAACTTGCCTGTCCCGACCCTCTGGAGAAGGTGCGCACCGTCTTACTCGTCTTGAGCATGGGGAACCCAACTCAATTGGACGCCGTAGATCTTCCGACAAGTCGAGGAACAAAATGAGCTCCGTGCTCAACTTGCGGAGGTCGAGGACACAGTCCCCAGGATCTCGAGGACTGGTTCTACCGACAACCTCAGGAAGTCGCGAAGGCGGGGCAGCATCTCCATCACTCGTTTCGGTCAGGTATGTGGCAACCGCACGCCGCAGTGTACAGCAATATCAATTCCGCTCCAATTGCAGCTCTCCAATTCTGACCTCGGGGGGTCCAGTGCGCCCATGACCCCGGCGCTTTCCGACATCGCTTCCAAGTCGCCCTTCATCCAGGCACAATTGAAGGTGTGTTGACACTGCCCTGGCAGTTGCCAGTGTTTCTCAGATCTCTGATGTGGTGCGGTCGGTTTTTTGCAGAGTAATAACGGCAGTCAAACATCCTTTGCGTCCGCAGGGACCGAAGGTGACGAGCACCACGAAGAAGACCACCACGTCACGCAGATCCACAACATTGCGCCTCGTCAGAGTATCTCACGTGCAATGGGCGGATTACTGCCGCGACGATTGAGCCGGGCACGGTCGACGGTGATGCCGACTTCAAACACAGATGGTATGGTCATAGGAGTGTCTGTTGCTGCGGCAACGGTGGAACTTCCTGAGAACGCTGAAATTGCGCCAACCGTCGTGGAAAGTGGGGGAGTCCTCCGCAACCAGACGTCGAAAGGAAGCCTGGCATCGTCGCTGGGCAAGGTTTCTTGGACATCCAAGGCCATCCAATTCACCAAGAAATTCCGCAGAAAGAGCAAGGTGAACATGATACCCAACGCCGAAGTCTCGGCGGCCACGACCGCATAGTGGCTTCATTATTCCCCGTTCACTGGTTGTCCATCTCATCCACTGTATCATATAGAGTGCTCTCTTTAGCTGGGTATCCGTCGCCTTTGTCTTTACTACGTCTCCTTACTAGCCGCTCTTGGGACTAATACAATTTAAGTACGCTAAATTTATCCAATCGCGCTGGTCTGCAAATGTCCCACGCCCAACACGTTTTTGATGGTTCAATTATGCAGCCACTCTTCAGGCTGTCCGGGGTTAACTCGCCTCAGGCTGCCATCGTATATAGATGGCCATCCACAGATAATAAGAATGCAAACTGCACTAGACGTTCGTCCCGTCTTTCCTTTCCTTTCCGTCGCTCCCTACCTCTCTAACTGCGCCCGACGATGCCCTTTGCTAATCCGGCGTTCTCGCGTTCCCATAGTGTGCGAGCGTATGGCAGATATCCCGTGCGTTTCTCACCGATCTTTCTCCGGCCGCTTTCTGACCTGCACCTCCCTGGTCAGACGTCCTTCGATGATACCGACGTTCCTCCCATGTCGCCCTCGAAGCATGCATTGGACTCGGACGTGATCACTACAAGTGCGAGTGATACATGGAACAGCGATGCGAGCCCGAGCTCCGGCAGCAGCATCTATGACATTCCGTGGATCGACCGTTCCCCACTTGATATTGTCTTCGACCGGACGTGTTTCGAGGCGCTGGACGAAGAGCTACTACAACATCCGGAACGCTCATTTGCTGACCTCTGTTGGTCTCTGGCTGTCGACGACGCGCCTGAACGGAGTTTGACGCCGCGTGCCCTAAGGCATCCGCCGCCGCCCTCACGCGATCTTCGCCATCCTAGGTCGATGCCTGCCGTGCTAGATACGCGCCGGGCACGACGACGCGATTTCGACGACTTCAGTGACGAAGATGACGACGACGACGACACGAATCCCGCGTACTCGGATGACGATGAGCTTGACAAGCTGAACCTAGACGTTCCGCCAACTGCGAACGCGCATCTAGCATCTCACCTAATGGTAAGTACTTGCCCGCATTCTAGAGCAGCTCTGGAGTTCTAACCTTGCCAAGGCAAAACTAGACACCTTGCATACTCTCCATCTGCATCCTTCGCACATGGGCAATGCATACGCCGTGCCCAGCAGCCGAGCACGCGATCGAGAATCATTCATCATGCTCGAACCCCTCAGCTTCGAGATTCGACCCGAGGTAGCTGGTGCGGCATCTATTGGCGCGTTCCCGACACGACCGCGCAAACAGCCCAAGGCAACGACATTCTCTCGGCGTCTGTTCGGATACTTTGGGAACGCCAGCTCCAAAAGCCTCAACTTAAGTAATACTAGGCGTGGTGCTGCTGGTCGCACCCGTTTTTGAACTTTCCTCGGAATCTTGCTTAACACTCAGCTATGTGTGTCTTGTGTTAATCTCTGTTGTACTGTATCGTCACTCATTGAGTAATATCTGAATAAAAGCGGGGGCCTTGGCCTCTGGGAGGCGTGTCATTGTACATTCAGGCATGATTGTAACTGGTTGACAAGAATTATCATTACCTGTGTGCCATCCATCACCGCTCTGCGTCACCGCTGCAATTATCGCAAAACGGAGACGGTTGTCATGAGAAGACGATGAAGTGCTTGGAAATCGCTGTATCCCAAGATCCGTACCCGAGTGCGCGGGCTCTTCATGCACAAGCTCTGGACACTGCGCTCGCTAGGAACGAGGAGACCTTGGAAAGCATACGGGATTGAGACGTGCGACATCGCCAGTCTGAGTATATGTTGCAAGCATCACCAACTAGCAAATTGCCCCTGTTTTCCGAGCTGAACGGCGGTTGGACCGGATCCTCAGTCGTGACAACGATAGACAGGCCAACTTCAATCTTTTCAACGAGCGCTGACATCGCATCGGCCTTGAGAGGACCGAGAGGGATCATAGAAAGACTTTCCCCCTTGGGAAGACACACCATTGATGGGAGGACCATAAGATGTCGTGTTAAATTTGACATTCGTCCGGGATATCGATTTTGTCAGCACTGGAACATGGCCTAGATCTCACCGTCGATTCTGAATTTCTATTATGATCAATGAAGCTTAGGTGTGAGGATTTTCTGATGAGCTGATGACAAAAGCCTGCAAGATGGTGAGACGAGTCAAAATTTGAGCTTCAGACCCATCAGCTTTCCGTTCTTGACCAATTCGCCGGAGCGAGCGGCCGTATTTCATCGAGCACCATCCAAGGGTTCTCTCCAATTGGAATTTGGCATCATCTGGGCTGGTAGGTAGTAGACACTTACACTTTTTGACAGATGCGCGGTGGCCTTGCGAGGAATGCATTGTCGAAGGCAGATTGTGGTGCGCAGCTCGGATCATGAGACGTTCTGTATTGGACCAGTTCGCGGTGCTTTCAAGCTTTCACGTTGAAGGGCCTGCAACTTGAATCCGTCACGTCGTCGCGCTCGTGAACTGAACTGAACTCGACAACGCGTGGTTGCATGGCAAGAGACTAGACAAAGACCACGTGCCAATGGCTGCGCTACGGACACGTGCTCGCCACCACCATATGACAAGAGAATTTCACTTTGAAAGTAACATGCTACGACACACCCGGGATGAAAGACGCTCGGTGAAAGTATATTTCTTGGTACGTTGATATGCACGCTGTGTCTGGAGCACTTGCTTACAGAGGTGGAAAGTTCAATATTCGAGCCCAGTCAGAAGATCGGATATCAACTCCGATTTCCTCGCCATCAATACTCCGAATGGCCGAATCGAGCACGCCATTGAACCCACAACTCATTGAACGTTGCATTTCACCGCTTCACTCTCACTTCATGGCGACGAACATCGAGGCGAAAGGACCGGTCCATGATCTCCCCACGCCAGATCCTGAGTCCCCGATGCGCACTCGCAAACCGTATCGCTTCTCCACGTTGTGCGCAACTGTGGAAAACCCGGACATGAAGGACCAGTATGGGAGCAGCTCGGTGCCCATCTACCAATCCTCCACGTTCAAAGGTATAGGCAACGCCTTCGACTATTCGAGGAGCGGCAACCCCACGAGAAGTCACCTCGGTGCGCATACACACACTATCCGACCGTTCAGAGAGGTTGACACGTGCTGTAGAACACCATCTGGCCAAAATATCTTCTGCCGCGCATGCGTTGACTGTTGCGTCTGGAATGGCAGCCCTAGACATCATCTTGCGTATCCTGAAACCCGGAGACGAGATCATCGCAGGGGACGACCTGTATGGCGGGACCAACCGATTGCTCACTCACATCCGCACTCACGGAGGCATCGTGGTCCATCATGTTGACACCACCGACCCAACATCCGTTCTCAAATACCTCAAAGCAGGCAAGACGGCGATGGTTCTGCTGGAGTCGCCGACAAATCCGCTGCTGAAGATCGCGGACCTCGCTTCGATCAGCAGGGACGTCAAAGAGCGAGCACCCGACACGATCGTCGTGGTAGACAACACCATGATGAGCCCTTATCTTCAGCGGCCGTTGGAGCATGGCGCGGACATCGTCTACGATAGTGCGACCAAGTATCTCAGTGGCCATCACGATCTCATGGCGGGTGTGATAACCTGCAACCGCGATGATCTGCACAAGGTGAAGTCTGATTGCCTCCCTCGATTGTGTGAATTCTCATCTCACTATCAGTAGCAAATGGCCTTCACGATCAATTCCGTCGGCAATGCACTGGCCCCCAATGACTGCTTTCTTTTGCTGCGGGGAACCAAAACACTGGCGTTACGCATGGATCGTCAGCAGGCTACGTCGCAACTTGTTGCGTCGTATCTCCACGGTCTTGGCTTCAAAACCAACTACCCGGGCCTTCCTGACCATCCTGGCCGCGAGATCCACGAGCGCATCGCTACTGGCAACGGTGCTGTGCTCAGCTTCGAGACTGGCGACAAGGAACTCAGTGAGCGAATCGTCGGCGGTACCCGATTGTGGGGAATCAGTGTCAGCTTTGGCTGCGTGAACAGCCTGATCAGTATGCCCTGCGTCATGAGGTGAGTGACATTGTTCTTCGCTCCCCCCTCGTTTTGATTTCGATTGTTGCCAGCCATGCCTCGATCGATCCTGCTGTGCGAGCAGAACGAGGTCTGCCTGAAAATCTCATCCGACTGTGTGTTGGTATCGAGGACCCTGGTGACTTGATTGACGATCTCGAAAATGCACTCATGGAAGCGGGTGCGATTGCTTTTGATTCTCAGCAAAACAAATACATCCGTGTGCGTCCGACATTGAATGAGCAACTCAACACGGCAGTCCAGAAGCTGGGCCTGGAAGAGACAGTGGATCAAGAATGGTTCGTCAGTGCGCCTGGCAAAATCATCCTGTTTGGAGAGCACGCAGTCGTCCACGGAGTTGTGAGTGGGATGCGACAGCCTATTCCATTCTCTCTAATATCTCACAGACAGCCATCGCCGCATCGGTCGATTTGCGATGCTTTGGTCTTGCTACCCCTCGAAATGATGGGAGAGTTTCGGTTCATTTCACGGATATTGACAACTTCTACCACGAATGGGATACACAGTCGCTACCTTGGGATGCGGTGACCCCTTAGCAGCTGGGGAGGAGCATGGAGACACGTTGGACCAAGTGCTTTTGGACGCGATCACGGCTGGACCCTTACAAGACATCGAGCCTGCCACCAAACACTCGAGAACGGCCAGCCAGGCATTTTTGTACATGTACCTTATGATAGGGCATGGCCGAAGGTGAGAGCAGTTTACGCGTCGTATTCTGTAACTAATCACTGTTCAGGCCGTCTTTCAATTTCACCGCTCGCGCCACACTTCCTGTCGGTGCTGGCCTTGGGTCTTCTGCTTCGTTCTCGACCTGTGCGGCCACGGCGATCTTGCTCGTGAACCGTGTCATCTTTCTGCCGCCTCCTCCCCAACCCAGCAGCACTGACGGTGGTGTGGCCCATGTCCATATCTCCCACCAGGGACGGAGGTTCATCCCTCCGACCGTTGCAGAACGGGTGAACAAGTGGGCCTTCGTTTCGGAAAAGATCCTGCACGGAAATCCCAGCGGAGTGGACAACAGTGTCGCTGTGTTCGGTGGAGCGCTTGCTTACACGCGTGCTGGATTCTCGTTTGGCGGCAAGGCCGGAATGGAACAAATCCAAGCTTCAAGTCTCTCAAGTTTCTACTCACCAACTCCAAGATTCCCCGCGACACCATGCAGCTCGTTGCTGGCGTCGGTGCATTGAAGGCGCGAGTGCGTATTTCGGACTATATCACCGTTTTGTGCTCAATAATTCGTCAGGAGCCTGAACTTGTGGACGGGATTCTCAACTGTGCAGGCCATCAGTGATGAAGCTCGCCGAGCGCTGGCTGATCCCGAACTCTCCCGAACTGAGTTGTTGTCTGCGATCTCATCGTTGATCAAAGAGAACCACCAGCATCTCGTGGCGCTCGGTGTCTCGCATCCATCGCTAGAGTCTATCCGCGCGACGACAGCCAAGGCACCGTACGACCTGAGCACCAAGCTAACCGGAGCCGGCGGAGGCGGATGCGCTGTGACACTCGTTCCCGATGGTCGGTTGCTTATCCATCGGGTTTCTCAATCTGACTGCTTGTTCTATAGACTTTCAGGGCGCAGCTCTGAGCAGCTTGATGAATGAATTGATTGAGGATACATTCGTGCCGTATCTGACATCCGTCGGCGGGAGCGGCTTGGGTATTCTTTCGCCCTACACTGCTCCCAATCTCGGCCAGTCAGTGGAAGTCTCTGTCCCAAGTGGTCCCGTTTCCCCGCCCGAAACTCCTGGATCCGAGCACCCTGCGCAGCTTGATCTTCGTCTCGCATTCGAAAAGCAGACCCTCAATGGCCTTGGATCTTGGGCCGAAGGGCTTGGTCGTTGGCTATTCGTCTAAACACTGCATTTTATCCATCTACCTGTACAATATCTACTTCGTTGTCTTTGAGGTGGCTTGAACAAAACCTACCAACCTGTAACAGTTGTAACAGCACTCCAAGAATATGGGTGACGTCACGCGTCAATCAATTAAAATCACTGCTCGCTTGACATTCCCCATGTCCTCGACAGCCAACTTGCAGCGAGAATCTGACTCTGAGGAAGACCATGACTATGTACCGCCCGCTGGCGACGTAGGTATGTATTCAGGGCTCTACTCTCAGCCGCCCCTACTGAGAAATGACGCTACATAGACTCTTCCGACTCAGAGCAACCTCGGTTGAAACGCGCTCGAACAAGCTCACCCAAGCTCAAAGATTCTCATATATCCCCAGAGTGCGTAACCGTGGGCTCTGATGTGATTACAGTTTAGAATCCATCCAGTTTGTAGAGCACGCCAACAGCTGTGGAAAGACTTCCAAACATCGGTCGAAAGCGATGCCAAGCGACCTGTGCAGCCCGTTGAAGCAAAGAAATTGGTGAAGATCGAAAAGACATTTCTCTTTGCCGGGGAGCGCGTTGTGTGCGTTCCGCGCTTCTACTCGCCATTCATACTTGGTGCTTAATCCTGGCTGCCGCCCCAGTCAGGTTGTCGAGGTTCCCGAAGACTCAGCTGATGCGACAAAGTGGCCTCGATGGCAGCCGAAGGTTCCATCACCAGAAGCGGGCCCTTCGGAGCCTGCTCCGACAAGCGCATCTGCAACCAACGCTCAGCCCCCTCACAAGTCACGCCCAGGCCCGCGCAAGCCGAAAACCACATTAGCGGCGATTCCCACACAGAAGGCGCGCAAACTGTCGACATTGGACAAGTCTGCCATGGACTGGAAGGCGCATATCAGCGCGGAGCCCCCCAGTGTCAGAGATGATCTGAACGCCAATCGAAGGGGCGGCGGATATCTCGAGAAGGTCGAGTTTTTGGAGAGAGTGGATGCACGGAAAGAAGATCTGTACGAGGCAAACAAGAGTTCAAAGCGGCGGCGATGAGCATCCAGTCGCGTTTGTATCAGGATTAGATATTCTGTATGTATGTATGCACATTAGGTCTTCCCAGTTATCTCACTGTGATAAATCCAAGCCTCTCAATCATGTCAGACCAAATGCATTTTCTGGTCTCAGTCTTCGTAACTGGGCATGCACCAGCCCAGCTACACATCTGCGCGGGATCGCTCAACGAAGGATACCGTCACTCACTCGATCTTCTTTTTCTTCCATGTCATTTGTAAATGGAAAGATGTAGGTCCAGATTGTCCATGTTAAATAATACATAAAGAGTGTGTGCAACATTATTTCTCTACCAGGTGCATATCAGATCAAGCATCCAACTCAGACCAATCACTCGCAACATCCTCTTCCTTCACAGCCGACGCTTTGGTTGGAGGGTTAGATACTTCGGCGGGCAGCAGAGATTCGTCGACAGGCTCGACATCGTATGGCTTGAGGGTGGCGACGGACTCAGAGGGCTGTGTAACCGTAGCGCTGGCTTCAAGTTCTTCGATAGATTGAACCAGAGGGCCGTCATCGAGCGACGAGTCGGTCAAGATTGGAGAAGAAGGTTCCTCAATGACTGGCGCGGCCGGTTCACTGACGAGATGGTTTCAAGGACGGCGGAGCGGAGTCGGTTTCAGATGAGACGTCGGGAGAGGACTCTTCGACGACTTCTGGAGCAGGGGTGGCCTCAGGACAGCTTCGGCCTCCCTCTCCCTGCCAACGAACTTCTCTCCACTTGGCCTCGACGACAGCCTCAACTTCCTCGAGTGCACCCTCGACCTTCGCCACGACCTCCTTCCTCGCGTGCCTCAACCCGTCATCACCGAAACTCTCGACCGAGTCCAATCTTGTCAATAGGCCACTGAGTGTTTGATGGTACACCCGCAGCGGCTGATTCCGCGCTCCATAGGATAACCGCGACATCACCGAGTCAGCGCTCGCCTCGAGCTGAAGGACGATCGGACGGGGGAGCTTGTACGAGAGGAGGAAAACTCGAGATCGGAGGGGGTAGCAAAGTCGCTGGAAAGCTGCGTGAACGCAGCATCGATGGCTCTGATCTCTGCAGCTGATGCAGAGACGTCGGGGACCGGAGCCGGAGCTGCTGACTTGCCCTTCGATTGTGAAGCGGCGTCCTCGATATCGGCAAGAGACAGGCGAATGGCCTCGGCGAGATCTTGGTCTTCTTTGGCCTGCTCAGACTGCAGACGGGTTTCGAGCTCCCGCTTCACAGTCGAGACTGGGGAAGAAGGCGTTGGGACCGAGCCCGACGACGAGGCCTGGGGCTCAGACTGCGCAGAAGGGCGATCAGCTACCACTGGTCTGGTACTACGCCGGAGACAGCGACGAACCTTCTTTGTTTCCGAGTCATTCCCGCCAAACAACGCGTTCAAAAATTGCTGGACATCGTTCTGGTCGACAGACCCAGCACCCAGGTGGTTGAGAACCTGCTCTAGACCGAAGACCTGAGGCTTAATCTCAGAAGGCTTTGTTGCAGGAGTCGGTTTCTTCTCCGAGGGTCCCGCAGTAGGTGTAGGCGCAGGCTGAGCTTTGGCCGGCTCAGAGACCTGGGCAGCAGAGAAGATCTTGCCGAGAGACCCTCGAGATTGATCACAATGGGTTCATCCTGCGTCGGGCGCCTGATGGCAGGCTTGCGTTCGAGGCGAGGGGCAGGGGCCGGCTGTTTCGGCTGAACAAGACAATCAGCTACACTGAAGAACTGGAATGACTCGGACATGTCGCTTACCTGAGGTACGCAGGGGAGTCCCAGAGCAGACAGGGCTTGGATAACAGCAGTGCTGTTGTCGAGCTGCGATGGTGGAGTACATCTCACGGGCTGGGTAAAATATGAGTTGGGAGCTGGAGCTTGGTAGACAAGGTGGCGCACGTTGCAAGGATTACCACTCCCTCTGCTGGCAAGGAACCGCAGTCGAGCCTGATGCTGTTGTGCGAGTTGTTCCTGTCGGAGAGCTAGAGCACGCGCACGAGCTTGCTCTTGAGCCCGCTGCTCCTCAGCTCGAGCCTCAGCCTCAGCCCGAGCTCGACGTTCTGACTCTCGTTTCTCCTGCTGCTCACGGAGGATCTTGGCACGCTCCTCGGCCCGGATGGCTTCAATGTCGATGACCGGTTGTTGAGGGATTGGAGGAGCGTTGAACGGAAGCGGGAGTTGGCCGGGAACGACGGATGGATAGTACGGAGCAGGGTGCTGGGGATATGCTGGGGCAACCCCGCGCCAGCGCTGGATCTGCTCGAGCCGCTGACGAAGGGCAGCTTCCTCCTGCTGCAGACGCTCGGCAGCTTCGAACTCGGCTTTCGCCGATTCAGCCTGTGCGAGAGCTGCGAGGTACTTGTCACGGGCTGACAAAGCCGGAGCGGGGATGGGGGCAGCGAAGTACGCGGGCTGAGCAGAAGGGTAGTACTGATAGTAGGACATTGTGTGTCGAGGCTGGATTGGATTGGTGTGAATGAGATGTGAGAAGACATCGGTGGCGCGACTCCAGTCTTTATACTAGGAGACGCGTAAGTGGTGGAGGGACGCGTAAGCTGTGGAGAGGTCGTGCATTGTGTAGTATCTTCCAGAACGACGCGTCGCCCTTGCTCTAGTCATGTCCAGTCAGCGACAGGGTTACCAAGCATTCCGATCATGTCGATCAATGGCATGACGTGATAATATCATTCAAATCATTGACACAGTCCCTCATCTGAGTAAAGCACTGATGCATATTGGGCTGGTCGGGTGTTCAATACTTCAATCCCCCTCACGATCAAGGGGACAAATCCGCAAGCATCTGCTGATCCTTGAACACTCAATTCAATCCCATTTGAGCGTTTGTTTGCGATGAAGATTCGTGGAAGTCATGACCGTGAAATTGTATGGTTACAGAGTATAACAAGACATAATGATATCGATACAGTGGGCAGTGAGCGCTCTGACGCTGTCAGAGATTGTGCGTGTGGAAGGTGATAGACAAGTCCGTTATCACTTGGCGGAAGGAGTGTAGGTTTTTGGATGGTTGGTGGCAGACTGCTGCTCATCGCAACCGCAGTGTAGCCCAGACAGCGATTGCAATGGCCACAGCGGCGAGCAACAGTGCGATCAAGGCGTATAAGCACCTCTTCGCCCATTTCAGCTCTGCGACGCGCAGACGTTCGATGATGACCTGGCGCTCAGCGTCGGTTTTCTCCGGTAGCCATGCACATTCAACGTCGGAGTCGGAAACGGAGGTGGGCGGCGGTGCACGCAAGGGCGAGAACAGGATGAAGACGCCCATTATCCAGAACGGCGGGAATACTGCAATTGCAATCAGTTTTGTGTGCTTGGAGCCAGCAGCGAGGGAAAAGACGCACGGAAACCGAACTTGAACAAGTACATCGCCAGTGTGACGGGCTCTTTCGCGCGCACGGTGTATTCCGGCGCTTCGAGGTAAGGTGGGGGCAGAGCGGCAGAGTCGCGGTGCGACGATTTGTAGGATGCCACTGAGTTGCGCCAGGAGCCTGAGTCGTGGCGGCTGTCGCGTGTGCGGGAGGACGGGACACCGAAGAAGTCATCGACTATGTTCGTGTACTGGGTCGCAGATTGGCGCGAAGCTGCTGGAGTAGGCGCAGCGATGCGGGCGGGCTCAGAGGCCGAGGCAGACGCGGATGTGGCGAAGAATGCAGACATCTTTCGTTAAGAGGCGTGTGTGGACTGTAGAGAACTGGTCGTTGGATTGGTCGTTGGTGGGGAGGCGAGTCTGGGAAGGCTGCGAGCTGAATTTCAGCATCCTTCTGAACAGTTTTATACAAGCACCCATCCCAGTCCAATCCGGCAATCGACTCCAGGAGGATTGACTTTTCGGGAAGGCATCTCTCCATATATGGTAATTTAGTGTAGGCGCGCGATTAGCACCCCGGCTAATTGTGATATCTATCGTTCCAATCCTTACACCCATTACGGATTGCTTTTCAACGAGCAAATGAAGCTCAGGAGGCTTAAGCTTGTGTCGTTAGAGGTAAGAACCAGAGGGCACTCTGCTTAGCGACCTGAATTCAAGTGAGCCAGGTCGTGTGTAGTAACTGGGTTTCAGTCGAAAATTTGCTGAACCATAGTTTGAGGAGCATTACAGACAATGTATGTAATTGTCAGACCCTGCATCAGCGAGAGTTCAACAAACAATACAACTCAGTCATTGGCCATTTTAGGTAGCTGTTATTAGTTACCACTTTGAGATGATATGTCAAAGTTGCCTTATTTAGTATATGTCCAAGCGCAAGAGGACTTTACCGAGGATGACTTCGACCCATGTTCGCATCTTGTCCACTGCAGAAGCCGTGAAACGTTCATTCCATGAGAGTCAACAACATTGCGTTCCGTATGATATCAACACACAACTGGGGTCGTACTGAGTTAGCGCTGAGTGGCAAGTAGTTGAAGAGAGACGAGAGCGAGATCGCCTACAGCTGTGATCAGAAAACAAATCGAGCTTAGGAGTGACAACTAGTGACAAACGATATTTCCGATGCGGGTTCGATGGTTTTTGAAATCTACCTATTAATAATACACAGGTACGCTACAGACACAATGTTCACGAGGACCGCTTCTTCAACAAGCCCTGAGCGATCTCCTCCGTGTCGCTGGTCAGATCCGGCAACCAGAATGCCTAACGCGCTCGGTGAACAAGCGCACGAACTGCTATGCTGGACGACGTACCAGTTCTGATCCAGCAGAACACAACATGGCGAGACGAGGATTGAACTTCACACATCTCGAGGGCCCGGGATGTCCGTCAAAACTCACCAGCGGCTGCATTCGCAACATTTTCGTCGGGTCCACGGCCCCAGTCGGGTCATGGAGACTCTGGACATCCCAGACGATGATCTTCCCATTCAGGCTCCCGCTGACCACGTATTTGCCGTCTGGGGTCCAGCCTACTTCCTCCCCGCTGCTGCCTCTCGACGGCTCGATCATAGGAGGAGAGCTGATCGACCGCCGTTCGAGACCGACATGTCCTTCAAGTTTGGCAGCGATGTGCCCTTCGTATGAGTCCACGATATAGTGTGCATCACCCGAGCACCCGACGAGCAGATGGCGGCCGTTGATCGAGAAGGACATGGACGTCATAAAGATCGGTCTCGGAGGAAAACTGATTTGGCCCAGTGTTGGGTCGTTCAAAGTGATGACCATAAACGGAGCCTTGTCGTAATTCTTCTGGTCGTACAGAAGAATGCGCGAATAGTGATTCACGGCAACAGCGAATACAAGGCCCGTCGCATCGTACGCCACAACGGGAGTAGATGGAACACTGAGAAGCCCGCGACATGTGGGTGCTCGGAGATCCCAGAGACGAACAGTCCTGTCCTGGGAAGCGGACATGAAACCGTCATCAACAGGCGACATTTCCAGCGAGACCACGCGCCCTTTGTGACCCTTGAAGTATTGCAGGTACTTGTTGTCGTGCAGGGAGTGATACCGAATAGTGTCGTCCTCTTTCGTCGAGGCATGTAGAATAGCCGTGTTCTTATGCGTGAACCGGGGCAGATCGACACCGTACTTTTTTGAATGTAGAATTTTGGTCTGCCTGTGAGTATCTGAGCCAAGATCTGCACCTGAAAGCCAGGCAACGCACTTTCCCGTCTTGCAGTTATATAAGCGGAACGTCTCATCCTCGGACGCGGTGATAACCTGGTCTCCCCGATCGTCGTAACTGATGCCTGTTATGTGTCGTGGACCAGAGTACTGCGGTCGCGGCGTTCCGCTCGGTCCCGGCTGTGGGGTCGGTTCCACGGCATTCTTGATGATTTTGGCAGGCTTTAGTTTGGTCTACACTCGAATCATTGGAACGCGCTACATTTCAAGTGAGGTGAAGATATACCATGGATATGGATGTGAGTTGGATGGAAGGCGGCGGGTTGACCAGAGTGCTACCTGAAGCCTGAGGGACCATGATGAGCGCGTGCAAGTGAAATGCGTGAGGGTGATTGTCTTGTGACTAGCGTGACTGATTCTCTTGATCTTTTACCTCGAACATGGCACAGGCCTCGGAGCAGGATGAGAGCGCAAAATTGTGGAAAGTCAACCGAACGATACACGAACTGGTTAAAGACAGAGTTAGCTCGGATGGATTTGGGGAAATGCGTCGCTCAAGAGGGTTCTAGGGCTTCTCGGTTTCAGAGGATGAACTCACCATGGATCTACCCACTTTTCGTGAAAGCTTCGCGAAGCATGGCTCCATCGAGTAACTCATGACCGCTAGTCTTGCCGGCAGTGGGTCTGACGCGTCTCCCAGCCGCAACAGCTTGAACTTCTACACGAATTCGCCAACCGATCCTACCGAGCAAATCTTTGTTTTCTTCTCTGACGAGAAGAATGTCGGTGTGAAGACAATGCGAAAGTATGTCGTCGGACCGTGGTTAAACGAAGAGTTCCTGCTCATTGCTGTCCCAGGCTTCTCAGCATATTAGAAGAAAAATCCATTCAACGAGGGATCATTGTCTTCCCGCAAACCATGACCTCTTCAGCCCGCAAGGTGCGCGCATCTCGTGCCATTGCTCTCTCGGAAGCTTACATGCACGTTTTCCGCAGGTGATCACCGCCATGGCTGCCACATACCGGCTCGAGGAGTTTTCCGAGTCCGATCTCCTCGTCAACATCGTCCACCACACCCTCGTGCCGCGTCACGACGTGCTCTCACCGGAGCAGAAGAAGCTGCTGCTGGAAAAATAGTGCGTGTCATCTCTCGCTTGTAAGTTTTTTCTTGCCCTGAAACCGTGCTGTCAGTCGGTTGAAGGAGACGCAACTGCCTCGCATCCAACTGGCTGACCCGGTGGCACGCTACTACGGATTGCGAAGAGGACAGGTGGTGAAAATCACGCGGCCCAGTGAAACGAGTGGTCGGTACGCTAGTTATCGCATCTGTTTCTAGCGATAGATATGTGCACTTGTGTATTTTTATATTCTGATATCATTGTATAATGCTCGTGAAAGCGACGATCGTAACAGACATATTCATGCAGACATTGTATTTTTGCCACTAAGCGCGAGCAGCGTGCCACTCGTCCATCCATTTGACCATCGTGGCCACGACCTCGTTGAAAACTGTCGAAGCATCAGTCGATAGTCGACACACAACAGACCAACGTGTCTCTTACCGACTCGGGTGTTGGGATTGGCCATCGCAGTGCTCGTGATCACTAGAAATGGGTGTCAGCATTTTCATCTCAATGCATGCAAAGGCGCCCGTACTGTCCCCTGCGGACAGCGTCAGCAAAGTCGCAAGAATGCGAATAGAACAATACGAACAGCAGTGCACTCCGGTCTTGACGAGGAGGATCGGCTGCATTTCGGTGCTCTTACGAGCGGGTGCGTTCGGGAGCAAGCTCGACACAGTTCCGCTGCGCCACGGGTCGACTGGGAACAATCAACACAGATCTCATGTAATATCCAGGAGACTCACATTCTCCGTTGACGAACAACAGGCGATCCACACTGCGTTGTTTCGTTAGGGAAGCGCTGCAATAGAGAGAGAGTGGGGAACGCACCTCATGTCCCATCCACCGTAAACCGGGTTGAGCGTATCGACGGGTGCTTTGGCGGGGACCGAGACACCATTCTCGGCTGGGAACCACAGAGGGCACTGGCGCTCCCAGTATGCCGGGTTGACCAGCTTAGAGACGATCGATGGCGCAGTTGGGTTCCCGTCCTGCCAGAACGCGATCTGCGTGCTGGAAAGCGATCTTTAAGCAAAGTAGAAGCCGCAAAAGATGTGCGATCGCACCAGAGGAGCCACCTAGCGCACTCGTTTAGCATTTGCGCTGGGATTCAACGAGAAGCACTCACATCCAGGGCCGATAAGTGTTGGTAGGCGCAATGCTATTGGACTAAGCATTGACCGTGTTTCCGGAAAAAAAGTTGTACGCACTTGGTGTAGCTGGCGGAGGTCGGGTCGTAGGTTCCCCAGCTGTCTGCGATCAGGCGCAATACACGGTCATGGAAAGTAGCCTTACCAGTTGTCATTATCAAAATCAGCACCACACACTGTTCGTTTCAGTCAGCACCTTGAAGCAACATACAACGTGAGAGCCGTACGTTGCTTGTTCAACGCGGTTTGCCACTGGGCCCATTGACGGGTAGCATATTCGACACCGAACCCATCAGGTCCAGCAGTGACGCCGTGCCGGGTCTCGAGCATATCGCAGAACTTGTGAAAGCATCAGTCTCGGTTAGTTCCTGCGTGAAGGAAAGCCAACGAACATCGAAAAATTGTTGGTGAGCACCGACGGCTGGGCCAAGCGCCTGCCAGCTCCAGGGCGCTTCCTCCAATCCAGAAGACGCATCATCTGCGTGAGTGACATTTCCGAACCCGAAAAGGGCTGGGCACAGAGTTAGACGTAATGATCGCCGCTCATAGCAGGATACTCACTCATCAATTTCCTCTTCTCCGCCGGCTTGCCCTGCGTCATGACTTTGTCCCAGTGAGTGATAACACGCTTCATGTCAGTGCTGCAGTTCTGCGGTGCTCCGGCGGCAACAGGCACGAAGTAGCCGAAGCTAGGAGCCAATGAGAGCAGTAAAGCAAAGAAAATGAAGATCGCACAAGTCGTAGATTGCCTGAGGAGTATAAGTTAGACTCTGCCTATGATTATCCCAGCGAGGCTTACCTGCACCGGCGCAGAGGTGGCATAAGAAGCATAGAACAGATCGGGGAAAGTTTGCTTGACGTAGGCAGCGAGCACTCCAGGGTAGGATCCACCTGCGTCTAGGTCAGCCACGATCTTGGCGTCGCTGAGTGTCTCTCACCATTGAGAATCCAAGCTGTGGTCGGCGGCGGAGTGACCTTAGCTCCGGAAGCCCAAGGCAACGCAACATTCTGGGCAAAGTACGCATAGTCCTGAACCGCGTTGTGGATAGTGAAGTACTTCATGTTGGCCGTGCTGTAATCAGCAAAAGGCTGCCGAGGACGTCAGAGAGGGGCAAGAAGGGCCAGAGCTTCTAGCACTGACGATGGATTTTCCCCAGTAACTGAGACGCAGTTAGCCTTCAACAGCACAGAAGAGGAACATGACCTCACTCACCGATGCTCCATGACGATCGTAGCGCCTCCAGTCGCATATCCAATGGCCTGTCGAAAATGAGTACAGAACCGCGCTCAGGTGTCAGGAACAGACTCACTCCCGTGATGGTTACGTTCTGTAGATAGCCTGTGTATTGCGATGCATCCTCCTCTCCACTGTAACTCGTGTCATTTCTGCCGCTTCGGGTGTACCACATCGACTGCACGCACGCATTGAACAGGATGATAGGTCCACCCGGCTTGTAATACTTCTCCGAAAACCAGTATCGCTGCTTGAACGTGCCCAGCGATGGATTGGTGTGGTCGAGCAGTTGGTCGAAGAAGTACTCCACGAGGCCCGCTCGAGCGTGGGGCCCATCAGCCTCGGGCTGCCATTGGATGGCAGGCTGCTTGGGCATCGCCGGAATACGGGGCATGGCGGCGGTCAGAGACGCAAGGGACACCAGAGCGGTCGCGAGCCATCCGGAGGAGCGCATGGTGGATCAAGCGGTCCGTGTTAGCGGGAAAGAAGTTAGCAGCATTTTATACGCCCTGCCAGCGCCGTCGGGCCTCCATGAGATCAACAGAAGATAAGGTTGGACACATCGGCCATGTGCTTCAATATCAGAGCTGCCCCAGCACCTTCCTTGCCACAGGCCGACGCGGTCACGTGTCAATCGTTTGATGTTCCCTGGCACAGAATTCTGATTTCTCATCAAGGCACAATGAAACAACTCGGAAGAATTCGAAGTGAACGGCATCAGACGCGCAAAAGTCGGGCCAGTCAAAGTTCCATGCCAATCGCGCTGACCGCCCTCGACTCTTCGCAAAGGACAGACACCGTACTGCGCGTGGGCGGTCCACAGAAAATGTGTGCACCACATATTAGATAAGAACGTGTGATATGGTACAAAAGCATGATAAGTGGAAGCGAGGTCTCGGGAGATTTCGCCCGCAATCGCAGAGGGCGGGGCGGGGCCCCGTCCGCAAGTATCTCAATTGAAAACAAAACCACCCGTATTGATTGCCCGCGGCAACCCGGTTCGGAACCCTTTGGCTCATGAACCAATCTGACTCACGGCTCCACTGATGACAAGCGCAACCATCTCCGTTTTCGCATGGAGGTAGATCAGAGCGATTCGAGGAGGCAATCACAACTTCTTCAGCCTTGGCAGGTGACTTTTGTGGCGTTGCCGACCGTGGAAGCGCGCCCATGCATTGCTGACCGAGCCTCTTACTCCTTCAGTTTAACCATGTGCCTCCCTCAGCGTTCTCTTGGAACAAACGCGGTCTCCAACTCTCCAGGTATTCATCCGAGCGGCGAGCCCACTGCATGAAATGCTGCAGCAGCTGCTCCTGCGCCGACTCTAGTTGATTTCATCGAAATCGTCCTCGAATGCCTGCATTTCGACTGCTCATATTCAACGTGGACCGTGCACCTACTCCCGCGCAGGAATGTTGGCGATGTCTGTGCTGCCCGATAAGACGAAATCTGGTCGCGCCGGAGACTGTTTTCTGCGCTCTGATGTTTTGCCATCGTTCTATATTGCCGCTAGGAACGATGCTCGTAACAAACATATGGTGAAGACATTGTATTCTTGCCGTTAAGCGCGAGCAGCGTGCCATTCGTCCATCCAGTTGACCATCGTGGCCACAACCTGGTTGAAGACTATCGAAGTATCAGCCGACACTCAACACAACCAGGCCAACGCGTCTCTTACCGACTCGGGTGTCGGGATTGGCCATCGCAGTGCCCGTGATCACTAGAAATGGCCGTCAGCATTCTCATCGTGATGGATGCAAGGCGCGCGTACTGTCCCCTGCGGACAGCGTCAGCAAAGTTGCAAGAGTACAGAGGGAAGAATACCAACAGCAGTGTCCTCCATTCTTGATGAGAAGGATCGGCTGCGTGTCGGTGCTCTGACGGACAGGCGCATCCGGCAGCAGACTTGATACAGTTCCACTGCGCCAAGGGTCGACTGTAAACAATCAGCACATATCCCGTTTAACATCCCGCAAACTCACATTCTCCGTTGACAAACAAGAGGTGGTCTTCGCTGCAATGCTTCGTCAGTGGAATCCGGCATTCAAGAGCACGAGAATCACGTCATATCCCATCCGCCATACGCGTCATTTATCTCATCGACGGGTGCTTCGGCAGGGACCGAGACCCCATTCTCGGGCGGGAAGTACAGAGGGCACTGAATCTCCCAGTACGCCGCAGTGACTTGCTTGGAGACAATCGACGGTCCAGTTGGGTTTCCGTCCTGCCAGAAACCGATTTGCGTGCTGGAGAGCAATCTGTCAATACGGCCGAGTTCCCGAAATAGTAAACCATTCGCACCAGAGAAGCCACCTTGCACGATCGTTCAGCGCTCGCCTTGAATTTGCAGAAGAAGCACCTACATGTAAGGCCGATAACCATTGGTAGGCGTAACACTGCTGAGCTCGGCAAAGACTCTGAGGCCAAGGAAATAGTGACGCACTCGGTGTAAGTAGAGCTGTTCCCGTCGTAGGTTCCCCAGCTGCTCGATATTGAGAATACAAGTGAATGTCCGTGGGAGATCTTACCAGTTGTCATTATCGAAGTCGGTACCACACACTGTCCAGTGGTCCAGTCAGCCAATTGGAGGAGCAGAAAAAAGAACGGCCGCGCATTTTTTGCTGAAAGCAACTTGCCACTCGGCCCATTTGCTAGTAGCATATTCGACACCAAACCCATCAGGACCAGCAATCACGCTGTTATTGGTTTCGAGCATGTCGCAGAACTGGGAACAGTGTCAGTCTCATGTCGATTAGAGCTCAGACGAAGACCAGCGTACATCGAAAAATTGCTGATGAGCACCGACGGCGGGGCCGAGCGCTTGCCAGCTCCAGGGTGCCTCGATCAAAGCAGAGGAAGCATCAGCTTCATGAGTCACATTTCCGAGACCGAAAAGAGCTGAGCACAGCGCTGTCAGTCTCAGCGGTCGACACTCTCGGCCGAATTCCATACCCATCATATCGCTCTTCTCCGCTGCAGTTCCCTGGCTCATAACTTCGTCCCAGTGCGTGATTACACGCATCATGTCGGTGCTGCAATTCTGCGGTGCTCCAGCGGCAACAGGAATGAAGTAGCCGAAGCTACGAGCCACTGAGCACTGCACGGCAAAGCAACGGAGGATCGTACAAATCTAATGTTGCCTGAGGAGCATACGTTAGACTCTGCTTGCAGGCACCACCACAAAGCTTACCTGCACCGGGGCAGAAGTGGCGTAAGCAGCATAGAAAAGATCGGGGAAAGTTTGCTTGGCGTAGGCAGTGAGGGATCCGGGGTAGGATCCGCCTGCGTCCAGGTCAGCCATGATTTGTACATCGCAGAGCGTCTCTCACCATTGAGGATCCATGCCGTGGTCGGCGGCGGAGTGACCTTGGCTCCGGCAGCCCAAGGCAACTCGACGTTCTGAGCAAAGTACGCATAGTCTTGGACCGCGTTGTACACAGTGAGGTACTTCATATTGGCCGTGGTGTAATTGGCAAAAGGCTACAATGCGCGTCAAATTCGCGAAAGAAGAACCAGGGCTTGCAAAGTCTGACATTAGATTTGCCCCAGTATCTGAAAGGTCAGCTTTGAACCGCATAGGAAAGGAACATCAGACAGCTTACCGGTGCTCCATGACGATTGTAGCGCCCCCGGTCGCATATGCGATGGCCTGAAGAGTATAAATATAGAGTCTCAACCTCAGGTATCAGGAGCAGACTTACTCCCGTGATGGTTCTGTTTTGGAGATAACCTGTGAAGCCTGAAGCATCCTCCTCTCCACTACAACTCGTGTCATGGCTGTCACTTCGGGTGTACCCTATCGACTCGACGCACGCATTGAATAGAATGATCGGTCCACCCGGCTTGTAGTAATCCTCCGAAAACCAAAATCGCTGCTTGAATGTTCCGCAGGAGGGATCGGTGTGGTCGAGCAGTTGGTCAAAGAAGTACTCCACGAGTCCCGCTTGAGCATGAAGCCCGCCAGCCTCAGGCTGCCATTCGATAGCAGGCTGCTTGGGCATCGCTGGAATACGGGGAATAGCGATGACAAGGGACGCAAAAGACACCAGAGTGGTGGCGACCCATCCTGAGGAGCGCATGGTGGTTCCAGTGGTCTATGCCATTGGTGCACGAGTCAAAAGCATTTTATACCCCAGACCTGCACCGTCGGGCCTCGGTGATGATCGACAGAAGTTCAAGGTGAACGCACCGGCCATGTGATACAACATCATAGTTTGCTCCCAGCACCTTCTAGCCAGACACCGACCAAGTCCGTTTGTTGCTCCCTAGCGTTCTTGCTTCCTGTTGCGGCCCAGATCCGCAACAAAAATGACACGATTCCATACCAAATGCGTAAGCGCATTCGAAGTTCCACTGTTCCAGAACCAATCGCGCTCACACCCCTTGCATTCCAACACGAATCGAGTACAGACCCCGCTTGTTTCATGTGTCTGGCGAGAAATCATCCGGCACCTGACGCGGTACGTTTGATAAGAAGCCGCGATATGGGGATAGAGCATGAGATAAGTGACCGCAAGCGAAGCTTCGGATGAGTCTCGTCCGTAATATCTGGCGCCTCATGAGCCCATTCATAGCCGTTAGTCCGTCGCTTGTAAGGCTAAAAAACGCATTTACTTCTCGCGATGGTTAAGCTCGGGACTAGACAATCGCGAGGTCTATGCGCAAGACAATTACAAAAAAGTGATGAGGTCCTCAATCCGATGGGGACACAGTCGCTTGGTTCAGCATCGGTTCCGATTTTTTGAGGGTGAAGTTGGCTTGATTCAAGCTTAGCCTACTATCAACGGCCACTCGCAGGAGTTGAAGTTACAGGGATGAGTGAAGCGGATACTTCGCACGTGAGTCAAGTTCTCCATGACGTACTCATCAATGTGCACAAAATCTGTTCGTCACTCCCAAATGGATCCTGCCACTTTCAGTGCATACACGCAGTAATTCTCGTTCAGCCTTCTGGGTAGCGGTATGAAGGATGACTTGATCATCAAGGGAGATCTACGAGAATGACCGGTCTAAGCTTCAAAGGTCATTCGATACCTCCTGTAATGCACAGGTCCTCGACATGACCTTCAAGGTCAATTATCCTTCTCGTCTCCAATCTTTCTTCGGGTCCACCAGATTTGATCACAATGCCCAAACGGTGCCGTGGGTCCAAGCAAGAGCTGATCAAAGACGAAGCATCCAAAGGCGCTTTACCTCGCTTAGTTCCACTGTCCGTGCATAAAAACAAGGATGGTTCGGGAGTCTTGTTCTTTTCTATCGATAAATATCGGGACTTGGACCTCGCCTTTGCTATTCTACGACCGAAGATGACGACCTTATGGGTGCCTGCCATGTCCGGTGTGCGTGGCGTTGTGCATGTGAAGAAGCTCCGGGCTTGACGATCCACGTATAGCGCGTCAACATCCTGAACAGCGAGGGAGATGACGAAAAACGGGCCAAGCTCATAGATCCTGAGGGTGTTCCTTACTGTGTGTACATGGGCCTTAACATCCAGCGACGCATCTCCGAGTCGACTATTGTTCATCAACTTCTTCCCGGGCAGGGAAGTATGGCGGTGCGTGCCTCTATCGAATTGATATATATATCCCCTCAGTCTAAACTTGTCACGCAGAAACACGGGAACCAGGGGATTCGATTCGACGCGACCGATTCGTGGCATTATCCCCCGAAACACTATCTCCCTTGGCGTCATTCCCCAGCCGGACACGTCCCTATCTGTATAGGGTTCGAGCCGACGCATGGGCCCGGAACAGAGGGTGTTGCTATCACAGAGCTTTCGAAGGGGAGAGGCATGCAGGATATCAGGCAGCGCATCGAGCCTCTCATCCCACGCGATATGCGAGGCCGTCAAAAAGCGTTGCTGAGGATCGAGTTGGTTTGCTATCACACCCTCTGCAGGATGGGGCGCTCATCTCTTCCAGTGGCCTGGCTGCAAACGGGTGAGCAGGAGCATCGTCTTGATGGAAGATGAATCGAAATATGTTACGCGAACGCGTCTCGGGAAGGAGCTCGCGAAAATCTTCGAAGCCTTTGTCACGGTTCGTAGCATCTCCCCGAGCTGGTCCGTTCGCTAAACGTGTCCTTTGGAACAGCAATACATGCCATCGACGGTTAAAATTAGCCCGCAGCAATTGAGGATCATGGAGCTATGCTCAGAGGATGGGAGGATCTTTGTCGCGCGGGTTGGTATTGTGCCGGGAAGAATATAATAGAGAATTCAAATCTGGGACCATGACAGTCATGTTCGGCGACAGACCGCGCGCACGCGATCTTCCACTGAATCAGAAATGAGCGGTGATAACTGTACGACAAACTACTCTGGTTGCACCGTTGAACCGTGCGCGATTTGAACGTGTTGTATGCCGTGGACATGCGATGCTAGCTCAGAGATTCTCTCCGCATGGTCATTCCTGAGATCTGCCAGCACAAGTGTCTCCAGACCGTCCTCAAAGGAAGCCAGAAAGTTCACATCTACTCCGCTCCCGTCCACCGCCTTGAGAACGACTTTCTCCATCGCAGGGAAGCCGACAGCGCTGATAACCGATAGCAGCATCGTCCACGCGAAACCGGTGATCTCTTCCACCTCCAGGACACGTAAAACAGGCGAGGAGAACGCAGTCCCGAAAAATCGAGACAGCGCTTGGACTCGATCCATCGACGGAGCATGCAGTCGCGCGACGCGAACGAAGGTTAGATGAGCAGGCGAGAAGGCTGGACTAAACGGCAGTCCTTCTCTCGTCGGATTGCTTCCGTCTACCGACAGTCGTTCGAGATTGATCATACTCGGGAGGCGAGAGTCTTGGGTGGGATACTCCACCGAAAGAAGTTTCTGTTCATCGAGCATCGCGAGCGAGGACTGGACTAGTTCGATGGTGGTCAACCCCCCCAGGAGAGATGCGTCAGACGGGAAGATCATCGCGCGTTCGAGATGAAGAGCACGGAAGACCGCTGGATTGAGAGCAAGTGGGCCGATGTGCTGCATCGGTCCCGTGCTGGTTTGGATGAAAGCAAGCCGTTCCAGAACTGGCATCCGCAGATTCTGGATGCGGAGACGGATCATGTGGAGGACAGGGTTGGTGGCTTGTACGTGCAGCGACCGCCAACGTCCAATGTGGTGGATAAGAAGGTCCACACCTTCAGTGTACTCTGTGCAGACGCGGTACCGATATTGCTCCAGTCGGATGTAGATATCGAGTGGGAGGCCATCCGTCCGAGACAGTCGAGTGGAGATGCTCGGAGGTAGGTCACGATCATGGGTAATGCGCACAGTTGTCCAAAACTCGGCCGTCCTGAGCGCCAGATCCCTCCATCGGCGGGCTACGGAAGCTAGAAGTAACTCTCCAGGACTGTTGGGTGGCTCCGTGTCGTTTACGACATGACGAAAGATGCGCGAGTAGATCTCATCAGACAACGAGATTAGTCTCGCCATGATCGGACTTTTTGTTGCGAGCGAAGCGAGCAATCATCGGCTAAAGGGGTGGAGATTCACACTAAACAAGAACAAATTCTCAGCGCGCATCAGATGGCAAAATGGACGAGTGGTAACCCTCTCAAACTCGTTCATTCTCTCTCCGTTCACCTTCGTATCGTACATGGACCTTCAATTCCACTTGTTAATGGGAATTGTCGAGTTAGGGCGGGATTGGGCAAGAATTGAGGTGTGTACAGACATCCTGAGCAAATCCATTCTTTCTCTTCATTCTTGCGTTCATTTCTCCTCGTTCCTGGTGTATTGCACCTTCTATCCTTCCCTCATACATGTACCACACTTTGGAGTCGGAGCCTGGCATGTGTAAGTACACTGACACGCCCCCGTTACTACTTAGTACTCTCGACTCGGGAAAATTCCATCCCGTTCCGCGATCCGGTCACGTGGTATAGTCGGACTATTTGACCACAGACGTGTCAAGAGTCTGGGAGGAAAGAATTTGCCCTACAATATAGATGATTTTGCCCGTAGATATGCCTCGATATGTACAGAATGATGTCTTCGAAGCGAGCACCTGGCGCTCGTGCGCGATTCCATTTTAGAATACCGGAGAGTGGCGGGGTGCGGCTCGGACGCGCAGGGAGATGTGCTGCCTTTAAAAAGACAAGGACAGGAAGGATAGTCTACTATCGCGATGATAGGCAAAGTCTGTCTATTACTAGGACACAATCCAATCAAGAAACCCGTACGTAGGCATCGATTGTACAAATAGAATCAACGGGAAAAGCTTCCAACCGACGACACCATCATGGCAATCCTGCATCGGTGCTAGGCTTAGACTCCAGGGCAGCATTCTCCTCGTCATATTTGGCAACACAGGGGGAGTGGAAGACAGTCGTATTCCAGATGGCCGGAATAGTCTTGGTAACAACGAAGACCCAGAGGAGGAAAACGCCGACTAGAATGACATATCAGTAGAATTCTGCGAAGATAAAGCGAAGGGGTAATCACTTGAAAGCACGACTCCAATGTAGCTCATGACTTTGCTATCGAGCACAACCCCCAGTTGCACGGCGAGCAGGGCGAACACACCGTTCGGGAAAATCATGCCCCAGTAGCCGACACTGAATGGTATCCGCTTCTGGACGAGCGTGTTTCCGATGACCATGACAGCGATGCACAGCCAGATAATGCCCATGCTAAAGAGAACCCAAGCAGCACAAAGACACGCCCCCTGGATCGATGAGGCGGTGATTAAAGGTCCCAGGTCAATCAAAGACAGATTCGCCGAGTTTTGGAGCAGAGAGAATCCGCCCTGGCCCAAAGGTCCCAGGACAACGAACGACGAGAGGATGATGCCCGTGTCCAGCGGTCCGTGAATGATGCAGCGCATGAGATATACAGTGATCATCATGAGGGCCACAGAAAGACCCATGGCCAACATCGTGAATGAGACTGCCGTTGTGAGAGCGACAACACTTTGGTGCCCGGGAAAGGCTGCTGCCACAATCCCACCAGTTGACGATGCGACAATGAGGGTGACCACTGGGAGCAACCAGAGCGGGGACATGGCTTGCAGTGAATGCTGGTGGTCGCCATCCTATTATTCGGGTTGTTGAGGGGCAGATTCTGGAATCCGTGGCTGAACGCACATTACGTAGAGCATTCCAACGGCCATCGCGAATGACACCGCGGAATCCAACCACCAGAATCCCCACAAGGCCCACAGGAATCCCGTACCGCCCCATTGCCATCTCTGGTGCGCAACGACCGCAGTATTTATGAGTGTTGCCGCGCCCATAGGAAACGCGCCCATGAAGAGACTTTGCGCTGGGTGTCGCAGCATCACGGACCATAGCTACAACGCGTCAGCCTCGCGGTGGCCGAGCCAATGCGGTTGACGGACCTTGGGATACAGCGCGTAGCGTGCAATGGTAGCCGAGCAAATGAGGACGAAAAAGCCAAGGTTCAGGAAGAAGAAGAGCAATGTGAGCGCTTTAATCGCCTGGGTGTCTTGTCCTATATAAAAGTGGGAGAACAGGCCGGAGACGGAGCCAGTCCCCATCACCACCTGAGACAAGAGTCAGACCAACTACCTGAATCCGAATTGCACAGCGAGCGCACTGTATGCCATGAAGGGGTGAAATGCCTGATGCAGGCTTTCAGGTCTTTCCGCACGCTGGACATGACGAGGTCGGAAAAGAGTGCAAAGTGACTGATCGTGTAGGAGTCGCGCTTCGGCCTTATATCAGGAGTACGGCACAGCCAATCATTCGGAATGTGTGTTGGTTGATCTCGGACCTTCGGAATCCCTGCTGCATAAAAATCATGGCTTCATGACAGGTCGAACCCAAGCGATGGCTGAGGGCGATATGAAACACTGCACTCCGACGCCTCAGGCTCCCGTAGCTGCGAAGGAAAGGGCAGCGCAGCCTCGTAAAGTTGCAGGGATATCGGCCGGGTCCAAATTCGGAATTCGGAATTCGCGCGTCGCATGACAGTGTCGCATGCTTCAGGCATGGATACGCTCGTCGATATTCTCATGACGGGACGTAGAAGACGGTAATCAACCCTCTTGGCAGTGCATGGTGCGAATACGGGGTGGCAAGGATGAGAGAAGCGGCGATAGCAAAAGTCATCGAGATTGTTAGCATCACCCTGTCGGACCATATTCCCTATGTCATGCCAAAAATCGTGTCCCGGCCCTTTCGGCCCGGACCCACTTTTCCACACAAAGGCAGAGCAAACTGCTACAGACTTTTGTTTGCACTGGCGCGACTTTCTAATGGTCGTAAATTGACTAGAAATTTCTGGTATACTGCCCACATACTTACTCTCAAGGCTCATTTTTCTGCTTGCCAATCGTACCATGGTGTCTGACACGAATCGAAGCCGCCGAACTAGTCGCAACTTCGACCTTATCCACTAACATGGATTTCAGCCACGGTGTCCTTCACACACCCCAGTCCATCGGCGCATACAAAGGCTCTGCCGTCGACTTGGATGGATGCTCCTATGTACGCGTGTACTGGGTCGATCTGGTCAACGTTCGGCGATGCCGGATCGTGCCCCTTGCGCACTTCAAGGCGCTGTTAGAGGGCAGCCGGCCTGGAGTCAATATCGCGAAAGTCGTTCTCGGACTCGTGTATCTCAAAATGGCCCCAGGCTTCTCGCCTTGCGGGGAATATCTGTACGCGATCGATCTGCCTTCCTTGCGTCCGTTACCGTTTGCGCCGGGACATATGGCCGTGCTAGGGCGCTTTGAGGAAAAGGAGCCCTCTTTGGGGTCGAACGGAGAACAGTCGATACAGGTCGACATGTGCCCGAGGACTTTGCTGAAGTCTATCATTGAGTAAGTCTCCCTTCGTTTGGACCATGTTATCTTGCTCAATCGTATCGTTATCTTATAGAAAGCTTAAAACTGCTACCCACACGGAGTTCCTTGTCGGCTTTGAGTCGGAGTTTACTTTGCTCGAGTGCACAGACCCGGTAAAGCCTGTGAGCGATCATCAGTTTGCAGCTTCAACGGCTCTCCTGGCCAACAGCCCCGCGGCCATCGTCATGGAGGAGATTGCGGAGACTGTCCAAGCGGCTGGGATCAAGCTTGAGATGACACATGCTGAAGCGGCCCCCGGCCAGTTCGAGGTCGTCACTGGGCCGCTCAACCCGATGGATGCCGCGGATGCGTTGATCTTCACGCGTGAAATCATCGTCCAGGTCGCAGCAAAGCATGGTCTGCACGCCACTTTCGCACCCCGGCCATTCATGCGCAGCGTCGGTTCTAGCGCTCACGCGCACATTTCGGTGCATTCGGCCGACTCGGTCAAAACAGCCAAGAGTCTCTCACCACATGAGGAGTCTTTCCTAGCGGGGCTGATGGATCATCTTCCCGCCATCGCTGCTCTCACGCTTCCCTCGCCAGGATCTTACAAGCGGGTGGGAGACGGTGTGTGGAGCGGAGGAACCTATGTCTGCTATGGGACTGAGAACCGGGAGGCTCCAGTTCGTTTGACGAATTTTGCGTCTCCTCGATCCCGCAACTTCGAAATGCGCTTCATCGATGGAACTGCCAATCCGCACCTGGCTCTTACCGCTATATTCGCTGGCGGGCTGAGCGGGCTGAGTTCGATGAAGAAGCTAGAGATGCAAGATTGCGGAGCTCGCATGAGTGCAGCTGACATGATCGAATCGGAACGTCAAGCGTTGGGGATCATTAGACGCATGCCCACTACACTGGAAAAAGCACGGGCGAATTTGAACGAGGATTCTGTGCTCCAAGATTTCTTGGGCAAAAATTTCGTGGAGAAGTACTGCGTGGTAAATGAGGCAAGTCGAGCATTCTATCTCCTGCCAAGTACTGATGTTTTCTCAGCTGCTCCAATCTGCACTGACTCCTGAAGACGAAAGTGAGGCGGAGCAATTGACTCGTCTGGTGAATTTCTATTGATCGGGGCGTAAGGGGTCATCATATCGTAGCGCCAGATTTTGTAATCCCAAGTCACGTAGATAGTAGATAGATGTTGTCCAAGAGACTGTTTCCAAAGTTCCAAGATATCAACCAAAGTACTTGCTCAATCCGTCGTAAATGAGGAATATCAAAGCAGAACTTGGCCCTGATCGCAATATTGTGATGCCAAATCCCGCGTACAGTCCTCTGATTCCCTGTGCCCTGTACAAGGCCCGGAAAGTGTGTAGAAAAGTGGGGGGCTTCGAGCCACGCGCTGTCGGACGAAGTTCCGACTCCGTCTGCATCGTCGATTTGACTGTGTCGGCAGGAAACATCGCGAAGTTGAAAGCAGCACCGGCACACCCTCCGGAGAAAGCAGATTCCCATGGTAACAGTTCCTTGGCAGAGGTCGATGTGAGAGTCGTAGGGTCAGCGGGCTTGGCCTGCCGTCGGGCGACGAGCAATGATGCAACAAACTCCTTCACGGAGAACCACGCCGCCGTGCCACCGTTTCCCTGATGAGCGTTCCCGTCTGCCCGAGCCAGAGACCTCGGAACCCTGTCTCGCGGATGACTGATCTGAGCACGGCTAGAGGCCGGGGAGAAGGTGTGCTGATGACGGCGTCACAGACAGCATCTGCACTTGCATTTTACATTTTACCAGCTCTATTGGCGTTCTGTGTAGAGATGAGGATCAGTTGATTCGAGAGCACACAGACACGCACAAGAGAAAGCTTGTGACGGCGCCAGCCCCTGCGGCAGCCAACGCGACTTGTGGCATGGAGCATGATTCATCGGCCCCCTGATGGTTGACACGCTTGATGAGATTCTGGAATTCGCGATACGAAAGAAACAGGGACGCGTTTTCAGCCATGGCGCCTACTATAGGCGCTGGCAGGCCCTGATATGAAGTTTCAGGGGCCGTGATTTGCAAGTATATGCAGTGGACGCACCCGATACAGCCCAAGAAATCCCTCGTTCCTCCATGTCTTGCTCAGACAGTCCCACGGCCCATTAAATCGTGCTTCCTTTTCCAAGACTTGGGCTGAACGGGATTCAGCACTTAATCCCCGTGCCGAGGTACCGGAGAGAGGGATCACATTGTAATCGAACTTTGGTTAGATCGAATGGATGCTCGAAAATCTTGGACACAATCCCCGCAGCCTAGTTCCAGGCCTTGAGTCTTGTCTCAATCTTGAATTGAATGAGATTTGAACACACACACTGCCATAAGCAATATCCTGTGCGGCGCGAAGAGCTCCAGATGGGTCGGAGGACATCTACAAGCGTACAGTCTGGCTGCTTTTTGGGAGTAGGAGACAAGATTGGTTGGAATAGGCGCGCTAATTGATCCCAAATATAAGGCTCTGTTATGAATGCTTGGGGTTGGCAGGAGCTGGCCACTAGATTGGAAAAACAAGAAAGAGCAGTGATTCGGACGGAACTCGGCAAGTGGTGGTCAGTGGCGGTACAGTCCCATCAAATGCCCTCTTGGAGAAATAATGTTTCAGCATCTCATGCACTTTCTTTCACAAAGCCCCAGACCTGCACCTGCATAACGCTGCGTCCATTCGAATCAGATGTCCCGCAATGCAGCACCCGTGCATGGCAACTACCATGGATACTACGCCAAGCGTCCATCCATACGCGACCCGCGCTTGGAAGTTCTTCCCACCGCACTGTTCGCCGGCAAGTGCGTACTCGATGTCGGATGTAATGAGGGATGGGTCTCGTGCGAGGTCGGTAAGTGCGTGTCACTCCCGTGAAAATATGCGTGTCGTACGTTCGGTATGAGTGAGAGCCCATACTGACGCCATGCCCAGCGCAGATACATGCTGCACGCAAAGTTGTCGGGGTGGACATCGACGACGCGTTGATACGCGCTGCATGGCGCAAAAGACGTACTGTATGGTCCACACAGGGTCCAGCGCCATCTCTGCCTTCGGACGGATCAAGCTCTTCGCGGAAGCGGAAACGCGAGGAAGACGCCCCTGCTGTTCTGGCTGACTACTTTCCCGCCTCATGTGTGCACTCCGTAGGACCATTGCCGATACCAGACTCATCTCCGGAGATTTTCCCGCACAATGTCGCATTCCGTACGGCGGATTGGGTCAACGAAGCGATACCCGAGGATGCGGAGGGCTACGATGTCGTTGTCGCGTGCGCTCTGAGTGTCTTACTCGCGTCCATGGCTGATGCGACGCAGATTTTCCATCACGAAATGGATCCATCTTAACGGCGGGGATGACGGCCTCATACGGTTCTTTGAGCGCGCAGCATCTGTGTTGAAGCCAGGCGGTTTTTTGTCGTTGAACCGCAAGCGTGGGAGACTTATCGGAAAGCGCGTCGGATGGACAAGGTGAGTCGTGCCGTCCGATGTAAGACGACAGAGCTCAAGGGATTGCAGAAATTTCGGGACACTGCAACAACGCTGAAGCTGCGGCCCGAGAACTTTGCACAGTTGTTGAGCAAGCTGGGTTTCGAGGAACCCACCCGGCTGGGCTCGGTAGGGGAAGGCGGTTTCAGTCGTGCAATTGATCTCTATTGCAAGCAGCCCACATAAATGAATGATACAACAAGTGTCAGTCCGTTATAATCGTAGATGTCCGCGTATAAGATGAATCGTAAAATTAGTCGCCTCCGCGTAAGACTCTCACCCAGTCACCTTCACCACCACCGTCCCGCCATGTCGCATCGACTGGGCTGCTGGGAGCCCAGAGCTCCTGCCCTCCAGGACATCCGCGGCTCGCTCAAAAGGCACAGTCGGGTTATCTTCAGCTAGGCGGGTTCCCTGGAAGGCCATCTTGACGAGTGCGGCAAGCCCATCGCGAACATCCTCTCCTGACCAATCAACGTCCTGGACTGGGCTCACAAATGCATAGCCAATCTCAACTCTGGTCTTCTTTGCGTTCTTCGTCTCTACATCGACTCCTTTCCTCGAGCGCATACCCGCGCGCCAGTAATCCTTGGCGCTCGGAATCACCCTGCCAGGGTGGTCTCCGACAATGGTCGTGAACTGCTTCATCCTCTTTCCGCCGCCTGTGGATCCAGAAAGAAGCAGTTGAGCCCCTGCTGCCCAGATGTCCCGTCCACCAATCGTGTCGACAACCGCATCAAACTCGTCCCCATCCGCCACCAGACGCTCGATGGCGCGCACCGTTGCGCTCCTGACGGAATGTGTGTCACTGCCACAAGTCGTTTGGGAGACATAACTCGAGTATGTCTCAACTGATGCGCGTCGTGAATGTTTCGGGCTCATGTAGTCTTCTCCGTCATCAAACACGACCTCCTCGACACCCCAACCTCGCGTACGGCTCTGCACATCAGCCATGTAGGAGTCGTCGCCCGACGAATCCGGCCCTGGGGCATGCACGCACACCCGCCATCCGCTCTTGTCAACATTTTGGTGATCAGCCCTCCGACACCCGAATGGCCATTGATAACCAATACTCTCCTTCGCCTTTTGCCAAGCTTCTTGTCACGACGCTCAGACAAAGGAAACGGATCCGCAATTTCGCCCTCGGGTGTGGTCTGTTGTGGAGCACAATTTGCGACAGAGCATTCGCACCACGCAGAGCCCAAGGTCCCGATAGCGCGATAGGCGGACAGACCCAGAGGAAGCAGTGCCAGTTCCTCCAAACTCAGCGAAGGTGGCGATGCCGGCGGTGCTGCACGTGATCGCTGAACGATGGACAACGGCCTAGAAACAGGATACGGAGAATCCCGTATCGGGAATACGTCAATCGGCGAATGGGATCGCGGTGGAGTTGAAGATGGCGACGGAGAAGGCGACAGCATACTTGGTTGAGGCACACGCTGTATGCGGTGACGGTCCACGATGATAAATTCAGCCAGAGCGCCGCTCTATACCAAATGAGCAAGACAGCCCGAAGACCGTGATAAAGGACGCACCTTCTTCACATCCATCAGGCCAACAACCCATTCACCCCGTCTAACATCATCAGAGACATCCCATCCGCATTCAAGCACTCGCCCGACAAAGGCGCGCCCGGGAATGAATCCGGTAGATGGCGGATCTGCCACCTTTTCAACTGAACTCGAAAACGACTTGAGACTGGCAAGCGAACTGCGAAACTCTTTGATGGAACCAGAAACAGCAGCATCCGACTCCGAAGAACTCCTTCGGCTGATGCTCATCGACCGGCCGACAAGTCGGCCTAGACTTTGTGTTCTACTTCGTGCGGTCATCGAGCTCGTCGTGTGCGTGCCCAACAGCCGTAGATCCACAGCGTCCAGTCCTACCGCCCATACTTGCACCAGAATGCCGCTTTTGGGTACTGACGGCGGCGTTCGATAGTGCGTAAAACCCAGTCGTGAGCTGTGACTTTGACTGCCAGCAAGCCCAGACACCACTTCGATTGATGCCATCGTTGGGTTAGTTGGACGCGAACGGGACAGGTCAGCCGGCGCTGAAGACAGGCGCATGGAGTTGCGCAAGCGGCGTGCGATGGGTGTCGAATGCGGGATAGGCTGGGAAGAAGGCGGTGCTGTTGGGACAATGAGGGACGTATAGGCGGGAGTGCCATATGACGGTAACTCTGGAGGCCCTGACGGAGGGGGAGCGCACACAGAATGAGTGCCGTGATGGCCATGCGAGCTATCACTGCTCTTGGAAGTTATGGGCGACAGGCGGCGAGAAGAAGTGTGGGAGCGAGTCGTTGGCTGGCTAGACCGTGGGTTCGATCGACTCGAATTTGAAGTAGACTCGGAAGCCTCTGGGACAAGCACAGCACTCGGCGGCGGAGATACCGGTAGCTCCAGCTTGGATGTAGCGTTCTCGTCCTCCTCCAGTAACGTCGTCATACTCATCATGATACTCGGTGTGGATGACCGCGACGTTCTGGGGGCAGCTGCTGGGATGATTGGTATCGTTTTACGGGGTTTCTGTATCTTGTGGGCAAGCCAGTGGAATTCATTCTCCCAGTCCTTGTCAGTATAGGTGGTTGCCGCACGCATAGGGATGGGGGCTACAGGCTGCGTGAGCGTCAGGGACATGTGCGACTCAGATGACTGTCGAGGAGGGAAGAACACGTCGTCTTCATCAGATATCTCTCCGTCACTTGGCTTTAAGTGATATCAACAGGAATAACTTGGGCTGGTAAGCCATGACGTACCGAGGATGCAGTACCTGGTGGGGCATCATACGAATGCGCGCGCGAGTGCCTGTTATTGGTCCCGGCCGTCTGGGCAGCAGCGCGTATCAGGGCCGGCTTGTGTGAGTAGTAGTTTGTGGTGTCCGGTATGCTATACCGCTGCGACGGCTGGCCCAGCAGCGTCTGCAACAGCGTGGGTTTCATCGCAGACGACAAGGGAGCATCGTGACGTCATTCCAACGCCTCACAACTTTCAGTGAGTGATCGATCACGACACTATCACGTGGCTCGCGCTTGATTCAAACACCCCCATCGTTAGCCAGACCTTCATTCAGCTGAAATAGTTCAACGCGATTCTGAACATGAAGCAGCGCCAGAGTCGTGGGTCCGCTTATCAGCATAACTCTTCCTCCTTCCAATTATCAAACTTTGCAGATGCACGTCAAGCCAAGGGCAGTCTTCGGTATTCACGCCTGAGCTGATGGCGAAGAGGACAGAGAAACACCTCGACGAACTAGAGGTCGGTCAGATCGGTACTGGAAACTATGCATTGAAGTCGTTAGCGCACGAATTATGTCGAATCTTCCATGCCCGATGACGGCGAAGAAGCTGCTACTACGGTCCATACAAAAGGCCGGGCAAGACAGCTCATCTCCGAGAAACGAACCCGCGACATCGCCGGACTCGGCAAGAGAAACAGAAAGAAGTCGTCTATGAATGTTCGCAGTGCGCTTCTCTACCGAAAAACATTCGCTACGCTCCTCGACGAAGCCCATCTCCCCGACTCCGGGCCGTCGTACATCACGGCAGCTGCACCTCCACCGGCATATCCTCCGCGGTTGTTATGCTCCGTGTGCGGGTACTGGGGAAAATATAAATGCCAGCGGTGTGCTTTGCCATACTGTGATCTCAATTGTGAAGGTGTGCATCTGGAAACACGCTGCGAAAGAAGGTTGATAGCGTGAAGAGCGAACAGGTGTGTACTGTGCGTCGATGATTCCGCATAGCCCTCGATAAGCTCTGCAGAAATGCTCATCCTCCTAGGGTGTTTCCGACTGGGTGCTTGTTCTAGATGTCTCGGTGTCTGCCTCCGCATATAACATCTCATGACATGTCTGAATTCGGGTCCGACCATGCAGACCAGTCGGGTTGCCAATGTTCGGTATTCTGCCTTTTGTGGACTAGTGCAAACACTCATTGGACCCTCACCCACGTGGAGGTCCATCACCGACTCGACACAGAATCCGAGGCCATCCGCGTAGCTGGTGTTGCTGGGACAGCTGTTCATTTAGCGGTTATATCCCGCGACATAGAGCCTCGGTCGTTTCTTGATTACTTCGTCAACCATGGAGCTCCCTGGCTTCTGGAGTCGAGACTCGAGAGCGAGGACGGTGGCGAACCGGGTCTAGGACGTATGTAGCGGATGCAATCTTATGAATGTACCTGAGGAACTTCCGCGCCCAGGATGCAACAGAGGCGAGACAACTCCCAATGTTGCGGATGCATCAAGAGCCGCGCATATGCAGATATTGCTTCGGGACTGTTGTCTCGGGAGGCGACTTAATTATGGTTCGGCCAATGCCGGCATAAAGGATAAAGCTTGGCAAGTCCCATCGCGCATCACGTCGGCAAGGAAACCACTCCAAATGGGCATAGATCGCAAGCAGCACTCCAGCACTCGACTCCGAGGAGCCCAGGCTCTCCAACCCAGGAGAAAGTACAAATTGGCAACGTCGAAGCAGCCGTTTGTGCGGCCATCGTCAGTTGCAAATGCCTTGAAACAGGAGACAGGACGACAATTTCGAACGTCATCATCTCCCGTAAGAGTTTGATGAAGTTCCCTCCGCGCCGGAACTTTTCTATGCTGACCGCTTGCGGTCATTCTTTCCTTCGTCCTTCTTACGTTCTTAACTGCACGCGCTTGCTGTGTTTTCCCAGGCATATTGCCTTTCCCTCCCTCCTTAGTTATCACCTTCGTTTGAGAATCGCAGTGCGGTGCCCTCATCCTCTTGTTACCCGCACACATACATGGACCCCGATTTCAAGTTTCCAGCGCGACCGATACCTCGCGCAATCCCCCGTCCTCCTCCCAGCAAGCCTGTCGAGCCCGAGAGCAGGCAGTCTAATGCTCTGCGCGCTTCTGTTCTCGACGTTGCCCTTGAACTAGGTTTCGGCACGAATGGTACTATCTCTAACTGGATGTTCAACAATGCAGTGGACGAGGAAGTCGAGGAGGAGCCTGAAGATGTCCGTGCTATTATCACTCGAACTGCTCCCTCACTTATTCCCAAGTAGGATGTCGCGCCGAAAGAGTCCTCTTCCCCTGGTTTCGACGACTACATTACATACTCGACACCTCCGACGTCCACCGAATCTGGCTTTGACGCGGTCCAGACCCGAGGCGAAGTTTCGCCCACAGCGCAACAGCAACCTCAGGTCCATTTTCCTCCCTTGCAAATCCCTCCCACTTCCACACCGAAGAAGAAGCTTCGCAAACCGCGTCCGGACGGGTATGAAAGTGATGGAGGCTATATGAGTGATGGAGGCAAGAAGGCGCGTGCGCGCACCAAATCTAAGCCGACAGATCCCGGGGTCGCATTCCCCTTTGGTGAACCCACCGAACCGGTGCCGGCTCCTAAGGAGGAACAGCGGCGATGGAGGAAAAAAAGCAGCAACAAGAAGGAGAAAGATACTGGTGCCGAGACAGACGTGGAAGAGAGTGGGAAGAAAGTCAAATCGCCGCCGAAGTCGAAGAAGAGCAAAAAGGTCTCTGGCGATGCGGGTTACGAAACAGACGACGGGTACATTTCAGCCAGCGGCAAGAAAGCAAAACGCAAGTTCTTTTCTTTGCGCCGGAAAGCAGAGTCGCCAACTGAGGAGACTGTTGTTGAATACATCCCTCCCGTTCCTGAACTCGCCCACTTCCCCCTTCCCATTGCGTCCAGATTCGCCACCTCCAGTGTCGATCTGCCGAGTGCTAGCGCATCTACCATCCGAGCAGAAACTCCGATCGCCCCACCGACGCGACCGTTTGCGTCGAGTGCAGCCTCGTCGTCTGTATCTCTAATTTCGTCGTCAAATTCCGGACATTCTCCCCTCACGCCAGACGACACCTTTGGTTTGCGAGCGCTTCATCCTGGGATCCCGAATCCATTTTCCGATGCTGAGAGCTTGTACGGTGGGCATCACCCGGACAAGAGTGTCGCATCCACTATCTCCCCCTTCCCATCCGCATCAACGCAAGGCCCGCTGTCGGCCCAAGGGATGTCGTCTCCTCTTTCTGGGCGGCCGATATTACGGCCCATCCACACTGCCAGCCCATTGCATCTCATGACAGATGGCGCCGGGCCAGCCCCGTCGCGATCGGCGTCGCCGATGGGGTCGCCGTTTGTGATGCTGACACCGATCAATACGAATCTCCCCGCTTCGCCGCGACCGCGGGACCGTCCTCTGTCGCCATCTCCGTCCGAGATCATCCCCTCGAGCGACTACATTGTCCCGTCCCGGTCGACATCGCCGCTTCCGTCTCCGAATGTGCTGGCCTACTACGACGTCCCGCCACCCAGCCCGCCACCCACCGGCCCGCTGCCCCGGATTCCGCGAGGCGCCCCGCCGTCGGCGCATCGGGATCCCGCGCTGGGCGTCGCCCGCCTGCGCAGCATGAGTCAAGACCGGACTCGGGCTCGCAGTCGGAGCCCGAATCCGGGCAATAACCTGGCTGCCTCGAGTCCCGATCAGGCTCGCCCGGTCTCCCCCGGTGGGCTTCCGCTTGGTCCCGGGGTCCAGCGTGGTCGCGCATCTCCGTTTCCGACGCAGCCGCTTCCCCGGCAAAAGGTCGATCTGGCCAACCGATCGCGCGCTGATGTGTATCGGGATCTCTATGATAAACGGAGAGATGCTGATGAGGACGACGACGACGACGAAGTGGGCATCCGAGTTGAGCAATGGGACAGCGACGAGGAAACGGGGGGACACGACGCCATCTTCGGCGTCATGGACCGATTCCGCGACACCCATGAAAGCCCGTCGCCCTCTCCCGGCTCGGCCCTGGAGAGGAAGGACTCGGGGGCCCTGCGACCGGGAATAGGCAAGCCATCACAACGCATTCGGTTCGCCCCGCCGCCGATGGCACCTCCCGAGGAGGACGATGACCAAGCTTCGAGGTATCCGGATGACGAGTCGAATGCGGGCGGATACAACCGCGACACGGTCTACAGCAGCTACAGTCGCGCAAGTTTTATGGACACGGACCGGAGCCAGAGTGTCCGAGGGAAGCTCATCGAGCACGTGGGTCTGATGTACGAGGACAACGGGCGAGAGCGGTCCCAGGCGATTCCTCCAGTCCCCAAACTCCCTCCCGACCTCGTCGCTGGAGGCAACCGATTTTGATATTATCTAGGTTTTTTTTTTTTGCGCGTGTGATGTCTGTACTTTTTTTTCGATTCATTGCGCCCTAGATGGCCATTCCCCGATTCATCAATAAAAGTGATCCAGGCTTGCAAAATTCGTCGAACAGTTCAAAAGAAATATTCAACTTTCAAGATGGTATACAAGTCGTATCGATACAAAAAAAAAACAATCACTCTGCGCTGTCATTTCGGATACAAAACTTCTTGTGCTCTTTCCAGTGCGCCTTCTGGCAAGTAGGATCGCAGTACCGTGTTTTGGCACAGCCTCCACACTTCCTCAAAATAGCAGACGGATTCCCACACCGGGAACATCTGAACAGCGCGACGTTCTGCATGTCGAACGTCGGAGAGGGATGATGCTGGCCCCGGTGCGCATCCTCGTCGCCGTGGTTGCCCTCCAGCCAACTGGCGAGATCGTCTTCCAGACGCTCTGGTTCTGGGTTTGATGCCGTCTGACCCGTGTGCACGGAGATGAAATCGCCCCACTCGGCCATTGCTCCCGGAAATAGATTGACTACCTTTCGCTGCGTGAGTCGCATGATGGTCTGGGGCGTCCGGAGGCGGAGCCACTTGGCGATGTCATCAGCAACCTTGAGTCTCCTCAGGGTCGTCTGATTGATCCAGAGCGAGATCAAGCAACAGCAGGGTCTGAAGAGCCAGAAGCACCCACCTGGAGCTCACGCAGATCAGAACTGACGTGTTCGTCCATCGCTATCCGCAGCAGAATGTTCCAGTACAGAACATTCCGCATGTTGCGATTGTCGGGTGGCGCCTCAGCAATGTACGTCTCGGAGTCCTCCAGAGCACTCATCAGAAATGCGATGCCCTCCTCCCACTTGTGGCCCCCCTCCACTGCTGCTGCACCTTGCAGTATCCGGATTCCGAAATCGCCTGCGTGGTCTACAGCCCGCTGCATGAGCTGGAACCGGATGAACGGTGTGATGTTCGTGCACTTGATGCCCTTCTTCGCTGCTCTCATCCCGACTTCGTGGTCTGCCGATAGACTGAGCGCATAGTAAGCATAGGCGAAACCCGGATTGCGCTTCAGAGCGTTGTTGGCAAGTAGGGCGGCATCGCCGTGCCGCTGTTTCCTGATCAGGTGCTTCAGATCGAGGACGTCAGCCAGGTCTGCCTCGTCGGGCTTCCCCTGAGCACGGATAGCTTTTGCGCAATGCGGGAGGGAGTCGGCCCAGGTCTGGAAAGGAAGCCCGGTGTCCATCTGTTCCCTGCTCCCTGTCCTGGGATTGACAGTCTCAAAGTATCCATCGAAGATCGAGAACTCGGTCCTGACAATGAGACCTGCGATAGTCAGACCCAACGCGTAAAGATCGTGGTCATCGAGGATTTTGTACATAGTTCGCTGGAATGCAACCGTGCACTGGGCGGTGAGCGTCGTTTCACATCTGAGGACACCGTAGGCCGACAAGATGTCGGCGACAGGGCCAGGGGCACCCTTCTGCGCCGCTTGTATCAGATTATTCGGGTCAAACATCTGGATATCCTCCTCAGAACTTTCTCGATGCAGCCGCACCAGACCACCCAAACAGATGCAGCGGAGGGTCCAGTCCCGACTGCGCAATCCCGCAACGAGAAGATTCACGGTGGTCGGCGGCACATCACAATGCATCGTGCAGTTGGCCAACAGTGATATAGCGTGTTCCTGCATCTGACGGTCTCGCGGATGTCGTCGGAGCGCGTGCGTGACAGTTAATACGATGTCGCGAAGAGGAAGACGCTTGATTAGATCAAGGTCCTTTTCCTCGCCCGGTTCGTCCACAGCAGCCAGGATGCAATGCGAGAGCGTTGCCACGGCAAGACTGACTGCTTGCCCGTCGTCTGGGAGATCGGCCATCGTTTTGAGGAGGATGGCGCTCGATTCTTTCGCTATTTTGAGGCGAACTTCGACACCACCATGGTGCGTCACAGTAGAGAGGGCACGAAGAGCCAGATGACGACAGGATGGGATTTCTATGAGAGAGAGCAGTTGGTCGAGAAAGCCTGGCCACGTTGTATTAGTCCTGTTCTATACCTTCAAACCCAAAATGAAGTACCTTTTTCCAAGATCTTGGTACGCAATATAGCGTCGCAGCACATTCGAGTGTAGATACCGACGATCCCACCCCTTACTCGCACATTGTTCGCATTTCGAACATACGTCTTGTCGAGCTTGCGGTGGATCCTCTCGAAGTTGGCATGGACCTTCTTCAAACCACTGCGGGTGGAGAGGTCTTTCGAGGCGGTTGGCTGCATGAAGGAGCTGAGTTGCGCGACACTCACCAGGCAAATCAAAGTAGTTCAAGAGAACGTCAACAACTGACTCCCATTCTTTCGCGTTGTCAAGATCTGGTACAACGGGGTCTATGACCGCCTGGGAGCTGGAACCAGCGGCGGGACTGGATTTCTTTGGCTTGCTTCTGTGACCAGGTCCGGGCATGGCCTCAGAGCATAAGTGGGTGTACAAGAATGAACAGTCGGAGACCAATCTACTGTGAGCGCCGCACCGGCTGATAATCACACAATCAGCTTCATGATGCAACAATGATCCTAAACGCGCTCACGTGAGATGCACTGACCACGACGCGCCGCCATCCACCAACTGAGCCAATTTTTACAAGATGTAAAGAAAGAGAAACGAAAAGTCCACGATGCATTAGAGAGATCCTAGCAATAGTATTAACGGTTGAGATTCGTACTCGAATTCCAGGCGGGCTTCATAAACCTCTCGTAGATTGGGGTGGAGAACGATTGTGGACTGGGCGACCGCATCGCACTGGGCGGAGGTGCGAGGTGGTTCGGAGACTTGCGAGGCGAGAGATCGGATCGGGAATCATCGTCATACCACGACCTGGATATCCTCCTCGTCGCTTTCTCCAACCGACTTTGACGACGGGCCGCAGTTACTGGCTCTGGAGAGCGACTTTCTCGGCCAACGAGGTTCACTTTCTCCTTGCTTCCGAAAGAGAACATCCGCCTGATCTTAGTCTTCCCTGGACTGCCATGCTCAGAGGGTGCTTTCTCGGCCGCCACCGCAGTCTTATTCTGCTGGCGCTCCCTCGAGGCCTGAACCATCTTTTCTCGATCCGCCACCGTTTTTGCGGCTTTCCTTGCTTTTGCAGCCTCTGCAGCCAGCCTTGCTTTTTCCTTCGCGTCAGAAAAAGCCCTTCGTGCTTGAGCGCCTCGGAAGCGTGACTGGACCGCGACGACGCTCTGTCGGAACATGTGATACCGTCGCTTGACGACATATTGCCGGAACTGGGCTTGCAGCAGTACGGCAGCGTCCAGTCGAACTGAGCGCAGTGCCTCGAGTTTCGCCAACACGCCGCCTCTCAAAAAGATTTTCGTTTCGCCCATCTGGAACAGCGTCTTGTCTATCCCCGTCTTCTGCAGGACAAGCACACAGAGGCGCTTGAATTGCTCTCGCTTGATCAGTGTTGGCGCCTCTCTCCAGTGCACGAACATGAAGTATCTGCCAGATCATAAGGTCCATTTGTGAGGCTATCTGCGCAGGCTCACCTCTTGGCAAACTCCTCGAATGTCCATCGTGAAGGATATCCTGCTGTGCTAATCCTGATCGTCTCTAGCACACCTGCGGCACGCAACTGCGCCAGGACTTGCACCTGGCTGAACTTCCAAGGCATTTTCAGGTCATTGGGCTTGATGCACCTGATGTAGTGCACATTTGTCATCCGAAGCATCTCCATCAGCGTGCCGAGCGAGCCTTTGAATGTGGACCCCAATGTCGGTTTCTTTACTGTCGCATTACGTGCCGTGGGCAGAGACGGTCGGCCCGGATCCGGGATGGACGACGCGGGCTCGCCCTCGGCTGACTCCCGGTGTAATGCGACATCCAACACTTGGCGTAGAACTCGTTGTTGGATGCGGTCAGCAAGTTCAGATGCTCGTCTGGTAAGGTGTCGCGATTCTTCTCCAGGAATCCATCCACTTGATACGTCACGTCCAATGCGTAATGCGCAATTGTGAACGCGGCATTGGCAAATTTGGGCATCTTATATACCGTCTTGTTAGCAGGCTTGTCGAGTTGTGTGTTGAGCTTCTGCAGGAAGGACGCGTCATTGCCCAGAGGCAGTCTGGACTCCTCGTCTAATATGGCCAGCACACCCAGTCGTCCTATCTCAAGAGTCAATCATAGTCGCACGCAAAGTAATTGATACTGACCTTCCATCAGGTCAATCGCCGGTTGGTTGTCTTCGAAGTCGATGAACGTCCAGTTGATTTTCTCCCTGAGATAGTCGTCTTGAGCAAGCTTGAAGACGTATGTATTGAATTCGTGCTGCAGCTTCTCATTTGCATAATTGATGCAAAACTGCTCGAACGAATTCTGTCCACAAAGTCAGATCGGTGCAAAACAACGAAGCTGTCAACGTGCCTTCTGGAAATGCTCGAAACCGTAGATGTCCAGAACGCCGATGTAAGTTTCCGCCCTTCTCGCGGCATCACCAGTTGTTCCTGTTAGACTGTCGTTGATGGTGGCGACAAGCCATTCGAACAAACAGGTGTATATGAATCGTGCAATGCTGTCTCGCACGCTTATAGCCTGAACAGGTGACAACGCAGTGACGATCTTCTCAGAACGAGTCGAAATCTGCTTCTTGATCGTCCAGCGCTTGAACTCCGTTGGGTCGACCCCAAGGAACTCCATCGCTCGTAACATCGAAGCGTCATCATCGTCGATACCAGCCTCCGCGCGCGTGTGCAAAATGTTGATATTACCTGGTGGAATCATGAGATCATCCCTTTCGAGACTAAAGACAGTCGGGGAACATACCGATATGCAGAAGCGCAGCTAACAGTCGGAATATTGCATGTTGTTTCACTTCATCGATGCCAACGATGCTCAGTGCCTCTTGCATGGCGTAGAACTTCTCTTCATCGTTTAACTGTGTCGTCGACGGTCCACCCTGGTTAAGATAGTGGAATTGGCTGTAGTCCGAGTCGAGTCCGAACTCTTCCAGGCTCGAGGACGTAAGCCCGGCACACAGCTGATAGAAGACATGATAGTTTCGCTCTGTCATTGTCTGGAACGATAGACGTGACCGCTCCAACAGGTATGTTCGCACCCTGGCTCCGACGATCTGCCGGTTGGTATCAAAAAGTAACTAGGGAGGAGTTCAGTACCCTCTAACTTAGAAGTAATCTGTCTAAACTTGCCTGGATATATTTCCCAAAACGGGAGGAGTTGTCGTTACGAGTGGTCTTGGCGTTCCCGAAAGCCTCTAAGATCGGATTGGTAGCCTGAATCTGCTCCTCTATCTGGGTCACATCCCCAATCGGCACGTCTTCATGGTACGTCTTGGGCGAAGCGATGAAACGCATGACCAATTTCGCCTTTCATCCAATGAGTAACTAGGTGAGACACCAACGATCCCCATACCGACTCTGTCTTCCCAGCACCACTAAATTGCGTCAGAATTCCCTCTATCTTGCGGTAACACCGATACGAACCTTTCCCCAGAAACGATGATCGTTTGACCCTTCCCGTCGATGCACATGGCAGCGAACGCCTCCTGCGCGATAGCGAACAGATGCGGGTCAAGCGCGTCCTTCGGCTGGCCCATGTACTTGTGCACGATCTCCGGTGTGTATAACTCGACGGGTTCGAATGGATTGACGGCGAGTAGGACTATACCGCTGTACGTGTAGATTCGCTTTTGCGCGTAACGCGTGGAGACGACGGAGAGAACTGTATAACGATAAATGGTGGAAGATTCGGAACCGTGAATAAGACAAGAAATGGAAGACAAAGACGCGGTGCGCGCACGCACTGGAAGGTTCATTGAGGTGTGAGAGCGTCGCCAGGTCATCGGCGCTTTCCAGTAGAGGCGGATTTCGCAAGTACAGCTTCGCTAGATAATCCGCCTCTCCTGTTACTGTGATCTCCTGCGGCGTCCATGGGCATCGCGATGAACGTGAAAGAGCGGTATCGGACGAACCTTTCCATTGTCGTCCATGGCGACCAGCGTCCACTGATCAGGACCACTGGGACCTTGGTGCATGACACCACTTGCGCGGGGATCCATGCATTTTCCGGGTCTTCAAGGTATAGAGCCGTCCCCGGAGTGTGGGGTGTGGTCATGGCGGTGCGAAGGTGACATCAAATAACGCGGAGTACTTTCCCATCAAAGTCGTGGCGGTGCTTCGGGTAACTCCCTCAACTTTTCCGACCTCGTCACTAGGTACTGACAGCTCATACTCAGGACTCGGGAGTGAAGCTTGAGGCTTGAGTAACCACCTCGGTCACGGCTTGGCAGGCATTTAACACTTTTACTCATACTGGGGTCGCAAACATGAAATAGCTTGACGGACTCGGAACTGGCATAGAAGCACCCAGAATAATCTTTTGTGAATCGGTTTCACTACCAAAAATTCAGGTAGGCCTGATAGTCTATCCATAGATCGTGGGTATGGATTGGATCTTGAATGATCTTCCCCACTCGGAGCTGTTCCCCGCGGAAGATGTTCAGAGTTCTGAGACTCTGACTCGTTCACCTGGATCTATACAAAAGCTCACATTCAACTCGCTGCAAGCTCTTCTGAATCAGGATTCTTGTCTAGTTGCCACGTTCCGCGAAAGGTAGGCTCTCGGTCGGCAACGAATGTCACTAATTTTTTCTGAGATCGTTGCTGTTAATTTTGGAGCGTTTCAAGCCAGAATATACTATAGCCCTAGACTTGATATCCAAGATATCTTTCTGAAAAGGACTTGTAAAAAAGCAAAGTCGTTCAAGAAGTTCAGTTGCTCGCGCCGAGCGGAAGCAGAATCAATTAAAATAGAATCAGATACTGAAGAAAAGCGAATGCGAGGCACAATGGCGAAGAGGGCGGCGGAAAGAACTCTGACAGGAGTAGCGAAGACTAGATGTCTGAAGAGTCTCGAGATAAGCAATAATAAGCATGGTTAAAGTTTCATTAGGTAGCAAGCAAAGTAAACGATATAAATATTGAGATCCTGAAGAGTGTGTGCGTCGATCCAATTTTCATTGTCCGTTCTGGGATTCCAGTCTTTTGAAAATGCAGTTGCTGCGCTGTGGTCAGCGCTTCACCTCTGTGTTTCAGTCAGGTGATCGCGTTAGCATTGATGGCCGCGGCGGCACGTCCCCACATTATCATTCTCAGCTACATATGCGATCATCAGTGTTCTTGGCTGTCCGAGTCTGTTCGCTACATTCATGCGAACAGGACCCCAGCACAGCGACATCATGGATCCCAAACGTGTCCAGCCCCAGCCCCCTCAACCGCATTCGAATGAGTATCGCCAGCGCAGAAAGTTCATTCCCTTGCTCGTCTCAACTCTCCTCGTGGTCGGCTTCATCTGGCCGTTCGTTCAGCAACAGGAACGCCGACTGGTATCTGTCCCACTCAATGGCGAATATATCATTGCGCGCTGCCGCGCCCTAAACACCAGACCCGGCCCACCACCTGATTTTCACCGCCGAGCGCAGTCCGACCGCTTCCAGCGCGGTACGCGTGCGACTTTGATTCGAAACGCGACTATCTGGACCGGATTGGATGACGGAAACGCGGTCGCGCTGGGGGATGTGTTTCTGGATGCTGGGATCATTCAGGGCGTGGGGGATGTCAGCAAGCTGTTGAGGGAAGATGTGTACGACGTGCTCGACGCCAAGGTTTGTTTATGCATTGAGTGCATGTTTCACGAGCTGAGTTAAGACAGGGAGCATGGGTGACGCCCGGGTACCATTCATCTAGCCCTCTCCGGATTGTACGTTCATTCTTTGCAGCATTGTTGACATGCATTCGCATGTTTCTATCGGGTCCTCACCCAGCCTACGCGGAGCCAACGATGTCAACTCGATCAAGGGTCTTGTGCTGCCTTGGCTTCGGGCTCTCGATGGACTCAACACCCACGATGACGCGTTTAAACTAGCTGTAGCAGGGGGGCTGACAACAAGTCTGATCTTACCAGGGTCGGCGGACGCCATGGGTGAGTCGAATGGCGTGCAGGATTGATTTTGATGCAATTGACGTCCACTGCAAGGTGGTCAAGCCTTCCTCATTAAGCTGCGCCCTACACAGGAACGATCCTCCTCTGCGATGCTTTTGGAGCCACCTTACGAGATCAACGGGACGAAAGTCGACTACAACATCCCTCCACGCTGGAGATATATGAAGTAGGGCGAATTCGCTCACTCGAAGTATTATCGATCTTGATAACTGCTCAGACATGCCTGTGGTTCGTCTCCTAACAAGTACCTCTGCTTCGAGTGATTATTCAGTCTCGTGAAGGGGAGAATCCAGGCACGTTCTCCGAGTCTGTTCTGTAACCGACGTTGACTGAACGAGCTACAGCGAGAGTCTACCGCGGAACTCGGATGGACACAGTTTGGAGTGTAAGGCAAGCTTACGATGAAGCCAGGCAGATGAAATTATCCCAAGAACGGTATTGCGAGAAGGCTCTTGCCGGGGAATGGACCGGGCTAGGTCAGTTCCCAGAGGAGTTGAGACTGGAGGCTCTGGTGGATATTCTGCGAGGAAAATTCAAGGTTCAGACTCATTGTTACGAAGCAGTGGATATCGACGCATTCGTGCGCTTGTCCAATGAGTTCCAGTTCCCAGTCGCTGCGTTCCATCACGCTCATGGTAGGAGAACAGCGCCTTAATTCCGTGGGCCCTGTCTGACTCGGTTTTAGAGTCGTATCTTGTTCCTGAGGTTCTGAAACGTGGATACGAGCACCCGCCAGCATCTGCTATCTTTGCAAGTTTTTCACGCTACAAGCGTGAAGCATACCGGCATTCTGAGTTTGCCGCTCGAATCCTGGCCGATAATGGGCTCAAAGTTGCCATGAAGGTGGGTGTCTTGCGACCCATCCGACCTGTCTATACTGATTCCACGCAGAGCGATCACCCCGGTGTTGTTTCCCGATATCTGTTGCATGAGGCTCAGCAAGCCCATTATCATGGATTGAGCGCCAATTTGGCACTGGCTTCCGTGATTTCGACTCCAGCGGAGGTCATCGGACTAGATCATCGTATTGGGTTTGTCAAACCAGGTACCCAAGCATGCGCAAATACTTCGATTTCAACCGCTGAATTCTCCAGGTTATGACGCCGATGTCGTTGTTTGGGACTCACATCCTCTCGCTCTAGGTGCAACTCCGATACAAGTCTTCATCGACGGTATCCCTCAACTTGAGAATGCCTTCGTCTCTGCAAAATCCGCCGTTCTGCAGAAAGCGCCCAAGACACCCAACTTTGATCGGGAGATCGCAGAGACAATCAAGTATGAAGGACTCCCGCCTTTGGACCCAGTCGTTCAGACGTCTCAATCTGTGCTCTTCCGCAACGTGTCCAGTGTTTGGACCAAAAATGGCGCAGGCGAAGTCAAAGTGATGGCCGGCGCAAATAATGTTTTGGTCGAACGCGGGGTGATCGTCTGGTCTGGCTCCGATACCCAGGTCGCACAGGAAAACATCGGGGCCTCCCTGGTCGTTGATCTCGAGGGTGGCAGCATCACACCCGCGCTCGTGTCTGCTGGCACGACTTTGGGCCTGCAAGAGATCAGCGGGGAGAGCTCAGCCACGGATGGCATGGTCTTCGATGCACTCTCGACAAAGATCCCGACCATACTGGGCGACGACACCGTGATTCGGGCAGTAGATGGCTTGCAATTCGGGACACGTGATGCGCTGTAAGCAAGTCTGGTGCTATCAGCTTGCAGCTAACCTTGGGTCAGTCTCGCCTATCGTGCCGGAGTGACCAGTGCAATTGTCGCACCTTCTGGATCCCAGTTCTTCCACGGGCTAAGCGTCGCGTTTTCATTGGCTTCAGCGCATAAACTGCAGTCAGGAGCAATTCTGCAGGAGACTGTGGCTGTGCATGTTTCATTGAGTCCTTCATTCAGTGCCTCCATCAGCACACAAGTGGCTCTGCTGAGAAAAATTTTGCTCGAGTCGGACAAGGATACCGAGTTTGGACGAGTTGCGCAGGTACCGTAATTGTTTGCGAAAGACACATCGTCTGTTCTGACTACTCTCTACTAGGGACTACTACGATTGGTGATCACGGTCGACAGCGCCGATATCATTGCGACGCTGCTTCGCTTGAAATCGGATCTAGAAACGGAGAGTAAAAAACCTCTCAAGATCAGCATCATTGGCGGAGCCGAGGCTCATCTCTTGGCCAAGGAACTCGCTGCAGCAGATGTAGGGGTGATTCTTTCCCCTCCCCGGTCGTTTCCCTACAATTGGGAGCATCGCCGAATCCTCCCAGGGCCACCGCTGTCATCGCAGAGCTCTGCTGCGTATCTGGCAGCACACGGTGTCACAGTCGGTCTCGGACCCCAAGGCGTGCAGGGTCGTCCCGAGATGGGTGGATGGGCTGCGCACAATCTGCGCTTCGATATGGCTTGGGTCATGTTGGAATCAAACGGAACTGTCTCTAAGCAAGAGGCCTTGGCAATGGCGTCGTCAAACATCGAGAAGCTGCTCGGAGTCGAGAGTCAGAATGCCGAGTGGGCTGTGACTAAGGGCGGCGACTTGTTCTCCTTCGAAGCCAAAGTCATCGGCGTCATATCGGCAACGAGGGGTTTGGTTGATCTTTTCTAACGTCGGAGCTCTTTGTCCACTCAGTCTCGATATGCTATGTAAAATGAGTTGTTAATTGAAATGCATAAAATACAGATCCACATTGTCCATATTAGGTTCTACGTATGTAAGGAGCGTTTTACTATCAGTCGAATCAAGCATCCACCTCAGACCAATCGCTGGCCACATCCTCTTCCCTTACACTGGGTTTCTTGGGTTGGGGCGGGAAGGTGTCAGCGGAGAGTAGATATGTGTCGACGTCCGAGTCGACCACGACAGGCTCCACATCCGGTGCTGTGACAGTGGTGACTGAGTCAGTAGGCACAAGAGGTGTCGGGGCTTCCGGCGCAGGATCAGGTGTTGGTTCATCTGCCACTGTTGGAACACTGGGTGATTCGACCACTGGTTCATCGACGGGATGGGATTCAAGGACGACGGGAGCAGGGTCGGGTTCGGATGAGACGTCGACAGAAGATTCTTCGACGACTTCGGGAGCAGGGGTGACCGCAGGGACAGTTTCAACCTCCCTCTCCCTGCCAACGAACTTTCTCCACTTGGCCTCGACAACAGCCTCAACTTCCTCGAGTGCACCCTCGACCTTCGCCACGACCTCCTTCCTCGCGTGCCTCAACCCGTCATCACCGAAACTCTCGACCGAGTCCAATCTTGTCAACAGCCCACTAAGAGTCTGGTGGTACACCCTCAGCGGCTGATTTCGAGCTCCATAGGATAGCCGCGACATCACCGAGTCGGCGCTCGCCTCGGAGCTGAGGGACGATCGGACAGGCGAGCTCGTGCGCGAAGTAGAGAATTCGAGATCGGAGGGGGTAGTAAAGTCACTGGAAAGCTGGGCGAACGCAGCGTCGATGGCTCGGATCTCCGCAGCTGATGCAGAGACGTCAGGGACCGGAGCCGGAGCTGCTGACTTGCCCTTCGATTGTGAAGCGGCGTCCTCGATATCGGCAAGAGACAGGCGAATGGCCTCGGCGAGATCTTGGTCTTCTTTGGCTTGCTCAGACTGCAGACGGGTTTCGAGCTCCCGCTTCACAGTCGAGACTGGGGAAGAAGGCGTTGGGACCGAGCCTGACGACGAGGCCTGGGGCTCAGACTGCACAGAAGGGCGATCAGCTATCACTGGTCTGGTACTACGCCGGAGACAGCGACGAACCTTCTTTACTTCCGAGTCATTCCCGCCAAACAACGCGTTCAAAAATTGCTGAACATCGTTCTGGTCGACAGACCCAGCACCCAGGTGGTTGAGAACCTGCTCTAGACCGAACACCTGAGGCTTTGTCTCGGACGGCTGTGTTGCAGGAGTCACTTTCTTCTCCGAGGGTCCCGCAGTAGGCGCGGGCGCGGGCGCAGGCTGAGCTTTGGCCGGCTGAGAGACTTGGGCAGCGGAGAAGATCTTGCCGAGGAGATCCTCGAGATTGATCACAATGGGTTCATCCTGCGTCGGGCGCCTGATGGCAGGCTTGCGTTCGAGGCGAGGGGCAGGGGCCGGCTGTTTCGGCTGAACAAGACAATCAGCTACACTGAAGAACTGGAATGACTCGGACATGTCGCTTACCTGAGGTACGCAGGCGAGTCCCAGAGCAGATAAGGCTTGGAGAACAGCACTGCTGTTGTCAAGCTGCGATGGCGGAGCACATCTCACGGACTGAGTAACACAGGAGCTGGAATTTAGAACCCGGGGAACAAGACGGCGCACGTTGCAAGAATTGCCTCTCCCTCCGCCGGCGAGGAGCCGCAATCGAGCCTGGTGCTGCTGTGCGAGTTGCTCCTGTCGGAGAGCTAGAATACGCGCACGAGCTTGCTCTTGAGCCCGCTGCTCCTCAGCTCGAGCCTCAGCCTCAGCCCGAGCTCGACGTTCCGAATCTCGTTTCTCCTGCTGCTCACGGAGGATCTTGGCACGCTCCTCGGCCCGGATGGCTTCAATGTCGATGACGGGCTGTTGAGGGACGGGAGGAGCATTGAATGGGAGCGGGAGTTGGCCGGGAACGACGGATGGATAGTACGGAGCAGGGGACTGGGGGTATGCAGGGGCAACCCCGCGCAAACGCTGGATCTGCTCGAGCCGTTGACGAAGGGCGGCTTCCTCCTGCTGCAGACGCTCTGCAGCTTCGAATTCGGCCTTCGCCGATTCGGCCTGCGCGAGAGCTGCGAGGTACTTATCCCGGACCGACAAGGCCGGAGCGGGGATGGGGGCAGCGAAGTACGAGGGCTGAGCAGAAGGGTAGTACTGATAGTAGGACATTGTGTGTCGAGACTGGATTAGATCGGTGTGATTGAAAGATGTGAGGAGACATCGGTGGCGCGACTCGAGCCTTTATACTGAGGGACGCGTAAGTGGTGGAGGGACGCGTAAGCGGTGGAGGGGCCGTGCATTGTGTAGTATCTTCCAGAACGACGCGTCGCCCTTGCTCTAGTCATGTTCAGTCAGCGGGTGACCAAGCCCGATCCGATCATGACATAGTGGCAGTGTAAATCACTGACGTCTTCCTGCTTACCGATCACTCACCTCCCCTGTCGAACGGACTGGCAATCTCCCCCTCCCTTTCCCTCGCCGTTAGGTACCACTCCTGAAGGCCTGAAGGCTCTCTCTCTCTCTCTCTGGGATGAAGACTTTGGGGACCAATTGCTGTCGACGTATACGCGATTCTGCCAGGCTAGGATACACGGGCGCTACTTGCTACATATATATGAGTCCGAGGCTATATCACACGAGCCAATATTCAATCCCATCGATCGAACTCACGTCCTTCCCCGCCGAACCAAGAGCTCGACAATTACAGCACCGACGACCACAACAATCAGTCCCAGCAACGCATACAGACAGCGCCAACCCCACTTCAGTTCTATGACACGCAGACGGTCGATGATCATCTGGCGCTCTGCATCGGTCTTCTCTGGTAGCCAGACGTAGGGAGATTCGATGTCGACTGCGGGTGCTCTCAACGGCGACACAAGAATGGCGATGCCAAGTATCCAGAACGGCGGGAAAACTGCGCGGCGCCACGGTTGAGCATACATGCATATATCATGGGACCGTGGACCGAGGAAGACTCACGGAAACCGAACTTGAATAGGTACATAGCCAGCGTGATAGGCTCTGGCGCTCGACGAGTGTATCTAGGCGCATCGACGTATGGAGGAGGGACATCGGACTGTCTCTCCTTGCAACAGCAAAAGAAGTCTTCGACCAGGGGACCGTTTCCGGAGATACGAGAGGCAGGGAGCTGCTCGGGGTAGGTTCTCGAAGGGAGAGACATGGTTGGACGAGACTATTCGGGTGAAGAATGCGGGGCTTGGGAGTGGAACGGGAAACGTGCCCCTTCTTATGTCCCCGACGGTATAATTGAATGACAATCTAATCGTCGTGGAGACAACGCAAACATCGCTGGATCACAAAGAACCCAGAGATAGCTTCCACGAACACCAATTGCTTTGTCTGTTCTTGTTTTGTCTGCTCCTCGTGGTTGAAAGATGGAGCGGGGCGTCAAGTAGAAGGGTCAATGAGACACAGGACCCGTCGGCTCACCGCATATGGATTCAGAAAGGTTGAAATGTTCTGGAGATCTTATATTCGACTCGTAGGACTATACTTATGAGCAGTCATAGATACGAAAGCCGTCTACACGAGTCACAGGCACGATGGATTTACAGCAGATTCACCAAACCCTCGCCCATGTCGTCTGCGTTGTACCACCAGAAGCGCTTCGTAGTCTATACGCAAGCGGTGAGATTCATGCGCAGACTACAACGCATCTGACTTGCCTGGAGGTAAGCCACGCCATTTTCAATGACGATCTGGTTCGTCTTGTCGTTGGTGGTCTGCTCCACGACGCGAATTTTGAATGTCTTGGAGGGAAGAGCTTCTTGGAGTCCCTCCTGGAGCATTTCGTCCTTCTTGAATCCTGCAGTGCATTCAGCCGCAGTCGGACAGAGCTAAAGAGCAAACGAACCCTGTTTCAGAAGTTGTGACTTCAAACCATCGAAGTACTCAAAGTGAACTTTGCCAAAGTTGAAGTGCCACTTTGCTTTCGGAAGTGACGACAGAGCCTCGTAGTTCTCCTCAAAGTTGGGGTCGAGGATGACACCCGAAATCCCGGTCAGTTCCTCGATCTCCGTGCGCACAGCGTCGATGCCTGGGCTGTAGAACTTTTTGATCGAGTTCTTCACCTCGAGTGCGAAGCCGCCGGTAGCTGCGGCCTCGATTGCAGGCAAGATGACCTCCTCTTGAGACGTGATGTCGTAGCCCACTCGGGCAGGGTGGAACAGCAGCCGGAAGACACCATCTTGGACATCACCAGCGATAGTAGGTGCGCTGTCACCAACTTCGTTGACCTGGAGCAAGCTCAGTTGGTTTAGAATCCCCAAATATCTAGATACTTACATTCACGGTCAGTTCGGCCTTGGATACCGCAGCATTGAAATGGGCTTTGCCGTCTTCGCCGTAGCTGTCGATGAAATGCTTCAGCAGATAGATGAACCCTTTGCTGTATCTGAGAGAATCCGTCGGCTTGCGGGTCAAAAACAATGGCTAGCGGTCACTCACTCGTTCATCATGTTGCCCAGGGAAGTCCGATCGAGGTCCTTGACGTAAGCAGCGAGCAGATTGGGATTGTAAGCCAGCGTAAACTTGGAGATCCCGAGCAGCTTGGATATCTGTTCCTCAAAGTCGGCTTTGTTGCCGTCGAACTTGTCGCGGACTGCGGCGGATTGTATCAGCAATCCGGGCTCAACGGCACACTCACCGTCTTTGCGCACGGCGAGAGGCAGCTTCTCAACCAAGGGCTTGGGGGTGAAAGACATGTCGAATGGGATCTTGCGGGTGAGTGAAAGGTGTGTATGCTTGAGATTGTTGAGGATGGTATGCACCCCCAGCCTGCTTTTATAGCAGAGCAGAGGCAGAACATAGCGCCGCAGGTGGCTGAGGAGTTGATAAATGATGAACCAGGACAGCGAGCGCAGACAGAGACAGACAGCGAAGCCCAATGTAGTGCTGCGGGCCAGTGACCATGAGATGACGGACATGTAGATGAAGATTGATTTACACACCTGGAACCGAGTAAGATGTCGAGAAAGATGAAACGGAGCAGCTTGAAAAAGGAGAGATCTATCGAGCCAGAGTTGGCCAGAAATGAGTATTCGAAGTCTTGGTATAGCCATTATCCAGGCGACAAGTGCGAATGCATTGAGGGTCTGGTGTGAGGAGGGCGCCGATGAGCTTGGCATGAAGCTGTTGACTGTAACTGTCTTGATCAGATGCGTAGCGTCTCAGCGTGACGGATTTTAAAATAACAGCGACTGAAGCAAAGCGCCTGTTGAAGCCGCAGAGCCCGCAGCTGTTGCTTGTGCCAGTGCACAGGCTTGAAGTCATTTTGGATTCACACAAGACACGTAAGAGAGAGGCGTGAAGCTTGATTCAAGCAAGTAAAAGTCTGATCAGTGGTCGGGCGTTTGGACGCAGTTTCCGTAGTCGAAGAGCAGGACGCAACCAGATGATTGTCAAGTCAGGTGATTTGCATACAGGTTAAGGACCATGCTTCGAGCTTTGAACGAAAGACAGACCCTCGCTCAGTCAATGGATCTGTTCGCCATCCATTTCACATCTGTGGCTATGAGCACGTATGGAGACCGGATCGAAGCACGTTGATCAAGGGAGCGCACTCTAGGCAACTTGCAGGCAAAGGCTCATACGCGTCCACTAACATGAAAATCACAGATGGGCGCATCTCTTGAAGAAACAGTTTACTCTGGGCGTCAAGCCAAGTGCATTCTATACAAGATGTGGTGTTTGCGACAAGCCCAGTTCATCCAGAGATAGCCCATACGGCAGCCATCTTGAAGCTTCGAGACCCAGGGATTGGTGATGACGAGATGAAGATCATTGATAATCCCGCTCATTAGTCTCCTCATCGTAAGCCAGGAAGGAAGACCTATTCCAGACCGGAAATGGTGGCTAGAATGAGAAAGCAGCCGACGGCAGTGACCGCGTTTGGGCAGGGGATTCAAGCGGAAACACTTCCAATCGATAGGGATGATTTGAATCATACCGTGAGCTGCTCGAGATCAACGTACAGTGTACGAGAGGACGAGGGCTCAGGCTTGAACTACGGCGACCGACTGCGTTCTAGTCGTTGGGTGAAGGACGAGCGCAGAGAGCCGTCTGCTGCCAGCCTCGCTTCCATTGGTCGCCTTGTGTTGGAATTGTAAAATGTTGCAGTGTTTCAGGTATTTCCCGCTTCGTGGGCTCGGGCGGTGGAAATCCTATAGGCCGGTATCCACGTAGGTCTCCGGGAGCGCACTGATTGTTAACGCGAGTGTATGCAAGAGTCGAATACTACCTCGAGAAAAAAAGCGAGGCTGTTCGGCAAGTCATGTATCAGGCCAATGTCAAGATGAGCACAGGCGAGCGCTGCGCATGTGATGATGCACAGGCTATGGTGGACGACGCGCCGGAAGAGATCAATATTTGCACTGCCACCACTAGACTAAGTCCACTAACATCTCCACGATCCATTCTCCCTTCTCTATTCAACGTTCTACCGCCCCCAGTATTTGCGCTCCCAGAAGCCCCTCTAATTAGCTCCATCTGCTCATGTCGAAAGAAGAAATCGGCACCCTTGGTTCGTTCCATGGTCTAACGACATTCACATCTTGATCTTACCTAGTCATCGTCGTTCTGAAGGCCAGGAATCTCGTGAACACATACTTTTGGAAGCAAGATGCATTTACTCAAGTGAAGCTGAATGGCGCGTGACATCCTGCGCTCTCCTGCAATGAGATCCTAATCGGCATCCTTCCTCATAGGTGATTCACAGCGCACCAAGGTCGACGTGAAGGGGGGGCAACATCCGATGTGGGACGAAGAGCTACGCGTCCCCATTTTGAGAGACAGTCACGAGAAGCATCGCAAGTTGGAGGTCTCCTGTTGGGCCAAAGAACCAAGGAAAGAAAGTAATCTAGGCACGGGATTCATCGATCTCGCGGAGACTCTCAAGACGGGTGAATTCGATGGTACGTTGGTGGGCCCAACCCGCAGAGGTCTTACTGACGCTCTTCCAGATTGGGTCCCTCTCGAATACAACGGATCGACCCGTGGCGAGGTTTATCTTGAAATGACTTTCTATTCCAATGGACCGGCGCCTGCGCCCACAACTAGCGGGCTTTCTGTGCCGAAATCGAATTTTCTACAACGACGACCATCCAAGCTTTCTCCGTCTGAGCGACTGGCGCGTCCCAGCAGTAACCATGAATCACTGCCTCTAGTGGTGTCAAAACACGACCATGAAGACCACGCTCCATCGACCTATGCCGGGTCTCCAGCTCATCCAGGTCGCTCGCCGCCCCGAACCGGACGGAACTCTCCTCTGCCTCCCCTTCCAGAACAGACTGCAGGTCTTCCGCTGCCAAGCACGCTCATGCCAGGCAAACCGCACACTGCTGCCGGCACTCCCGTATCCCTGACCCCGCATGTGCCATCTATTCTACGGCCGCGGAACCCCAAGTCATCGCCGACCCCGATCCCCGGGCCAGCAACCGAATACCACGGTGTGGTCCCGGCTCAGAGTGGCACTCCATCGAGAACATACACACCTGTTGTTCCGGCGCCCGACGATGCATATCGACCTGGAACGTCTCCGCCTGGCCCCAAACTCGATATCTGGAGCCCGGAGTCCGGCCCCACCAATCCACCTGGCCCAGCTGGGTTCTCGTTCCCTGTTCCCACCGTACAGGGTGGGCGCCAACCTAGTGTAGAATACTCTAGCCCTAGTCCCCCGATCCCCGGAGGCTACCCTTCTCACCAACGACAACCATCGGTGCCGTACCAGCAGCAACAGCAGCCGACGTCGCAGCAATCCAACCCGATACCTGCACAGACACCGAGCTACCAGACGCCTCCCCCGGCTCACTTCCAGCCCCAGCAGCAACCCTCCTACTTCCCACCGGCGTCCCCGTATCAGCAGGGACTCTCAACCCAGTTCCGGGGCCCAAGTCCATCCTTCCAGCCACAGCCCCGGAGCGAACTACCAGACCCCTATCTCTCCGCACGATATCAGTCGCCTCTGCCCCTTCCCCCAGGTGCTGAGGCTTCCACTCAGAAATCTGCGCCGGCGCCACAGCACGATCCAGACAATGCCCGTGTACAAGCAATGAAACAGGCTGAAGAAGAGGCCGCACGCAAGAAATCTGCCGCGCAAGAGGCTGAACGATTGCGGGCTGAGACATTGCGAAAAGAGGAAGAGCTTGCCATGAAGCGAGAGGCCGAAGCCGAAGCTGTAAGGAAGAGGGAACTCGAGGAGGAGGAGGAGAAAGCTAGGCGAAGGGAAATCGAGGCCGAGAAAACCCGGAGAGAGGAAGCTGAGCGCAAGAAACAGCGCGAAATGGACGAGGCCAGGTTGAAAGCGCTAAGAGAAGCAGAAGAGAGAGCGGCAAGGAGGAAAGAACAAGAAGATCGGGAACGTGCGGTCGACGAGGCCCGTTTGCAAGCGCTGAAAGAAGCAGAGGAGAGAGCAGCCAAAAGGAGAGAACAAGAAGAGCGTGATCGTGCTTTGGCCCGTCAATTGGACCTGGAATTCTCAACGGAACCTCCACGGCTTGCTCCAGAACCTGTCCAGGACAATGCCCGCACTCGTGCCTTGCGTCGGGCCGAAGAAGAAGAGAAACGTCGCAGAGATCAAGAAGAGAAGGACATGGAACTAGCCAGACAGCTGGATCGCGAACTGAACCTAGGCATTAGCGGGCAGTAGTAGATCTATCTATCTACCCAAATACAGTGTACAATGTACTACAATACAGGTATTTATCATTATCATTAGAGTCCGGGATTATCGTCGTGCTGCGAAAGTTTGCTTCATATTTACCCACCGACGTTGGTTTTCAACGGCGCTGGGTGTGAGTTCGTTTCGGTGAACGCCGCGCGCCATGCGGAAGTCGTAATAGAACGTAAGCATGTAGAAGGTGAATCCCAACGCAATCGTCCACTCCAAAATAGCCCCGGTGCTGGTAGACGAGGTGAATGTCGCGGCAAAAGCGATAGCCAGTACGACGAGGATGAATGCGATGAGCCCTTTGGCGATATAGGCCCTGCGGAGCTCGCGGATGAACCGGAAGTCGTGACTGATCCAGCGGTACCTAGGCCAGCGTCAGCCTCCTGTGGAAAGACACAGATTGTGGGTTGCGACGCACTCGACGCAGGTGAACAATGCCGACAGCACCACGCCGACCATGAAGACAAGCAGAAAGATATCGTGGAGAGTCGGAAAGCGCTTCGTGTCGAAGATGGATAGCAGTATAATCCCTAAACCGCCAATGAAGGCGCTAAGAACTGCCAGTGTGCTGAAGACCTTTTCTCTCCTTCGCATCGCGGGGATCAGTCTGAATATCGGCATCAGCTGTTGCCCGCCCAAAGCCGAAAACAACGCACCGCCCAGAGTGTCGCAAGTATCGCTCGAGGGAAAGGGAAACGACGAGCGCGACAGCCTGGAATCGATGAGTGTTCTTGCTTCCTCGAGCAGCATTGAACAAACTCGCCGTGATACAGCAGCCCGTGACAAACAGAGGCTTCAAGAGGTCCGCGCCAACATCAGATATATACGGAACAGACGAGTCCTGAGAGGCTGCAGACAAACGTCAAGTCCAAAGTCGAATGCAAAATGAGAGCACGCACGATATCGCGGACGGCCGGTTCCGCCCTGAGCCAGCCATGTTATCAACATCGACAAGATCGTGCCTCGAATCGTTGTTAGGATCGAACGCGAAGAACGAGTGGCAGGCCGAACTCACCGAACCAGATGAACGCGCCGAAGAGGGGAATCCAGATGTACCACCATTGGGGATGATAGTGCTCAACCTCTGACCGGGTAGTGTGCGGGTGTCTGGATTGATGACGGCGGGACATTGGTCACACGAGCGGGGACGGTTTGAAGGAAATGCAAAAGAAGGAAAGGTCTTGTGAATACATGACGACCTGTGGTTTTATGACATCCACCAAGAGTGGAGCGGCGCTGAAAACGACGGCCCGCGAGTCCATGACGTAGTTCATCAGTTTACAATAGGTCCCACGCATATGGGAACTTGGTTTCCTTTTTGGGGGGTACAGTCAATCTCGGGCGACCCCGGTCCCCCATTCTACATATGTGGCCCAATGTTTCCACTTGTTTGCAAAGCGTCATGATGCTGCTCTGGCCAGGAGGCAGAGGCACTCGAGATGCCATCTGTTTTGCGTGATTGCAACATGCAAGAGATACCAAGCGAGTGCGTCATCAACCGGTCGTCACTGGAGTCACCCGATGTTCGGTAGATCGATTTCTCCTCCCCTTTTAGCCGACCGCTAGCACATAATCGTGTTAGAAAGAGAATAAGACTATCCCAAACCTGGCCTTCCCAAACGAAAGCAACATGATAGAATTTGTACAGGGATGATGATTGCTACAACATGGAGGACACGGGGTGTCCGAGAAACAGAACATTCCACGACAACGAAACGAGACTCTTAGGCAACAAGAGTTTGTGTGGGCGTCAACGGCGATCCAAACGAGGAAGGAATGTTGTTTCCGGGGCAGGTCCCGGCGAGCTTCTTGAAGATCTGGGACCACTATCAGTGGCCTGAACGCACGCTAGGGCCGATCACTCGCCTGCACATAAACATCTGAAGCTTGGCCGCCAGAGATGGCCCACTTGTCGTCGATGACAGTGAAGGGAACACCGGTAACACCCTTCGCTTTCGCGGTCTCGCACATGGCCTCGACTTCGTCCACCAGTTCGTCGGAATTCAGGAAGGCAACGGCCTGATGATAGACATTCATCACTAAGGGCCAAAGGCCAATTTTTGCCTGCTTGGAGAGACGCACCTCTTCCTTGCTCATCATACCGATCTCAGCAGCGACGTCAGCAAGCACATTGACGTCCGCAAGGTCCTTGCACTCTTGTAAATGGACACGGAAGAGAGTCATGAGACAAGGGATCTGGAGCTTCATTCCGCCGAGATGATATGCCTTTCTTGATAGACGGTGGGCGCGAGTGGACTGGCTGAAAACACCACGGAAGGACCTGTTGTCCGTCAGTCCAGTCAAATTCCGGGCCAGCAACCGGACTGGGCACTCACATGGGCACACCCTTCTCTTCACCCCATTTCGCGACGGACTCCTGCAGCTTCTGAAATTTCTCCTCGCCGAAAGATTTGGCGTAGAATTGAGCCTTCTCGATCTTCGGCTCGTAATCTTGGGCAATGGTGGTCGTGGGGATAAGACGGAAGGGAAGGAACTCGATGTCGAACTGCAGGGGCAGTTTGAGGTCTTCTTTGCAGTGCTTCAGCGCAGTGAGAAGCTCATGGTGTGATATGGCACAGTTGGCGCAGATCTGTAAGCCAAGTTCAGCCTTTGCTGGTGGTTGGTTTCGGAGCTAAGCGCACTAGATCGTTGATGACCTTGAGCTTGACGATTCGCTGATTCGCAGCCATGCTGGGCAATGAGCAGATCGTTCAGGGCGGTTGGTGGAAGATGTGGAAGGTGGTGGAGGACAGATTGAAAAGGTGGTACGGGAAGAGGACGCGTGAATAAGCGACTGACTGAAATGATCGGACTGCGAGCATTGCCACCAGGGCTGACAAATGATAGTGCAATTGAGTCACATGATGGCTCATTATTCATCCTCCCGCCGCGAACTGGCTTGAAACGCCTCTGCAACGTGAAAACGAGGGAAGAAATACATGTCAATCGAAAGGCAGGATGTGAGCAGGTTCACACGAAGGATGGTGCAATTGCAGGATATAACGATCGAGTGAGATTCGAAACAACTAAAACATGATCATATACTGGGTAAGTTGGTATCACTGACCAACCAGGAGTCCAGCGTGGTGCATGACAGACATTGAAAAGAGGCGCCCAATGTGAAATCACGGGAGCGATTGCAACCAACGAGAGCCGGTACAGAATCTGCTCTGTCGACCACTACGCAGCGTTATCATGGATCCCAGAAACCGTCGTCTTGGTCCTCGACGGAGGTGTCCGAAGGCCACGGATAGGCCCCCTCATGGCTCACCACATGTGCGACCGTCCTGAGCCACTCCAGCTTGCATTTCTTGCGCAGAACGACACGACTGCGGCGGTCCAGCTCCAGTCGCGCCAGCGGGGCCTTCAGCAGCTGGCGCTGGGAAATCATGTCGCAGAGCAAGCCAACGTCGGCGATTTCCATGTCTGTCACAGTCAGGGTCTCGAGCCTTGGCCAGGGCGGAAGATGGGTCGCCGTATCAAGCATCCCCAACAGATCGAAGATATCCGGCAGTGATTCGTCCAGGCGGAAGTTCTGCAGACTCGGAAAGGCACGGATCATCCGTAGCATATCGCCCGCGGAAAGCGGCGACGCGAGGAGCGTGACTGTATGTACATTCGGGAAGACGTGTTCCTCAAAGGCTTCAAAGTCCTTGAGCACGAGCGTCTCGAGTGCCGGAACCGATAGCATTCGCAGGACATGATGCGGATGAACACTCTCGTCGTCAATGTTCCCATACAAACGCAAGGCAAGCAGCTTGTTGAGCAGGATCGGTGTCACGCTTGCTTGTCGATACGGACAGTCGATTCTGCCGAGTGATAAGTTGGTTAGATTAGGCATCCCATCGAATAGAGCACGCAGAACGTCGTAGCTCAGCGGATGCCTACTGAGATTCAGCGTCTCGATCATCTCGAGCGGCGGAATGAGCGATCCGATCGCAACGCCAGAAAGTCGCACGGATTTGAGCGAGGGGGAACCACCCTTGAAGATGAAGGGCATGCGATCATCGCTCGGGTTGTAGCCGTCCGATGACAGTTTCGCAAGAGTAATAGAAAGCTGCTCGAGCTCTGGGACGCACAGCGAACGCAAAGCCTGCCAGATCTCGAATGCGGCAGCCGGGGGGTTCCGGATAGATATATTAAGTCTCCTCCACCGCGAGGCATGCTTCCCGATAGCACCCAGTATCTCGTCGATTTCGAAAGGTCCTGAAATATCCAACGAAGTCGTGAAAAGGCAGGTTCCAGAGCGTGCCAGATAAGTTTCCACGCGATCCAGCGTCCACTGTAGGGTCATCCGGGTGACAAGCTGGCGCGGCCGCACTCGGACTGTGACATTCGTCCATAAAAGAGGCGTTCCGAGCGATACTTCCCTCCAGATAGTTGATACATGTGACGCCAGCACTTCGAACGGGACGTTCCCTCCGTTCGTACGGGGAAACTGCTGGCAAGTCATGAATATGGAGCTCAAGAGCTCGCAAGGCAGCTTCTGTATCGCTGAGTTCTGGTTCAGCAGTTTCCCGTGCTTGGCTCGCGCGTATTTAAGCTGCACATCGACATTCTTGACTTGTTGCAGCAGATCAGCTTTCTGGAGCTCGAGGGACGCAATCGCCCGCGCGGTGGCATTTAATTGACTGTCGGCCTCGTCCAGGTTCGGCATGCGTGGCTGGATAGATGGCTTGGTTCAGGAAGCGACGATTACGCAGACAAGGATCGAACCTCAGCCGCAAGAATCTCTTGGGATGGTGGCGACGAGTGGCAAGATCTTGACGGCGAAGTGATGGCTGATGCATGATGTGTGAGCGGAAGCGGTCTGGGTAAATGTTTGCTGCCATCCCATGCTGTCACCGTCACTCCTCGCAAAAGGCCTGAACATCTTCCACGGACGCCGCAGGGTCGAGGAATCTGCTTCTTGTACCCGACCCACGCGGGCCCGTGTGGAAGAATCGATAACGATTGGCGACCACTTCCGCGGCATGGACCCGGACGAACTGAAGAAGTTCTGTCTCGCTACCGAGTCCCGACGTCTCAATGCCATGGCACGCACTCCACGCGACCACTCAGTAATCCAAGGCGAAAGATACGCAGTCTATGAGTCAAAAAATACAAGCAATGATACACCGTAACTAGTCTAAATTCGCCACCTCGCGAATGCTCGGCATCCCAACAAGTCCATATGGGCCAAGAGACCCCCCATTGTGCGCGTCGCGCGAGTGTGTGTGTGCAAATGATTTACTGGATCTGCTTCGTGGTGGGAGTCTTCTTCACCTCCGCGGCGGCCATGGTCGGCTCGTGGTAGGGCGCAGAGACGTGGAAGGCTCCGAGGGGGACACCGTAGAAGTTGGCGCTGGGGCCGTTTGCCACGACATGGAGGCGGGCGGGGGAGTCGAGGGAGATCTCTGCGTTGGAGGCAGGTTGGATGCGGCGCGGCGCCGGGCCGAACGCGCTGTACATGGAGCGGGTGTGCGCGACGGGGACCACGGCGCGGCGGGTGGCAAGAGAGCGGAGGGTAGTGGGGAAAGACATGATATCAGTTGAATGAACTGAGTGACTGGATAGGTGAGGGTGAGAGTGAGTGAGCGGTGGGGGGGAGGCTGCTGAAGATGAAATTGGTGTTGTAGCTGTTTATATATATTCTCTGGGGATGGGGCCATTTGAGATCTCGGTGCAAGAATAGATAAGCGGGGTTCTCATGGCGGACGCCGGTGGTTGTCACTCTCACGGGCCAGAGTTCCATTTGGAGCGAGACCAACGGCTCGGCGCGACTGGTACCACTGTAACTTTACGAATCAAGTCATCGAGGCTGTGACCATTCACGGAATATCTACGCAAGAAGTTGGAAGAAGTCGGGAAGGCTGGAGTGCCAAGGGATTGCGTTGTGCCAACTCAGCGAGGATCGGGGACGGGAAGTCTCGGTACAGCATTCATTAGTACAGCACTGATGATGAGAGTATCCACGGATTATCTATGACAGGATTCGAGATAGATGTCGAGGCAAATCATATGCCCATGCAGCCGAGGAATTGCTTCATTTGGACTCTGGCTCTGCGAAGTATTGCCTGGACGTGGAGGGAATGACAGACGGTTGGGCATGCGCCTTCGGCTTGGCCCGGTGAGTGTCAACGGCAGTGATAGGCAAGGCATATCTAGAAGAAGAAGAAAAAGAAAAAAAAGTTTCAGGCTCGGCGAAGGACAAAGTCGAGTCGAGTCGCGTACCGCTCCTCGTCGCAACCGTAAGCCTTTGGCGTCAGCTTGATGACGGTATGCAACGGAATCTTGATGTACGGTAGGTCTTCTTGGGACAGGTGGTGAAAGTAGGCGTATCTACGGGCAACGTCAGCCAGAACGTTGCAAGGCATCCAACGCCAAGACTACCCACAAACAGCGAAGGATGGCCTGCGGAGTAAAAGAATCAGCAGAAGAACAGGCCGCGTCGCGATTCACAAGACAAACCTGATGTCCAATGATAAGGATGTTCTCTTGACGTTCAAGCTCCATGATGACGGGTTCCAGGCGGACAACCACGTCTCGGTACGACTCGCCGCCACGATACCTGTAGTTGAACTTGTCTTCATCGCGATTCGCAAAGTCCTCGGGATAGGCGTGCTGTCAGAACATAAGCGAAGCTCTGGGCGTTGGCAAGCAGAGTCTTGCCTCGATCTCCTCGTAAGTCATTCCATCGCAGACGCCCGCATCGAGCTCGTCCAACGATTTCCACGTCAACTTGGTGTACCGCAGGTGTTCTCCCGTCTGGATCGTCCGTCTCAGAGTCGAAGTCCACACCGTCAACGGCTGGTCGCCGATGTTGTCTTTGATCAGGGCCGGCAGCGCCTGTGAGTACTGCATTCCCCTAGGCGATAGCAAAGAGTCGCCTCCGAGCTTGCCGAGGACATTGTACTGGCTCTCGCCGTGCTGTTGACCGAATCAGACATCAGCCGCTTGCCCGATGTCATGCTGCTTACTCGGGAGAAGAAAATGCTGCGCGGCTTGAGGTGCAAATTCATGAGATAGAAGGCGATCCGACTGGACAGGTATCCGTTGATTCTCGACACAGTCACCTCGCGTCCCACATCTGTTATCCGCAGGTACGACAGATGCGGCTCCGTGATAGTCTCATACACCTTTTCGTATTCGTGAATCCGCCGCAGAAAGTCGGCTTTCGCCGCATCGGGCGAGTGATCTTTGTAGTCAGGGTCCCCAGAGCTGACTTTGAGGGCCACATTGGCGGCAATGACAGCTGGATCATTGCACAAGGATTCCAGGAAGATCAATTGCATCCCCGGCTCCTTTTTCACTCGTGCCTCGATACTCGCCCGCCGGTGACGACTGCTGTTCGTGGCATCTGCCGCAAAATTAGTAAGCGCTATGCAGGGCGAGACAGACAATCGTGACCATGGATGCCTACGTTGCCCCCGTCTTTCAGCCATTTAATCAACATCTCCAGACTGTCCTCGGCCAGCCGGTCCCTGGAGAGATTAGCTTCCTCGTTATCATGGCTGAAGAAGCTAGAGCTGTGATCTTCCGTGATACCGCTCCTAAACAATCAGCACGCCGGCCGATCGTTTGCCACACACGCCGACGCACTGTTGAGCCTTTTGTCTCGCCCGCGTCCGCCGCAATTGACCTACATTGAAGACCTGAAAATCCTGAGCACCAGAGCTCCATATGTGACTGCTCAGGCTCACCTTGACGTCGTATTCAAGCCACTAGGGGTACGTCAGATTGTGGAGCGCTGCAGGGAAGAATTGCGCTGACTTTGAGATAGATCATCAGCTTGTTGCTCAGATACGACTTTCCTCTCGCTGGCAGTCCGACCTGCGGATTTCCCTGGATCGAGGAGGCATCGTTGCAGGACGAGGAACTCACCATCGCGAGGACGATCTTGGATTCAGAGTAATCCGGCTTGGCAACTGACTACGCGTTAGGCTTCAGGCCATTTCGAGACATCGCAGACGTGCCCTTCTTTCCGATGCCTTTGACCGTCTGCGGAGGTGTCGGCGCTTGGGATCCTTTACGGCTCGTCTCCGTCGACTGATCGAATTGCTTCAGCCTAGCCAAGAGTCAATCCAAGTCTCGTCCATTCAGCCCGCCCCGCTGACACTGATCCTTGACGACCGGCAGCACCGAACGTAGCTGGGGGGATATTCGGTGAGGTCGGCGTGGTGAGCATGTTCGCGTCTTGCAGTTGCATGCTGTGAAGCGCGTCTGCAGCCCGTGCGAGATCTTCAGAGACCTTGGCCGAGACAGATTGAGAGCCCGATGCCATGAGGCTTGTAATTTCCGCGACGGAAATAGATATTGTCTATGGGTTCACTAGGAGAATGAAAGTCGAGAGAAAGGCCACTCAGGAGCTCGGCCCGGCTGTCCGGTTGTTTCCGAATGCAATCACGGCAACGTCCTGGAGCTCGGTTGTCACTCTCTTCATACTTGGATTATTTAGAATCAGCAATGAACCGTGAATTATTACAAAATTATTCCAGGCAAAGTGAGCATGATCGACAAATATAGCAGGACACAATGAGGTAAGGTCTGCACCCTGAAATGCTTCTGTAAATTTCGCGCGAGGTAACGGAGGAGGCTGATGACACCCTCGCAAAAATCCGACTCGGAAGTTGGAAGCTATAAAGACTCGCAAGTGACTGTATTTGACGCTTGCTGAAGGACATGTGCCAAAGACCGCCGACGTCACGAGAATCTCCGGCGGCCAGAGATGCGCTCGGAATCGTCGGCGAAGCATTTTCCAGATCCTGATCAAAGAGCAACCGACTATTCGCGTCAACGGGCATCTCCGATGTCCTCGAGCCCCGAAAAGAGCTCGGGCGGGTCATGCAGAAATATCATGGGTCGACCGGACATCACGTGTGCAGTCACCGGCTGCAACTTCGCTGGGACCACAAGCCGAGAGGATGAACACAAGACGCGGTTCGGTCCACGGTTGCAGAGAAACGCTCAGTCTGCGGGGAGCAGCAAAAGTTCGTCTGTCAGACTCGGAACCTCTGGCCACTCGCGTTCCAGCCTGGAAGCACTACGGCATGTCTGTGCTGCCCCGGTGACGTTCGATGCTCACGATGCATCGTTCACGCTGTAGCTCAATGGCGAAACGGCTGCTCGGGCGTGCGAGTAAGATTCGTTCGGCTGTTTGAATGAGATGAAAACCGTGCGAGTACAATGCTGAGATGGATCACACCGAATGTGCATGTCGATCGAGGGCTTGTCGACTTCGGGGCTTGAACACAACAGAGCCAGTGTCCTTGCATCTCAAGCCGTTCCATCCAAGCAAAGAACCGACGCCGCCAACGAGGATCCAAGCACCCGAGACAGGCATGGAGAAGGCGACTGTGGCTTGGCGCGGCAGGCGTGATATTCGGGGCTCCCAAATGGCCGTGGGTTCATTGTCACAGCTGGCGTTTCTTCAGTGAGTTTTCCGGGTTTCAAGCGACACTGAGGAGCGCCGAACAAGTGTCCTAGAAGTCTCATACGGTCTCAGCATTCCTCAAGGAATGTAAAATCGAATTCAAAATATCAGAAGAGGTCGTGCCGTCGCGAGGAGGACAGAGGCCAGAACCCCCGTCAGCCTGGCGGAAGTGCTGTGAGCCAACAAAAGCATGCATTCGTAGTTGAATGGAATCTTGGGGTTGTTCCTGGGTCCGACTGAAGGGGATGAAACAACAAAAGAGATATCGGCAATGGGGCACGTGGTCATCAAAAGTGGCCATCGTCGTTTACATCCCTCCTCTCACACCCTTCTCTCCTTACAGCTATTCTAATACTCTCCCCGATACCCCGGCGACGAGCATGTCTACGCCACATGTTATAGCCTCCTCCTCTGCGCATCCACCCTCCACAACTACGTCCTCTAATGGCATCGTCGGGAACAATTACAGGGTGGGCAAGAAAATCGGCGAGGGATCCTTTGGTGTCGTTTTTGAGGGTATGTCGCTCCGTCTCAGTATATCTATGGAGTCGGGACGTGGTCCGCTGTGTGCTTGGGCCACTGGGAATGAACTCGAATCGGTGGTCGGACACCCGCCTTGTAACCCGGTGCTCTGTCGACCCGTTCTGCTAGACTGGGGCTAGTGCCGACCTTGACAAGCGGGAAAATCTTGCCGTCACCTGTCGCTGAATGAACGGGGCTGGGCACAGTTTGCCGTCGTCCTCGTCATGACCGGGTACGAACGCCGGCGTGGACTGTTCAACGTGCTACTGTCGTTGCCAGCCATGCCCTCTCATTTCCTCCACTGCTTCTCGACAGGCTTTTTCTTGCATCTGCTGACGGCACAATATCACAGGAACAAAAATGGTTTCAAACATTCCCGTCGCTATCAAATTCGTGCGTATGACGGGCTGCGTCTCCGTTCTCGCATTGACCCTGATACCAAGGAACCCCGTAAATCCGATGCACCCCAGCTACGAGACGAATTCCGGTCATATAGGACACTGAACGGTACCCGTATGTGCCCAGGTCGCTCTGCTGGCAAGCGATCCGCTTATTCCCACCAATAGCCGGCGTCCCGCAAGTGCATCATTTCGGTCAAGAGGGGCTTCACAATGTTCTCGTCATCGACTTGCTCGGACCGAACCTCGAGGACTTATTTGACATGTGTGGACGCAAGTTCTCAATCAAGACTGTCTGTATGGCCGCTAAGCAGATGGTATGTTACGCCTTTGCGCCGCATCAAATGCAACGACCAATCTCCATCCAGGTCACCCGTGTACAAGCAATTCACGAGAAGTCGCTGATTTACCGCGACATCAAACCAGACAACTTTCTCATTGGAGTACCAAGTACCAAGAATGCGAACACCGTACATATCATCGGTATGCTCATCGTTTCTCTGCGATTTCTGCCGCTAAAGTGTCCATAAGACTTTGGGATGGCAAAACACTACCGTGATCCGAAGACCAAGGTCCACATCCCATATCGGGAGCGTAAGTCCTTGTCGGGAACGGCTCGATACATGTCCATCAACACGCATCTCGGGCGCGAACAGTCTCGACGAGATGATCTGGAATCCCTGGGTCACGTGTTCATGTATTTCCTGCGTGGTGGACTACCTTGGCAAGGCCTCCGCGCGGCAACCAACAAGCAGAAGTACGAGAAGATCGGCGAGAAGAAGCAGACCACGCCCATCGCTGAGTTGTGCGAAGGATTCCCTGGTGCGCTGGCCACAAACCCTGTCGATTTCTGATGCGTTCTAACGCGTTCATTTAGAGGAGTTCGGCATCTACATGAACTATGTTCGCAAGCTGGGATTCGAGGAAACACCCGATTACGACTTCCTGAGGGAGCTATTCACCAAAGTTCTGAAGTCGGCTGGCGAGCAGGAAGATCTCATCTTCGACTGGATGTTGCTGAACAACGGCAAGGGATGGGAAGCTAGCCGCGGGGTCCGTCTTTCCTTATCCAGCACCAGTGATCGATCATTCTCACTATCACGCAGTCGCCCTCGGCTGCGCTCGTACAAGCGCACGCCAATGCCTCACCTCATGGCCGCGCCGACCGTGAGCACCGGCGCGAAAGGGGTCACCGAAGCTCCCGACAAGAGAACGCGTCGCCATCGGCACCGCTTGTACTCAGCCCGGCACCGGCCCATGTCAGCAAGAGCCGACGGGCAGCCGGCACCCGTGAAAACATCAACGGTAATGTCGGCAGCACACAGGCACTGGCCCCCTCCAGGCGGCAAAGCTCGCAACAGAATGCACCGGTTGCCCCACACCCATACGCCGCTGCACCCATGTCCACCGGCTATAGCAACGCGGTTCCGCCTATCGCACCGTTACGAGCCAACAGTGCGGGTGGTCATTACGGTCGCTCATCACCCAACGCAGCCCGCGGACTCAACGGAAATGCGACTGGGTCAGAGAGCTTCTTGTATGGGCAACAGCAGGGATCTGGGCAAATGGCGGTCGGCGGTACGGCGCGGGGGATGAATGTGTATGACCAGATGGACAGAGCAGGCGAACAGGACGAGGGTCACGGAAGAAGGAAAGGGTTTTGGGCGGCTCTCTGCTGCAAGGCATGAAAGCAACTGGTTGCCTGCGCACTTGGTGCGTTGACATCTTCCAGCTGTCGTTCCAGCTTGCTTATGCCATCTTGCAGGGAACAACTAGTCGAAACCACGCCTACTCATCGGCATTCCTATCTAACGTCTACACTCGCCACGTCCATGTACGCTCATCATGCCGCCGCCATATCTGCATCGCACACTATACCTCCAAGACCTCATGTATATGACGCGCTTTCCATGCATCTTGCATATGTCCATACATTTTCCCCAGCACCAGGCCCAGTTCACGCTCTCTTCCAGCTGTATTACCACACTTATTTAGCTAGATAATATCATATCGAAGGTCTCATTTTTGAAGCAATAGCCTACGATGTCTATGAACTGGGTGGAGGAACGGCATCGCCCTCGACCTTGGGAATAATGTTGGCTTCTTCAAGGGCCGTCTCCAACTCTCCGCTTTGGTGCACTGCGCGCATAAGAAACATTCAAATCGGACAGGTAACACGCACTGCCGAGTAGGATGTCACATCCGCCCAGGAATTGGCCATTGACATACACCTGGGGAATCGTAGGCCATTCCCTTGTTGCAGGGTAAATGAGCAAGATGGTCTAAGGGAGGCTCCCCGCCACGCACGAGAACTCCTTAATTCCGCTCCGCAACTCGGGATCTGCGAGCACGTTGTACGTCTTCAGCTTGTCTTCGGGGACCTGCTGCAGGCCCAGGATCTGGACCACTGCCCGCGAGAACCCGCACTCCGGGTGTGCGGGTGTGCCCTTCATGAACAACACGACCGGGCTTGAGGAGACGGCTTCCTGGATCTTCCCGCGCGCTTCCTGGCTGAGGAACCGCGCCGGGATGGTCCGGTGCGCGGTAAGGACGTGTCTACGGGTGGCCTACACTAGGGATGAGCCAGGGTGCCGGGTCGCGGGATGTAGAGCGTACGGGGGAGCGGAGGGCGAATCGGAGCATGGTGGTAGCCGCGAAAAGGGATTTGATTCCGCCCGAGTTTGGCTAAGGCTGACTAAACCGGCCCGATGCTTTCTTCACTCATGGCCGAAGCGTAGGCCACGCTCAGTAAGCCTGCGGTTCTGGTCCAGCAATCTTGTCAGTCTATCTTTCGTCACGACATTGATGAGGCCACAAGCACTTTATTCTGGCGCGGCTGGTATCGATATGGCACTCTTGAACGCACTCTCAACTTTGTCAACCATACTCGAAGGTTGAAACCTCGCTTCTCAGCTCCTCACATATGTGTAAGATCGCTCATGAAAACGGTCCTTGCGAAATACTTGCTTGTCATGTCGTCTATCAAGCCTGGTCAGTGTCCGCCTCACCGTGACATGCCTTGTGGAAAAAGTGGCGCTTGCAGTATCCGATTCTCGCATTGCTGTCGGAGGTGACGGAAACCTGTGGAGCATGTGCGCTGTCGACCACCTTCATCTATCTGGACGCAGTCTCAGCGCCGAAGCCGTAATACCTCATGAGGTTACAGTCAAAATGGGCTACGCCTTTGGCCAGTGCTTGTCGAGCGCTGCTGGATCGATTATAGATGTGCTATCATCGTAGAGCCGTATGAATGATTTCAAATGTAATATGCCTGCTGGAAGTAGTCGTAGCCTCGTTCAAACTGAAGCTACAACCGGTACTTACTACTACAGAAGGGCTGTGGGAACGCGCTGGCAATCGCGCTCACGTGCGTATTTCTCTCTTCGTCCCACTCGGCACTGAGTTGTGAATCAGGCATGGTCACCGCCCGAAGTCAATCAATCAATCGCTCTTTCCTGCATTCAAGACCTCAGCGCTCTGTGGGGAATCTGATTAGTGCGTAAGAACGATGTGTGCTATTTCGAGCGTGGTGTGCGGCATCTCCGTCATAGCTGCCAGTGACTGCTCACTGTGTTGTGTGCATGCCATCATCCGCCCTGGGCAAGCAGCTTGGCTCTTTCACACAATACAAGTCATGCTTTGCGTCTCCAGGCTCAGCCAAATCTGATAGCGCGAGAAAAGCGTGACGTTTCTTGCTCTGTTGGCTGGACTGCTTGCTCTTGCTGGACATCCGTTTCTAGACACCTGTCGGTCTAGATATCGTGGAGCATCATTCGAATATCTGTCCCCTGTTTGCGCCGGCCGTCCACTGTTGACTTGCTCGTCTGAGCGCGCCCAAGCCGTCCAAGCGGCACGTTTACTGCTTTCCCAATGTTTTGTATAAATATGCGCTGCGACCATCTCAATCCAACAAGCAACTGAATATCTCATCTCTCTCTCGACACCCAGCTCACTCAATATGCCGAAGCAAACGTTCTCCCCAAAGCCCGCTATCGAAAAGCTGCCGCTGGCGGTGCGCAAAGACAGTGGGTCGTGCTTATTGCTTTCCAGCATGAGCTCAAGGTTCCTCTCTAGTCCGCGACAAGTTCGACGGTAACAAGGCCGACTTTGAAGAGCAGCTCTCCAAGTTGTTGGGAGTGACGTTCACTCTCGCCTACAACCCCAACGAACTGGCTGCCTACGTCAAAGATCTCGACCGCACGTCCGTTGGCAACACTCTGAGCGGGTACAGTGCTCTCCCACTGCAAGTGCCGTATTTCTCACCTGGGGCTTGCAGATATACAAACGGCTTCATCTCGGCTGTGACCTCGTTCCTCGAGAAATACGGCGAGGATGGCAAGACCCACTTCAACGAAGCTGTCTCCAACTCCCAGCTGACAATCGCCGTACGTTTTCCGGATAACTTTCTCTCCAAGTTCATGCGCTGAGACACTTCGAGGTGAATTCACTTGGCGAGGGCGCACCGACCATCTCGGCCGACGTCAAGGACGGTGTTTTCCGCATTCTCTTCCAGCACGAACGATTCGGCTACAACATCACGTCGCAAAGCGAAATTATCCTGCCTGCCATCGAGGGTGCGGCGAGAGACGGATTCTCGCTGCAAGCCAAGAACTCCATCGAGAAGCACTACACGGAAGAAATCGACAGCCTGAAAAAAGAGATTGAGGCTATCACCGGCATCTCTGGAGTGATTTTGGACCCCAACTTTGAAGAGAACTACCAGACTCTGTTGACACTTCCCGACCCCAAGTGGCAGCCCAACTTTGGCCGTGTTCACTTGAACTACTTCGAGGGACTGAAGGGCCAACTAGAGAGCCAAGGTCAGTTTCCGGCGCGCTTTATGATCTGATATGTATCATTCATCCTCCTCCCTCTCTCAGGCTTCAAAAAGGACGACATGCTCCAGGAAGGACTCCAGGAAGCCCTCCCTTCCAAGACCTTCAAAATCCGCATCGTGAAACAGACGACGGGCAACAAGACCAACGAAATCGTCATCGAGGACGGAGTTGCTTACCTCCAGGTCCGTTTCCTCTCTCTTTTTTGCTGTTAGATTATGGCTGAGCCCGCATCCAGACCACCAAGGAACGCTGGTGGTACAACGTAAACGACATGGGCGCTGGTTTGGTCAAGTTGCTCTAGACGGTGTTTGAATCGTTTCCAAGATTGATTGAACTTGTCGACGCGACGTGATGCTCTAATTACAGTCTTTAGGCTTTACGATGTACAGTAGATATACAGATATGGATAAGTTACTGTTCAAGGGTCGCTCATGCCGAGGCATACTGCACTTCTCGAACAAAAGATGGCAGGACATCGTCGTCGACAGGCTCGTCAACGTTCATGACAGTAGGGGAGACCATCTGGGGGCGCGCTGTCCTGTCCGGCGTCGAATACGAAGATGACATCATGCACACTTGAGGGATCATGCGACGTGCAGGGATGGTGAGGAAGAGTTTGGTTGTCGGGGACGGATCACTGGCAGAAGCAGATACTGGAGGCTTGAGCGTGATCTTCCTCCGTTTCTGGCCAGGTTCGGAGCATTTCAGCAGGTCCTTCGTAGGCAGCTCGGTCATTTGCTCCTCTTTCCGACGTTTCTTCTCGCTCGCCACATGTTTCGCCTCGACTTCCTTGTTAATTTCCTCCTGCAGCATATGCGCAAAAGATTGCGCGTCGCCTTGCAGCCAGGTGTCAAACACGCCCTCCCACTCGCGGATTGGAACGGGGAACTCGAAGTTGAGATAGATAGCTTTCGCTGGCGGATCTTCTTCGACCGGTGGTGTAGGACTGGGCCTCGCCGCGCCAAGACCCCCGTCTCTCCCACGGGACTTGACAGCCTTGGAAAACTCGCGGACCATGCGCTTCGTTCCAGGGACGCGCAAACTGGTTCCAACGACGATCAGCAGGTCTGCTCCGCTGCGGCCCTTCCCTTTCGACGAGCCCATGAGATCCCGCTGCACGACATCGCCCACACCCTCCCCGTCCTTGTGCGCCTCGTTGTACAGCACGACAGACGGGCGTAAGCGGCCGATGCCACGAGACCGCTTTCCCACGAGTTGTCGGGTCGTCTCCATCGCAGTGCACTCGGGGCACTCCGGAGGGACGCCGACACCGAGGGACTCGAGATGGTCGGCGAGGGTGAATGAATGGTTGCAGATTTGGCAGTGCACGGACTGGAGAGTCCCATGTAACGGGATGCACCGCGGTGTCTCGACGGAGGGGGTAGATAGTCGGCTGGTGGATGCGACGGGTTGAAGGGGCGGCGTGTCCTTGATTTTGGGTGTGCGAGACTTGGAGCGCTTCTCCTCGAATGGAGGGACTCCAAATGAGAGACCCGACTTTTGCTCGATAGCGTCGATGTTCTGCGTGTAGACGCGTAGCAGTCTTCCCCTGTCGTCCAAGGCGCGAAGCAGCTTGTGGAACGGCGTGGGTTCTGCGGTGGTGGAGAGCTCCGAGAGACGCGCAATCATCTGGCAGAACAAAGCCGTCGTGTTTTCGGACTGTTCAGGAGTCAGCTATCGACAGCTCGGTGATATCTGTAAGCAGCTGGCTTCCAGGGACGGAGAAAGCGCTCTATGTTGATCCGCGTGGGGAGGAGACTGGCGAAACCATCGAGAGCAGTACTCACATTAAAAACCGATGCATCAAACAGGTCCTTGCCTGACGCCAGCGCCTCCTTCGGATTATCGCGCTTCAATGTCTGAAACAGGCCCTCTGGTGACCGGAAGTCGGGAATCCCTGCCTGAACCGAGATCCCAGCGCCTGTGAAGCAGCTCAGTGTCTCTACAGAGGCCGCCATCGAAAGTCTGCGGACCACAGATGACGACGATGCGCTTGGCTTTCAGAATTGTTTTGATAGTTTTCCCCAGCTGCCCGGCGGGATTCGGGGTGGTCTGTAGGAAGGGCGGGGAGGGGGGCGCGCTCGTTGACGCATCCAGAGGGACGAAAAGCGTCATGGACGCGAAGTCGTGGTCGCCGTAGTGAAGAAAGACAAGGTGAATGTGGGTGGGTGCCAGTTGGCGGGCGACCAGGTGGCGGTGACGCCTTTGCGATCGCTTCCTTTTTTGATCAGGAGTATCTATTCTTTCTCCTCCGACAGATTGTGGATCTTTCCCCCCTCCTGAGCTGCCTATTATGTTTCAAAATAGACAGAGCTAGCCCAAAATTAACGTGTATCGGGAACCCACCCTTAGCTTGGCGTGAAATGAGATGTGCTGGTGAAACAGCCAGACCCTTGCAAAAATATTGAGAAATACTGACTGACCAGTACATGCTTACTTGCACAGGGGACTCCCACGGCTCGGATACCGCACCCGAACTCGGCCCGAACATAGTTCGACCCTTGCGCAAGGCAAGTATCGATGACACGCCTGATCATCTTCTTCTCGCGCCTGTCGGGCTTTCCGGCTCCACCGCTAGTCAAGGAGTTGAGACTCTCAAATACAGTGAATTTCACGGATACTTTCCTTGTTTGGTGCATTCGATCCGCTTGCCAGTACAGAAAAACTGTCATGGTCTGGCTCGGGGGTCTGGCCCGATACAAGCCCGAGGCGAAGCTCATACAATCTGATTCAGTTGACCCGACGAGGAAGCGCCACATATCGATAATGCATGGATTTGGTGGGCTCTGATTGCGGCGAGCACAGTTTTTCAAGCCCCGATCCCAAATGCGTTGTTGATCCGTATTTGGTAAAAGTTCAATTAAGAGTGATTACTCAGAGTCTCCGACTAGATTACACCCATGAGCAATTCCTCGGAGGCAAGATATTTTTGACCTCCATTTCATTAGACCTTTTACCAAGCTATTCAGCGAGAATGTCGCTGTGTGAAAACGACCGGTAGACTACCGCGCTGTACGACGAAGTAGTCAAGCATATCTCGTTCCCACGAGTTTGGATCAAAGTCCTGTGCGAATTCCATGTCGAATTTGCTGATCAGGGCACAAAGCAGCATTCTCATTTCCTGCGATATACGTTCAGTTCCAGGTGCTCGTGGTTAGCTGTGTGTGCGCGACTGACCTGATAGGCCAAGTTGCGGCCGACACAGTTCGATGGCCCGACGGAAAAGGGGATGAAAGCGGCGTGGTTGTGAATGACCTCATTCTGGCTGAATATCGCGGGCTCGAACTTCAGCTGCTCCTCCGTTGACAGCCATCTTTCGGGGATGAATGAGTCACAGAAGGGTGAAAAGTATCTGGGGTCGTGGTGGAGAGAATATGTGTGGACGACGGCGCTGGTCCCCTCGGGAATGAAGCTGGACGAGCGTGAGCATAGCGCACAAGTCTCTCGTGGAAGGGCCTACTGCGAGCCAATTGCCTGACCACCGCTGCCAATCAGAGGCGCACGTTGGCTCCCACTCAGGACGGCTGGATAAAGCCGAAGCGCCTCGTTTCTGAGGAAGGCTTTTAGGTTTCACTTACGCGTCGCCTCCGACAGCACTCACATCACGGCATTCAAGTATGGCATGCGAGCCTGGGAAGCCATGCTCCCGGCGTTCCATTTCGGGTCGTCGACTTCTTCGCGGAGTCGAGAAAACGTGGACGGATTTCGGAGCAGAAGCCATACGATGTTGCACAGGGTCGTTGACGTCGTTTCCGCACCAGCGATAATGGCGAGCCCACCATCGGCCTGCACTTGGGCAGTGGATGGGGACGTAGGCTCTAAACCAGCTTCGTCGATCTGCGGCGCGTTGAGAAGCCGGCAAGCTAGCAAGAGACCGAGTAACCGACCAGATGATAGAAGACGTCTTTCTGAGAAGACCCGTGGGCCTTGCGTTCGGCGACTCGGTGCGCAGCATATCTCCGGAATTTTCGGAGTCCGGGACCAAGCCCAGGAATCCACAAGTAGAATTCACCGATCCATGGCAGCTGGCTCATCAGCAATGCCATGCTAGAGACAAGGAAGCTGAGCGGAATAGTCAAGGTCGCGAAGGATAACGCACGGTTGGGCATTGACCACGACTTCCGAGATGTTTTCTCGGTCCTCCGATTCCATCGCGTCGCCGCCAGTGCTGAACCTGCGCTTGTGAGCCGCACTGGTGAAACACAGAATCCCAGAGCGCACATCACGTCGTTCATGACATCGTAGGTGAACCAGCCTACATCGTCCACTCAGCATCGACCAGAAGAAACAGGAGCCGAAAACCTGCTCACCGAACCATTTGGACAAATCTACCGATGTTCCCGTCCTGGCCGCAAAGATGTCAACGATCTGCCCAACCCGGCACTCGATCATCGTTCCGTATTCCTTGAGCATCTGGGTGCTGAATGCTCGGTTCCACGCCCGGCGCCTGCGAGCGTGCTCCTCGGGATCGCGCAATGCCAGCAGCGGTCGGACCTCTCGGTTTTCTGGTGCACGTCCGTCCCACCACGGCCCTGTTGTGAGAAAAAAAAAGTGTTGAGCAAAGGAATAGGGAGAGAGAGAGAGGGAGAGATGGCCCAGAGAGCCTTACGTACCTTTAGGCATTCCGTCTTTGCTGCCCATCATCGGCACCACAGCATCGACATCTCGAAACGACAGCTCGTTTGGTCCTGCAAGAAGATAAGAATAATAAACAGGCTGCAGTGCGGAACCACGAACCGATGCGAACGACATCTCCGTACTTCTGGTGCAACTCATAATAATATATGTGCTGCTTTCCCTTCATCGCCACTGCAGCGAACCAGATCTTTGAGATTTTGCAGAGAAGCGGGCCCGGATATCCGGCCAGCGGATGGAATGGCGAGAGCCGATACACTAGAACCGACGTCACAAGCGAAGAGCAATATATGCCGAGGCTCCAGAGTATTGCCTGTAATGGACCGCTGACATGGCCGCAAAGCGGCCAAACCAGGATTGCAGGCGGTATGATCAAAAGTGAGCAGATGGAGGCCAGACTCCGAGGCTCCAGACGATTGAACAGCAAATGGCATGCCTGGAGGAAAGATGAGCTGGAGTCCTTGGGCAAAATACGCGTCACCGACCAAGCCAGTGCACGATATCGAGCACAAGACCTGGGTGAATGACAAATGAAGCATTGGGGGCGCTCGCTGGACATTTGCGATGCACTCATCCACCAACTTTATAGAGAGGACATCTTCCTCTGAGGTCGGGATTCCAGAGAAGGTAAAACGCAACCTGATTTAACCCGAAAGCAGGCCAACAAGCTCGATGCTTCCGCCGTCCATTTCCGGGCATTGCGAAAAAACGGACTGTGAAAAGCAACAAGACAAGAGCCAACGTCATGGCTCGCGCATCCGACTGCGATCCGCCGCCCGAAATACATCGGAGCCTGCCCAGGGATGGGTCTCGTGGTCAAAATGGCTCTGACGTCCCCGCGACGATAGGAAGTCGCCGTCAACGCACCCACATCATTGTCGAAACCCACACAGAGTTTGAGCATTTGGTTGAGTAACAGAGTAGAGTTCGAAAGAACCCGCGCACGGGAGTGCCCGAGAAAGCGGGCTTCCGTCCAGCGGTATGTGTCATACACCGCGAAAAAGTGATATCGATGCGCAGGGAGGGTCCCACGGGGATTGTGAAAAGTGTCTCGAACAGCTGATTCATCGATCGCGCGAGTACCACCCCAACGTCAAGCAAGGAGTGAAGTCTAGTCCGGGCAGGGCGCAACGGACGGTTCCCGACACAGACGGTAGGTTCTTTGCCCGATAGGTACAGCTTTGAGCTCGGAGAAGCCGGAGAGATTCCGACGGGGCGCGCCTCCAGCTTCGCGCCCGGGGAATTCCAAATTGCCTCAAGGGAATACGCCTGTGCACCCGTGATCAATTATGTAACCCGGATTCTATGATCTGAACGCAAAAGTGGCACAGGACTAGACAGGACTCCGAGGAAGTGCTCTGCAGAGCTGAAGCTTTTATCGACAGTGATGGCATCGGTGATTGTTGATGCGCACCGATAAGTCGTGAACTCACCAGGTCACTAAATGAATGAGAATCCTCACTTTCGGGGATGCTCGACCTTGCCAGTCCTTTATATGGTATTCGTAGTCGGCAAGCATAGGATCACGCGACCAATTGGTGGTTTTAACCTGATCGTGCTCAAGGTCTCGGCGCATATACTCACCGTGTTCAAAAAATTCAAGTCAATAAGGATTATTTCGACGAAGCTCCAGGTTGTGAGTGCAGAGCTGGGTGCTGCCCAGAATGGAATTGACGCTCATGAAGCTGTGGAGGGCCGCCCCCGGCGGCGTGTTGAGATTGAGAACAAAATTGCCAGCTTGGAGTTTCTTGACGTGAAAAAGCTGGAGAGTACAAGTAAGACAGGACAAGATGTTCAGCTCCAAACATCCGCACACAATTCATGAAGCGGAAAAAAGCGACCACGCCAGGGATCGAACCTGGAATCTTTGCCTAGCTATCAATGGACCGGAAAGCAACGCAGTAACCATTTTGCCACGCGGCCGATAACGATCATAGCTCGGTTCAGATTATCCAGTCGTGGAGCGTCCGCACTCGTCCGCAACTGCCATAGCCTGATCACCGAAAACTTTCAAGCTGTTTGCACACAAATCCAGCCTTTTTCTCCTCTGATCCACCTATCAGCGGTGTGCCAACACCTTCCGCCTCAATCGACGTGGTCGCATTCCAGTGCGACCGATATCTTTGATGGCACGAGCTCAACGTCTGCAACGATCCTCCTTCACGAACAGACTCTTATGCATCGCTGCGAACAGTTCATTGCAAAGTCCTGTGCAGAGTTGATTTTTCTCTTCGCCGCTGCTCGACGGGAGCCGGCCATATCACAATTATCCTGGATCGCCATCTTGAGTGGTTGAATCCACAACAGATTTGGTCCCTGATAGGACGCAAGCTACGACAACGACCAGTGACAATTTAAACGGGCTGCATTGGGCTTTTCATGAGGGATTGTCTGTACAAACGTTCTCACCTCGAATAACTCCCTTGGGGATGCCCTCGACCTGATATTAGAGCGAGGCGATACTAGGCTGTTTTGAGGATCGCCCATGAATTTATTTTGCGCAACAGTGTGTTAACAACTTGCTGGGCAATCAGTGTCTACCTACCACGTGACAGCCTCAATGAAAGCGCCGATGTGGGAACGGGATACTGTAAGACATTGGGATTCCTCGTCGATTTCCAACCGAAGCTAGTCCCTCCTTCGACTATGGAATTTAGAAGATCCAAAAAGCATCGGCGAAGCCGAACTCACATGTGGTCATCACCAGCAGCTCTCAAGGAATTTCTCCAATGTCTTCGTTCCATTCCTGTAGAAACTAGTTACCAGACGTGTACCGAGAGACGAAACGAGGACACACCTGCGGCTTCTCTTTGATGAACTGAGACATCAAATCCTTGCATTTCTCGTCATTTAGCACCACCACCTCGACGCCGTTAGCGCGCAAAAGATCATCACCGCCGAGGAAATTGACATTCTCTGCGATGACAACGCGCGGGATCTTGTACAGCAGGATCGCTCCGGTGCACATGCTGCACGGGCTGGAACTCGCGATCAGGTATCGCCCCTGCTAGATGACTGCGCTTATACACGTACCTCAAGGTAGTGTACTACAGAAAGCGTCATTTGACTGGGCAGAGGGACCCTGACAAGTACTGTAGGCGACATACCAGAGTAGTCTTCCTGTAAACGGCAGCTTCCAGCCGGCCCGCTTTCTCAAGAGCGTCCATCTCTCCGTGCAGTGTCGCCGATCCTTTCTGGATGCGCTGATTGCGCCCTTGTCCGACGACCGCTCCGGTCGACGTATCGATGATGGCGGACCCGATTGGGATGCCGCCCTCCTGGTATCCTTTCTTGGCTTGCTCGTATGCGAGCTGAAGCCCGAGAGCGTCGTGTTCAGCCATGCTTAGATTGTTGAAGACGGAGCGAAGAGATAGTGTCACGTGCTGTGTGAGACTGAGACATCTCGTTCGCCGAACCGCCTGATCTTTTTCGGCCGAAGGAGAAAGCAAGAGGTCATCTTGCACGACTCATCTCATGATTGTACTGAGCTACCTCAAGCACCAAGCAAGTGAGCTGTAAAACTTCTCGTGCCGCGCAGAGATTGTAATTCTGATTCATATCTTGTCCCTCATTGTTGGCGTGGTCAGAAGCAGTGCTATTTCATCCTGTCACATGGGCGCGTCGATGTCCACGGTTGTAAACGTATGACTTTGGGTGTATTGTCGACGCCCTTTGTAGAAAACTGTCGCAGCGAATCGCAGCCAGCAGCGCACACTGTCTGTTCAAGATATGATCAATTCTAGCTGAAATCGAGAAAGCGCCATTTCTTGCTGTGAGCCGTGCATATTGTTTTCTTGTAGCGGTCACATGCGAAGGTCGGCCATCTCGCGATCGAGGAAAGATGACAGTGAGCGCCAGCACTTGATCCGAGAAGTCGCGATAGACGAGATCAACGACTTTCAGTCCGCATTCAGGCGCGGAATGCGACGAAGCGAGTCGGCGACAGCTTCTCAGACGAAGGAGACCTGGCGGGAATGTTCACCGAAGCCGTAAAAACCACTCCCGTTGTTCAGCTGCTGCCGCATGCTGGGCTACGACGGAGACTTTGACGCGTGGCAACATGTTCTCGAGCTGGTGGTAGAGATAGAATCGTTGAATGGGTCATCGGAGGTCGCTCGAGAATCATTTGTGCGAGCTCGTTCCAAATCCATTGTTGGTGACTCGCTCACGCGGGAAACCGGGCTTCGAATTCGAAGAAAAAGCTCGGCTTCCCATGCATCGCACTTTGTCGCGGATAGATCAACCGCTCCGCCCGGTCCACGGAGAATGTCCGGCCTTGTCGTATAAGGTGTGCGCCACTACACTGATCGGAATGCATCAAGATATGTAATCTCCAGAGCATCTGCCAGGAGGGGACGGATTGGTCACACCCGGTGGTCTTGTCCGTGACAACACGATCGGGGATCTCAGTTGTGGTGACTTGACTGCAGATGGAAATGACGCTGAGCTAACTTGACTCCTCTGGACGTTACTAATAAGCTCGCGCAAGTCGCCCAGCGGCTCCGAAGAAACAGGCACACCGTACTTGGTCACAACAATAGACAGCTTGCCGAGCTTGAACACAGGGCGTGGGAGAGCCATGGTCCCCTCAGTTAGTTTCTTCGGTTCGCTATCCGTACATACCGAGTCCACAATTGACAGCAGAGGGAATGCCGAAAAAGCCAACAATCCAAAGACTGCGAGAGTCCAGTCGTTTGTGGGCCGTGGCCGAGTATGCCAACGGGAATAACGCTGTCGCATAGCGTGAGCTTATTGGGTAGAGAAAGGGAGAGCAAGGGGTTGCTCCAGAGCAAACTGCTTCGTGAGGCGCTTAGACACCTGAAAGGCACAAGTGATCCAGAGAAAGGACCGTTGAGCCCCCAAAAATGGTCCGCATCGCTAGAGGTTTGATCCCTCGGAGTACTTGAGTTCTGAAAAGTGACCACACCGCAACACCAGCGAGCTGAGCCAGTCAATGGAAAGCATTGTCATGGGGGTGGTCGCTGCCAAAGACGTCTCGGCACATGCCGAGGCTTGGGAAAACGGCACTCCAAATACTCATCAACAAAGTCCATCTTCAAGAACGTCGAGAGCGTCGGCAAGGACCCCTTAACGTGTCTCGAACGGTAGACGTAGGTGGAGGAAATCATGGACGCTGGGATGGTGCACCAAAACTCGATGGTCGAGCGCAGTCTTTCGCACGAATGTGGCACACCGAGTTTCCACCCCAACGACAACAACATTCCCATCGATCCGGCCCTGGGGGGAATGCCCATTGACCCTGAGCCGCAAGAAGAGCTTCCAGAAGTGCATCTTCCTGAGGTGAGTTGAGTAGTTCTCGACTTTTCGCGCACTTCTACGCGTCGCGTCGGGTCAACAACAGGAATTCATAACTGAGACTTGCCTTACTCTCAGGAAATCGAAGAAGACGCCGAACCAAGCTCTCCCGCACAAGAACAGCCGCATTTGTACCAAGACCACTACTCGCAGGTTCCACATGGAGATCCGTTTGCGCCTGAGCCAGAATATCGCCCTCAACCAATGTTGGTTGACAATGCGACACCCTCGCCCTTGCCACCGTCGAATATGAAACAATCAGCCAAGCGCAAGCGACCACAATGCATTTCCTGCAAAAGTGCTTCGAAGGGCAGAGGCGGCGTGGACAAAATGATCACCTGCCCGGACTGCGAGCGCACATGTACGCTGGGGTCTCAGTACTCCGAACCCTCACATTTCTCACGTCTTCGCAGCACATATCGCTTGCTTGAATCTCCCCCTATTGCTGCGGAAGCGATTCAAACATATGACTGGATTTGCACGGACTGTAAACGCTGCGAGGAGTGTAACACGAAAGGGGACGAGGTATGCGTCTAGTACCTGCTCTACACTTTCGTTACTGCGTTGACTAACGCACTTACAGGATCAAATCCTTTTCTGCGACTCTTGTGATCGAGGTACGGAGAGACTTGATGCCAATCGCTATGATTCTCACTCCTTACTATAGGGTTTCATATGTACTGCCTGAATCCGCCCATGGAGACCACACCTGCAGACAACTGGTATTGTCCACGGTGTCCCCACGCCTCTACATCGGAACGTGCCAACTCAATCGCATCATCCTCCCGCTTGCCAGCCACTCCGACGACCCCCAAACGAAAGCGCAAGTCTAAAGCTCCAGTCGCAATGGCAGAGGAGGATGTCGACGCCGAGGGTGAAGCGGAGTATGCAGACGGGGAACAAGGCGATGAGATGATCGTTGATGGGCCTGTGGCCGCTTTTCGTCCTCGGCAACGGGCCAAAGCCAAGAAGAGGGCGAGCGAACCCGGCTCAGTGACAAAGTCTGTAAAGCGCATCCGCGTGCGGGCACCAACTCAACCTGATGAGCCACTGTCATCGGGACCCACAGTAAGGTTGCGACTGCCCAAAGGCAGGCGAGAAGAGGAAGAGGAAGAGATGGCCGCGGGTCCATTCGTCGAGATTTTGTTACCCGAGGAACGAGATACGTCCAAAACTTCCATATTGGCTTCAGATAAGCAAAGATTCGAGAGGAGCCGTGCCGTCGCAGAGGTCAGTCGTGACCCGGGGGGATGCGAGCGAACGTACTCATGATCATAGGTCAAGCTGAAGCCAGCTCCAACTCCAATACACCCTTCTGACACCGATGATCTCTCTTATCGACCCCTTCGTTCTGCCTTTGCACCTCCGCCCCAAACGACACTCCCCTCTCCGTCAGCATCTCCAGCTCCATCGTCAGCCTCAGCGCTGGGCCACCCTCATGGCGGGATGAATCGTATCAAGACGATACGGTTCGGTCAGTTTGATATCGACACGTGGTATAACGCACCGTTCCCTGAAGAGTATTCGAACATTCCCGATGGTCGGCTGTGGATATGCGAGTTTTGCCTGAAATATATGAAGAGTCGGTTCGTTGCCAACAGACATCGGGTGCGTGGTTTCCTCGTGGTCTGATAGCACCGCTCATGTGCCCTTAGACGAAGTGCAAAGCAAGAAGTCCGCCGGGTGACGAAATATACCGGGACAACTCGGTTTCGATCTTTGAAGTTGATGGGCGAAAGAACAAGGTGTGTATGCACGTTGGCGGCTTTTATACCCGCTTACGTCACCCAGATCTACTGCCAAAACCTGTGTCTGCTGTCCAAAATGTTTCTGGATCACAAATCTCTGTTCTATGACGTGGAGCCGTTTCTGTTCTACGTGATCACCGAGGTGGATGATTGCGGTGCGCGCTTTGTCGGATATTTCAGCAAGGAGAAGCGGTGTACCAAGGATTACAACGTCAGTTGTATCATGACGCTTCCTGTCAGGCAGCGGTCCGGCTGGGGCAACATGCTCATCGACTTCAGTATGCTTCTTTCTCTTATTGCTGAAAATTGCCGCTGAAATGCTGTAGGCTACTTGTTGTCCAAGAAAGAGAAACGGATGGGCTCGCCTGAGAAGCCGCTGTCAGGATTGGGCGCCCTAGGGTACAAGAGCTACTGGACGCTAGCGCTGATGCGTTATCTTGTGACGGCCCCGGCCCATCCTCGGATCGAAGGTTGGTTGGTTCTGATTGTGGAGAAACTGCCTCTCACTGGAAAGCAGACATCTGCTATTCGACCTCAATGACCATAGAGGATGTATACACAACATTGGTCCAGCAGCGAATGATCACGGTTAAAGAAGTGGCAGTCATACAGGTGAAACCTTCACCCGGCCAATCAATCAAATACCCCAAGGGCCGGAAGAACGGAGTGGCACGGAGACATCTGCAACGAATGCAGACGGCGGACAAGACCAAGGCAGTTGACAAGGACACGACCGATTTCGTACCTCCGACAGATTACGACATCGACTGGGACCCGGAAACGGTCAAGACGTATCTGCAGAACTGGCAAGACAAGCATTACCTCCAGCTGAACCCGCAAAAGCTGCAATGGTCGCCATACATCTCTCCCAATATCCCTGGCAACGAGCCTTCTTCCACTGCAGACATTGGCTCTTTGATGACGACGGAGAAGATGTGTGCTCTCGGCCTCTTGGATATGAATGCATCACGTCCTCCCATTATGGGCACACCCAAGTTCGCTGCGCGGCGCAGCGTGTCCCCTGTTGTAGAAGAAGCGCTGCCGGTCCAATCACCCGCACACGAAACCCCGCGGGCACTGCGAAGCACTCGTTCCAGGGCCTCCAACCCGCACACCCCGATCACGCCAGCACTGCGGAGTTCTCGGAAAGGCAAACAGCGGCAGATCCGGACGCCGGACTCGGAGGATGATACGCGTCGGCCCAGATCAAAAGCGGCGCCAGGCCTGCTCCAGCGCACGTCCTTTGCACGCAGCTCGACCAGAAAGTCCAGTCGGGTCGAGTCGTCTCCCGACGACGAAGGAAGCTCTGCGTCGGGTCCTCTGGCGACACCGACCCCGACCGACGACGGCATGTGTCTGCCCAACGGCTCGATCTGCGCGAAATTGGAGGAGGAAGATCCCGAAAGCGACGAGACGGTCGTTGGTCTACGAGTCGGGGCTATGCCAGATCCCAATCCGAAATCAAACGGTGTCAATGGAGCGCTCGCGTTTCTCAACGCTGCCTGGGACGCAGACGAGAAGATGGTGGTCGACGAGCCCGATATTGATGCAGAAGGAGAGGAGGAGGATGTCGAGATGCCCGTCGCTTAGTTTTTGTGGTTATTGTATGTAATGTACATATTTTTGTAGGCAGATAGGTCGCTCGATGAGACCGGAACTTTCACACGTGACTTGGCTTGAGGAAATCAGTGACATGCCATTGATGAATCCTCAATTTCGACCTGCAACGACTGGGTAGTTCTGGGAGTACAAAGTTGATATTACGTTTCCGCACAGACTACAGTTGGAAAGGCGGATTCAGATTGGGACAGTGTTTTTCGGATCGCATGGCTGGACCAGCCAAGAAGCAGTTCGCTGAGGAGGGCCAGGAGAGTCGTCATCCAGTTTGCCTTCGTCTTGGTCTTCAATTGGGCGTCCTCGCTTGACCAAACGAGGAGTACCTGGTGGAATGGTGGACTCCACCGATTCGGGGAGGTTGTCAATGCCTTCAGTGAGAATAGCAATGATTTGGTCGTACTCTTTCACCGCTTGCTGCGCCGAAATGTGGGTAACAGGACAGCTTTGGCTCTCATAGCAGAGACGACTTCGACAGTCAATACACGCCGTACAAAAAAACTGGGCCAGTGCCTTCAGAACGGCATCTGCTTCCTCCTCGAAACCAGGCCATCGGAGGATCGTAGGCCAGAGGTAGGTCTTGATCACGAATTTGATCTTAGAGAAAGCGGAATTAGCGTTGTAATAGTCCCAATGCTGGAAGCAGTCCTGTACTTGGTTTTGAAACCCGTCATAGTCCATTACGGCACGGGAGCAAACATACAGGAGCGATGCGAGATCGTCCACGCCGTCCTGATGATGGGGTTGGTCTTGAGGTCTGGATCTTATCGACCATGCTCAGCACTTTGACGGATTGATATGCGGTGGTACCCTAGACGTACATTTAGGAGCGAGAAGTTGGCTGGGCGGTAAAGTACTCACTGTGCGAGCATCTTCTTCCGTCACAACACGACACTGCATGTCTTTGATATAGACCGCCATGTCCCAGTCGATGGTCACGGAATGGGCCCCTGGCCGTCCCGACAAGAGCAGATTCGCAAAGTTGATATCTCGGTGCAGAATGCCTTTTTCGACGAGCGCTGCCTTGTGTCCTACGAGACCAGGACATTAGAGTTAGGGACGGCGAGCTGAGCAAAGACTCACCTCGCACAATCGAGCGCGTCCCAAGAAACTCCCGGAGCGATGCCGTCGTCTCGAGTGTGCCAGCATACCGCAGAGTCACCGCGACACCACTTGCACAGGTGTCTCGCCAGCGGACACCACCATCTTCGCGTCAGGTGCAAACCCGCGGCCGGTGTGGGTCGCCTTAATATCTCGTTGCCAAGCGAACATCTGTGCAACGCCCTCGATTCCTGCTAGGTCATAAAGGAAGATCGATTCGCTCGTCCGACCCTCGGCACGCCAGTAGTCCTTGATGAGATACTCTTCGCCGTCGTGCGTGCCCACCCAGCACACAGTCCCCCGCGATCGGATCGTGCGCCTCGAGAACACCGGATCGTCCTCCAGAGCGAACGTGATCGTGGCACTCTCTTTATTGGGTCTCCATTTGCGCTCGGTGAAATCCCACGTCTCCTCCGGCACAAAGCTCAAGAATCGCTTGCCGTCCCTCCAGAAGATCGACGTGTCGAAGCCCACAAGTTCCTCGTCGGTGGAGGTGAGCAGAAACACGAGCTGGACGAAGAACACCGCGTCCTCGTGGTAGTCGATCTCCTGGGAGTAGTAGCAGCCCGATCGGTCGTACCGGCACACACGGACGGTGTCGCCAGTGATGAGCGTCGCGTAAACGAGTCGCCGGTGCGGCTGTTTAATGAACGTCTCCCTCGCATACACCGCGATCTGCTGCTGCTGCTCGTCGAGAAACGTCGGGGCCACCTTGACCTCACACAGACTGACGACCTGCGAGTACTTAGGCTGCGGTGCGATCGCACGGTCTTTGGTCGCTGACGGGCCGACGCCGAGAATCGTGATGCCCGGCTCGGATCGCAGACCCTTGACATTCGTTGCGTCGTTCGCGTTGTGCGGCATCTCCACGTTGCACGACCTGACGGCGCGACGTTCAATATCTCCGGACGCCGTCGCTTTCTTCAAGTTATCGAAACGCTCCATGATGGCGGTCATTGCGGCGACGAGTGGGGCGTACAAGTCGACCTCCTTCCTCGACTTGCCGGCCTTCTTGATCGCGACCCACACTTTCTTCGTGTTGCTGTACCCGTAGTACTGATCGAGACAGGCGGCAGAGTCCTGGGTAGTGCAGCCGTTGGCTTCTGCCAGTGCCTTGAGGTGTGCCTTGAAAGGGAGGGTTGTGCGGTCCTCTTCGACATGTGCAACTTCGAGCTCGAGCTGAACGGCAAGCTACAGATTGGCCACTGTGCTATATGCGTTTTCAGAATCATGCGAAGATCTTTCATGGGGGATTGACTGGTGAGTCATAGTCATTTGCCATCCTTTCTGCGGTTCGCGTTTACCAGACCTCAGGAAGAGATTTGTAGAGGTCAGCTGATCGGATTGTTATGCCAAACGCGCTCATGTGATCTCCGGTCCTCAATTGAAAATCCCTCAATCTTGTTTTTCACGCGACTCTGCAGACCCATTTGCACCGTTTTCTTATGCAGAACTGTTGTCGCGAAACTAAACCCTAAGGAGGCAACATTTGAGAAATTCCATCAGTAGGCAGGCCCAACGCAAACCTGCATGATTTCGACGAGGGTGGCATGTGTACTCGTACGCTGAAAATTTGAACTACCCTCTCGCATCTGCCCATTCATTCAGAATCACATGAATGGTTGCGAGCTCGATTCAATGCGAGCAGTTCACGATCGTACTACAGGCGTGACATATCGGATCAGTGATGAATCGATGACGCGCCAGACAGGTCCTTCTGCAAACAGGCTATAAATACCCGTTGCATCACCACATCCTTTCCCAGCACTAGCACAAGTACGAGCATGGCCGTCCTTTCCCGACTCATCCCTAGCGCAACGAGCGCCTATCTACTCCAAGCAGGTGAGTTCTGGTCTGTGGATCGTCACGCGTGATCCTGACATGGTTGCTCGTCCCAATCCAGCACTGGCTCTGATCTTCGTCCCGCAACAGAATGAAAAGTACTACGATCTGGGCGGTGCGGCAGGCTTTCTGAGCACCTCTCTTCTGTCGCTCTACTATCCCGCTCTCAAAGCCAAGTTCAATCACGGCGTCCCGCTCCCTCCAATCACGTCCTTCGCGCCACGCCAGTTGCTGGTGACTGCTGCTCTGGGACTCTGGAGCGCACGGCTGGGATCTTTCTTGGTTGCAGTGCGTTTCTTTCCTTCCTTCTCGGACGGGCTCGTTGATCAAGACGCGACTCTAGAGGGCGCTCAAGGCCGGTGGCGACTCGCGTTTCGACGAGGTGAAGAAGGATCCCAAACGCTTCAGTTTCTTCTGGTTCGCACAAGGTTCGTCCTTTAACCCTTCATCCGCGCCTCCTCCTGAAGCGCTCTAGCGACCTGGGTTTTCGTGGTTGGCCTTCCTGTGTACCTCGTCAACACCGTGCCACCGGTGTTGCACCCAGCTCTCTCCCGCCGCGACTACCTCGCCCTCGGCTTGTTTGCTGGATCATTCCTGTTCGAAGTCATCGCGGACCGGCAAAAAACTCAATGGCGACGCGCCAAAGACGCGAAACGTCATGACGAGAACTTCATATCCAGTGGACTTTGGGCTATTTCCCGGCATCCCAAGTAGGCGATCGTTTCGCCGTTGATACGTCACTCTGAACGCACGCATTTGACAGCTATGTCGGCGAAGTTGGCATCCACATCGGCATCTGGGCTCTCGCTACGGGAAGTCTGACTAGCATTCACTTTCCAACGGGGACCGCTGTCGCTGCGCTTGCCAGCCCGTTGCTCACTTACTTCTTACTTCGAAAGGTCTAAACCATAGTCGCTTCCCCCCGTTCATTTCTTAACGATGTACCCAGGTTTCCGGAGTTCCCCCGCTGGAGAAAGCCGGCGACAAGAAGTTTGGAGCTGATCCGAAGTGGCAGCAGTACAAGCGGTGAGTTTATGATCTGTCTTGCTTCTCCCCCAAGTCTCATGCAGTCCGGGACTCCGAAGCACGGTACCGGTGTTCTGGCCCTGGGGCCCTTTGGAGTGATTGGTCGTGTTATGATAAATTTCAGGCAACGGGTTGGACAGTGTATGTAAGTCAGCGTTTGTGAAAGTGTGTACAAAACAAGAAATAGGATTTGTCGACACGCGGCGAATTCAGTCAACGAGCGCAAGATATATGTAGCCACCTGGTCTGATTCTCAAAAGCAGCCTGGCCTTTGAGAGGAGAAAGGACCAAGGTTGTATTCGGGCATAAAACGAGATAGTGTCCAAAAGACACAGATGAGTGCTAGCTAGGCATGAGTTTCTCTGTCTCGGGAGTTGTGTGACAGACGTCCATGTTCCAGATATTTCAATAGCATGTCTGTCGCGGTCGAAATTCAGGGAATTCAGCTAGTGAGATATTCTACATATCCTAGGGTCTGGATAGAGCAACAGAGGGGTATTATTCGAGGTGAATTTAGTGGTAGCTTCTGCCTAGTCTCCTGCACGCCTAGTCCAGATGTAAGCAGGTGGTTGAGACCAGATGTTGTGACGCAACATGTCACGTACTGTAGCGTCAAGCTTTACCCGAACTCTACTTATCGACTTCACCAGAGATTCTGGCTAAACCAATCCTTTGCTCTTTCGCATGATGAGAAACCATGACCAAGTTCTCGTTCAATTAAACCTGAAAGATACTCTTGTTTTGTGGGAATGTCCGACAATTCCATATCATTGACAATGTTGGCCGCAGGCGAGACTACGGAGATAAGAGAAGGCTTTCACCACAGATAAGATCCCCAATTCTTTGTCTCTGCGACCGCCTGTCTCTTCCCACCTCCGGCAATGATCAGCGCCAGTCTCGTTCTCGCTGCATGCGCCTTTGCGGGAATCGCCGACGCGCATCCGTACCATGATCAGCAGCCGATGGCCCACGATTTGGAGCGTCTTGTCGATGTCATCGACGTGACGACCGAGCCGTGGGGAAGCAAATTCGGCCTCCAGACTGACCTGCCGTACTCCGGCCCGCTGAGCTTCGCGCATCTACCGTACAGCAAGTGTCTGGAAGACGGCCAGTCGCGGTTCGATATCGCCATCTTGGGATTGCCCTTCGACACGACGACGTCCTACCGACCCGGTGCGCTTTCTTTCGTCGCATAATGTGCTGTTTCTCTGTTATTGAATATGACACAGGTGCACGCTTTGGTCCCACGGGAATCCGCATTGGCTCCAGGAGGCAGCACATCGAGGGCTACACTCTGGCGTGGAACTCTAGCCCGCACGAGCTTGGGGCGAGCATCTTGGACTGCGGAGATGTATGTCTGCATTATTCTGATCCGCTTGTGATGCTAAAATCATTCAGGTTCCTCTTACCCCGGTCGACAATGCCCAAGCACTGGAACAGATGGAAGTTGCGTATACGACACTTCTCAATCGGCCTGTTCAAGGCGGCACTAACACGGCGTACAAATCATCCACTGCTGCACTGGCAAAGGACGGATCGGAGCACCCGAGACTGGTTACGCTAGGCGGAGATCATACCATCGTACGTGATGGGGAGTAGGCGATATTGTCCCGTCGCTGATTCTCCCAGGTTCTTCCGATCCTGCGTTCGCTGAACAAGGTCTATGGACCCGTCAGGTGTGTTTTCTCGCGTATCGCTCTCAACGGAACTGAACTTTCGCCTGGGTAGCGTCATCCATTTCGATGCTCACTTGGACACATGGGCGCCTCCTCCGCTTTCCACTGGAATAGGGCGAATCAACCATGGCTCTTTCTTTGCTATCGCTGCGGAGGAGCACCTGATCGCGAATAACAGCATCCATGGCGGGATCCGCTGCCACATGGTAAACGGCCTAGTCGTATCCGTGTCCAAGTTCCTCAATGCCGCGTCCCCAGGGCCGACAAGATATTGTGCACGACACCGAAGTCGGATTCCAGCTGATCAGCGCCGAAGACATTGACGACTACGGTGTTGATCAGATTATCAGCAAGATTCGCCAGAGAGTAGGAAACAGCCCGGTATATCTCAGTCTCGACATCGATGTCATCGACCCTGGTCTTGCTCCCGCTAGTGCGTCCCACTCATGGCGCAAAGTTCCACGATCACTCATCACCGGCGGCAGCCGGTACACCCGAGGTCGGCGGCTGGACTACTCGTGAGGTCAAGCGAATCTTGCGGGGACTTTCTGGCCTGAACTTCGTGCAAGTGCCTCCAAACACCTTATGCGCATCATCACTGACTGATATGCAGGGGCGCTGACGTGGTCGAGGTCGCTCCGGCGTATGATAATGGTTGGCTTCAATCGGATGTCTTTCTATTTCGTTCTGACACGGGTCTGCAGCTGATATCACGAGTATTGCGGCTGCTGAAATCATCTTCGACTTCCTCAATATGATGCAAATGGATGCACCCCCAAAGCCTCATGTCGGACCGTTCTAGATACTGTACTTTCACCCAAAATGATGCATTACTGCTATCCTTGCAAAAGTCTCCACGACTTGAACAGGTGAAAGCAAGTTCCGGGCGTAGCAAGCATGAATGCTTCAGATCACGACGGGACGAGAAGAAATGAGTAGGTACACTGCCCGACAGTAATAACTGAGAAAATAAAGAGATTAATGCCATTGTGGTGTGCCTTGCAGGCTGTCATTCTGATAATACATGCTAGACTCGAGGCCTCGTTGCTGAGAGCCGTCCCCGTCCCCTATGATACTAGAGTGGAACAACCCGAAAGCGTTCGGCGCAGAAGAAAACGTGAGCCCAGTGAATTCGGCATCGTAGGGCATTCCAAGTTGCATAGGCAAGAGGTCGCAGCTCCACAGGGAAGGAGATAGAAATGAGTGGGGTTGCAAAGGCGAGGCGGGCTGAAACCGAGAGTCCCACTGGCGCTGTTGTGCGGAGAACGACCGCCACTGCTGAGGAGAAGGGATCGGTGGCATGCTGACCCCAGGATTTTCTTCATCCGAGGGGAGGATCGACCCCGGCAAGCTATCGTCGTCGGAACCAAAGCCGTTGGGGCCCTTCACCTGCTTCTTGACTTTGCGCGGTATACCCGATGCAGCCCCAGGCGAGTAACGGCAGTTAGGATACAGCCGTGCGTGTTCTCGCTTCAGCGCTTTGGCCTCCTCAACGTACGGCCGACGTTCTTCGGGGCCCATAGCCTGCCAAACACTCCCTGCGCCACGGCTGATCTCAGTCTGTTCATGAAACAGGAGCCCAAGCGACGCGTCTTTTTGTCTGCTGTTGAAGGCGGAGCGGAAGCAGAAGAACGCGTTACGAGGGCGGGGGATGTAATGCTGTGGCGGCGAGGGCGGAGGCGAGGCGGAGGAGAGGGTGCGGGAGGTTGATTCGGGACTTGAAACTGTTGGGCTCAACGAGGTGTCCTTGTATCGCGTATCGACGCCATCTGAAAGTCATGAGCACGGAGCGCCGGGAACGGAAGGTAAGAGATCGGGCATACCAGCGGAGTCGATGTTATGAGGCCCACGCGACTTGCATTTGGAGTAGTATATTGAGGTGCGCGAAACGGGCATCTGAAATATAGCGGGAGGGGTTTGAATGGTGAAGATTGGTGTGGAGAGAGCGGGCGGGGTAATGTTGAGATCCCATGGCTGGCGGCTTCCCGAACCTTTTGAGTCACTTCCGTATGGCACAGAAAGTCAGTGTCCATAGGCGTGGGACAACCAGCCCTCCTCATTAGCACGTCGAGGCAAGACTCGTGGCGAGATTGTATGTCGATCATGATCGAATTGCCTTTTTAGACTGAAGGATCACGTTTTTCCGCGTCTTGTGGTCAGACTTTGGACAGATCCTCTATCTGATCCCTATGTACTGGGATGCGGTGCCCCATTGACAAAGGGAACCATCAAAGCGCGATCCTTGGGCGGTAGTTTGAGATATGAAGTCAATCCCTCCACGATGCGCTATCGCAAGACCCACCTGGGCACGCTTTGGCGGCTGCCCATGGGCAGGTGGAAACAGCTAATAAGATTGAGAATCTTCTCGATAGCATAGGTCGACGTCATCGTAGTGACCGAATATCTGGACGAAGGATCCCGGCATGAAGCTCCGAGAGGCGAATGCAGAAAGGCTGAAATTATGAACAAGACAGTGAATAAGCACAATTATCTTGGAGTCCAAGGCTACGGACTCACGAGCCAAGATCCAGGCCCAAATGCGACCGGTCACCGGCACGTGCTCAATGTGATCAGGATCAGGTGACGGGACGCCCGCCTTGGACCTCCGACTGACCCAGATCCAGCGCGCACCGAAAGGCAAAAGGAAAATGTCTCACAGCATCACGAACTCTATGTCGACGAACTTTCGGCTCACGTTCAAACTGTGGGATGTACTGCGAGACCTCGCATTGTATCGAGATGAGGGGTTGCCCAGAGCATCATCAAATTTTTCTTGGGATGAGATAAATCCTTGTCAATGACTTGCAAGAATCATAAACTGAGTTGTGAGTGTTGAAGCAGAAAATGTAAGCACACCGACAGATAATAAAAAAAAAGTGACCCAAAGCTAGATTTATATTTTTTTTTATTAACTGTCGGTGTGAAGGTCTATCTAGCTGTGCCAATTGATCCGGCAACGGTCGGCGGGCCGGCCCGTGATCCTGACACCAGGTCTGTGTCTGTAACTGCCATCTCCCAAGTCCGCCTAGTGTCGTTTCCTGTCCGTCCAGTTTCCAACTATTCTGGCAAGCGGGATCAACTATGTGCTCTTGAATTCGGAGCCCTGCTTTTTATCGAAGGTCGCGTTTTTAAGCGACGCAAGGGAGGATACGATGGTCGCCTGCCCTGTAAATCACAGGGGCGCTACAGTCGCTTCCGGATGTAACTGCTTCTTCGTATCCTCCAATGTCCTATCGTGCGACTCACAGTCGCGAGGAGATCAAGACGCAGTCAGACCTCTCGGCAACTTCCGGTCCGCAGCTGCCAATTGCTATTAACTAACTGCTGCGCTTCTGTCCGCCGCGTCGACATGTCCAGACAGACTGCGGGTCCCATACTTTCCTTCTGGTCGCTATGAAAATCGCCATCGTGGGCGGTGGCATCAGCGGCATCGCTACGTACCTCGCCCTCCGCAAACATCTATCAGATGCATCTCCCCCTGCTTCCATCGTTGTGTACGAGGCGCTGCAGTCCATCGACGCGGCAATTTCGGCTCGCCGTGGCGGCTTTTTTCTTCCCCCGAACGGCCTGCGCGCCATCAAGTCCATCTGCGCCGATGCAGAGGAGTACATCCGAGACCAGGGCCGACCGTGCGAGGCGGTGACGCTCAGAACCTCGGCAGGAAAGTCGCTTGGAAAGCTGCATGCTGGTCGGAAGACGAGATACGGAATCGGACAGGTGGCTGTCTCGAGGGCGGCTGTGTACGAGTCGCTGTTACGGGAGCTCCGACCTGGTGTTATCTGTTGGGGACGCAAGGTCCGCTACGTCAAGGAGCATGGAGACTGTGTCAAGATCTCTCTGGAAGATGGGTCTGAAGATACGGTGGATGTCGTTATTGGCGCAGATGGATTGCACAGTGTCGCGCGCAAGGCTATCTATCCTCAATCTTGCAGCCCTCGAAACGAGTGAGTGCATCGCACAGTCGGGCACCTTCCCCGACCCATGCTTTACAGATTGAGACTCACTGCCAATGGATCTGCCCCTCTGTCCGCTCTTCCCGCGACCTTGAGGATACCGGTCGAGCAGGAATCTGCGGTCCTGACTTTCGGCGCTGCGGGATGTTTTGGCTACGCTCGGATGTCTCGCGATGATCTCATGTGGTGGTCTACCTTCCCTCAGCACGAAGTATCGATCGCGGACACACCACTGGAGCAGCTCAGGAGCCGACACGCTCGTTGGCAGTCACCGATCGATACAGTGGAGGGACGCATCTTCCGAGACATAATCGCACCCGCCGCCACTGAACACGCGCAACTGCAATCCGGGCCGCTGTCCAATCTCCCGTTCCTACCCCATTGGAGCAGTCTCTCGGGTTCTGGGCGCATCCTGTTAATAGGGAATACCGCACACCCTATACCCCTGCAAGTCGGCCAAAGCTTGTCCTGTGCCGTGGAGGACGCGCTTACCATCGCCCTCCTGCTCAAGCATTATCGGGTGTCCCATCGCTTCAGCGTCGAGGAGTCGCTGAAACGCACGGGAAAAGCTTTCGAAGATCTCAGGATGAAGCGTGTCCGACGAATCCTGCGCGTCGCTCAGCTTTCTGTCAAGCTTCTCAAATCACGCAAGAGATGGGTGCAGGCGCTACGAAATTGCATAATCTGGATAGCTCGTGCGTTATTCAGTCATACTTATTCCGGCACGATCTCATGTCGTCCATCAGAGAAACTACCCGAAGCTATGGCCGATCCTCTGTATCGATACGACGTGGAAGTCGAAATCGCGAAATACATTCCAAAATCCGACTGCGAGCCGAAAGTCCGTCGGTATTGAGCACGTCATTCATAATTACAGTATGTAGCTGTGCGCTAAATATATGACCCTGTATACATGAACTGCCGCGAAAGTACACCCTAAATAGACATGCGTGTCTGAGTTTCCGTCTAGCGAGATATCACATCGAGGATGGCTTTGATTCGGGATGCGCCAGACTGTTCCGAGGAATGCGCTCTGGTAGTCCCCTAAATCATTTGGACATCGCGACCCCACAGCTAGCCATGGCATGAGTACATCGCGGTAAGACTCGTGACGAGAATTTGTCCGGACCATGCTCAGATCGTCTTTCTCAGGCTGAGATATCAGGCCTTTCCATGCTTCGTGGTCAGACTTGGGATATATCCTTTACCTGATTTCTTGAGGCTGGCCGAGAGCGCGGAATGCATCGCAAATTCTGACTGCGAGCCGGAAGCTCGCCCGGGTCCAGGTAGTTACACCTTGCCTAGAGCAAATCAGGTGTTCAGCTGTGCTTTCAGTGGAAGAATATGAATGGAAGGCTTGCTCTGCGCGCGAGCATATTTCTTACCACACGCAGACGACAAGAATGCCAAGTTATATCCAAGACAACGCGTGCACAAGTTTATATAAGAACCCAGGTATTTACATGTTCAACGACCAGCGCGAGAGCTCTCTGACAGCTTGGTCGCTGAAACAGCCAAGTATGCAGCCCGCTTTGAAGGACCAGGGGAGTCGTCGCCGAGGTTGCCCTCGTCTTGGTCTTCAATCGCGCGATCTCGCTTAACCGAACGGGGAATGGCCGTTGCAGATGCAGGTTGAACCGCTTCAGGGAGGCTTTCAGTGCCCTCATTGAGGATGGCGATATATCGATTGTATTCTGCCGTAGCGCGTTCAATCGAGTAAACCGCCAATGGAGCGGGCTTGGATCGCGTGACCGTTGCAGTTTCAACTTCCAATATACGTTGTTCCAGGAACTTGGCCAAGCCTTCTAGAACTGTCTCCGCCGCATCGGAATCAGAGCCGGAGTAGCGCTGAGCGGGGGGCCAAAGATAAGGCCTAGTCACAAACAGAGTCTTCGAGGCGATGACGAGATGGGGCATGGAAGACCCGTCGTCCCAATCTCGGAAGTTTTGCAGACCTTGCCATTCGCGCAATTGGTTGTAATCCATCAATGCCCGAGAAAGGACGTAGAAGACCGATTCGAGATCATCCATGTTGTCTTGATGATGCAGGGTGCTTTGGGTGGAAAATTTGTTGACCATGGTCAAGCCTTTGACGGACCGATATGCGATAGTGCCCTGGTCATAGACGAATGAGACGAAGAGAAGGTACGAAGAAGAAACTCTCACTGTGCGAGCATCCTCTTCCGTAACAACACGACCCTGCATATCTTTGATATAGACAGCCAGGTCCCAGTCGATGATCACGGCCTGGGCGCCCGGCCGTCCCGACAATAGCAGATTCGTGAGGCTGATATCTCGGTGCAGGATGCCCTTCTCGATGAGAGCGGCCTTGTGTCCTATGATAGCTGCACGTTAGAATGAGACATGACGACCTGATCAATGCTCACCTCGCACGATCGAGCGCGCACCAAGCAGAAACTCCCGGAGCGATGTCGCCGTCTCGAGTGTACCAGCATACCGCAGAGTCACCGTGCGCTCTCTGTACCGTGACACCACTGGCACAGGCGTCTCGCCGGCGCACACCATCCTCTCGTCAGGCGCAAACCCGCGGCCGATGTGGGTGGCCTCAATATCTCGTTGCCAAGCGAACATCTGTGCAACGCCCTCGATTCCCGCTAGGTCATAAAGGAAGATCGATTCGCTCGTCCGACCCTCGGCACGCCAGTAGTCCTTGATGAGATACTCTTCGCCGTCGTGCGTGCCCACCCAGCACACAGTCCCCCGCGATCGGATCGTTCGCCTCGAGAACACCGGATCGTCCTCCAGAGCGAACGTGATCGTGGCACTCTCTTTATTGGGTCTCCATTTGCGCTCGGTGAAATCCCACGTCTCCTCCGGCACAAAGCTCAGGAATCGCTTGCCCTGCCTCCAGAAGATCGACGTGTCGAAGCCCACAAGTTCCTCGTCGGTGGAGGTGAGCAGAAGCACGAGCTGCACGAAGAACGCCGCGTCCTCGTGGTAGTCGATCTCCTGGGAGTAGTAGCAGCCCGATCGGTCGTACCGGCACACACGGACGGTGTCGCCAGTGATGAGCGTCGCGTAAACGAGTCGCCGGTGCGGCTGTTTAATGAACGTCTCTCTCGCATACACCGCGATCTGCTGCTGCTGCTCGTCGAGAAACGCCGGATCCACCTTGACCTCCCACCGACTGACGACCTGCGAATACGTGGGATTCTGTGCGATCGCACGGTCTATGGTCGCTGACGGGCCAACGCCGAGAATCGTGATGCCCGGCTCGGATCGCAGACCCTTGACATTCGTTGCGTCGTTCGCGTTGTGCGGCATCTCCACGTTGCACGACCTGACGGCGCGACGTTCAATATCTTCAGACGCCGTCGCTTTCTTCAAGTTATCGAAACGCTCCGTGATGGCGGTCATTGCGGCGACGAGTGGGGCGTACAAGTCGACCTCCTTCCTCGACTTGCCGGCCTTCTTGATCGCGACCCACACTTTCTTCGTGTTGCTGTACCCGTAGTACTGATCGAGACAGGCGGCAGCATCCTGGGTAGTGCAGCCGTTGGCTTCTGCCAGTGCCTTGAGGTGTGCCTTGAAAGGGAGTGTTGCGCGGTCCTCCTCGACATATGCACCTGCGAGCTCGAGCTGAACGGCGAGCTGCAGATTGGCTAAGGTGGTGTATGCGTTCTCAGATTCCTTCGAAGATTGCTCAGGGGGAGTGACGCTTTGAGACATTTTCCTTTTGCCTTTAGGTGCGCGCTGGATCTGGGTCAGTCGAAGGCCAGAGGCCAGAATCGATCTGGTTCGCACCGGCTGTCCACTGCCCGCCTGCGCTGGATCCGTACTGCTGTCTTCCAAATTGCTCTCCGCTCAAGAACGCCAAATCCTTATCGCACAGAGAAGGCTGACTGCGTCGCACAGAATCGGAGTGGCTCGCGACGTTATCGCCCGTCGAGAGTGGCGTGAGTTTCTGAGGCCTCTTCTGGCGAGCCACTGCTTTCTCGATTGAGTCGTGGTGTTGGCAGGATGCGATGACAGGGGTAGGTTTATAAGGATTGATCTGCGATAAAAAGTGACCAGGAAAAAAACAATGAAAAAAATCTCTGTGCGGCAGAAGAAGACTTTGATCCGTCGTAGAAGTCGTTCGGTAAATCAACATCCATTTTCAATATCTGCTATCTATCTGTCCTCTGACACAAGAATGCTGAAATCAGACTTCTGTACTAGATTGTCACGTCTTTTCTGTGAAAAGAAAAAAAACTAAGGCCCTCTGCAGTGTGTCCTACTGCTTGGCCGAGATCAATGGGAGACAAAGACAATGCCATCGCGGACAAGGTTTGAGGAAGAAAGACAGAACGCTAACGCGCTGGTCGATGCTGCAGTCACCTGATCGCATCTCATTTGGGCACGTGTTAAGAGTAGAGTCGGGTCACATGGCTCGAATGCTCGAATCAGCTTGAAGATGAGGCAATACGACCTCGAATCGTCCCTCCATTGGCCTTCGATGCGTGCCGGCCATTCGTTTGCTCAACGGTTGGAGCTACATACTTCTTTCGGTGCGAATATCTGTGTCAGGCTTGCAGTAAGTCACTCTTTCGGAGCCAATGCGATATCGTGGGGCAGCCTTCGCCTGCATCTAATTAGGCAAGCGTCCGTTCCTCTCTTGCCTGTGCACTTGGTGGACGGCGTGAATATGATCCATACACGCACAGTCTGCTCCAGGTCGACACTCAATGTGACATCATCAGATCACGATAATCGATGTTCCAAAGACCCAGACGGCCAGGTCTGGCCCTTGACATGCCTTCTCTCTCATTCACCGCGAACGCTTCTAGACCACGCTTTTCCAGTCCACCGTATATCTTTGCTCCTCACGGCGAATTATGAGAGTATAAAAGCACACTCGGCTGGACAGCACGTCCTCCAACTTGAAGCTGCTCTGCTGTCAACTACTCATGTCTTCTATCGTCATCCCCAAGACTCAACGGGCAGCCGTCGTGGCTAGCAGTGGTGCTGCCATCGAAGTGCGCGAGGACCACCCCGTGAAGTCCGCCGAGGAACTCGCCCCAGGCGAATGCCTGGTCAAGCTTGTTTGCACCGGGGTATGTTTCATTCTCCACGTCTATTTCTGCCGCGTCAATCTAATACCGGATCATGCTAGGTCTGTCACACGGATCTGCATGCAGCCTTGGGCGACTGGCCTCTTGCCGCGAAGACACCTCTGGTCGGTGGCCACGAGGGTGTCGGCATCATCGTCGCGATTGGCGCCAACACGAGTCGCTCGCCGGTCAACGTCGGGGACCGCGTGGGAATCAAATGGCTCGCAGACTCGTTCGTCGCATGAACTTCTGGATCTGATCCATCTCATCTCATACGGAACCGCAGATGCCTCAACTGTGAACAGTGCCGGAAAGGCCACGAGCAGAGTATGTCTGGTCTTCTCGTCTCCTCGTCTGAAGTAGATCGCTGATATCTCCCGCGCAGACTGCCTCGAGGCGAAGCTGAGTGGCTTCAATGTTGATGGAACCTTCCAGCAATATGTCGTGAGTCTGAATCCAGTTACAAGAGTGCAGATCATCATCTATACTTTGACTGCAGGTCTCGTTTGTGAACCACGTCACTCCGATCCCCGAAGGCTTCGACAGTTTCGCTGCTGCCTCCATTCTGTGCGCTGTATGCCGGCACTTTCTTCTTGATGATCGGTAATGATTAACGCTCATCTCAGGGTGTCACTGTGTACCGCGCCATCAAGTACAGCCAGACCAACCCTGGAGACTGGATTGTGCTTCCAGGTGCTGGAGGAGGACTCGGCCATCTCGGTAGGCAACGTTGTTCTACGACATCTATGCCATCTGACCAGCTCGTAAGCCATCCAATACGCGCGGGTTGCTGGTCTTCGTGTCATAGCCATCGGTGGGTACTCCTGTCGAGACGGGATGCGCACAGAACTAACATCCCCATGCAGACTCGGGTGCCGACAAGCAGAAGCTCTGCCTCGAACTCGGTGCAGAGAAGTGGATCGATTTCAAAGAGTGTGCGGATATCGTGGGCGAGATTCGCTCGATAACAAGTGGACTGGGTGCCCACTCCGCGGTTGTGACCACGGCCAGCGTGCGTGCTTCTCGTTCGTGCATGTACCCAATTCGCTGACACGAGATGTTTGTTATATGCAGAGCGCTGGATACCACCAGGCGATCGAGTACCTCCGTGGTGGAGGAACGCTCATGGCTGTTGGGCTGCCTGGACATGCGTCCCTCGAGGCGCCCATCTTCTTCACCGTTTTCAAGGTGACTTGGTCTCACGGTCTCTTCATACGCTTCGGTCGTTGAACGCGCTGCAGAGTATCAGTATCTTGGGATCGTATGTCGGCAACCGCCAAGATGCCAAAGAAGCCATCGACATCGCTGCTCGAGGGCAAGTCATCTGCTACTACGCGCTCAAGCCCCTCTCGGAGCTGCAAGAGTGCGTCCTTGTGTTTTACGCCTGCTGATTAACTGGTTGAGTGTGTGCTTGCAGAACGTACAAGGCTCTCGAGTCGGGCCATATTGCTGGCCGTGTTGTTTTGGAGATGCCGCAGTAGACGACCTCTGTGTCGTTAATAGGTGTAGATCTTGTTATAGTATGAATCTGTGTGTTGTAGAAATTTGGTATCAATTGAAAAACAGAGCTCATCTTAGGATCTATTTGCGATGTGTACTCGTCCACGATCAAGTGATCACCGTAACTGCCAGGGATGATTCGAGTGACAGCTGAGCGGCTTCGTTCGAAGATGTTAGGTAACCGATTGGATCGCCCTTTCAGCGATCAACAAGATGTATGTACTTAACCATCCGAGTCGACATGCTTGCTTAGGCTTGCTTCCAACCTTCGTGACTTGTATCGGATATCCCTCCTTTGCGATATCGGGATTTGCCATTGCGCTTCCACGACCATGTGGACGGCGATACGCCGACTCAGCGTGGGACTCCCGACCGGGGTGATTATTCCCAGGCGTGCAACGCATCCAGCTCACAAGACTGGTTTCCGGGATCACATTACCCAAGAGCCGACTCTATCTAGGAAATGGGGCTTTATTTCGGGCATTGGACTCCAAGGCGTGCCTGCTTTATAAGGCTTCTCCCTGGCTGTACCGCGAATCGGTGCCCGCATCGCCATGTTACTTCCGCTCTCGGCCGCCCTAGCGCTTATACGCACCCTCCTCGTCCGTGCATCTCCGCTCGCTCCCGGCGCACTGGATGTGAAGCTCTCGACGGGCACCGTCCGTGGCGTCTCCACTGCGAACGGCACAGAGAAATGGCTCGGCATTCCTTTCGCACAACCACCGACCGGAATCCTGCGCTTCAAAGCCCCCGTGCCAGCGCAGCGCTTCGCGGGCGTGCGAGATGCATCCAATTTTGGCCATGCGTGCCCACAGCCTGCGTCTTCGAGCCTCGGTGCTGAGGTTGCCGAGGACTGCCTGTTCTTGAACGTGTGTGGATCGGCTAAAGAAATCCCATTCTGAGCTGAGTTCCGTTTTGGTTCGTCTCTGATTAGGTCTGGAGGCCGGCAGGCACCCAGGCTGATGCTGAGCTGCCGGTGCTTTTCTGGATCCACGGGGGCGCCTATACGGTGGGGTGTGTGCGATCTTTTCGTCCGGTTTCTGCCACGGATTCGCTTATGCCGGCCATTGCTAACTCTTTAGGGCCGCTTCGTCGCCGCAAACCGATCCGACGCGTAAGATTCGGTTCTTTGGACGCCGGCGCCGGCGCAGCTGACCCGTGACCAGAGATTCTGCAACGGAGCACGGTCGACCAGAAACCCATCATCTTCGTTTCGACGTCTGTTTCTATTTGCGTAACGTAGCCATCAATCGCTGACCCAGTCGTCCAGGAATTACCGTGTCAACACTTTTGGTTTTGTGCGTTTCCGCGGGGGTATCTTGCTGCAGTTTGTAACGGCTCTATCATAGCTTGCCAGTGCGAGTGTGGCTCCGCAAGATCTTAACGCTGGGTTGCTCGATCAGCGGGAGGCATTGAGGTTCGTCAAAGAGAACATCAGGGCATTTGGCGGAGACCCGAACAAAGTGAGCGCGGAGCTTTGCCTTCTCAGTAGTGGACTGATCTTCTTGGCTCAAGGTCACGATTTGGGGTCAAGTGAGTGCACAATCGCGAGACCTGACTTTCGTTTGAAGACGATTGCAAGTCTGCTGGAGCAGGCTCGGTTGAAGCGCATTTCCTCTACCCGCCAGAGCAGTCTTTGTTCAGAGCCGGCATTGCGGATTCTTCTACAGGCCCGTTGTGAGTCGCACTTTATCTTCCGTTTTGGGCCGTCCACTCATCGGCAGCTTTACAGCAAAAATTCGCCCGATGTGCATACATATGACAAAGCTGGGAAGCCTTTCTCCCGTCTGCTAGCTTCAACGAAATGCGCTGCGGGCAAAAGCGCCATTTCCTGCTTGCAGAAAGTTCCCTTTGAGGTATCCGTTCTCTCCTCGACCTAACACGAATTCATGGAGTTTACCTCAACCGCAGACTCTGATGAACATCAGTAACTCCATGATTTCCGACACTCTGAATCAGCAACTGTGGCAGCCTGCGGTAGGGCCGAAGGGCAGTATGATTCCAGAACGGGCTTCGACTATCATCGCTCGCGGAGACTTTCTACATTTGCCGTATCTCGGTGGCACGAATGTCTGTGCGAGCCGCTCTGCCTCTTCGTCCACTGCTGAACCTTGCAACCGCAGGTCAACGAAGGCACCACGTTCAGTTCCACAGTCGAGGGCCTCGGACTGTCTGGTGCGGCGGAAACCGAGGCGTTTCGACAGTTCATCGGTCATCTCGTCATTGACAACAGCACCCTGACGCCTGATGTGTACAACGAGTTCCTTGCGAACTGGCCGGCGAACGACCGAGCCCTCGGCGCCCCCTTCAACACCGGCGACTCGCTATTTGATCGCGCCGAGAGCTGGTACACGGATATCATGTTCCTGACACCCAGGCGCGATTTCTTCCGCCGCGCGGCGGGGCTGCAACCAATGTTCGCCTATTATTTTGGGCAGTTTATCCCGGGGACGGATCCTCGTTTGGGAGGTGCGTGTTCCGATGGTTTGGAGGCGCAAGACTCACCGGCTGCAGTCTTCCATGCGTCTGAGCTGAAGCTGTTGTTCGGGCCAACGCCGGATCCTTCCCTGGTTCCGCTGGCGAATCAGATGCTGGACTTTTACATCAGTTTCGTGAACGATCTGAATCCAGGACGTGAGTGCGTTAGTCCCAGGAGTATCGCAGGTCTCATGGTCCCTCGTCCTTAGCACAATGGCCTGCATATAAGCTGGGAAGCGCCGCTCTAGTCATGCAACTCGTTAGCGGGAACCTCAGCATGATACCAGACAGTGCGTCCGGAGATTTGCCTGCCGCTCGGATCGTTTCTGACTTCCATTGGCCAGCTTGGGATGTTGCTAAGACTGAGCTGCTCAGCTCGCAAAGGATTCTGAACGAGTTTGAAAAGTGAAAGTATACTATCGAAGTACTTGAGAGTTGGTCTCATGTTGTGCATTGGAGTACCTGTTCCGATTCCCTCGAGCGTCTTTGCTTGCTTGCGCTTCGTGGTTCGCAGGAGAACCATTATGAGGTCGATGTAGACACTCAAGAAGTCCTCAGGTGGTCTGGGCCCGCCAAAGCTGAGGTCCTGAGAGGCATCCACCCACTGAAAGGCCGCCTCGAGCTTCAAAGGTCAGCCAAGGAAACCCGGTGAGCATTTGCGATGGTGCAAACTCAAAGGACGGCAGAGAAGGTCTGAGAAGAAGTAGTTTGAGACGAGCCGCTGATTGAGTGATACCGCAAGAAGTAGCCCGGCTTTCATGCAGATAGCGGTAATAAGAAGATTGGCCACTGGAGGTTTTATCGGGAGAATGGGGGAAACGAAGGATGAATCTCACGAATACAGCGCGAAGGAAGGGGAAATAAGGATGCAGTTCCCTGGTTGGAAGAACAGGACACAATTAGGCAGAGTGGTGCATGAACAGGGCGATGGAGACGACTTTCAGCAAGGGCACGCAGAAGCCTCAGTAAGTCCGCACTCTACTGATGAGCAGTGGAGAGCACGTATCGGTCATAGGGGGCCGGTCATAAGTGAGCCAGAGTTAGTAGAAATGTCATAGGCAGAACATAGTGACCAAAAAAGAAAGTACTAGTGTTACGATGGGCGAGCGAGTCAGTCTCGGGTGATGGATCCGGAAGCGGATGTCAAAAGAAGAAAGCAAGGGCACAGCCACGCGCCCGCCTTCACCACAACCACCACAACAATAGCCACCCTCATCCACTATCACCCAATCACCACAAAGTAATGCTCTCGAGTCCTACACCTGCGCCTAGCGGTCGATTCGCTCCGGCTCCAGGCGGTAGACTCGCTACATCAGCTTTGCGCGGCGCGGGGATGATAGACGGCGACACCACTATGCGCGATGTGTCTGGGAAGCCGATGGGTCGCAAAGGCGCCGACAAGCACGCCCGCCGAACCCGGAACCCGTATTACGGTGCCTCAAGCTCCAAGACGCCTGGTGCCTCACGAATGGTAAATACATCTTTCCTTTGCTGCTCATTCTGGTGGTCAGGTGTCGCCCTGCCGAACCACTTGAAACCCACCCCCTTCGTTTTCTCCCACCCATTGAATCCGACCGCTCACAAAACGCCGCCGTTATCCGTAGCTCTCGACCCGCATGCAAGTCGACTCCAACCTTTCGGACGCCCTCTCGCGCGGAGGTCGGACGACAGGACGGCCGCGCGGTAATGCCGTCTCTGGCGATCGGAATACCAGAGCGGGCCAGCAAGCTCAACCCGTCATCGTCGCTCGAACGGCCGCTAGCAAGGTTCGACCGGTAGATCGCTGGATGGAGATCGTGAAGAAGCGCTATGACCCTCAAACCCGGTGTCTGAATCTCGATGTACGCAGCCTTTTATGGTCCCTTAGCAGTGTTCTCATGATATCCACAGTCCATTGTCGACGACGACTTGGTCCGGAAACATGGCTTGAAGACGATTGGCGCTTTCATCACGGACAAGGAGGCCGCAGTCATATTCAAGATCGCTGCAAGGCAGTTCAAAGGAGCTGTGCGTCAAAGTCTTTTTTATTCAAGAGCACAAGAGCTGATTTACTTCTAGCAGGAAGTGCAGACCCTGTCACTCTCCAACAATGGGTTGACAGGCGCTCACCTTGCGTCCTTGGAGAAGTACCTGCCTAAAATCGTGAATCTGTCCTTGCACAACAACAACATCCGGACTATCCGAGAACTCGACTGCATAGCTTCTCGGAGGAGCAAGATGGAGCATTTGCGAGAGCTCATCTTGACCAACAATCCGGTTCGTGATCAGGAATACCAGTCGGGAAATGCTGCTCGGTTCCGAAAGTGCGCATGGACACCAAAGTGCTCTAGTCTTTATTTGACCTCCACATCAGCGAAATCGCTCGGCGATTCCCCAATCTCGAGCTGCTCGACCAGGAGCCCATTGCGAAGATCGCCTTCGACGTTGCTTCCACAACAACAAACACGAGTGTTCCGGCTCCGTCATCCACGACCTTCCCTGTGCCTATGGGCGGTTCCTTCATTGATGGAGTGGATTCGACGCTCGTGACCAACTTCCTCTCCCGGTTCTTCCCGTTGCTAGACACCGACCGTCCCCGACTCGCCGACGTGTACCTGCCCACAGCGACGTTCTCGTATTCGGCAAACACCTCCATCCCAGCCAGAGCGCGTATCGAAGGTCTGCACGCGACCTTGCCGAACCAAAAAAGCTTGCAGTGGGCACCATGGCATGTGCAGTCGGATTCGCGCAACTTGACCAGGTTGGCGAATAACAAGATCACCACCACCCTGCACACTGGCCCCGTGGACATCGTCACTGCTCTGATCAAGTTGCCTGTTACGAAGCACGACATCACCGGAGCCCCCGAGAACTTTTGCATCGACGCGTTTCTGGCTGGGGTCGGGTTATTGGTCGTTGTACATGGTCAATTCATGGAAGGTGTGTTATGGAGACTGCTGGCTTTCTTTAGCGTTACTGATCGTTGCTTTTCCAGCACCCTCTGCAGGGCTGCGCTCTTTTGACCGCACATTCATGCTGGTTCCATCGGAGGAGGGTTCTGCGTATGTTCTCTTCCGTTTGTGTCTTCTTTTCTCATGCATCCTTTTCAGTGCTAAACGTGCTGGCTGGGATGTCGCGATCGTCGCCGACCAGTTGACAATCCGGGCACTGTCAAACTCGGATGCCTGGGCTGCGGGCCCAATGCTAGTTCAAGCCACTCGGGACACAAACCCACCACGAACGCTGAGATCGCTTCCGGCCGACCAGCAGACGCTGCTCAACAACATTGTAAGTCACCATCAGGCTGTCGGCAAGGAAATTTTGGATTGATGTTGTTCTCTTCCAGCCGGAGCCCCAACGAAGCATGGTACTACAGCTGTCGGGCCAGACGAATCTGAATGTCCAGACCTCTCAGGACTGTCTAGCGAAGAACGGCTGGAATCACGATCTTGCGCTTGCCAACTTCAAGCAGGTCGAGGCCCAGTTGGGTCCCACGGCGTTCTTGTCTCGGCCATAGAGTCCGCCCATGGACCATGGACCGTGAGCTGACTGACTATCCTCCCCTATATGTATCTCACTGCGCGCGCATCATCATCCAATACTTTACTCTCACAAGGGCCCAGAACCCATTTGTATTTATATCGATGTCACGGTTATTTGATAACCAAGAAATATGACGGATTCTAGTAGTCCATCGCTAGATGAGGCGTGTATGCACATCGCGAACATGAACCATCCATCCATCCTGCCGTATATTGACCTAAGAGATACATCCCGTGCCGTATATATGTAATGTAAACTGTTCAAAGAATGAAGCGCGAATACAAGTACACTACGATTCTATAACTTGGAAAGCATCAAGCCGATGAGCACAAATACGATCGTAGCTGGCGGGGTGACAACACAGTAGGCCCAGAAGATCGTCCGGCTGATGAGGCGCTCGAACGCGTCGCCTGATGCGGCTTGGGTGATCTGCAAATCGGGTTAGTGCTATGGGCACGAGGCAGGGGGTAGTGCGAGACGTGCCTGGGCAAGTGTGAGAGCCGGGGGAGAAGAAATGAGCAAGACATTGGCCACGACGAAAACGGGACTGCGAAGAATCAGTCAACGATTAATGTGCGTGAGAGAATGGTAGGACACATACTCGTCAAAGACCGCATGTAGATTGAATTTAGACGACAGCGCCATCAGGGGCAGGAGCAGCAGGGGGGTAAGAATCATGCGCGACACGACAGCGATGATGACTGTCCTCGTCTCGCCGGGACGCGTCACGGCTCGTGCGGACTGCTGCGCCGCCGCCGCGCGCTGCTTGCCGAAAATCTCGCGCACGCTCTCAAGCAACGAGTTCGTGCTCGCCGAGGACGTGAGCGCGTTGCTGCCCGCCGCGGGAGACGCCGGTGGCGCAGGGTAGAAGTACGCGCCGAGAACGATCAGCGTGACAGGGATACTGCAGTTTCCGGCGCTTGTCAGCGCGCCCTTGACAGGCTGCATGTGGTCTTCGAGGACATGCTGTAGCGGCTGGACGCACGCGACGAAAAGCGACGCCAGGGCGGCCCATAGGGGCACAGTCATGAACTCCTTGACGCCGACCCACACCCTATAGAGATGTCGTCGGACTCGCCGCCAGCCGGTGACGTGGTTTGTGGAGTGCGAGGACATGACCGATATCCGGCGGATGTGGCCAGGGGGTTTCCGGTGGTGCGTATGTGTGGGCAGGACCAATGTCTCGCCCGCCTCCTGCGGCGCGGGGAGCGGCTCTGCCTCGCTGTCCGATTCTGAGTCATCGGGGCTCGACACGATCGTCGATGTCGAAGACGACGAGTCGATATCAGGCAGCCGCATCCGGGACTGATTTGGTGAGTTGGGGAACGAATTGTAGAAACGCGATTGGCGGCGCTGCTGACCCGGGCGCGCAAGTTGGGGATTCTGCACGTGGATCCGGGGGACAGGCGGCAGGTCGTCCTCCTCGTCCTGATGGCCCAAGAGTGCAGAAGTCTCTTCCTCGTCAGGTGACGTCTCCTCGCTCTCGACATCTGCCTGCGCAAGAAGCCTGACTCCGTAGCTCCATCGGAGAATCATGCCCAGCGTGCTGTACAGGACGAGATACGTAAGGGCCCGCCCCAACATCGCGTTCTTGTTGTCCTCGGATCCCCATTTGAGTCCCGGCACGGTCACCACGAGACTCTGCATGAGGGCTATAGGCAGCGAATTCGAGTTCATAAACATGGCCGCGGCCATGCCGAAGTTTCTATAACGAAATGAGCCAACCAGATCGTGAAGGCGAGGAAAGCCAGGAAAGACGGGAGCGCCAAGGCTCGGTCGGCCCAACAATTAACGCCGCTCCAGGGTGGCTCGCACGAGGACCGAAGTCTGCTCCAGGATCGAGAGACAGCAACCCTTACCTTTGTGACCGCTTGCGGAGGAACATCCAGCCCAGCAGAGACGAGACCGTCATCGAAACCGCCGTCACGAGCACGAAAAAGATGGGGATGATCCATAGCTCGCGCAATTTCGCTGTACATGCAACTTGAGTTGTGCGCGCGCGCGGGTAAACACGTGGACAGGGACGAACCGGGAGACAGGAAGAATGCGACTTTGGAGAAGAGCAGGGAGGGGGTGAACAGTGAAACATTGAGCCGATTCAGTTGCTGGTGAAGCCCGATAAGCATGAACGTGGTGCGGCACCACCGAACTCGGCCCGACGACGCACCTTTTGTGTTTTCTTGTCCAGAATACCCTTCCAAGCTAACACATATCCTGCAAGACAGAGGAGGAAGACCTCGAGAATGGACTGGATGCGTGTGAAGGATGTGAGCGCCGCCCAATGACATCCGGTGAACGCAGGGACGCACAGTAAAAACAGTGGTAAGGAGAGGAAGGAAGGGGCCGTCCTGGGGTAGCCCGTCCGATGGTTTCTTGAAGATGTATATTGGATCGTCCGGTGAAGACATGGGTGGGAGGTAGATGTTCTGGGCCAAGAGGCGAAGATTTGTGTCTGAGTGATTTCTCCCGATCGTTTGTTCGATGCGATCACAGCCGAGACAGTTACTGCTGCGCACGCACGTTCCTGGCAGGCAAAGTCGCTTGGGGTGGTGAAATACCCAAGATCGGAGTTTTGTACTCGCACCGGAGAGTGCGTGATCCTTAAGAACATCCTCCCCTGGCTTGGTTAACCTCGAGAATGTGGAGGCAATGCTGCGATGACAAGTGCCAAGAGGGAGAAGCGCATCCTGAGCCATGCACAGCCTCAAGTCTCACGATCCGAAAAGGAAATCCCGGGGTACAAGCAGTGTAAGCCAAGACGCGAGTGGTATTACAAGCACATGATATAAGTGATTACATTAATGTTGTTTGTAGTCGATCCGCTCCACTGTTCAATCAAACTTGTTCACCTCCTGCTGGAGTTTGCCCTTGTCGTGCTGGAGGTTGCCCTGTGCTTCCTGGGTCTTGTCGCCGAGGACAGCACCGACGACGGCGTCTTTCTTGCCGGACAGGCGGTCAGCGGTGCCCTCGACGTAGCCCTTGGCTTGTGCGGCATTGTACTCGGTCTCGCCGGCCATGTGCTCCTCCTACGGAATTGAGTCAGCCAAGGAGGAAAATAAGCTTGGCCAGATTATTCACCTTGCCAGACTGCTGCCATGAAGTGGCACCGGTCACGTTTCCGATGGTCTCGACGACCGTGCCCTTGACGCTGTGGTACTGGCCAGTGGTCTTGCTGGAAAAAGAATCAGGAAAATTATAACAAGTAAAACGGGACTGAACAAACTTGGGCTCAGAAGTTCCGTTGGTGAATCCAGACATGTTAATGAGAAAGTCGTTAAAAACGTAAAAGGTAGTTGAGTTGTTGTTGTTGTGGGTGGGTTGAATGGAGATTAGAGGCCGTTAGAAGGCCTTATATAGGTCTCAGACTAGCCTGGACTGAACTCATCCCTCGCGTCATGGCTTGGGGCAAGTGACGCGCTTTGACGTCAGACGCGCCATGGTCACGCTTATCACGTGAAATGTGCGTCATGGACAGCAATGATGGCGGAGCTCGCCGGTCCGGTGTGACATCACTCGGTAACACCCTCAGGCAAACATCAGACTTGTCAGCACCACTAAATAGTATGTATCTACTGTAGTAGGGGCTGTCTTACATGTACTTCTCGGCCACGAGCCTCGCAGTCCGAGAAGTGCATCCGTTCTTCGTTCCCCTGATTACGAGCCGTTTTCTCGTCCCTCCATCCAGGGATCGAACCGCAGTGTCGGCACCTACCTCCGCCAGTTGGCTGTTTATCTGTGGGTCCGAATCCGATACGCATCCAACCCTTCCAGTCGAAGCCAGAATTTTGGCATCTGCTATGTATTTGCACGCTTGCAACACGTGTCTCCCATATCTCCATTGCTACAAGGGTCAGCTTTCCGGGCACATTCTCCGTGGACGTTCGACGGTCATACAGACTCAATCTCTGCCTGGTTGGATCCGCCTGACACTTGTCGAGAACTCGTGGATCATCATCGTCTGCTCGAGGGATGCCTCGACCAGGCACAACGAATAAAGTCCATCTACATGTCATGCGCGGCCCAACACCACACACTGCTCACTTCCACGACTCACGTCTCGGCTACAGCATGAAACCCGCCACTCTCACCCAGTCACAACTGATGTCATATGATGCACCCGCACAATCTTGCTGCAGCCCCGAGCGGCCTTCGAGAATGGCTATTCGGGGTGCTTTCCGTAAGCTGGGGAGCGAGCGCCCGCAAGCGATTTCACCAGTGCACACTACTTATTTGTGATCCTACCAGCGGGCGTCAACGAGAAATTCCAACTGTAGCTTGCCGACCCTTCACACTGCCAGATCACATTACGTTATCCTTGCCCGTATTAACCGTGGGTCCCTTCCACATCCCCTTGTGCTCGCAATCAAATGGAAAAGTGCCAAATGGCCCAGAGCGCTTGCACGGAAGGTCATCCAGCGGAGGACCCGAGCTTCGCGCTGTCGCACTGCCATCAGCGCCTTACTCAAATGAACTTGAGGTAGCTTATGATACAGTTCAGGTCAACATGGCGTCCTGGGCCCCGGCATCCCAAGTAACCACGAAGAAGCTTTTGGACGTGAGAACTTACCCAGCCCTTGAGCTTTCCTGATTTGGTCACGGCGGAGGACCGCCTCCGGGGCGGGCCCAAGTACGGATCTCTTGGCCTCGAGGCCCGCTTACAGTCGCAATCACATACATCACATCAATACATCATTTGCCGAGCGCTGCCGCGCCTCGAGGCCATTTTCCCGGTCTCGGCTTGTCCCCGTCCAATCATCGCTTAATCGAACATTCCCCGCCTTCTGCCCCGAGCTTGCGCCCGGCTCGCTCAGCTCCATCGGCATTTCGAAATTCTGTCCATCTAGACACATCATGATCGCTTGAGCCTCGTTGCATCCTTCTCCTTCCGAGGGTATACATATGGATGCGTTCGCACGAGAAATTTTGTAACGGTCTCCCCTCCCCTCCTCCTCCATCTCTTGCCGCCTCCCTTGCTCAACGCCCTCCGCGCGTATCTTTTCCTCACTCATTGTCCCGCCTATCCTCCTCCCGTCCTTACGCAAACTCCCATGACACGACGCGACCCAACTAGCTCTTCTCCAGAGTCCTCCCGCCTGCACCGCGCTGCGCTCACCGGCGATGAAACGAGCGCCCGTCGCGCGCTGCGCGCAGGTGCCGACGTCAATGCACGCGACTCGATGAACCGAACGGCGCTCATGTGCGCCATCGCGGGCGACAAGTGCGTGCACAGCCCGCGGCGCGTCGCGAGCGCGATTTCTGACTTGTTTTATCGCAGCTGGCAGCAGGCCGACGCGTCGAACGCGTCTGGCTCCCATTGTGGCCGTCTGGGCATATTGCGAACGCTCCTGCTCGACGCCCACATCTCCCTCGTGACCTTGAACGCGCCGCAGAGTGCTTATCGCGGTGTCACGCCGCTGGGGATGGCCGCGTGGCTGAACCAGGCCGATGCCGTGCGCATTTTGCTCGAGGAGAGCTCCGAGTCCGTCGCGGTCGACGCAACGGACGTGCATGGCGCTACGCCGCTTATGTGTACGCCGGTTCACGTCTTCCTGCTCCCATCCGTGGCTGACGGGTTCGTGATCCAGATGCCGCGAGAGATGGCCGAGTGGAAGTGGTGCAGATGCTCGTGAGTTGCGGTGTGTGCGCGTGCGAACGGTACTGTATTCTGACGCCCTGCATCAGCTTCGCCACGGTGCCTTTCCGGACCTGGGTGATGCCCACCACAGGACGGCCGTACAATTTGCACTTCGATTCCCCCAGATCGTGTGGTTGTGTGAGTCGACGTTACGGCGGATGCGACTGCGGGTGCGTGTGGCTGGTATTTGCGCCAATGTCGTGGAAATTGACGTGTGCTTGTCCAGTCATCCAGCTCCTTGCCAAAACAGTTACTCCGCTCCGCTCTTCCTACATCGCGCATTCTCGAACCTCCGGCGCTGTCATCCTTTGGATCCATTACCCGGATCACCGACACTCTCATTCACGCTGTTACGTCCTCTGATGTCCCCACACTGCATTCCATTCTGTATCCGTCCGTATCGTCGCATACGGATTCCCACACAACACCTGTACTTGTAAATCTCCCGGACTCGGATGGATGGAGCGCCATCCACCATTGTGCGGCTGCCGAGCAGCCGTCAGCGCTCGTCTTCAATGCTCTCTACTGCGCTGGCGCAGTCCCGCTTTTCACAGCGCACGAGCAGTGGACACCGCTGCACTGCTTTGCGCAGGCATCGAGAAGCCCGCCCAGCGTTCATCTGCGAGCGCAGTGGAGCTCGGCGCTGGCCCAATTCGTCTGTCTGCTCCTCCAAGACTTGCGTGTGCCGCTTGCTGCTCGGGACGGAGACGACGAAACATGCATCCACTTGGCGGCTGAGCACGGCTCCTGTATTGAGGTGCTGGCACTGCTGTTGGAGTGCGATGCATCGAAGACAGTGCGGGATATGCGCAACTCACGCGGGTTTGTGGCGTTTATCCGCTTACTGTGTTTTCCCGGACTCATTGTCTTTCAGTTTGACCGCGTTGGAAGTGTGCAGGCCCGAGTTTCGGCATGCGTTTGGCACCGAGCTCGAGAGTCTGCGATCGCCTTCAGCTCTATCGACGTACACCATTCGCGCATCTCCGTCTGCGGTATCGCTGTCGTCCTTCGCAACCGACGTCGAGGAGACAGAAGATGCGTCCGTGCTCGACAACATCGACATATCCGCATCCTCCGAACAGCTTCTTGCCAATCTGCGGTTGACATCGCCCATGGAGAAACAGAATCCATCGCCATTCCACATCGGGTTGATGGACAATCTCCTCCGGGAAGCGGGTGATCTGACGGCCGTCGTGTGCTCTCACTATCGGACGATGGCGGCCGAGGCCCGGAAGGACGTCAGCGCACTGCGGCAGAACGCAGGAAAGGTGCAGGGCTTTGTCGACGGTCTCGCTCAGGACATCGGGCGGGAGATTCTGAGCAAGGGCTTAGTGCCCATCCCTCCTCGCCGACGGGGCGATCGCGGTTCCGAGGACTCGCAAAACACAGCGGTGGATTGTGCCCCCCAATCGCCGCTAACAGAGGATCAGGCCCTGCCCGTCCCGTTCCCCGCCCTCCCGGAAATCACGTCGGAGCCGGCTAAAAGGACGACGGGACCGATGAAGCTCAAAGCGTGGATGAGACGGAAGCTGTTCGCCGAAGCGATTACGGCTGCGACGATGCCTCCGCCGCCACGATCCCCATTGGAGGTGATCATGGAGGACCAGGACTCGGACTGCCACTCCGTGCGCCGGATTGTCACGGTCGATGTGGACGTGTCTGCCGAGGAGTGGAGCAATGGGCTGCTGCGGACTTCGTATGGGACGCTTCAGGCCGCCAATCGGGATTTGGAGCGAATTCGGGAGTGCATCAGCTCTGCGGAGCACTTCATTGATGTCGTGGAGCGGTGTACGGCACGGACGGAACGGGCGGTGGACAGAGCTGTCAAGGTGTGTGGATGTTCAGTGACGACTGTCGCTGTGCTTGGCTGAACAATCTCTTCACAGAAACGACAAGCCTTCGTAGCCGAATCGAAGCACCACTCGGCGGAGGACGACCTCTTCGTGCGGCCGGCGCTGCTGTCCGCCAAGTCGAGCATCGCGTCGCTGTCGTCGCTGTATTCGGCGCGGTCGTCCTGCGTATCGCTGGCGGCGACGCTGTCTGAGCAGGACGACGACGACACGCGGCTTGTGCGCCGGCTGCTGCTGCGCAAGATCGATGCGGGCGTCGCTGGCGCCCAGGACGATCTCGAAAAGGGGGTCGAGTGGCTCCGCGTTGTAAAGGCTGCCGTGCGCGGCACCAAAAGAAGGGCCTGCGTCGTCTGATTGAAGCTGGATTGCACCAGGGACCTTCAAACATTGTGTCTGTAATCTTATACCGTACTATAGTTGTTGTAATATCAGCGCCCCGTAGAGTCCATTTGTATATACATCCGCATTGTCATTCCATTCATCGCATTTTCTACCCCCACAAACTGATTAAATCGATTTTCGAATCCGTCTTACGTGTGACTGCTACACTGGGCGGAACTCGGGCATGCCGCGCTGCTCAAACTCAAGCTCGAGAGGCGGTCCAGCGAGCCGCGAAAATCGCAGTGCCTTGTTTAGGGAGTTAGGTTCCGTTGTCGCCAGTCCCGCCTATGCTCAGGCGATGGCTAGGAGCGCACACGTAATTGAAAACAAGGTCCATTTGGTCCATTTGCGTATTAAATCGACAGAGTCCAGAAAAAAAACAGAGATTGGAACTGCGCTGGCTCTACTTCTCGTACTCGTCCAGAATCTGCGGTGAGCTGAGGAGGTCGGTCTTGGCGATGTCCCAGGCTGTCCGGGGTATATCAATCAAATCGAGCCATGGAGAATCGCTGAACCCACTGTCCGGGATCATGGTAATATTCCCACTGCTGAGTTGCATGACTTGGTTGTGGCTGGTGAACTCGTATCGCAGCCTTTTCGCTAGAGAACGACAATGGAAGCTGCCGTGTTCTCGGGGCCAACACACACACACGTCGTGGATTCAGAGCGTGCAAGAAATTGATGTGTATATCCTTCATCTGATTCGCCAGCGGGACCAGGGGAGGATCTGGGGTCGGCCCAAACAACAGTTGTAGCTCAGACGCTAACTTGGAACACATATTCTTGTTCAGCCTTGCACCTCCGACCGCCCAGTGTTCTTGATAACGCGTCCCCGCGATAAACTGTCGAAATGATACGCGAACACAGGCTGCAGGCGAGCCGGGTGGCGCCAGGAACGTGTCATCCGTGGACCAGCTCTCGGCGCGGTCGCCGGTGTTGAATGGGGCGCCGAGATATCTGTCGTTTGCGGCCCACTGGCAGTTGGCCAAGAATTTCTGGTACATATCCGGAGTCAGCGTGCTCCTGTCGATGACTAGGTGGCCGATGAACTGCCTGAACGCTTCGTTTTCGGCCGAACCAGACAGTCCGAGGCCCTGAACTGCCGTGCTGACGAGCGTACCTTCGTCATGTAAGCTGAAGGTGAACTGTGGAAATCAGTGGCAGGAGAAAATTGATCGCCACAAACATTTGTCCCACTGAGGTATGGCAGATGCAAAATGCACCCCGAGCTATGCGAAGTCATGCTTGTTTTGAACTGCCCCTCGGTCCGACTGCGGGCTCCCACCGTTGCTGGATCACAGTCGTAGAAAGCATCGAGTTACTGACATTCACCAGAGTCTGTCAATGACCGAGATGGAATTAGTTTTCGTCAGACAGGGATCAAATTGACGTCAAAATACCTCAAATGGAACTTTCTGCAAGAACTCATTCGCGCTCGATCCTACCGCGCACCCCGTTGAGGCCAAGAGACGGGAGAAACATCTCCTAGGTTTAGCTCTGCAACAGGGGCCTTGAACCGCAGTGTGCCATGGCCAGCAGGCAGTCGCGCATATCTGATGCCGAGCCACTTCTCGGTGCCATTCGGGGCGGAGAACCACTAACAGTGCCCATTGGGAGCTTCAAAACCATTAGATCGGACGCGAGAGGGGATGCATCGACGAAGAGGGTGTGCAGCGTTGCAGCCAGGAGCGCGAGTAGCATGAGGTCGACTCGGATGTGGGTCTAGATCGAGGGACAAGTCACGAGGGAAACACTACATATCGGTCTTGAAGATCTGCTTGGAGTGCTCAATGCGGCCATACCATTGCCTGAAGGAGGGTTTCATTTCATAGCTGCCCATTGGGCTACCAGCCCGAGCCCTTGATCGAAGATAGTGCGATTTGCGAATGAGTCTCGACTCGCTCGAGGCATCTTTATCACCCCAAAGCACCGGCAAATGGGGTCGTCTCTGCGTTTCACAATCAGAATCAAGCTCTGTCGCTGCGAAGTTGAAGTTGAGTTGTGAGTGAAGCCGGTCACATGACTTTGATGCGCGTGATGCGCGCTTGGAATTCTTGGTTCTGCTCACTCGGGGTTGTCGTCAAGTGCCGGGTCACAAACCGACTCCGGGCGTACCAAGTAAAAGGTGGCCATTCGCAAAATGCTCGCCGCTAAATCATCAACCAGATCATGGTCGGGGCCAACTACATGGGAGGCAAGAGGTGCGCTGCACCAAGCCCTGATCTCTACTCTCCACCCACAATCCCCACAATCCAGAAACGCCGCCCGCGCGCGCACGAACGACACGACTGCACGAACTCAGAAGAAGCATTTCAGCCGGCAGCGGTTCCTTGCCAAAGGGGTTGGAGGCGGAACCGGTGCGGTCAGTGCGCCTTCGTACGGCCCCCGCGCGACAATCGAGGACATCGCGCTCTCGCATGCACGGAAAGCGCGTGGGGATCGAGTAACAGGCGGTGAGCTGGAGCCTGCAGAGACGCCTAAGCCCCTCCCTGCTCGGGACACGCATATACGCACCGGAGGACGCGAACGGTCCCGCACATCGAGCAGCACGCATTCCGCGGCGTCGAGCTCCCGGCTGATCACAGCGCTCGACACATTCGAACGTGCGTCACCAGTCTGCGCGCTGCATTGCTCCCTGACCGGGCGCAGCAACGGCCATGCGGGCGGCCATAACCCGGATCCTGTCGATCCCCGACCTCGCGGGTCTCGCGCAGCAGAAGCCGCACCGGCTGCTGGACTCACCAACTCGGATACAGGGGCGCCGCCAGCCCGGGAAGCGCATCCGCAAGGCCTCTCCGGCGCCTCCGACCCGTACACAGGATGGTGGCACTGCGGCGAGAGGAGGGCAGGTGAAGCGCCGAGTGAGTGGCAGAGACCACTGCCAATTTCAAGTCCCTAATTGGCCTCCCAAAGCGCTCTTCAGACGCATCTGGACACTGGGGCGATGGCGACCAGGAAGCGCCCGAGCCCTGTATCGACATGTTCTCAAGTGTGCCAGATGGGCCGAGAGTGCCTCACACCTACGAAGTGAATGTGTCACTTCCGGAGCATGACGATGAGCCACCCGAGGAGGACTTCATCGTGCGTGCCAACGAGATTCCCTGCCTCTCGCTCCGCCGATGTCGATCGATCTCTGCACAGCCTGTCGAGTTTTCCGATGACGACGCGGACGAAAATGAAATCCGTCTCTGCGGTTGGGTGAGTGTTTCCTAGGGGTACCGCGCGGTGCAAGGATCCAACTACGAGCGTCCAGGATGTGCGGTCCCAGCGGAGTGCTACCGAATCGACACTCAATCAGCGTGCTGGTCTCTCGGAATCGAGTTCGAGCGATCTATCTCTCTCGACGCCCGGCGTTCCTCAGCCGCCAGCAAGTAGTCCACCTCTCGTCAAGATGGCTTCGTCTCCTCTGGAAGCAACCCGAACGGAACCTGTCGCTCTTCTCAGACCCTGCGTCCTGCTAACTTCCTGCACCTATGGCCTCAACGACCACGGGCCCGAATCTGTTGAGCGACTGCAAGATAATCTGTACAGCTACAGAGATCCATGGAGAGCTGTTGGTGTGATGCTCGGACTGGAAGAGGAGAACGGGACGAACATGGCGCTCGAGCCGCTCAGCTTACGAGACGATATACTCGAGGCGCACGGCTACCGAAGTTCTTCCGATGCTTTGCAAGATCCTGGCGCTGCTCTTCTATCATCGACCCCTGTCTCGCCGAAGCCATCTTCCGCCCTTCAGGGTGAAGATGAACCTGCTGCTAGTCTTGTGCATCAAGCAGACCCCTGGAACTTCTCCTCGCCTTCTGCAACTACAAGAATCTGCAAGAGCTCGCCACCTCGCGCAAAACCCGAGTATCAAGTCCACGAACGACTCAAGTTCACCAAGTTTCCTGTGCAAGACGCGCTGAAAGCCAACCGTGATGCAGTCTGCGCTCTACTGTACAAAACGACGCCTACCAGCCCGAATCATCAAGTCTTGTCCCTCATTGATGTCCGCAGCACTCGGGTACCACTATCCAGAGTGGATCTGCTTGAAAGTCGGTCTCCGCTTACGTTTGCCCTCGACGAACGACCGAATATTGTGCCCAACATGTCCGAGGTGGTCAGTACGCTATCGTTCGACCCACCGGGAGAGTCCATAGCGGCAATGAGCCGGATGGACGCGGTCGAGACTTATCCTGTGGAAGAGAGCAAGTGGGCTTTGGACTTCGTCCCGGTCCCTCTGATGCCCGAGCGCTTCTTTGGTGAACTCAACTTGCTAGAGGACGGACAGGAGGCCGACACAGCCGAGTGGTGGCGGTCTAGTGATCAGGGAGCAGTGATCCAATGTCATTTGTAATGAAGAAGCTATTGATATTTCTGAGACCCTCCTCCCTCGACCGTGGATCGATCAGATGAACTGTATCCTTTGACACGAATGTCGTACGCATAACCTTTTCTACCAGGCTGGTCGTGTGGTCCCTCGAAGTGGAGCTCCGACAGATCATAAGTTCCTGCGGCTCATCATCAGTAGTCACCGCGGCATTGGCCCGGATGGACGCACCTACATGCACCCATCCGTTTTCCTTGATATGGTACAGGTTGCAGCTGTTGCCGGAGTATGCGTCCCGGTGTCCCGCGGCGTAGATGCTCCTACGCGCGAGATCGTACGCCTCCTCGTCACTCAGCCCCGCGCGGAACCCCTGGTCCAGCACACCGTACGCAAAGGTGCTGCCAGAGCCGACGGAAAACAGGTCGCCTTGCAGTCGCGTGCCGTCTCCGTCGACGTAGAAGATCGATGGCCCCGTCTTGTCCCAGCCGCAGATCATCGTGCCCTAGCGTAGGTGAGTGTGAAGAGAGGCTGGAGAAAGAGGATATGCCTGTACCATGCTCAGGCCCATACCCTTGTAGCTGTATACCAGGTTGCTCAGGTACTTGCTCGCGGCGGCGACGGAAATACGCTGGCCCTCGCGCAGCTCGTGCAGCCGGCAGTGCATCCCGAGGTACGTCTCCCAGTACATGCAATCCGCTGGAAACATCCCAGCCCCATCAGAGATCGGCCAGTCACGATGGATAACACAACACACACCTGCGGTGCCGGCCATGGTGCCCAGCAAATAAGGGTTGATCTCGATGACCTTCTTGACGGTGCCAGACGCTGGGTCCAGATGAGCGCGCGCATTACAGTCGACACGGCGAGAGAGAGGTATCGACCTATGTAGCTCCCGGCCGTGGCGCGAGAATCGACAGCGACGATGACGCCGCCCTGGTACCGGAACGCCAGCGTCGTCGTACCGTGCTGGATCTTGATCCTGCAGCTCGGATCCGCTTGGTCGTCCGTGTGCAGGCGGAGGAAAGAAGTCGGCTGCGTCGGGGTAGAATGTCTATCGATCGCGAAAGGACGTTCACAGTCGAGCGGCACTCACGTCCGGGACGGCTGGGAGCGAGAAGGTCGGTGCGCCCTGCGCGATGTTGCCGAACCCAGCCTGGGATCCCCAAGCCGCGTCGGAGAGATTCCCGGTGTCATCAGCTAGATCCTGCGACCGGTGCTGGAGTTCGCTCAGCGGGCCCGTCGTCGCAAACCGCTGGGCGAAGGAGCGAAGCATTTGAGTGATATGAAAGAGAGGACTGTATGTTTCCTGATGAGATAGGTCCTCTTAAAGAGACGACGCGTCATGATGGATATTGTGGACGCGTAATGATATATATTCTGGACGCGTCAGCCTTCGCACTCCAAGAGCCGTAGAATCAGGCCACGCAAACGGAGTTGGGATTTTGAGTACCGATCTTGTTTTTCGTGGTGAGGATATCTATATGGGACTTGATTCCAGAAGCTGGTCGACAACGAGCGGCCAAGCTCTGGGGAAGTGGACAGGAATGGGGAGAGCATTCAGACAAGTTGTTCGGATCAAATGCTAGGCCGCCTCAATGACAATCTCAGACTGCTGATATATCACGTGATTTTCATGCTTCAGACACTCGTGAATTGTATCCTTCAGATGATGGATGTAATGCAATCTCTGGGAGTCTATCAAGGACCCTGAAAATTTGAAGATGAACAGGATATCTATTGCAGCTTTCATATCCATCACAGGCCTTGGCCCTGTACGGAATGCGTCGGAAAGCATTTCGAGTTGCTGAGTCTCCGGACTATCGAGCTGCAAACGCCCAATCCCGTACATGCCCTCCCACATTGAGTGGTCCTCAGCCTAATATTTGGCGCGTCTAGTGCTACAGACGCGAAGACGACAGCGGAAGAGCATCTAACAGATCGTCTTTCTAGATAGGTTCTGGTATTCCGAATCATTCTTTTATGAAAGTGATCACTTTCTCTTTGATTCTAGACAGAGATAATTTGTTTCTGCCTACCAGTCGTTGGGATCATGTCAACTCACACAGAAAATCGAGTAACATTCGCTATGAAGAGGCGAGATCTCCAAAGTCCTCCGATGATTTGCCGGCGACGCACTTTGGTCAGGGCCGACTCAAAACTCGGGTTTTCACGTACGCCAGTAGATCAGATCCTTGATAATCTCACCCTCTCTTGCCTAGTTGGTCGAGGACATTGAATGTAAATAGAAGTCGGATGAAGAATATCGAAAGGAGAAGTGCGGTGGGACCATGCAGGTGGCGCGATGTCGGCCCACATTTCCCACGGTTCACTCTCTGGAAGTACATATTGATTGACTGCCAGTCATAGCATAAATACGACGAATCAGAGCAGAAATAGATAGCATAATCGGCGAGAACGTTGATCCGCCATAAGACACTCCTCCTCAAAGGAAGTCGTCGGTGCTGTCCACGTCGATCTCGTCGCTGAACGCGATGCTCTGCCCGTTGACAACTTCGTCCCAGTCTCCGAGAACGACGGTCGTGTCGCGGATGAAGTCGATCTTGAGCGTCGTGGTCTTGTAGACGACGGTGAGCTCCATCGTGCCGGTGGGGCCGTACTTCTTGCCCTCGCTCAGGAGGACCTGGTTGATGACGTACGGCTGCGGAGAATATCAGCTCAGTGAAGTTGTTTGGGCCGGATGGCGGATTGCTCACGATGTTGACGAGTCCTTGGAAGCTGGAACAAGAATGGTTAGCTCAAGCACGGTCAATTGTGGGGGGATGAGCGTACTTGTCACCCTCGGCTGGATGTTCATCAGCAACTCAAATCGTGCAGAGAAGCAATGAGACCACTCACTGCCTAATTGACTGTCACTCATCAAGCCGTAGTTCTGTAGAATATTGTGTCAGCAATCGCCTCGCACTCTCCTGGGAAGGACGCACGAGTTTGTAAACCTCGGTAGTGGTCACGAACAGGGGCGTGCCGATGATCTTCACGCGCTCGTTGGCCGCAATGCTGAAATCAAATGAGTCTCAAGGTTTTCTGTCCACGGCGCTGATGAGAACGCACTCAAAGTCAAAGTCCTTGCTCTGCGGGTACAGATATTGCTTCGTGGTGGGCACCGTCGCGTTCGCCGCGATGACCAAGCTCACTTTCCCGGCGATGTTCGAGAACTGGATCGGGTTGTTGACGCTGATCAGCGCTGGAGTGCGATGTCAGTACGAGTTGTGACCTGAGTTGATTCGGACGCCAGCGAGCTCACCAGGGAGGCTGATGTCGATCGACAAGTCGAGGATGTTGTTCCACGCCTTGGTGAAATGCTCGTGACCAGGGACCGACGATTCAAAGATGCTGAATTTCTTGCCGATCGCCTTGGTGACCTCGGTGCGAGACGGGTCCAGCGTTCCCTTGGCCGCCATCGTAGTGTTGTGCGACGAGATGCTGAAAAGAACCGCTCAGCTCGAATGAAACAGAAAAGCAGGGAGATCGACAGACGGAGGCTTCATGGTGGTCGTGAAGCTGTCGTTCAGGTGCAGCTGGTCGTCGCTGGTCATCGTGTCCGGACGCAGGGCGCTGACGGCGCTGTAGACGGCCGCCTTGTCCCAGCCGAGCGCCTGGAGATCATCCCAGGTGGTGAGAGGAGGGACAGCAGCGGCAGCGATTTGTTGAGACATTGTTGCAGAAGATGGACTGGTTGAAGCTGTTTGTATGTCGCAGTGGAGAACTGGTGTTGAGTTCTTCTGTTCACAAAGAATTTATACAGACTGGAACCTCGAGTCCGGCGAGATTGAGCGCCGGTAGTCTGTCGAGTAGTCTCTCCATATCCCACCTGACAGGAACCCAGGAACCTCGCCAGTGAAAGAATGTCTGTGTCTCTCGTGGACTGAATACCGAATTAGTGACGTGCCGGGTGCCGGCAGCTCCCAGCAGCCACAAATGGCATCCGGTGGCAGATCAACGCCTGATCAGCAGTGTCTCGACCGTCCCAGCATCATTCCGAACCGCGCTTCGCAGCACATCGGGATCCCAGTTCTGTCGACTCCGTTGACAGCATCCACGCTCCACATTGCGGCCTGCACCGCACGAGAAACGACTCACACCTCCGGTGACAGGTGGCATTCTTTGCGCACAGCAACTGGAGCAAGTCGCTTATGCTCAATGTTTTTGGTTGGCGGATTAATATTAAAGCAAATCTCCGACAGAATTCGTTTCCTGCTGTAGTTCGTGATTCGTGGTGTGGTCGTATCCCAGGTTCGTGGTTGGTGGAAGCGTGAGAATCGAGTCACGTGAACGAATCGAGTGTATGTGGCTGTGCACAAGTTGATGGTGACCCGTGCTTTAGTTCCTCCACACTCTGCGTCCCCACTCCAATGCTGGAGAATATCCGTCATGCGAAGACAGAAGAAACGAGCTGCGTCGAAAAACAGCTTGCTGCAACCAATCATAAATGCTTGCTCGACTAGTTCTGATGGCTCATTGATTATATCAGTGGAGCCCGAGTGTCCAATTTGGGCAGGGGACAGAGGCGGTGCGGATATCCGATCATATCCGACTGTTCCGACTGTTCCTCGAGTCCCCGACGCCTGTACGTCATAGAATCACATGTACCGTGTCACACTTTCTTGTACCCACACCGTTTGGCAGATTCTGCCACCGTTCAACACATTGATCCATGCCCTCCCCCAAACCACCCGAATCTCAGAAGAAGAAGCCTGGCCGCGGCGGTCCTAGACCCGGCGCAGGACGGCCACGCAAAGAGCCACAGCCCGGCCAAGGTCAACACAAGCCCCGAAAGAAAACACAGACTTCGCAAGCGCATCAATTGGCGCCTGGGGCTGCGATCCCAGCATTCTTCCAACCACGAGATATCTCACGGCCCGTTCCACTCGGAACTCACTCGCCGTTTACTACACCATCCGCTTCAACATCCCGTGGTCCCGTTCAAGATCCGCAGGCGTCCTTCTGGTCTGGTGTTCGTGCGGCTGCCGGTGCGGCGGCGGCGATTCGAACTGAGAATGGCAACGAAGGTGTGTCTCATTTTTCATTGTTTCTTCTCTGGCTGGATTTCTACTCAGCTCCCATGCTCACCGACTCCGACCTTCGTTCGTTACAAGAGGGTCTCGAATTCATCGAAGGCAATGATGAACATGCCGATATTCTTGCTCGCCGGGAGCAGGATTCCCAAGAGTCCATGGTCGACGAGATTTTTGAGAGGGACGGGGAGATGGATAGTGTCGCGGTGTTAGAGGCGGAGACGAGGGATTCCGAGGCTGCGAATGGATCAATTCACGAGCAGCACCATTACGGACTTCGGAAGAGAATTGTGGATGAGATTCGTGTTCATGGCATGCCTCTGTGTTACAAAAGAGGGCAATTATTTGACCGCCCCGTGCATCCCATCTTCGCCATGCAGCGCAACGCAACACTCGGCCTTGCCACTGGGCTTGATCCCAGCCCATTGTATCTCTGCAAAACTTTTCTTTGGCTTCCGTCGTATCTGCCTGGTCATCCTGACAGATTTTTGTGTAAATGTGGTGGATACTTATCCTCAAACGGTACGAAGAGCTCTAGTTATTCTGTGATTTTGAGCTTCACTGACGACTACACATAGGCTACAATGACAATCCTATCGCTCGACGTGTCCGCTCCATGCCAAATGATTTCTTCATTCTCACGAATCGGTACACCTGTGATAAACGGCGGAACGGAAGTCCAGGATGCGGTCAGAATATTCAAGGCACTGACCCACATATCATTGGCCAACTTCCCAGATTTGTTCAAGCTGCATTTCCAGGTATGTTTGTCTCTCTGTCTGACCATCTCTAAAGCTGATCGAGTCCAGCCTATCTCTCGGCGCGCGGGGCAATCTCAAAGCTTGTCATGCGCCAGATGTCCAATACATTTGCTGCTCGATTTGGGCCTGCTCCTTTTTCGGACCTCTTTTCGGACATCCAACACCGCGCCCATGCCGACAATGAGATGATTTATCTCAGCGCGGCGAACTTCTATGGCGTTAAGCCAATGGAGCCCTTCTCTGGCTTTGATGATCGCACCCGCTATGCTGGCTCATTGCCATCAGTTGGGTATCTGAAGGCGCTGTTCACCGACTACATCTCTGCACATCGGATCTTCATTGACCGCTTTATTGCAAGTCTTCCGCTCACAATTGCAAAGGCGGATCACACTTTCGATGTGAGGATATGCAGTGTTTTGCGTGTTTCTTTCATCTCACAGTTCTTTTATAGTTTTTGAAGCATATGGGTGGTGTCAAGGGCTCTCGTATCTTCACAGCGGCTTATACCATCTTGAACGAGTTCGAGGAAGTTCGAGCACATTCCCTGACATTGACAAAGTCTTTATCCTTTGTTGACGAGATGTATTCTTGTCTTCTCCAAGGCCTGACGGATTGCCAGAATGCGGTGACACAGATTTTGTACACAGACTCGCCTCAATGTGCGTTAATTCATCGCAAACTTGCAGCTCATCTCTGACGATTCATCACAGTAGAACGCTCATTCCACGAGAAGATCAACTCTGCTCTTCGTGATGATGTTTCGGCAGTCACAGATTGGACCGACCTCCCCGCGTTCGAACGAACACTCACCATCCTACCCCAGACTCTGTCGGATTCCATTATTATTGAATCAACGGCCAACGAGGTCCTACAAAGTCTGATTGCCCCTTCAACAACATCCTCCTCATGGGCAATTATCATTGATGCTCAGGCTAACGAGCATGAGAATGGGATGCGCATAGATTATGTACAGCTCCGGACACATGACCGTATTCTTATCTTTCAGGTATGCTACCTCTTGTTCAGCCGTGAGATTTGAGCTCATTTATTTCTAGTTATCAGACTATGATCATCGCACTCAGTTTCCGCCGTCCTTACTTGCGATCCTCACCAATCCCTCCATCATCAAAGTTGGGTACTGTGTTCGACAGTCGCTTCAGCAGGTCGCTGCAGTTTTCTTGCTGGCAGACATCGAGAGCCTGCTCAAGTCCCGAACAACGCCATTCTTGGATTTGGGCAAGCTGGCAAGGCTCAAAGGCGTGGTAAATGACCATAATGCATCTCTGCATGCTCTGGCCGGAACAGTGCTGAAGCGTTCATTCACTCCATCGCAAATCGGTATTGGCGTCTCTGACATGATTGACTGCCAGTGGCAAATATTCACTGCGCTTCACGGAAAAGACGCAGTTGGGCTACCACTGACTCCTGAGCAAGTGACGAGTCATGGAACACTTGTCACTCTTGTTCTCGGCTGTAAGCCAGTTGCGGAAGGATACATAGTTGGACAGCATCCAGGCTATTTGAATGCCGCCATGGATTTGCAAGGAAGCAGTAAACAGATCAACATTACAGCTTCGCGATCGCTTATTCACATTACCAAGGTCAGAGCATATTCCCGTTGATGCAATTCTTGACTCATCCCAGCCTTTTCGCACGTAGATTCTAACTCCAGGCGCCATCCTCAATCTCCATAAGCAGACAATCGAGTGGATTGTTGCTCACGGGCAACAGGCTGTAGTAACAACCTCTCAGCTTCGTTTGCACGGGCAATCAGACCCTGTTCCTATCCGTCCTCCAACGAGCCTCCTCGGAATCCCTGCCCCTCCCAATCCTCTTGTTGAATATCCGGAGTTCGTGCCTCATGTACCAGCAAATTCACTGTCTGGAGACTCCGACGATGTCATGGAGTGGGATACAGATGATGAAGATGCCGAGGACGAGTTAGGTCAATATGGGCAGTTCACATACAACTCGATTCCTTTGCAAGAGCCCGTACAAATGGAGATTAATGAGGTACAAGTTTCTCTGATCCATGCGTAGAACGGAACCTTGACCGCAACTCGCAGTCGATGACACCCGCCAAATTGATCAACAACTTCAATACTGGTGTCCGCTTTCTCAATCGAGCTTGCAACGAGCCCGATCTTCCCAGCCGTGTCCTCGATGACGGCCTGCATTTCATGGACCGCTTGCTTCGCCTCTTGTCAAAGAAGAATTCGGCTTTCAAGGCGTTTGCGCATGACTTCAGCGAAGCCATCTTCATTCGAGATCAAGCAGATGAAGCTGCAGTGCGCGCGGTTCTGGAGAAATACGGGATTGACTGGGAATATGCGAAACGCGCCAAGGCCTCCATTCTCAATCGGCGCATTCGGCGCATCATCCCTCCTCGCAAGATTCTTGTTATCCGTCTCGACAAGCTATTTGACGCATATGCTGACCTTACCTGCTCAACCAAGTCTGGCTCAGGTCCGTTCTTTACTGCGGAGGCCCGTGACATGTGGAAGAATCTGCGCAGTACCGCACAGCAGGGATATCTCTCTGATCCTCCCTTGATTCCACTCTATTATCTCATGGGCAAGGATCGCGACGGACTGAACCTGTATCGCACTGTTCGGGGCACGAACTCGATTGAGGGTGGATTCCATATGGCTGTTCGTCGGATTTTTGGGTCGTTACGAGCATCGCCCGAGCTGGCTGAATGTCTTCTGATCAACTGGATCTTACGGCGAAATGTCAAGGTGCGTTTCAATGCACCATGCCAAGTTAATTCATGAACTGAGCTGCGAGAAGGTCGGCTTCCATAACCGCACCGGTAAGAAGTACCGCGGCCATTTCGCGCTTTGGGATCGCGATGAGATTGTTGAGCTTGCAGCTCTTGTTGGCGTCAAGCCGTCATTCCCCCTGCCTCGCGTTCTCTCGACCAGGATTGCGACCACTGAAACGATCGGCATCCTTCCGATCTCTCAAACATTAGCGGAGAAGCTTGACATGGTGACTCTTCCACGACCCCGTATTACGGGAGTCCCTCATCATCGCGACACTCCCGTGAACATCTTGACACACCTCTCCACAAAGCCGACGAACCAATATCGCTATTTACAGCTGCGGCAACTCACTCTGTCACCCGTTCTTCCCGTCCATACGCGAAAGGAATATTCAGTTTTCAAGGCTCATATCGACTCGCTTGCGTTCCGCAAGGGTGATGGATCTTATCCCGTGCACGAGAGATACAGGAATGTGGATTTCGAGAAATTTGCTAAATTCTGGAATAGCCTTGTTGCCGCTCAGTCCCCGACAATCCTTGACTCAAATCAACGCTTGTACTACAAGATCCCATCCCAACTCGAAGCGCATCACAAGAATGTTATCGCTCGTTCTTCCGAACTTGCGACACTCGCCATTGGCGGGAACTTTGCTGCGCGGCGGCCCTTCCTTGAGATGCTCGAAAACACGGCTGCGATGAGCGCGCCCGGAGCCATCACTTTCCCTCCGACTGAGGACGCAGATCTGTGGGACGGTGAGCTCGACACATCAATCGGAGGTATGGGATATTTCACTGCGTGGCTTGCTGTTTGCTGACAGTTCTGCAGGCTATTATAGCGAAACTTCATTCAACCCGACTGCGGGTGTTCCGGAATCCGACGCGTATGATCCAGAGCTCGACTTCTCCGACATTCGATCAGCTCCCTTCGTTGTCATACAGGAAAGTGGTGTGCAGCCAGATCTCCCATCTCCGGGACCGTCAACTCATGCGGCCACTGCACCCGCACCCATGCTTCCACCCGCAAACACAACCCCACGTGCGCACGAAAGTCATCCGATGACATCTGCCTCGTCTATGCCCATCCAACAAACCACCCTCCCCGCTGTCCGCTATCATCCATACGGGGGACAAACAACAATGCCGGAAGGAGGTTCGGGTGTGGATCGTTGTGCCGTCTGCACCAACGACTTCTGCCCTCGGCGATGGATATGCCCCGGAAAAGGCAATCGGAAGAACTGCCGGTGCAGTCATCCTCCTGTGGTACCGCCAGGTCGAAAGGTGCGCACTCCAGAGGCCGTGATCGAGGAGGCCATTCGACAAGGGCCCGAAGCGATCATTGCGGCGCGCGCGGCGGCGCAGGGAAGACGTCGAAAGTAGAATGACGATGTACTGTAAACCACCCACGACATAATACAGACTGCATGTACAGTGACAACATGCCACTGCAAATGGTAGCCAGTATTAAGCCGCGAGGGCCACAGTGACGTCGATAAGAATATGGGGATGAATGTCGCGTCGCGTGCGCGGACTCTCAATGTAGCGACGTCGGAAAACACTGACGTCCAAGAGTGGCGTGTCAGACAAGAAAGTAGTTCCGCATTGGTAAGGTGAACGCACCGAGAAACCGAAATCTCTGTCCATGTTGTCCCATCCTCACACGCACTCGCATTTTACAGCCATTCCCAGTTTCCCACAAGTCGAGTCGAGTCACAAGAGAAAGAGGTAGGAGCAAGTTCAGAGAGTCGTCCTGTATGCTGATACAGAGCAACGAAAATGGAATTGTGTCGGCCAACACATAGGATTGAGTATTGCCGGAAAACGACGAGGAGGAAAGACGCAAGCGGGCGAGCGCGCTTACCGGCGTTATCAGAAGTGATCGGAAATATGACGCTTTTCCGTAAACGATGCGATTTCGTTTGCCAGCCAATGAGAATTCATACAGCCATCATCCTTAGCCTCCGGGAGGAAATCGCCCGAGTTGTCCGGCTCTGACTCGCCGTTTTGTCAATCAGAGATCTCGCACAGCCTCAGGACTGGGGATTCAGACGAGTTCACGCATTTCCGAGCTCATTTACTGGCCGATAAAGCTGCGAATTCAGACAATAAGTAAGAGATATCAGGTAATCCTCCCTCTTTTTTCCGATTTTTTCCCTCTTCTTCTGTTTGATTAATTCCGTTTCCTCCGCAGACATGGGCCATGGGCCGTTCTGATTGGGACCTCTGCCAAGTTCTGGGCTCAACGCGGGACCCACTTTCTCGTTCGCGCAACAGTCTCACGAAGTTCCCGAGCTGTGAGCAAGATTTCTGAAAACATATGAAGCAGTCATCCCGTTCGTGAAGTTTTCTTCTGGTTTTCATATTCTGGATATCTTGCACGGCTAACGCAGATGCAGTGTTCCGTTATCGGCTTTCTCATCGTACGACGGTCGGACGAACTCACCTACAGGAACTCACTTGGAACTTACTAGATAGTATGAGCATCCGAGTACGTGGTCTGCATCGAGCGTACCACAACAGAATCAGGACCATGGCACGTTGCCATTATCTCGGAATGGAGCCTTTGGCGAGTGCGCTTCCCGATTCGATGTATGCCAAAGGAGCTTGGTCATGGACTTCCGTGTCTCGTGACTTGAAACTGTCAGTCTCAGATTTCAACCATGATTTCAACCATGATTTTATCAACCGGGAGATTCGCGTCAACATTCCTACTGGATCGAGGAAGGCTTCTGCGGGGTGCGTTGTCTTCCCGAAATGCTCGGAATTCTCAGCGGACCATCAATAGCGACATCCTCCTACCTAGCGAACGCTCCAGCCCAACCGTTCGGACGACGACTTGTCTTGGGGCTGGCATAAATCTTGCACTCAACCGAGCAGAGCATGTCTGGATCCCTCTCTTTATCATATCCCTATCGACCATGATTTCGATCTAGTTTTTTGCAGTACTTTTACGGATTTGAGCAGGGCCCATCATCTCGCCCCTGCCCTCTCTCTTTCCCTCACACAGACCCGCCGTAGTACTCTTGAAAATGAGCGACATCGAGAAAGGCAGCGCAGGGACAGTCTCCGCGCCGGCATCCGTTGTGCACCAGGCAGCCGTCGCTCCAGCTACCGCGGCGCCGCCGCAGACCATCGCGAGCGCCGGCGCGCTGGGTCTGTTCTCGTTCGCGTCGACGGTGCTGATCTTCTGCCTTTACTTCATCGGCACGGACGGCATCCAATCAACCAACGTGGTCGTCGGCATGTCCTTGTTCTGTGGCGGACTGGCGCAGTTCATCGCCGGCATGTGGGAGTTCCCGAGGAACAATGCGTTCGCTGGCACTGGTGCGTCATATTTCCTTTTGATTTGGTGGGACTTGGTCGACGAACGACTGCAGCTTTCGCATCGTACGGAGCGTTCTGGCTGTCTTTCTCCACAATCTTTATCCCCGGCTCTGGTATCCTCGAGGCCTACGGAAACAACGTTGACGAGCTCAACCACGCGCTGGGGCTGTACCTCTTCTCGTGGTTCATTGTCTCATTCTTGTTCCTGTGCGTGCCCAGCAATCCTTCTGCCCCCGTTTTCTGATCTAAGGTTTAGGGTCGTCACGCTCCGCAAATCCGTCGCGTTCATCCTCCTGTTCTTCCTGGCCATGATGACCTTCCTACTCCTGGCCATCACCAAATTCCTCCCCGGCCCCGGGGTCACCAAGGCCTTCGGCGCGTTTGGGATCTCGCTCGCGTTCGTCGCGTACTACATTGGTCTCGCGGACCTGCTGGCTGCGGAGCCGAACCCGCTTTTCACCCTGCCGCTCGGCATATTCTAATCGGACCCCTGGATCAAGCGCGGGGTACCGGAAGGATGGGATTAATTATACATACCTATATAGCATACCTATACAATCCAACTCTCTCTCTCTCTCTGTGTGAAATCGAAGTTGCATACCGCGACCAACCTCAATGAGAGCCATAGCACTAGGATTTAGACTAGTGCACATGGCTGTAGCCATAAAAACCGTAGACTATTTTATGAATGGTAGCCATGACCCGGGATTGACCCGGGATTGAACTCGTGACTCTTCCAAAAAACGAGACGGATCTGCAGCAATAACCATAGAGCCATAACAGCATACTGATTAACCACATATTGTCAACTAAAACCCTGATAACATCTGCCAAAAAATGTTTCCCCCACTTAGGGCAAGGAGCTAAGTGGGGGAAGGAGCAAGCTCCTTTCCCTAAGTGGGGGAAACAACCCTAACCTCTAACCACCCGAAACCCCTACCAACCCTGACCGCTAACCAACCCGAACCCTAGCCAGTAAAAAAAAATGATTTTTGGGACCCGAAGCCCTATCCCAAACCCAAACCCTATCCCAAACCCAAACCTGTCTTAAGTCCGAGAAGGAGGGACACAGCAGGGTATCACTTGTGGGCAGCTGATGGAGATCACATGATACATCACATGATCACACAATAGACTAATATGCATGGCTACCATTCATAAAATAGTGTAGGGTTTTTATGGCTACAGCCATGACATTAGTCTAAATCCTAGTGCTACGGGTGGATATAGATATGCGTAGGGAAGCAAGGAAAATCTCTGTCTACGACTACGGAGTTGAATATCGCCCAAGTGAGCTACGGACCCGCCTTTGAACCATGGGAACATGACGTAGCGGTGTTACTTGATGATGATTTGAGCTACTCTTACCAATTGCCCCCTACTCTCATAATTTTGAACTAGGTATAATAAAATAATTCCTCCACGTGTGGTGTGGAGTAGATCAACTCACTTTGAATTCAAGAGAGCGAGGATAATTGAAAAGAGGGATTGAAATCAACAGAGACTGCAATACTGACGAATGCCCACAAATTTGACCAGCAGAAACCCTGGAGCACAAATGCACTGAACACACTTTTAAAAAAATCAGGTGCGGAATACTATGACACGATGAAGAAACAATTCCTATCCCCAGTGAACACACCATCTCATCCTCGCTTCCAAGATTCTTCAAATCCCCATCGCTGCTTAGGTCTTCATAGTCCTGTATTCTCCCCTTCCATATTCAGTCTTGAGTACCAGATGTTGCATAGTGTTCTCTGCTGGAAACCAATTACAGCGGCCGGGCCGCGGGCGCGCCGAAGAGTGGAAAAACAGTCAATGGTGGCACCGCCACCTGTCATGTCCGGCTTGGTCGGTCCGACGTCACGGTCAAAGCGATCGCCAGCTGTCGTGCTTCCATCATCGAGCAGTGCAACGCAGAGAGCGAACACCTCAGGAGACCCATTCCGAGCACATAAATTGGCTCTGCACTGGAGAATTCGCCCAATCAATTGTACTCCTGGATTGTGTTTTGAAACGTTAAATGGGGACTAGCATTCGGACACAATTCGCACGTGAACGTGGGAAGAAGACTCACAACACGACAATCGACATCCAAGTTTGTTGAAGATTGGTGCTTACCAGACTCAACAGCACCGCAAATGCCAAGCCGATCTCACAGCTTCCCCACTGTGATCTATGCAGTCCAGTTGCATGCGAAATCATTTCACACTTGAATACCACCTGTCACCGGCGTCAGTTCCCTTGCAGTGCTGGGTGCCGCGTTGATCACGACTCATGCCAATAACGACGACAGGACTCCATACCTGGCGCGCTGCGAAGCGGGTTTGGACTGATGCCGACGCGATTGAGATCGCTAGTATCCGCTTTCGAGAACCGCCGGATGCCATTTGTGGCTGCTGGGAGCTGCCGGCGCGCGGCACGTCATCAGTTCAGTATTCAATCCGCGAGCGACACAGATATTCTTTCACTGGCGAGGTTCCTGGGTTCCTGTCAGGTGGGATATGGAGAGACTACTCGACAGACTACCGGCGCTCAATCTCGCCGGACTCGAGGTTCCAGTCTGTATAAATTCTTTGTGAACAGAAGAACTCAACACCAGTTCTCCACTGCGACATACAAACAGCTTCAACCAGTCCATCTTCTGCAACAATGTCTCAACAAATCGCTGCCGCTGCTGTCCCTCCTCTCACCACCTGGGATGATCTCCAGGCGCTCGGCTGGGACAAGGCGGCCGTCTACAGCGCCGTCAGCGCCCTGCGTCCGGACACGATGACCAGCGACGACCAGCTGCACCTGAACGACAGCTTCACGACCACCATGAAGCCTCCGTCTGTCGATCTCCCTGCTTTTCTGTTTCATTCGAGCTGAGCGGTTCTTTTCAGCATCTCGTCGCACAACACTACGATGGCGGCCAAGGGAACGCTGGACCCGTCTCGCACCGAGGTCACCAAGGCGATCGGCAAGAAATTCAGCATCTTTGAATCGTCGGTCCCTGGTCACGAGCATTTCACCAAGGCGTGGAACAACATCCTCGACTTGTCGATCGACATCAGCCTCCCTGGTGAGCTCGCTGGCGTCCGAATCAACTCAGGTCACAACTCGTACTGACATCGCACTCCAGCGCTGATCAGCGTCAACAACCCGATCCAGTTCTCGAACATCGCCGGGAAAGTGAGCTTGGTCATCGCGGCGAACGCGACGGTGCCCACCACGAAGCAATATCTGTACCCGCAGAGCAAGGACTTTGACTTTGAGTGCGTTCTCATCAGCGCCGTGGACAGAAAACCTTGAGACTCATTTGATTTCAGCATTGCGGCCAACGAGCGCGTGAAGATCATCGGCACGCCCCTGTTCGTGACCACTACCGAGGTTTACAAACTCGTGCGTCCTTCCCAGGAGAGTGCGAGGCGATTGCTGACACAATATTCTACAGAACTACGGCTTGATGAGTGACAGTCAATTAGGCAGTGAGTGGTCTCATTGCTTCTCTGCACGATTTGAGTTGCTGATGAACATCCAGCCGAGGGTGACAAGTACGCTCATCCCCCCACAATTGACCGTGCTTGAGCTAACCATTCTTGTTCCAGCTTCCAAGGACTCGTCAACATCGTGAGCAATCCGCCATCCGGCCCAAACAACTTCACTGAGCTGATATTCTCCGCAGCCGTACGTCATCAACCAGGTCCTCCTGAGCGAGGGCAAGAAGTACGGCCCCACCGGCACGATGGAGCTCACCGTCGTCTACAAGACCACGACGCTCAAGATCGACTTCATCCGCGACACGACCGTCGTTCTCGGAGACTGGGACGAAGTTGTCAACGGGCAGAGCATCGCGTTCAGCGACGAGATCGACGTGGACAGCACCGACGACTTCCTTTGAGGAGGAGTGTCTTATGGCGGATCAACGTTCTCGCCGATTATGCTATCTATTTCTGCTCTGATTCGTCGTATTTATGCTATGACTGGCAGTCAATCAATATGTACTTCCAGAGAGTGAACCGTGGGAATGTTCGACAGATGGTTGTATGCCCTTATTTTTGAGGCCATCGGCGCCGTTCTCCGGCGCTTGCGCCGTGATATCGGGCTCTCGTTTTTCAACATCCCCTGCGTAGTCTGTAAGTCATGTGGCTTCATATATCAATTGCTGACCGTCGGACGGCTAAGATTCGATGATCGGCTGATGTGCAAGCGAGAGTCGTGTGAAACGACATTGCCCTCCGAGTGAGAATCTGACAGTGTCATCGCGAAACGGGTGTCACCTTCCCTCTCTCAAAAACTCGATATGCAGCAAACTTGCCTCCCGAGTAACAACACGAAAATGCATTCCAGTGTAAACGAATGTGGCATTTAGCTACTGGTGGGGAGTAGAAGTACATAGGACAGAGACGATGATGGTGATGGTTGCAATATACTTGGAGTAGTGTGAGACATCTAGAATGACCTGATACAATGGCATGGGTAATCGGAACCGAAGTGCAAGGGAATATGGAAGCGCGAACGAATCGAGCGCAGAATAAAGTGGGAGTCTGTAACTGAAGTTAGCATTTATGAAGAACTAAGGATGCGCATGACGAACCCGAATGCGCCCCACAACTGATTCAGAGGGCTATCGACGTGGAAAGTGGTATCAAACTGCACGGGAGGTCAACATTGAGATCACCGAGAGACCGAGTCAAAGCGGCGCACCATTCAGGCAATGACGCAACCGCCGTTGGTGCCAGAGCTGCTGTCTTCGTTTACAGGGGGAAGCTCGGTATCCTCCCTGCAGACAACGCAGCCGCCGTTGGAGCCAGAGCCGCTGTCCTCGCTGACAGGGGGCAGGATGGTCTCCTCGATCTTGGTGGGGATGATGGTGGCAGTGAAAGAGTCCATTGAGACACACAGAGAGAGATGGTCAGGTTGGGTTGGTGAGTTTAGTCGGATGGCTGAGCGGGAGTGGTGAATCAATGTTAGGTTTCCAAGCTGCCGCGATGCGGCTTTTATACTCGACCTCCAGCCAGGCACGTTGCGAGACAAGGATGTGCGGATCGCAGAACACAAGAGTCAGAGGTTGGCTTGTGATCACCGATCGTATTTCGTGCAACAATAAGAACCAGAGATGAGTCGGGTCGCGGTGCCCGGTGCTGCGCCTCGCAAGGTGCCCTTCAATGGGCCACGTTCCGACGGTGAGAGATCCAGTTACCCCAGGCTCCATACCCGACGAGAAACTGTGGTCGAGGACGAGCAAAGCATACCTGGATGCGAGGTTGAAGGAGTCCTTGGGCCATGGGTTGTGGTTGATCGCTGGCCACCGATCTAGCTTATTGTTACGCTTATTGATGATCGAGACAAAGTTTGAGTTTGGCTGGTGTGCGCTCCACTGATAGTGACATAACAACCGGCCACGCGCCCACATCGATACAAGTACGCACTGGATGTAACTCCACGGGGATCTTCTTGCTTCCAGCGTCAGAGAAAGGAATCGAGTCGTACTGAATCAGATTGATCGATTGATCTGTGCTCAGCGAAATCCCCGACCGACCCAAAGCAATATCTCCAGCGGTTATGCGCTAGAACATCGGAAGCCATCGATGAAATTTCTGTTGTCTCCGATCACCTTTACCTTTTTGTTCTGTTTGCCACGAGGCTCGGACGATCGCGCGCTGACATGATAAGTGTTTTGAGGTTCAGACATGGATATGGCTGTCATGGTGCCGGGTGCGTATCGCCAACATACTAGTCTATTCGTGGCACTTGAGCCAGGCAGGTGAGAAATCTCCGGCTACCAAGTGCCTTGGATGTATCCAGTCAGAACCTGTGATAAGCTTGGCTTGATTTGCATCCATCACAGCGCCAAACTTTCGTCCGCGCTCAACATCAGCGTCACAAAGAAGCGGATCATCTCCACAAAATCATCCGCATTGAGAGCTGCAGTCCAATCACGATTAGCTGCGGCGAAAACTCGCGTTCCAGCAAAAGAGGAGCGGACGCACATTCATCGACCGTGTGCAGATTTTCGCGCATCTGCTCCTGCGCCAGTCCAGCCGAATTGCCATGGCCGTAGCGGAAGATGTTAGGTGAGAGGGTCCAGTAGAAACTCGTGTCTGGAGAGAGATGATCGATGATCAAGCAGCAAAGCGCCGTACAGATGATCCTGCCGCACCTGTGTTGCCCACCATCAGCGACGGCGCGACCACCAGAGAGTCTCCGTTCTGCTTGACCCTACGACGAGCATATGTCGCCTTGATACTGGCCGACAAGACTTCGTACGCGACCGAGTCGATCGTCGGTGTCACAGGCGAAGGCTCGAGCGGCGGGTAGCTGTCATCTCCCACCGACAGCAGCCCCGCAGTCGGCACGCGCGGATCCGAAATCTGCTCCCCAAAGGCCCGGAAGCTGAGATTGAACCGAGTGGCGAGCGGCTGCATGAGCGCGGTGTTGTGTTCGCGGAGCTGCGCGATAGAACTTCGGGTCTCATGTGAGTGCTCGGGAGTACTGGGATGCCCACGAGCAAGATAAGCGGCACAGCGCGCACCTCTCGATGGATATCCGATGATTCACCAGCACACTCGCCTGCTCCGGCAGTGCATTCGCTTTCACGCCGCCTTTGATAACATCCACCGCCTGCGTCGTCATGATTTGGATCCGATACAGCGGGTTCTTGTACAGCAGTTCCTCGAGGACGTGGAGTCCCGACTCCGAAGTCGCGGCTTTGGAGATAATGGCTTTCACCGGGGGCGGCATATCCGCAGCGTACTGCGCCAGGCATTGGAACGTCTGGAACGACGGCGAGTGCCTAGTCTGGCGATGTCAGTGCGGTGCGGTGACGGGATGAGCCTTGAGCCATTCACTAGATACGGATTGTGCGGGTGGTTTTCATATTCGACGACAACCGTAGCCAGGATACCTATGCTCTGGCATCCTCAGTCATCCGGGTGTACTTCCGCCGTCTGCCGCTCACGGTATGGTCCGGCGGAATGCTCGAATGTCCTCCAGCAGTCGTGACGTTCACGGTGACGTCCATATAGCCCTTCTCAGCCACTTCAGGCATGGCGAAAACGGTCCCGAAGAGTTTCAACAATCCAGCTGGAAGCGCGTAAACACCCGAGAGCACGGACCATGCAGCCAACTCACAGCCCTCGTCGACGATGAACGCAAATGCGTCTTCGCCGTAAGTGTCCAGCATCGCATTCGCCAGATGTGCCGCACCCTGACGCAGGTCAGACAGGAAACCAGACCACCAGTAAAGACAGAAACCTCCGCGCCCGTCGCTTCTTCGTCGAATCCGAAAGCTGCCACGATCGTCCGTGTCGGTGCGAAACCGAGCTCTAGCAGAGTCTCCAGGGCCGTTCTGCAGTTTCTCTCATGAGGGTCTTGTGTCGGGAGGTGAGTGAACGACTTGCAGGATCGCAATCAGCCCGTTCTTATCGTCGGCGGTCCCGCGACCCCAGATGCGTTGGCCTACAGGATTCCCATGAAGGCGGCTCCCAGTTTGAGATTCCAGGGGCTGAACACATACCATCAAAGTGTCCAGAATACGGCGGATGAGTCCATTCTGCGACCGTCAGTGGCTCGACTGGGACGACGTCTGCCAGGAATTGCATCGGTATGCCGCCTAGCACTGAGAAGAATACAAGCGACGCACCTTGGTGTGCAGTAAAAAGCACGGGTTTGAGCGTGGCATCCGACCCAGTCCACTCGATAATGAGCCCGTACGTGTTGGCGCGGCGGACGTCCAGGCGGCTGTACACCAGGGGGAACGTCTCCTCGAGATACCCATGCAGCAGCGCGAAGACGTCCCAGCGCGGGTCAACTCCAACGGGCAGGAGGTCGTCGTACGATTCAGTTCTGCAGGATGGGCGAGGAATGAGGTTGGGAGGAGGGCAGGAACAAGGAGGAATCGAGCGCACGGAATGCGGACGGCGCCTGCGAGCCGCCCAGCGGCCCCCTGCCGAAATCCGTCCGAGCCCGTGCGTGCCAAGCTCCCCTCCCAGATGTCGGCATTGCGGATGAGAACGCTCGAGTTGGCCTGCGGGCAAAAGTCGATGGGTGAAGAGGGCGTGTTGCGCAATAGTGGGAGCTGGGATGTAAGATGCAGGAAGGAGGCAAGAAGCACTGATATGGAGCCGATCTGCAGCAGCGTGTATGCATTCCAGAGCCGAGAACTCCTGTTTTGAGACGGCGTTGGTGGAGCCCGAGAGGGATTTTGCAGTCCTTTCAGTGTCATGGCAAGCGCACCGTGCAGAAGAACGAGGAGAAGTCGCTACTCTGGATAAACTGAATCATTTTCATTGATCGAGGTCGTCCCAAAATTGATAGCGATCGAGGGTCTACTTTCTTGCGTTGCTGCAAGTATTTCTGGCCAGTCCTGAACGTCCTGGTTCCAGACCCAATCACACTTCTCCGCAGATCCCCTCTGTTGATTCTCCGGTATGATTCAGGTCTACGGATTCTGCGGATCGTGTGGCAGTGAGGTCTTGCAGCGGTATAAGTCGCTGAGTGTACGTGGATTGAGCAGTGTTATATGGCGTGATGTCATTTTGTCCACTTTGTCACGTGCGAGCGACCTATAGCCCCTCGAATAAAACATTTGGAGTTTCTGAGCCCAAGTCTTCCACCAGATATCTCACACATCCATCCTGCTTCACCCCATGAACGCGATGAAACCACCGTAGTGACCGTCGTCAACCCAAACCGGAACTGAGATCCGATCCTGATATTCGACACCGCTAGTGGGTCAAGTAAATAAGATATACATTCATAGATTGGCTGGGAATACAGTATATGTAAATGAGGGGGAGTGTGATTCTCCGGAAATGCATAAGGTTGCCTAACGCTCCATACGGCGCCTTTTCTCCTCCATCCGTCTCCTTTCTTCCTCCTCCAGTGCACGATCCTCTTTCCGCCCGAGTCGTGCGCTGGCCATCTCCTCCCTTTCCAGCGCCATCGCATCGGCCTCCATGTCATCCGAGCCGTTCTCGGAGTCAGAATACACATCGTTCGCGACATACGACGACCGTTTTTTCCCGAACATCTCCCAGATCACGTCCCCGATGGCGGAGGAATCGCCTTCCCCGGGCGACCGAGGCAGACGAGATTTGGGTCTCGAGGACGACGAAGACGGCACCGCTGGCCGAGGTGGTTTGCTGTTGGATTTGGATGAGGACCCAGAAGCAGATGCCACGTTAGCCCGCTTTGGGGCAGGCGAAGCAGAGCGCGAGTCGGACTGAGAGATGGACCGCTTTTTCAAGGTCGAAGATCCCTGCGAGTTCGACAAGCGAGGCTTGGGCTTCGGGGCACCGGTTGGTCCCGGTGAAGCAGTCGTCGTGGCACGTTTACCGCCTGACGCCGCCGAGCTCGATGGTGGGGGGAGTGAGGAAGGACGAGAGGGCCCAGCAGAAGCAGCGGGAGTCGCTTTGCTCGATCGCTGCGCGGGCGTAAACCAGTCGTCGAACGTCCGTGCCGACTCCCCGTTCAATGTCTCCGACTTCGCGCCGCCACTCCGCATATCCCGCACGATCTCGTCTATCGTCCGCGTATCGCGCTTGTTAACGTTCAGTCGCGTGAGCGTGTTCGGCATCGCCGACAGTCGATCTCGCACGTTGCCCGACCCGCTAGCTGAGGCTGTCACGTCACTCGTGGCAATATCGTACGCGCCTCCCGGCAGCTTGCGTCCAGCTTTGCGGGTCCCGCCGCCACCACCATAGCCAACTGGTCTCCGAGGAGCGTGGAAAGCCCTTTTCAGCTCTGCTTGCAATTTGCGTTCCCGTTTCTCTTGACGTGTCAGGACGCTGCCCCCGGCATCGTCGTCCTCCTCGTCACTAGGCAAGCGCTTCTTCCTGACCTGCTCCCGCACGCCAGAGGAAGAGGACGGCCACTTCGACCCACTTTGCTTCGCCTGCTTTGGCCCAAACCGCAAGATATCCCGCTGCTCGGCTTCGCGACGCTCACGGTCAGCCTCCCTTGCCTTTTCTCGCTCAGCTTTCCGTGCCTCGGCCTCCTGCTCCTCCTTCAGCTTCTGGAAATGTCGCTTCCGCATCTCCTCTTCCAAGGCCCGCTCCTTGCGCTCGCTCTCTTCCCGTTTCCGCCGCTGCTCCGCCTCACGTGCCTTCTTCTGCGCTAGCACGGCCTGCGCGGTGCTGCGGGAAGACTCTGTGTTGCGTGTCCCGAGTGCGAGGAGTTGCTCGTAGGCATCGCTGCCCATAGTGGACGGTGGTCGTCGAAACAGCTGTGAGCAGAGAGGACAAGGTGTGAAGTGAAGAGGCAAGTTGGGGTCTGTGGCGGTGCGTGGCGGTGTTGCACACTGGCCCAAGCCGCCAGCCCGGGAATTTAGTCATTGTGTCCTGCATTGTTCACCTCAGGGCACTCTTTCCTTTGTTGTCCATGCAACGCCGGGTGAGCCACGAGGAAAAACTCTGACCCGAACGCTCTCAGGCGGGAGTGAGTTGTTGTTTGCGCATTTGGCAGTGGAAATTTTTGAGATCTTGAATACCATCAACTCGGAAGAATTTCGGGGACTGGGCACCCTCGGGCCGATGAACTCTAAACTGGACTCGCGTCCCGGCGCGCTGGACTTGTGCTTCAATTTGCCTCTGCACCAGAACAGGCTCGAGAAGGCAAAGTGGCTCGCTAGAATCCGTCACGCAAATTCAAGTTGACCAAGACTTAATTCACACGAGCGTCACGACGAGCATCGTTGCCTGTCCACTCCTCGTCCGCCTCTCTGCGTTGTTCTACTGAGCTTGCGATGAGAATCACATTCAGCATGTTCACAGGCGATCATGGATGAGGTCGGTCTCCGAGGTCACGCGATCGCGTCAGTCAGCGTCATGCTCTCTTCTGCTCCTCGCTTACTCACCCATTCCATCCGCTCAAAGCCCTTATATACCTCGTCTTGCGCCAACGTCCTCCGAACAAGCTCAATCTCGCCCAGAATCAACCACCCTTTCCGCCGCTACTCATCCAGAACCATGTCCGCTCAGGAGATCACCGAAGTGCGCACCACCATGTCTCTCGCGTCGCGCTATCCCACTAACAGCGCATTGGGAGCACAGAACGAAATCGGCTCACACAAGATCACGATCTTCACCCGCTCCTGGTGTCCGTACTGCCGCGCCGTGACCTCCCTCTTCTCGTCAGAGTTCCCCGAGGAAGCGCCGCACATCGTCGAGTACGTTCCTCAACCCCCACGTCAATGCCGCGCTCGTGAGTCTGATCTGTGTGCATTGAAGGCTCGAGTCTCGCAGCGACGGAGATGCGATCCAGAGCTACCTCGCCCAGAAGACCGGCCAGACGTCGGTTCCCAACGTCTTCATCAGTGCGTGCTCGGCGACTCGAGATGAGGATGAGACTGATGTCATGATAATCTTACCTTTCCCAGACGGGAAGCAGATTGGCGGCAACGACAAGACCCAGGCTCTGTTCCGCTCCGGCGAACTGTCCCAATTGTTGAGCGCGTAGACGTATGCGTATAGTAAGTTCATTTACGTGAACCCAAGTCGCCGTTAGTCATTGACTTGCGCTCAGATACCTAGATAGACTGGCTTCGAATGTACATCTTGTGAACCAACTGCTCTGTGACACACCATCAAGGCTCAGACCGATATAAACCCTTACGACGATCACCGTGAGCTGTCGGCGGGCGTGATGATGGGGAGGCATATCTATGTACCACAGGTATGTCAGCTTCGCCGATGCAGCGATGGACCGCGGCCCAGGATGATCACAAACCTCTGGCGTCGCTCTCCTCTCGACCTTCCCCGACGGGCGATAACTCGAAAGAACTCGGCATAAGCAATAGCCGCGCTCACGTCCATGGCTTCCCCGATCTTCCAGGATACCGATAAAAGCAGCGCGGGGAACGACGGGAAGGACACCTCAGCCCAACGCACTTGAATATGTCTGTCACTCTCCCGGAACCCTTTGCCTCCATCCCTCGCAGCTCGCTCCTATTCGGCCCGTCGCCCGTCCACCGCCTCGATCGCATATCCGCTGATCTGAGCCCCGACGGCAAGGTCCAGATCTGGGCCAAGCGCGAGGACTGCAACTCTGGTCTGGCGTTCGGCGGAAACAAGACACGCAAACTCGAGTATCTGTTGGCCGATGCACTCGAGAAGGGGTGCGACACGCTGGTCTCGATCGGTGGTGTGCAAAGCAACCACACGAGACAGGTCGCGGCGGTCGCTGCTAAATCTGGGCTGAAGGTGTTTCCAGTTGCTTTGATACGCACGCGGCGCACTGACATGGATTGATTCCTCGTAGGCTAAGCTTGTGCAGGAGCACTGGGTCGACTGGACCGATCCCGTGTACGACAAAGTGGGCAACCTGCAGCTCTCGAGACTGATGGGCGCGGAGCCGCGTTTGGACCCGTCTACATTCGGCATCGAGCACAAACCGACGGCGGCGTCCCTCACCGCCGAAGTGAGTGCCGTCGGCGGGAAGCCATACTACATTCCAGCGGGTGCCAGCGACCACCCCCTGGGCGGGCTCGGCTTCGCACGATGGGCTTTCGAAGTGGCCGCGCAGGAGGCCGAGCTCGGGGTCTTCTTCGATACGGTCGTGGTGTGCGCCGTGACGGGCTCGACGCACGCGGGCATGATCGCGGGCTTCAAACTGCTCGAGAAGCGCGGCGGGCTGAAGCGCAAGGTCGTCGGAATCGACGCGAGCGCGAAGCCGGCCGAGACGCGCGCACAGGTGCTTCGCATCGCGCGCTTCACAGCGGCGAAGATCGGGCTAGAGGAGAGCGATATCGCGGAGGAGGACGTGATTCTCGACGAGCGGTACCACGCTGGCTGCTACGGCATCCCGGACAAGCAGACGGTCGAGGCCATCAAGTACGGCGCAAGCATGGATGCGTTCATCACAGACCCGGTGTACGAGGGAAAGAGTTTGGCGGGCATGGTGGACATGGTCCGCAAGGGAGAGATCTCGCAGGGCAACGTTCTCTACGCGCACCTCGGTGGGCAGCTGGCCCTGAATGCCTATTCCGGCATGGAAGACAAGGTGTAATGCAGATCATGGTGACGGAAGACAAAAAGCCGCCAGTGGCTTATGTAATGTAGTAGATTAAGATTTAAATCTATCATGCTGGGTGTTACAAATGTACAGTTGAAGGAAAGATTCGATTTTTAAACATGTCCGGGCTTGTGCTTCAGCCCGTGAAGCGTGTCCAGCTCGAACTCACGGTCGGTGGTTACTTCAACCAGCCTCGACACGTTGACGCCTTCTGGCCTGTGAGAGGCGACACGTGTCGAGACACATGTCGTCTCCGCATCAGAGCGAGCGATGGGTAGAATGATCATGCTGAAGGTGATCCCAACCACGGCGCATGTCTGTGCGCCGCAATTAGCTCGGTAACCTACGAGAGTGGCCACGACTGACCGAGTCAACCAAGACAAACTGCACGCGGGAGTTCAACTCGTAGGTAATCAGCAATGCCCCGAGATTCGCAGAATAAAGGGCAGCGGATTCAAGAAAAACGATCTGGAGAACATTTCAGTCTGGACATCCGCACGAAATACCCAATTTCACTGACCACGATAGAGACCAGGTGGCTTTTCCCGGTCTGCATCGAACGCACAGCGGACTGCGAGCGCAGGATCCTGTACGCGATTGATACTTGACAGACGTTCAATGGACGCCGGCGACCCGCACAGGAATACAGGTGACGCACATGTGCAAAATGCATTCGTTGCCAGCGTCGAGACGATGAAAGTCGTGATCCACGCGGCCATCATTTTCAGATATTCGCCCGGTAATGTGCTCAAGAGCGCATGCGTTCCACCATATCCCGAAACCCAGCAGGCCAGCCACAGGAGGGTGGGGAAAGCAATGATAGCGTAGGATTTGGTCCAAATAATCCAACAGCGATAGATCTGATCATCCGATTAGCCGAAATTATATCTGGCTTCACGGCATCGCACACCCACCATAAAGCAGTCGCCGATCAGAGTGGCGGTCACGTAAAGGGCAATCTTCGCGACAGAATATGGCGTCGCAAGGTCAACAAAGTATCTTGAAAGATCTTGCTGATGATGCAGGAATCCGATCTGGAGACGGGCCATGTCGATGACCCAATGCTATAACCGACTTTTGGATCAGACGGGAGAGATTGTCGACTGGAAAGAACAGACCCACAGCGACAGCGAAGAGCCAGATAATCGTCGTCGTCGGCAATACCAGGCTGACTGCTTTCGGATTGGAGATCCTTTTCGTCAAGATGAGCCTGACGGTCGCCGCAAACAAGGTTGTGAAGACGCCGAGCAGAAATGTTTGCACAGCAATTGAGATCAGCTACGGATGGGATTCTGTCAGACTAAAACTGTCTAGTGCCCACGGGCCGCGCGCCCTTACTCACAACGATCTGAGGAATCGAAACATCCCCCATTTTGAGTTTCCGAGGGAGAGCGTAGGGGGGAGTAGGGAAACGGCACCGGCTCTTTAAGTCGTTGAAGAGGAGATTTGAGCTGCCGTGGGACGATCAGGCAACGTTACCTGCATTCTGCTTGTCGTGACCACTATAGGTTAGGCAAGAATCCAAGAGCCTCTGTGCTCTCCATTGCGCAAGTCAGTGCGGCGATTGCGCTGCCGATTGGGTCCCAATCTATTCACGCAGTAAGTACATATCAAACTGACGAGCTACAATATGCGACTCATATCGTCTGAGAGCTCTGGCCAGATCCGGACGTACTGACATCTCTGGGCCTGATAGCTCAAGTTGGAAAAGAGTGGCAAGAGAGTTGGGTGTGCTGGGTCGAGAATCTGACTGGAGCCATCAGACCCTGCACACACATATTATCGAAGAGTCGATGGAAGACCAAGAAGAGACACTCCATGCGGCGACCGCAATCAAGAGACCCTTTGCCGGGGTCAGCAACGCCGGACGGATTGTTATTCTGTTTGCATAGCGCTCGAAGCTTGAAGCGCAGGATGCTGGCAATCAAAACCGGCTCCAATGTGGCGCTGGACGTCCAATGCCCGACACGCCGGTTACTTGCTTGTGCTGCTACGACTGCACCCTGCAGGCTGAGTGCCAGTCGTCGAGCAATGACTACTCCCGTGTCAGGTGATGCAGCATGCGCGCTACCGAGGTCGAATATGTCCGTCTGCTCAGTTCCACAGGGATGGATGCGAGCACTCTACGATAGATCAGTACGCCATTTCGACACCCCGGACCCGGAAAGCGGGGAAAAAGACCAAGAAAACACGCGAATGTGGGCGTTTCGAAGCAAAACTCGGCCTTCTTGTCGGGGACGGGTGCACGAACCGACGTGTGAGTATGGAGGGAGCGTCGGTGACCTGAGGCCGGAACATCGCATTCGTTTTGCGATGCCGCGGCGGTGGACCGCGACCGAGTATCTGAGTGCCCACGATGCGCATCCTACCACCTATCCATCCATCCATCCATCCCTCCGGGTGCGTTACTCAGGTGTGGGTCGAGGGCCCAGTGACCGCGGTCATAGATCATCAAACAAGTGCAAAGCCGACGCCACAACAGTCGCTGTGCGGTTCCAGAGAGCAAGGGTGGGAACTTACTCCAAGGGCCCGACTTGAGGACCTGTCAACCCTCGTAGCCGCAAGATCGCACCCCGGATCCCCAAAGCCGATTCGAACCAGCAACAGCAACAACTCGTCATCCGAACGGGGGCTCAGGGACCACCTCACAAATAGTTATGCCCATCACAGCCCATCACTGTCAGCGACTGGACCCTCTCGCCACTGCACTTGTCAACTGAATCGGCCACCGATGGCAATTCCTGCTTGCTTACGCGCCGCCCAACGCTTGTGACATTGATGAGCGTGCCACAGCCAAACCAGCGAAAGAGCAGAGAAAATACAGGGTCAGAGACCTCCAAGCTTTGCCAAGGCAGATGGCTACGGATTGGAAACCTATGTAGGTGGGCGCACTAGACCAATCGAGATCATTTGATCCAATCACTTGCTCTGACATCGTGCCTCCTATAAGCTAAAAGCACAATCGCGTTCAGCGGTCCCAGTTGGTGGAAAATGTCTCATTCCATTCCCAAGCCGATGTTGTTGCGTGATAAAGTATGGATAATGGGATACAAAGCGCGAAAGCAGGGATGATGACAATGATGCGATTATTGGGCTCTACTCTGCGGATTTTCTTGTGAGATGCAACAGCTTCATGCGCTATCATCGACCCGGTAGCGCTTTCGGGGGCCATCAGGGACCTGGCCGCCCTGCGCCATGAAGGCAGGGTTGATATGGCCACCCCCATTGAAATTGCCGCGGCCTGATGGAGCAGGTTGATCAGTACAGGACCGGGGCCGGACGAAGGAGGGCTGCGCTACGCACCACGCATCATGCCACCACCTCGCGGACCCATCCCTCTCTGGAAGCCTCCGCCACCCATCATGCCGCCCATGGGCATATTGCCTATCCCCATCCCCATCATGCCCATCCCCATATTAGGCATCCCACCGCGCATCCCCAACATGTTGTTCATCCCCCCACGCATCCCGCGGAAGTTCGACCCTCCCCGGCCGCCCATTCCCATCGCCATCGCCATGTTCGGCATCGGAATCTGGGGAATCTGTTGTGGTGTCTGGTTCTGCACACGGTTCTCGCGAGGAGGAGGCTCTGACGGGCCGTCAGTGTCCGCACACCATCCTATATGCGCCCCGTCCTGCTCACCTTTGGGTAGGGTGCGGAAAGGGTTGCCTTGTGCCGAGCTCGCAAGAGTGGCGGACGCCCGGCGGCCCTGGAAATCGCTTGCGGGCAAACATCGGTTCCGCACCTAGACATGAGAGGATAAACCTACTTGTTGTCAAGCCAGTTCTTCAGTGCCGTGGCACTTTCGAAGTCTCCACACTCTATGAAGGCGATCCTACGTCTCGATAAGGAACAGCGACAGCGAACGAGACGGAAGACGCGCACCCTTTGCTCTTGCCGTTGACCTTGTGCTCGGAGAAAGTGATGTGCTTGTGGTCGATGGATACTCCTACGGTCAACGCCACTTGACGGATGTCTTCGTCGGTCGTCCACTACGATGCCAGTGAGTTACGGCAACACTGCGGGAAGACGCGGCACGCACCCATTGCAAGTCTCCCACATACACCGAGTCCTGAATCTCGTTTGCGGTCGAGACTTGGCCCATCATGGGCGTGGGGATCCCGTTGCCGGCGGGTCGCGACTGAGCCTGATTCATATTCAAGTCGGCGTCGTCTTCATAACTGTCCTCTTCGCGAGAGCGCTTGTCCCCGACAGCGGCCGCGGGTGTCGACATCATCGTTTCGACCGGCTCTCCGTGCTCTCCGTGGTATTCCTGCCGCGAAAGAGATCGTCAGCGTCCGTGTGACTCGTCCCGGGGGTTCCACGTACCTCGTTTTGCTCAGTCATTTGGGTATCGAGCTCGCCATACAGATCAAAGTCGTCTTCAGGCATGAATGCAACTTAGGTCAGGAGCAGGGAGATGTGTTCAAGGTGGTCTATATCATGCATGACATAGGACAGTTGAGTATCGACGACACGGAGAGGTAGAACAAGCAATGGAAAGAGCGTAAACAGGACAGGGGAGACCAGAGCAACATTCTGCTGGCAGAAGCAGACAGGAGCTTACATGAGGATACACAGATTCTACAGAATCCAGAAGATACAAGGAGAGTAGGAGATACAGGGACTCGGAACAGGTTGCAGACGACTCACGAAGGAGGGGAGTGGAAGAGGATGAGGTGTGTTTATTTGTTTGCACTGCTGTATCGGATCACAATGCCGAGTCCTCAATATGCTTCGACACGTGCCGCAACTTCTCTTTTCGACTCTGGCGCCAGCATCCTTGGTGGGTTTCGCGAAATTCACAACCAACGTCGAAGCTCACAATGTTGAAGCTGTCGCAAATCTATCCAAATTTCTATCCATGTATCAATGCTAGAATCCCTGCACACTCAAAGCATCGCTGTTCTGGTCAACAAGACACGCTCTCGAGGTTCAACTCGAAAAGCAAGGGGAGAAGACTCAAAGTTAAAGGGCCCTAAATTTGGTAAGAACACTACATCCGGAAATTCTCTGTGTCGCACTTGATCTGTGTTTGCTCTGAACAAGGCCTTGGGCTAACATCATGCTCCAGTCCGCAATGAATGTCTCCCCGCCTCTGAGCCGACTGGAATCATAGGCTATTAATAAATTCATTCTAGACGTGACCTCGTGAATCTTATCTACCGCTGAATTGTCCAGATGCACAAACAATTCAATCTGCACTCCACTGCGATAATATCTGTTTTTCGAGTACGTCCTACATAGGCGGCGGCCTGTTACCCATCTTCGAGCGCGCGTTCTGACGGACGACAGATTCTATGGCATTTGTGTTCTATCTTCCCCCACCTTCGATCCCTGCTCGCCGATCCTTCGATATACTTTGAGGTTTTGCGACGAATGTGGAACGCCTTTGCTCAGACCACTGCCTTCGATTGAAGGAGACTGCGCCTTGCATGACGATGGATAGCAGTGGAATTAATCACTGATTTTTAGTGGTCCCGCGTTGCTCAACTGTATGGCCCACGCTCAGGTCTATTCAGTTCTCTAACGAGATTACAATCAAGTACGCGTCTTATGATCCTGTTCCTGACTCTCCATCGCGCCTGTACATGATTATTATTTCCGGTTATCCCTCCTCAGGATATATAAAGGGCGCACTGCTCTCGACGACCCCCAGAATCTGATTCCCACTCCCCACCAGCCTATCAATGCAGTTCAACTTCTTCGCTCTCGTCACCGTCCTTGCCGTAGGTATCACCTCTGCCCAGGCCGCCTGTGTAAGAAGCATCCACACACGTTCTCGCGCACGGGCGTCACTCACCGCATGCATTGCTTTCATCAGGTCATCGTTGAAGGTGACGCTAGTGCTTGCCCGGCACCCAACTGGGTTGTTTGTGGACCCCTTGTCGTTGGGGAGACCAAGTGCTGCCCGGTAAGTGACGAATGAGCGCCACCACGGACCGATTGCTCATGGTCTGGTTAGCCGGGTACTCACATCTGCCCTCTGTAATCGCGAGTAGAAGCATTTGTGGAATAGTCTCATTGTACGGCGGTTTTCGTATCAGAAATCCGTCTTGATCATGTCCGTCTTGGCTTAAGTAGTTATGAGCTTTCGAAGCCGCCTGCTAGCGCAACGGAAACGAACACCGGCCTGTCCCAGTGCTTGATGAACAACCGCTTGATGAAGTTCATTGAATGATTCCTCACCTGAAAAGCGCAAGGGCTTCATTTTTGAACCTGCGAATATATTCCTCAGAGATTCCTGGCCTGAACTTGAACTCGGCGCTTTCGCATGCGTGCATCACTAGCATGGGAAGTGCATGACGTCATTCGGCTCAATAGGTTCGCGCCGCCGCAGCCGCGGTGTTCTACAAGCACGGATGCTGAGATCAATGCTCCCATCTGCCTCATTCTTAACGTTGTACTGTCTTGTTCGCTTATCTCACGAGCCCACTTTCATACCGTCGACTTCGATGTGTCAAGGAACTCGAAATGCTGTCAAGCGATCGTGCCGAAGGATCCGATGAGTAACGCCCCTCGGCGACCACGCTCGCAACGACCACAGCTACTACATACTAGTACTGCTACAGCAAGAGCGCCAACAGATTTCGTTCAACGCCAAGTTAGAAAGCGATTAGGGGTGCGCATTAAGCCATTCCTTGCAAGCGTTAACTCTAGTTCGAGTCATAAGTAAGCTGTCGAGTTGACAAGCCTCTGCTTAAAAATCTCGTAAGCCTCTCGGGGTAAAATGCTTCCTGGCGAACACGACCTTCGCCTTCTCTCCTCCCCCGCGTTCCCTCCTCCCTCCCTCCCTTGGCCTGTCCCTAAAGAGCATGGCCGCCGCCGCTTCACTACACCCCACTGACGGCGAGGACCACGATGAGACGCGGCCGCTGCTTGGGGCCCGACGCGACCTTAACGAACGTAACGACCAAACGACACCCTTGAAACGCACGCCCCTTCCACTCGCCCAACTGTACCTCGTTCTCTTCCTCCAACTGGCCGAGCCCCTCACAAGCCAGGTCATCTATCCGTTTCTGCCCCAGGTACGTCCTTGTTTCGGCCGATCCGCTCAGCAGGAGTACCGACGCGTCCGGATAGCTTATTCGGGACATCGGAGTGACGAACGGCGATGAGACGAAGGTCGGGTACTATGTCGGCATGGTGGTACGTGCGATTTCATTGCCATCCATGCACCCACTCCCAGATCTTGATGCCGCCCATGTCCTCAGCAATCTCTCTTCTTCCTCACTCAAGCCGTCACCGTTCTGCACTGGTCGCGCCTCTCTGATCGCATCGGCCGCAAACCTGTTATCCTCATCGGCCTCTCTGGGTTGAGCATGTCGATGTACTGCTTCGGCTTGTCGAGCACATTCTGGGGTCTCGTTCTCAGGCAAGTCTTATCGCCGCCGGTTCTGTGGAGACGCTCACCGCATTCGCTTCCTGCAGCCGAAGCTTGAACGGCGCGTTGAGTGGGTGGCCTCTAGCTCTCGATCTGTTCACGCTAACCGTTCTGTTCTCAAGACGGTAACATTGGAGTGATCAAAAGGTGGGCTTCTCCACTGGCTTTCGAGTGGCTCTGAATTTATCCATTCTCGGCTGCAGTATGGTCGCGGAAATGACGGACAATACAAATATAGCTCAGGTGCGTCCGCACGTTCGACCACTTCCCCGCAGTATGCTCACCCGGACTCCAGGCATATGCGTACATGCCTAGTGGGTGACGATCAAAAGCATGCGCGGACTTCGACTGACTCGATGATGCTTGTAGTTGCGTGGTCCACTGGCGGAGTGCTGGGACCGATCATCGGAGGATCGCTGGCCCATCCCGTCGAGCGCTTTCCATCTTGGTTTGGGTGCAGCGAGTTCCTCAAGCACCACCCGTACTTCTTGCCATGTGCTGTCCCGGCCACATACTCGATCATCGCATGGACCGTCACCTCGCTGTTCCTCAAGGAGACCGCGAACGGACCACACGTGCTGCGTCTCTCGCAGCTGTTCACTCGGTCCAAACCCACCGTTGGCCAGGGCAAAACGCAAACCGTGCTCGAGTCTGGCTCGTCCGAGGAAGTTCCGGAGCGCGAGCAGGCTGTTCCGCTGCGAGGCCTGATGACGAAACGCGTGCTCATTGCCGCGTCGAATTACGCCTTCTTGTCGCTTGTAGACATCGCGCTTCGGGCCATCCAGCCTCTGTTCTTCGCCACTCCGATCGAATTGGGCGGCCTCGGATTGCCGACATCGCGCATCGGGAATCTGTTATCGGTGTTCGGTGTTCTGAATGGGGTGTTCCAGGTGGGTTGTCGGCGCATTCTCTCCGTCTCTACTTATCGGCCGTCGCGCAGATCTTCTTCTTCGCACCAGTGCATGACCTACTCGGGAGCAAACTGATGTTTATCGTCGGCGTGTCCAGTGCACTGCCCACCTTTGCGACGTTCCCACTCCTCAGCCACCTCGCGAAGAGCCACGGAATCAGCAGCACCGTGTGGGCTGTGGCGCTGCTGCAAATTACGATGTCGATCGGACTGAGCCTGTCGTACGGTCCGTGCTTCCGTGCTGATTCGTGATGATGATCTCATGTATTGATGGCCGGTTGCAGGCGCCGTCTTCATCTACATCTCTGCTGCAGCTCCGAATCGCGCTTCGCTGGGCGCGACGAATGGGCTGTGTCAGCTGACCGTGAGTCTGATGCGGACTGTGGGTCCCGCGGCGGCGAACTCGCTCTTCTCGCTGTCGATGCAGGCCGATTTCGTCGGACCGTGGATGGTGTACTACGTGCTGATGGCCACGACGCTGGTTGCGATCTGGGTTGGGATGCAGCTCCCAGCCAAGCCGTGGACTGGGGCATGAAAAACTATGCAAGCAAGGAACGAGGTTGATGACATTTAGATAAGTACTGGGTACATATATCTAATGAGATTGGCAGCGTATTCAATGTGGGTTTTATGAATGATTTTCTGAAATAACTGGGTAGCTGGATCAAATGTCCAGTGAAGAAAGCGAAGAATAGATACTGGGCGCGAACGAATCAAACGCCGAACCAGAACTGCGGAAGAAGGTCAAAACACTGTAGAATGCGATATGAGGAAGCGCACGTACGAAATGAACCAAAACTGATTGAGGGCACCGTTATCGGGCAGGTTGCGCATTGCTGCCCAAGTCGTCAGTCCCCAGTCAGAGAGTGCAAAAAGAGAAGCTGCCGCACCATTTAGGCAACGATGCAGCCTCCGTTGGAGCCGTTGCCGCCGTCCTCGTTGACGGGGGGGAGGGAGGTGTCCTCCTTGGTGACGACGCAGCCGCCGTTGGAGCCGTTTCCGCCGTCCTCGTTGACGGGGGGCAGGACGGTCTCCTCGACCTTGGTGGGGACGGTGGCGGTGAAAGAGTCCATTGCGAGTGGGTTGGTTTGGTTGGGGTGGGTGGGTTGGAGTGGATGTGGGAGTGGGGAGGTGGGTGGAGAATACTGGGCGGAGCACACCCCGCTTTTATAGACGCGGAGGCTGGCCCATCGACAACGAGATGGCGCACAGGCCTGTGTAAGACAAGGGGAAGCCGACAAGGCTTTGGTCGATCATCGATCGTGTTTGGGCTGTACAATAGGAGAGATCGGTCGAGGCTGAAATGCCACTCAAGCCATGGACCGCTCGGAGTATACCCCTCTTGTGCACTGTGCCAGAATGCAGCGTGGCTGAATGAATGCATGATAGGGTGCGTCGAAAATCTCCCTCCACCTCTGTCTCTCTCCCACCTCGAGAAACTGTGCAAGTGAGATCTCAGGGTACGGCAGCTGAAGAGCCGCTGATCAAGTTTATTGTCGCGCTTGTGGACGATCGAAACAAAGTTGGAATAGGTGGGGCTGGTGACAGGCGGCAGGTTCCAAGCGCCCACATCCAAGCCTCAAAGCCGATCATCCCATCCACCGTCTTGTCACTGCCGGGCCACAGCGCCTCCATTTCCAGTCGAGAATGGACCTGATCGCATTGCTTTGTTGTTGCCTGGTCTCGATCCTACAATGGGCCCATCGACCCCGTGCGTGAGCGGACAAAGGCGCACAGCAAGTGATCACAGACCAGATAGATTCGTGTGTACTCAAAATAGTTTGAGTGAATTGAAATGATCTGAAACGTCGCTTGTTGCAGGCTTCTTTTGTGATCGCGCTTTGACCTCGGGACCTCGGTCCTCGACATATTGATTCAATTTCCAAGAAGTGTTGGAGGATCAGGCCCAAGTCCGCGGTGTTTCAGAATCGATACACGTGGTGCATGCCAGGAAATTTCCCGAACGAAAGTATCATGCTGTCGCGGAAGTCCGTCTTTCTAACATCCAATAACTCTACCCACTAAAGATCGCGCATCTATCTCTCAATGCTCGCTGTAGACAGTTAGTAAACAGATTCCCCGCACGCGCTGCAAAGCACTTGCCACATGTTGAACGACTAAAAGCCGCGGTCAGCATCCGCTCAGAATTCCAAGACAGGAGGAGAAAGCGTCTCACCCTTGAGAAATACTCGCGATCCACGCTCTCGACCACGATCGTCCGCTCGCCCATGAGCTCCTCTCGGATCTCGTTCGCTTCCTGGCGGGTTTTGACCCCTGGCACGAGCGTGGCGATGTATTCGACCAGCTCGAGGGGCAGGGTCGAGAGCCGCGACTGGGGGCCCTGCGCGCGGAGGAGCCGTTTCATCTCCCAGACTTGCTGCGGAGGAACGTTTGTGGCGGAGACGATGCGCCGCGTGGGATCGACGAGGAAGAAGACGAGGATCTTGCGCGTGCCTGGCTTTGTCGTGTCGACGAGCGAGAATGGAGAGACCTGAGATCACTGATCAGTCCGCTGAGCACCAGAGTAAGACAGGGATCGCGGACTAGATGTTGATAGATGTTTGGGAAGGCGATGCATCGGCCCGCCTTGGTCTGAACTTCGCCTAGGACCTGAACACACGGTTCCTGCCTGTTGGCAGAGTTGATTCAGCTGCATCTGCATAGGGAGAGAGAAAAATATCGCACGCGTCAATGCCGTACAAAATGGTCATGCACGCTGCGTCGTCCTGTTCGTGGTATTCAGGCTGCGACGTGGCCTGGCGGAAACTCAGACTGGACGGCTCAATGTTATCCGTATCGTAATAATAGATGAACGTGGAGACGATGGATTCGTTCGCCATGCCTGTCAAGGTCCAGATAAACCGTGCCAAAGCATATACAAACAAGCACATACCTTCCACGTGCCATATTCCACCCGGATAACTAGGATTCTCGGGGGTCAAGACGATGTTGGCGAGCTTGACGATAACCTGGATCGTGCTTCCGCGCAGCGAGACCCGATCCGCGGCCTCCACATCGCCGCGCCGCGCGACATACTGCTCGGGTGCCTCTGGCAGATTGAGATCGCCGCGCAGGAGGTAACGATACGTCCAATCCCGGAACGGCTCGAGCTCTGTCTCGCGCTTGGCCAGCTCCGCGGTGAGCTCGTCATCGGAGGGGATGTCCTCAGTGTATCCACTGCCCATGACACATTCTGCGGCGTGGTCGATCCGGGGCTGCGGGGGTGTCCGCAGCTCAGTCAGCACGCCTTCCCACAGCGGCAGCGCGCGTTCCATGATGCGCTCGAGCACGGGCACGAACGCGTCTTGGTGCTGCGAGGGGATGTTGTTCATGTAGGGAGACACGAGCTTGACCGCGCCGGCGTCGTCGACGGCGAAATCGGACGGCAGCCACTGGAAGCGCGGGGACACGAAGACCGCGTCGACGTCGTCGGACTCGAGAGCCGGCACCGCGAAGCGCTGGAGGACGCCCTCGTCGGATCTGCCCCACGAGTCGTCGTAGACCAGCGGACAGATTGAGGGGTGAACGAGGTCAAGGACGCGCTCCTCGGAGCCTGGGTGCCAGTCTTTCTCGTTCGATGGGACGTCTTCGAGCAGCTTCACGGCCGCCGCGAGTTGTGCCGTGAGCTCCTCCGCGATGAGGCCGTCAGAGATGTAGACGCGATCGAAAGGGCCAGGCTGTTCGCAAGTGAGCAAGCCGTGTCAAACGTAGAAGACACGAATGCAGACCTCGACTCCACCCGTCTTCTCGCGTATCCTGGAGGCCGCTTGAAGCTCCTCAATCACGTAGTTGACCTGGTTCCATCAGCGAAAAGCACTCAGCCAGTCCGACGCGAACGACAACAACGCACCATGCGCTCGGACAGCTTGGACCACCGGACGAGATCCTTCTGCTGCTCCTGCACCTCCGCAGTCCACTTTCTCGTGATGTTCTCGTCCCAGCACTTGTCCCACCAGCGGTCCTTCTCGCGGAGCTGAGCAGAGAGCTTGCACATGCGCAGCTCAGCGAGCGTCGTGGGGTCGGGGACACCCGCGCTCTCGGTCTCCCCATCCTCGGGGTCCTCATGGAATGGGTGGGGATAGCGAGTGTTCATGGACGTTGGTGGATGGGAGCGCACGCCAAGGCATTGATTTCAGGAACGTCGCATTTGATTGATGGTTTAAGCAATAGGATTTGGCGAGTAGATAGGGTTAGGGTAAGGCCACCGGAGGATGCAAAAAAAAACGTGGACCCCCGACGACGCAAGCCAGTAGTGCAGCGGCAAGGTCATCGCGTCCTTCTGTTGCAAGCAGAGCAGAAAGGCAAGGGCGGCAAAAATTAGATAACCAAATAGAAGGGACTGTGTCCCTCTAATAGTGGTTAAACTATTAAGAACAGATACTACACTTGATCTAAGCCAAAAGGCCAGAGTGGTAAAGATTCGCAATGTTCAGCGCTGGGCTTTATAGGACGCCTGTAGTGGTCCGTGCATATTGAGCACGTGTGCACTCGGCTATACGTTTTCGGCGGAAACCGCGTGCAACTACACACTTCCTTGGCATGAGTCAAATGCAGGGACCGCCACCAGCGTCGGGCGAGCGCTTCTCTGCTTTACCAGGATGTTCTCTGAAAACGACGCGGCGCCAGCTGTCGTAGATGAAGAAGCGCCCCTGCTTCCGAAGACGAAGACGAAGACGCCTCTGCCGCGCCTCCAGTTGTCGATCATCCTCTTCTCCCAGTTGTGCGAGCCACTTGCGAGCCAGTCGATCTATCCGTACATAAACCAGGTGCGCATCGACGCGCGCTGGCTCCCTCCCTATCTCACGAAGCATCCAGCTGGTGAGTGAACTGGGAATCACGGGTGGGGACGAGAGGAAAGTTGGATATTACGCGTGAGTTGCCCCTACGCGTTCCCCATCGTACGCTCACAGATCTCTGTCGTTTCAGTGGAATGGTGAGCACATATTCCGCTTGCTCACCCTCTGCAGCTGATCAGTCCCGAAGATCGTAAGTCCGCTGTGCCCGCTCATCCCATCAGCGCATCAAACGCAGCCAGGAATCGCTCTTCTTCGTCACTGAGGCACTGACCATCCTCCAATGGAGCCGCGCATCGGACCATGTCGGCCGCAAGCCCATTCTCCTGTTCGGCCTGTTCGGCGCCGGCCTCTCGATCTTGTGTTTCGGGCTGTCGCGCACATTTTGGGGTCTCATCGTCAGGTCCGCTGTGATATATTTGCTGTGGAATTAGGGCTGATCGCGCTCGCACAGTCGCTGTATGCTTGGGCTTTTGAATGGGAACACGGGTAAGAGGACCTCGTTGGTACGCGCCTTTGTTTGCCAGACTACTGCCAGGTGTGATGAAAAGTGCTATGGGAGATTTGACCGATAGATCGAACCGGGCTGATGCGTTTGTATATCTGCCCAGTACGCGTTCGAACCTTTGCATAATGGAGATTACTGAACATTCGATGTAAACAGTCATCTGGGCTGCTGGGGTGCGTCGTGTCCCCTTTCTTCCAGCTCAGAATGCAACTGAACTTCAACCACAGTGCTCGCTCGCTCCGCTCATCGGCGGAACTCTTGCACGACCGCACGATACCTTTCCTGCCCTGTTCTCCGGCCAATTCTGGATAGATTTCCCCTACTTTCTTCCGTGTCTGGTGTCCGGCATCCCGTTGTTCATCTCCTGGTTCATCGTCCTAGCGTTTTTCAAAGAAGTATGTTTCTCCCATTGCGCTATCACAACTCCAGCCACTGACCGCGTCACCCAGACTGTGAAACAACGGCGTCACTCCGACTCTGAGAGCCCTGAGAGACCCGCACAGACCGGCCCGCTGTCTTTGAAGACACTGATATCTCTGCAACCCGTCCGCGCCTCGATATCCAACTACGTCACCCTCGGATTTCTCAACACGACGATGGACGCGTTGCTGCCCCTATTTCTCGCCATGCCACTCGAATTCGGCGGTCTCGATCTCTCGCCGCCGCAGATCGGCCTGATCTTATCTACATATGGCATTGCGATGGGCCTGTTCCAATTTTTCCTGTTCGGCCGATTCGTCGACCGCTTCGGCGAGAAACGCGTGTTCGTGCACGGAATCTCGGCGACGTTGCCGGCGTTCGCGCTGTTCCCGGTCATCAGCCTCGCTGCGCGTGTCGCAGGTGGGACGAATGCGCTGGTCTGGACGCTGGTCGGGTGTCTGCTTCTGTGCGCCGCGTTGGTTGATACTGCATATGGTGTGTCAGGTGGCTCCTGTGTTTTCGACTTGGGCTTCTCAAATTAAACAGGCGCCATATTCATTTTCATCACTTCCTCCGCGCCTGCCTCGAGTCGCGGATCGGTTAATGGGATCGCCCAGACCTCAGTGGCGGTCGCCCGGGCAATTGGGCCGGCCTTGGCAACCTCGCTGTTTTCGTTCTCCGTGCAGTACAACCTCCTCGGCGGGTATCTTGTGTATTTAGTGCTCTGTGCGTGCGCTTGTGCGTCGATATTCCTGAGCAGAGTGTTGCCGGAAGAAGTGTGGGAGGACACGGAGTGAAGTTCAAGTAGATTAGATTAGATGGGATTAGATTAGACCGCCGAACTTCCCGGATCACGTAAATTGCCTCTTATCTAGCCGTTGACACCCACGGCATGTTGCAAATGCATGGCCATGCATGTCATGCTGATCTGCTTCTGTCGGCCACGCTCTTGATTGGTTACCACCACCATGATCTCCCTCCCATTCGACATCTTCGCGGAAATCCTGCCCCTCGTCCCGTACTCTGCGCTCCCCGCCTTTGCGCAAGCAAGCACGGAGTTCCGAGACTACGCCCGGGAGCGGCTGTACGAGGAGATCCCGCCGCACCTGATCTCCCGCGCGTTCGCGTCGATCGCGCGCAACCCCGACCTCGCGCGGTACGTAAAGCGGGTGGAGATGACGCGCCGGCCGGGCGTCGCGGACCTCGACGTCGACTTTCATCTCCTCGGGACCGTGCTGGGGCACACGACGAACCTGCACACGCTGCTGATCAACGTCGGCGGGCGGCGGTACTCGTCGTTCCTCGCGGACTCGTCGCGCGTGTTCCGCCTGCGCCGCTTCTCGTGCTTCCTGTACATCGACCAGGCGCTGATCCAGTTCCTGCACGACCAGGCGCCGACGCTCGAGGACATCACGCTCTCGCACTCGCTGCTCCAGTGCGGGCGCGGTGCGATCGCGAGTGGCTTTCCCCGGTTGCGGCGGCTCAACTCGCCCATGTCGTGGGCGGACTCGATCCTCCCGCACGGGGGCGCGAGTCTCACGCAGCTGTCGATATCGCACTGTGCGCGCGGCGCGTCGATGGCATGTCTGGGGATGCCGAATATCCGCATCGAATGGCTGCAGGTCCCGTTCCATTGCTTCGAGGACACGGATCCCGGGGAACTCGGGCGCATGTTTCCTGTCCTGCGGCAGTTGCGCCTGAGTATGCAGCACTCGCGGTTCGGATGGCCGTGGCCGGGCAACGTCAGTCCGATTCTGTTCTCCCGTCTTTTCGAATTGGAAAACACATACATAATCATAGGTTGATATCGATGTCCCACACCTGGCAGATCAACTGCACAGGATTCTGGGCGGATTGCCCGCTCTCACCCACTTGACGCTTCTGATGATGGGGATGGTCTGGCCAGAAGGTGCTGACAACATCGGCTTTGCTGCGATCGCGACGCACAACGCCCCTAAACTGAAAGATGTGATTCTGGACTCGGCATTAGCTGCAGGTGATGGGACAGCGAGCGCCCTTCACATGAAATACAAGGACAGTCGTTGGACGATCTAAATATGTCTGGACTCTCCACGTATTACTTACAGCTGAACGGATCCCTAGGCACCCTTACGAGTGATATAATCTGTGCATGACATAAACGTAAAACTGCGCGTGGGTACCGTTGTCCATACAGGACATGGTCTGTTTCCATGATGGAACACGATGTAGTGCTCGGGGTCCTGGCACCCCGTGACAGGATGGCTCATATGCCCTGACTCGCCGGTACACAATGACGTAAAAGGCGGTGCTAAGCCGCTTCGCCGTTGGTGATCGTGTCGGGGGGAGCGTAACTCTACAATGGAGGGTAGTCCATATTCTCGGTTTTTTTCACAGATGATTCCTACTAGGAATGCCTTTGTATCATTCTTCAGAGCATCAGCTGTAAAGACAAAAAATTGAGCCATCAGATGAGTTCGGTCTGATCATTTCTGATGATGTTCACACGACTTTACACGCATGTGATCAATAGTCCTCTTGAAACACATGCATGGGTTTCTGTGCACACAACCACAAGTGCTCGTGGTCTTTGTCTCAGATAATGAACTCATCGCCATTTCCCTCTGCTTCAATCCCTTGCCGCGTGCCCAAACCCAAGCCCACTGGGATGGCTGTAGGCAGGGGAATCGGTGGCAATGCTCTGATAAGCGTGGCGAAGAACACTGATCGAAGCTATCTACGGAACAAACGGCATGTCTACAGAGCCAATCAGCATAGCCACCGATCACCCCTCTCACCCCACACTCACCCGGATTGTCGCGCACTCGATTTGTGAAGTGTTGAGACTGATCTGAGTGCAATTGTTGCACGGGCGGTTAGCAATAAGACCATGAAAGAGTGTGCCACACTCCGTCTAGGGAGGCATGAATCAGAGATGTGGGACACGAGCAAATCTGAGGGAGTCAGGGTCGAAGTTTCCCGGGACCGTGTCCCTGCACACGAAAGCCTTGATGGCGGTCTCGGAAAAGCGCGTGTCGTAGGCAGTATAACATACCTGAGTAGGCCCGCGGACACTCCGTATTAGGTCGGTCCGGAATAGAGTAAAAGTTGGCCGAAAATTTTTGGATTTCCGGTCCGAAAATAGAGTAAAATCGAGCTCCAGAGCGCGGAAGCGGTCCGGCATAGAGTAAAAGTCGGGCGAAGTCCGACCGATTTTGGCTAAAATATGACTTGAATATGGCCAAATCACGCAATTTTGGAACACTCTAAGCTCTCCCGTAAGCCGCAGCGACCGGCATGAGTACTCGATCACGACCGGGACTGATGGCCTCAACAAATCGGACAATGAGCGACCAAAATATTGGAAATTTTCGTAGCGTGGGAGAAATTTTTTGATTTTCCGGTCCGGAAATAGAGTAAAAGTGACCCAAAACCGCCAATTTTATAGAGTAAAAGTCTTGGAGCTGGCGGACCGACCCGATACGGAGTATCCGCGGGCCTACCTGAGTTACTCGTTGGCGCAAAGCTCATGAAAACGATTCGCATATGTTGCCTGCAGCTGCTCAGGAGTCCCAGGTGAGCATAGATTACTGTAGCGTTCACCGTGGCCTGGTCACGTGACGGTGAAGACCAAGAAGGGAGCACTACTGACGTGTTCCAAATGACGACCAGAGATCATGTCACAGTGTGTCACATCCATCACTAAGACCCCCAAGCTCAAATCACGATCGCATCTATCAAAACAGACCATGTCCTTAATGGCCAACGGTAGCGTGGGACTATAGCCGCTCCCAGGCCGCGTTAGTTTTTGAGATTATCCATGCGGCGAGACAGACGGTCAGAGTTGTGCCGGACTCCCGACATAGCCGAATGGCCGTGGAGATTCGCATTCTCTTTTTACAGACACCGCGCCGGTTCCCTGGACAAGGTGGTCGCTATCGCGGTTCGCGTCGGACCATGGGATCCAACGCAATCTTCCGAAGCAGACCGGTTCTTCGTTCTCCGGACGTATCCGCGTGGTATAAAAGACACATCGACCGGAATTTCGAGACATGCATCTCGCGCAGTAGTTACAATATCAGTATCCGGAGGGCGGCTGGAGAGCAACTGCGCACCGATCGCGCTATCTGCGCTCTCTAAGACCGACGCCGGCACGAACCGACATGAACGTCAGTATCAGTAAGCGTCGGTCTATGTCCCTTGGTATTCGGGCAGGGATGGGCCGCCGGGGTTCTAGACTTCTGCGAATTCCACGGGACAGCTTCCAAGCGCTTAACATTGCTGCAAAGGTGCATCTGTGCTGAGTTGGTAAGAAGTGTATGTATGTATGTATGTACATACATACTCGCTGCTAGCGCCTGAAATGTCGGCGATCTGTGGCGCAGATGGGGACACAAAGTTATTCAGGAGTGTGACAGAAAAGCGGGGTCTGTTTGTTGGTTGGCTCCCCGATGGAGTGTGAGTGACTTTGGCGTTGAGCTTTCACAGCGTCGATAACTGCGGAATCCGGGTTCTTCCAGGCACATTCCTCGGAGCCGGGGCATATGTTTTTCCCAGATTCCAGAAACCGGCAGCCCCATTTGGCTGTTTTCTCTCACACGTGCTTTGGGGACACACGCCCCGCTTCGACCCACTTCGACAAGCGTTCGCCCATGCCTGTTAACCGGAACTGTACACCTCACGTAAGGCGTGGTTGTATGCGTGTGTTATCGTATGTGGAGCTCCGAGTGCCGCCATGCACTTGGGTCTCCATCGCCCGTTTTTGGAACTTACAAAGGCAGGTGCCTGTGCCCGGCGGCCACGTTCCAAGAAAGAACTCGACGGGACCTGTCGCCAACTACAGTGACAAATACCACAGGCTCGACCTAGTCGGCTGGATTTATATGTCTTCCTTTCGGCTGGCCCCCCGACGACCGTGACTATGCTGCTGCTCCAATGTGCCCCCTCCCCACTCCCGCCCTCGCTGCTCGATCTCCCCGCACGACACCAGATGCCCGGCAGCAGTAGTGGCAGCAGCAGCGGTGGTGGCAGCAAGTGCAAGGCACGGGACTCGGGTATGTGGCTCCATGTCTTTTGTGGGCGCAGGGCGTGTTCCTTATCTCCCCACCCTCAGAGATGTGGTTCTCGGTCGACACCAGCGCCTCGGGCTCATGGCCGCCCAGGATCACCTTCGCAAGCGCCCCGTGCGCGTCGGCCCCTGCTCCCATTAGCAACGGCGGCAGCGATGAGATGGAGGATGTTATCTTCGCGGAGGGCAGTGGCACCGTCACTGGGAGTGCAACGCGTGCGTCTCGTCTCGTAGCGAACCGGACGCCCATCCGCAACCGCCCGTCGCGCAGCAGGTCGACCGTGCGCTCCACCCCAAACGATCTGTGGCAGCGACATCCGCCTGCGGACGATCTGCTCAAGAAGAAGCTTCTCGACGATTTGCTCGGTGGTCCGGCGTGCGGCAGTGGCAGCGGCGATGCCCGACGTATCCGTGCGCTCCCGGAGTCGCTCTTGATCGGGACTCCGGCACCGCCAACCCTGCCCCGCTGCCCGCCGGCGCCTACGGAGCCCCCACCCCCACCGTCCCCCCGGCCACAGTACACCGCGCCGCACGCGGCATTCCTCCCCGAACAGCCGATGCTATCCCAGTGGCGCGACAAGGAGCGCTCGTTTCTGCAGCTGTGGAAACACGAAAAGCGGAGACACACGCGCCTGCCGCTCGTCGTGTCGCCGTTCAATCCCCTCCGCGAGTCGATGCCCGAGGGCTACTGGAGGACGGTCAACCCGCCCAGTGCGCCACTCCAGAAAAAGACGTGGAATTTCCGGCGCCCGATCCCGCCACCGCAGCTGGTGCCCAGGTTGCGCTCGAGGCGGTGCGTGGCCTTTGTCGCCTGCTAGCAGAGACTCTCTTTGGGGGCTGATTTTATTCCGTGCTGACAGGTCCTGCGACTCGGCCTGCGAGCGCGTCTCTGCCTGGGCGATGCTCAGCGGCAAAACTGCACATCACTGCCGCCGGTGCAGCCAGGACTCGCTCGGCAAGCGGCTGCTGCTATACCGGTATTGGCGCAGGCGGTCCGAGAGCGAGGCGGGGTACGCCTACTCGACTCTCTCCAAAATCATGCGCCAACTCGACGAGGAAGACGCTGAGATGTTGGATCTTCTCACACCCCCCGAGAGACGCTGCATGTGACATAATTGCACGCATATAACTATCATATGTATCTGTGTATCGCTACCTAGGACCATCTCATACTCTCTTTACAAACCGTGTAGTTTACTCATCGTTACTGGAGCCATCATTACATTTGCAATTGCGGACATTCTAGAAACGAATCACCGACTGATTCCTGAACGGAGGAAATGCGCGCACCTGAGCTGGCACTGACGTTCATTGAGCTCCTTACACGGCCATTGTGCTCGAGCTCCGCGCTGGTTTTTTCTGCAGCAATTCAGGGTGGATGTGCGACTTGACGCCCCCACCCAAGATGATCGCGTTGCACAGAAGCTTATCCAGCCTGCATGCACAAGGTCCCATCAACCCCCTGCATCCCATACATACATACAAAACTCAAACTCAAAGTGACTCACTCGTTGTCGTTGCGGATCGCCAACATGACATGGTGCGGGGTGATTCTCTTCTTCTGATGGTCGCGTGCACAGTTCCCTGCCAGCTCCAGGAGCTCGGCTACCATATAATCAAGGACGGCAGTGCAGAACACTGCGCGTGAAAAACAGAGTTAGCACCCGTGTGCGAAGGGGCGGGGGGAGATCAGAATGTCGAGAATCTCTCACCCGCGGATGTGGGGGTTACGCGAGCGGCGTATTTGCCGGCTTTGAGGTACCGCCGGACCCGAGCGACGGGGAGCGTCAACCCAGCTTTGTCCGACATTGTCTGTCGTTTGGCGGGACTCGCGGTGCTGTGGACGGCGCCCTTTCCCTTTCCCTTTCCTTTGCCCTTCCCTCCGACTGACGTGAGCAAACTGAGACTCTTGCCTTTTCCTCCCTGCAGGAAAAATAAATAATCAGTCGCCTGAAGCTACACATAGGGAGGGCATTCTTCCCATTGCTTCAGATCGAGTTGTGTTGTGTTGACAAGTTGAACATCACGTGGAACTGGTTAGGACTTTGCCATCTCATCTGAAAATCTCGCAGCCACCTCTACACTCCTTTTCGAGCTTCGATTTATTGAGAAATGAATCTTTATGAGATCTTCCCGTCGGATACCAGTCTCAAATGACCTGGTGAATGCTCAATGACTCATTTTATCTGACGACGGATAAATGGAACTTGAAATTCCAACCGGGTTATTACTCAGTCCGGAGACTGAGAAGGAGGAGTATCCATCAGCAACGTACATAATCCCGGTCACACGGACTATTCCGCCCCTCAACATTGGAAATACGCCCAAAAGGGTTTCAACCGTAATCACGTGTCAGCAAGTATGGTTGGTTGTTCCAGCACAGCAAGCAGCTCAAATCAAGATACAACAACGAAACCCAAATTTCCTGCTTCAAACTATTTCCACAAAAACACGAATACAAGTACAAATTTCATTCACATGAGGACGGTGGTGGAGGACTGCGGTAGCGAGGCGCGGCGGGCGCACGGCCGGGCGGAGCTGTAATACATCTTGTCGCCTGCCGGATGCGATCGCGCGACGGGAAACGAGGCGTGCCCGCCGTCCTCGGACATAGCCCGGCGACCGCGCGCCGACGACGCTTCTGCCTGCGCGGGGGCCCCGCTGCCGCTACCGCTAAGACTGCTGCTGACCGAGGCCGACAGCCTGTTGTGGTGCGACACCGGCAGCGCCTCCCAGTGTATCGGGCGCGGCGCGTGGATGCGAGAGCTGGCGCGCGGGCGGGCCCAGTCGTCTCGCTGCGTGAATATCGCGAGGGACTGGTCAGCCGAGTGAGCCGAGTGCGAGCCCAGATAGATCGAGGCGCTGGCGCAGGTCGTGTGATCCCAGCCCCAGGGAGATTGGGACGTCCACGACGAGCTCGGCTCGGGAGCTTGTTTGCTGGACATCGTGGTCGGACGTCCGTTCGGAGATGAAGCTGAGACGCAGGCACGCGCAGGCCCGGTCCGCGCGGGCCGAAACGCGAGTCTGCATGGAGGGGCAGAAACGGGCGATAGCGCAGCGCTGCTCTCCGACTCCGCATCGGAGTCGGACGATGACGAGGACGCATCGAGCGGTAGAGGCCGACGCCGGCATCGACGTGTAATCGATCTGCGGAGAGTGCGGAGCGCGTTGGGTATGCTCAGTCGGGGAAGGGCCACGCGAGCTTCTGATTTGCGTGGCTGAGGATTGGGCGGCATTTGTGCATTTCCACGGGCTTCTAACGAAGGGCTGATGCTTAGCTTCCGTTGCCATAGGGGGCGCCAGCTTGTACGTACCGTGCGCGAACAGTGCGCGCCCTGGCAACGACGACGAGCGCCCGTGGTATCCTGCGTCGACGGGCCCGTACTCAGACCCTGGCAGCCCGTAGAACGTCCCGCTCCTGTCCTGGAAAATGTATCGCCCAGTGTCCGCGTCGTACCCCGTCCTGACCATGCCGCACGGCAGCCGATATGAGTCCTGTTCGCGTCAGATTGGGCGCGAGTGAGATGGACAGCAACAGCCTACCTCATCGTATTGTGACCAGCGTCCCATGGCGGCAGTTGATTGGTGGATACTGAGTTGCTGCGATGAGGGGAGAGGAAGGGAAAGGAGAAGGTCCAAGTCTAACGACGAGTCGTGTGCAATTGGGGGTGTGCAAAGTGCGTCGTAAGTGATTATGTAGCCCATTTATAAACCTCTTCATCGTCGTGAATTCGAAGCTCGCTGCATCCGGACAGCCTCCGAGGCCGAAAGCGAAGGATCTGGACTGGAAGCATCATTAGCCAAAGACAGAGATGCGGTCAGTTGATGTACGCGAGAAGGCAAGTCCGGGGCAGACTCACCAGCAGCGACTCCGCGGCGGAAGCATGGTCCGGGTCCCGGACGCGGGGTTCGAATTCTCGAACGATGTATTCAATTTGAAACCATTGGACGAGAGCGAGACCAGACCGGAGGGCGCGGTGTCTCTCCACAAGGTTGAGCAAGTCACCGGTGGGGGTCAGGCGCTTCCACCATGTTTCACCCCGACATGTATTTCCTGTTTTCGGCTGGCCCATGTGTTGGAGGGAGCCAGGCCCCCAGTCTTTTTCGACTCGGACAGCGGAAAGCAAAGAGTAGAGTGCGGACATCCGACTGGAGCTTGCTGCGAGCCAATGCAATCTCTCCCTCAGGGCTCGTGATGTCCCTGCCCGACGGCAAGCTCAGTGACTCTTGATCGACGAGATAGACCATGCTGCGCTGCCCGGGACCGAAAAATAGAGTTGGGAGAGAGAGAGTAGAATTAAGTATGGACACAACCGAGAAAGCGACCTCGTCAGTTGTCGTCACTGAAAGGTCCGATCAGATTCTGATGGCAGGTGACAGGCTGTCACACAGCCACAGCGGCCGTTGCTCGACCGCCACCAGCTTGGATGTGGGCTCCGTTGCACTGGAAAAACAGCAAGAATCCACTCTGTGCCTGCAGAAACGACGTAAATATTCTGACATCCCCCACCTTCGAAACATCGGGTAATGACAAACATCCACACTCGTCCTCTTAACTCGCCTGCCCCAGCGACGAAGGCTCGCGGAAGAAATGTATTAGGCGTCTCCGTGTCCGCGATATCATCTTCCAGACAAGCGCACTGCCAAATATGTGGGTGCTCCAGAAATGCGCAGAAGACAGGAAGTTCAGAGTCTGACAGACAGGAGGGCTGGCGGCCAAGGACGTGTACACGTCTTCAAGTCTTGAGCCGCAGGGAAAGTTCATGTCGTAGTGACCCACTGAAACTGGCAAAAACCACGCTCAGCCCGAATGAAGAATACACGTGACTGGGGCATGCATTCCCACGGTTCATTTCCGCAGTCTTGGCGAGGAGCGAACCAATCGTTCATTGGGTGACTCGGAACAGAAAGCCGGCTACCGCTTCGACTACCGCTCCAAGCGTCGATAGATCAATACCGGTATCAGTTTCGTTTCCGTAGCTGTTATTGCTCGTTCCAGACACCGAAAACAGGCGGTCAAGTCGATCTCGCGCGACGTGGAGTTCATTCTCGAGGGTCAGCTGGATTGATCCGCCAGGAGGATTTCCGTCGTTCACGAGGATGTGGTTTATCACGCACGTCTACGCGAAGAGTATATCAGTGCGCCACAGCTTTCAATGGGGAACCCTTCAAAAAGCCTCACCGATCTGTGGGGGCTACGTCTTCCCAATCTCCTTCCAGCCATGGCTTTGCGAGATTGGCTTTGGGACTGGGGTCAGCTGCGGCATCTTCGATGGCTTTATCCCTACGCAGCAACTTTCACTGTCTTGGACCCTCAGGGCGTGCGCATGTGTTATGAAGTGTCAGCGACCCATTGGGAGTCAACGCTCGCAACGGGATATTGAGACTGATCTTCCCGACTAGGGGCATGGGAAGGACGAAGAGGCATGGAGTTCTGAGTGAGTCACACCCCTCATCCATCCGACAGGATATACCCACTTACAGACAAGGTCCTGCGTGGTGCTAGAGCTTGGCTGGACTGCTCCCGGGCTGATTAAGCTCTTATCTATGACGTCGAATCATAAATGAGTGGCAAGGGCACAAATCTTCAGGTTGCATGGCAAGCCCGAGCCGAGATCCGCACATGTCGGACTTCGCGCTGACATATCCAACCCATCGACGCAGAATCGCAGACAACATGCATTGCTGCTGAGAGGTAGTCGGAGCGGTGCATCAAATAGCCTTATCGCCGCATTCGAAAGAATGGACGCAAACAGAGCGTGAGGATTGGTAGAAGCAACAGATACACAACAATCATGTTGACTAGAGAGGCACAACTCGGTTTGAGGTAACATGCGCCAAGAGATGTGCTCAGAGCGAGTAACCATAAATGACACGCGGGCGTGCCTGCAGGTAATATCTGAAGCTTTCAGAGCTCAAGCTTGTTCATATCATTCAGATATACCAGAGATTTGAGCGCAGGATGTCAGTACGCGATAATGACTCCACACGCTCTAGATGTGGGTCAAACCAAGGCACGTGACACCATTGCCAGCGGTCCCTCGCGGTACGCTCTTGGGAGGGAAACGGTTTCAACGCTGAGCAATAGACAGGATACTACAACCACACATGATATGTCGGAATATTGATCTACCATAGAGAACCGCCTCTCAGAGTGTGAGAGCACCGAAGCTTTCGGTAGCATCCGAGTCGATCTCGTCGCTGAAGGCGAGGCTCTGCCCGCTGACGACTTCGTCCCAGTCTCCGAGAACGACGGTGGTGTCGCGTATAAAGTCGATCTTGAGCGTCGTGGTCTTGTAGACGACGGTGAGCTCCATCGTGCCGGTGGGGCCGTACTTCTTGCCCTCGCTCAGAAGGACCTGGTTGATGACGTATGGCTGCAGAAAAAATCAGTTCAGTGAAGTCGTCTCAATCGAGTAATTGATCGCTCACGATGTTAACGAGTCCTTGGAAGCTGGCAGAAAATCAGTAAGCTCAAGAGTGGTCGATCATCAGGGGTATTAGCTTACTTGTCACCCTCAGCTGGATGCTCATCAGCAACTCAAATCGTGCAGAGAAGCAATTAAAACACCCACTGCCCAATTGACTGTCACTCATCAAGCCGTAGTTCTGCGGAATCTTGGATCAGCGATCACCCAGCGCCTTCTCAGAAAGACGCACGAGCTTGTAAACCTCGGTAGTGGTCACGAAAAGGGGCGTGCCGATAATCTTCACGCGCTCGTTGGCCGCAATACTAGAGCCAAGTGAGCCCGGTGTGCTGTTTGCGTGAAGCAGACATGAACGCACTCAAAGTCAAAGTCCTTGCTCTGCGGGTACAGATATTGCTTCGTGGTGGGAACCGTCGCGTTCGCCGCGATGACCAAGCTCACTTTCCCGGCGATGTTGGAGAACTGGATCGGGTTGTTGACGCTGATCAGCGCTGGAGTGCGATGTCAGTACGAGTTGTATCCTGAGTGAATTCGGAAGCCAGCGAGCTCACCAGGGAGGCTGATGTCGATCGACAAGTCGAGGATGTTGTTCCACGTCTTGGTAAAATGCTCATGTCCGGCGGCAGACGAATCGAAGATGCTAAACTTCTTCCCGACCGACTTGGTGACCTCGGTGCGAGACGGGTCCAGCGTTCCCTTCGCGGCCATGGTCGTGTTATGCGACGAGATGCTAAAAAGAACCGCTCAGCTCGAATGAGACAAAGATGTAACGATCGACAGACGGAGGCGCCATGGTGGTGGTGAAGCTGTCGTTCAAGTGCAGCTGGTCCTCGCCGGTCATCGTGTCCGGGCGGAGGGCACTGACGGCGGTGTAGACGGCCGCCTTGTCCCAGCCGAGCGCCTGGAGATCATCCCAGGTGGTGAGAGGAGGGACAGCAGCGGCGGTTTGTTGAGACATTGTTGCAGAAGAAGAGCTGGCTGAGGCTGGTTGTATGTCGGGGTGGAGGACTGGTCTCTGTTTGCTCTGTTCACAAAGAATTTATAACGACTGGAACCTCGAGTCCGGCGAGAATTAGCGCCGGTGGTCTGTCGAGTAGTCTCTCCATACCCCCCCACCTGACAGGAACCCAGGCACCTCGCCAGCGAAAGAATATCTGCGTCGCTCGTGGACTGCATGCCCAACTGATGACGTGCCGGGAGCCGGCGTCGCCCTGCGACCACAAATGGCATCCGGCGGTTCTCGAAAGCGGTCACCAGGGATCAAAACCGTGTCAGCATCATTCCATCCTGCGCTTCGCCGCGCGCCAGGAATGCAGTTCTGTCGCCGCTGTTGACACGAGTCATGCTGAGCGCGGTGACCCGCACTGCCGCGGCACGACAAACAACTCCGGTGACAGGTGGAATTCTGTGGAATGGTGTTGCACGCACTGCGGTCGATAGAACATGGCGGGGAAACTGTGAGATCCACTTGGCCCGTGTGGGGTTGTCCAGTTTCGGTAAGCACCCAACCTAGATGATGATGATTCTCTTGAATCTTCCCACGTTCACGTGCTGAATGGCGTCTGAATGTAATTCCGCACTTGCAACGAAAGGATAGAGGTGTTTGGAGAGAAAAAAATTGCTCGACACTAGGCCAGCCAATTCACATTCTCCGTATCTCGGGAAGGCCAAACATACATTTATATCAAATGTGGAATTGTTTGAGCGAAATGTCCTCATTTCAAATCGCAATCAGGTGGTGGAATGGGCATGATTAGGTCGAAGCGAAAGAAAATAAAAAAAGTCAAGGCGCCGTGCCCATCGGTTTCGCAGAAACTCGATCGCACCGATGCACCATCTTGATGCGCTGATACATGTCCTTGCCGCCCGTGACCTGCCCCAGCAACACGCGCTCCAAGAGCCGGCCCTCGCCTTCCTTCCACTGATGCGTCGTCTCTGCATCCTCGAGCACATCATGCAGCACCGCATGGACGCGCGCGACGTCGAAGCACGCGATCCCATGCCGCCGGTTGGGTGCCGTGTCCAGCGCAGAATACGTGCTCAGATGCGGCATCTTGCGGCGCCGGGCCGTCGGCGACGGCATCCCCGAGGACAACGACGACAGCGACTGCGGCCGGGCCTGGAACGGGTCGTCCGACTCGAAACTGTGCGAGCTGAAGTCTGGGCCGAGCGCACAATTAAAACTGTCAGCGGACGGACCGACTACACGCGGGTGCGCAGGGGCTTCTCACCGAGAACGACACTGGGAACGACAACAGACTTTCTGCGCTGACTCCGTCGCTGACGTCGGACGGGGGGAAGATCAAATGAGCCGGAGCCGGAGGGCAGGGCGACGGCTCGGTAGCCAGTGCGTGGTGCGGCGGATTTCTTGCAGGTCCTGAGCTTGAGCCAGGGGATGCGGACGCGCTGGACCTGCCACTCAGTACGGCTGAGAATGAGAAGGGGAGGGACTGACCAATCCACATGCATTCTTCTCAGGAATCTTAGTATCGAGACGAGCCAATTCGCGGACGTCCTGGGAGCTGCTGACTATGACGGGTTTCCGGGTGAAGTACGTTGAGAGTGCAATCATGGGACCGAGATTAAGTGCAGAGAGAGAGGAAGTCAGAGAATGTGGTGAGTTATTCGTATGCGTGAATCAAGGCTGGACTGATTGGATTCCGAAGGAAGGTCGTGTGCAGATGGACTGCAATTATCCCAGCGAGCGAGGGAGAGCGTGTGAGAGAAGGCTATCGAGGATTCAGCCATCCATGCGTCGTCTTATGTGTGAGAGTGTGCTGAGACAGTGCGGATGGGCACAGGTTTCACCTGTCTTATCTTCCATTCTCAGTGACATAGAGTGGGACAGGAAGAACAGGGGAGGAGAGTCGCATCCTGCTCCGGTCGATACAAGTGACTGACGTCGGAGTCGAAGTTTGAAGCCTATTTTTCGATCACCGTGTTTCACAGTTGAATAGTTGCCGGATAAGCGCAAGAGGACAGTGCCCAAGTCGAACAACATAAAAGCGTGAGAGATCACAGACTGCCATCCGCGCCACCGATGTATTACGTCATCCAGTTTCTCGTTCGGTTCGCAGAGCACCAAGGCTCTGCTGAGAGAAACGCGTTCCTAATGTTGAATGGTTGTGGTGTCCCATGCTTCACCGATTCCCCGGGCCTGAAAATATCCCTTCTACATACCTACACACTGAAATTTCGACTCAGCCACTCCACGCGCTTGCTTTGGACACGCGAAATACAAGGAAGTATGCACGATGCAGCCGTGATGATACTGATTTAATCGTCATTGGACTTCTGGACTCGTATGACTGACGCTACTTATGTAAATTGATGGAAAAGTTGCCTGCAACTACAACACAGCAATCTATTTCTATGCTCAATTTCTACGGCCCAGGCATTGAACTTCTTTACGGCGTCTTCGTCCACGTGGCCGATAAATCTCCAGAATGCATGTATGTCTGGTGGCCTTAACAATATCCTACTATCTTTATTTGAAAAAGTTCGTGAACATCGATTGACTCTCGTGTGTGCAATCGACGCCAGAACCGGCCACGATGGAAGTGGCAGATTTGATCGATCAACGATTGCATCAAACGGAATCACATGATCCTACCCGCGGCGCGGGAGGGCGTGCGTGAATAAAAATCGGATCCCAACCGTTGTCTCCCACAGACGCTTTCTCGTCGGGCTCGTCTGCAGCGATCTCCGGGTTGGCATGCGATCGTACCCCGTTCACTCGGATCAACAACATATTCCATGTAATGGGCTGCGGTCAGGTTTCAGTGCGTCATCGGGGACGCTGCTTGCGATTTAGACGCACAATGATATGGGTCATCTATCGAAGGGATTTTCAGCATGATTTGGGTGAATATTTGAAGTTCCGGATGGCTTACACAGACAGAGATCGTCCATTCGAAGTGGCATTTTGACAGATACACGGCCAGAGATGCGACCAGAGCGAGTGTATAGATCAGTCCAGTTTCCAAAAAAATTGCGGCCACTCGAGTGAGGAAATGTGTGGGCGCGGAGCTAAATTCTGGTTTGACCGAGTAGAGTCGCCGGATAATCAAGACTACGGAAAATGTTAAGGCAGTGCCAAACATCGCCACACGGAGGAGTGCATACACGTTGTGGAAACACTTGTGATGAAAGTCGATACCACGGCCACCGAAAGCAAAGGGACAATTGTCGGATCATTCAAGTTCCGTCCTGGGGGCGAAATTATAAGGCCTGCAGAGGTTAGGCCGACAACTGCCATGCCAGGTGAGTGGAGGTCGTATGGCAAGAACGTAGACTGATACCAAGAATCATGAAGTAACTAACGAGGGGAACCGTAATCTTCTTCCAGTTGCGATCATGCAACAGAAAACATCGATAAATCTGTCAAGGTTGGATCAATCGCCTTTCTGGGATAGCACGTCTCACGAGAAGCGCGTCCCCGACGAAAATCTGAATCGCGTCGCTCAGGGCTATGATCCAGTTTTTCCACCCAGAAAGGTTCTTGAAGAACTGCAGCGGCCCGCCGGGACCGGTATACCCAACGAATCCCTCGATGACGGTTTGTACAGAGAACGCCGCAGCAAAAGTCGAGGTGAGAAACATAATGATAGTGGCCAGGAGCACCGGAATTTTGATGTCCCTTCGAGGTCGGAGCTCAAATCTCTTTTCTTGCTTGAAAAGCAGGGACGCGAGAGAGGGAAGGAATGTGGTTGTCAGTATACCTGTCCGGTGCTCTCATCAAGTACGACCGCACAATTCCCACCTGGACAAACTCACCATAGAGAATCGAGCCGAAGAACAGTCCGACCAAACGCTCTGTATGACGTTCGAAAGGGGCCATCAAGACAAGAAGAGGAAGAGATGAGAATATATTCTTGTCCTCTGTCAACGAGGTCTTATAATCCTAGACTTTGTGGAGCATCTATTAATTGGGGGGTCAAAGATTGATGGTGGTGGTGATGATCGTCGTAAATGATACGGGACCCTGAGATGCTACAATTCTTCTGGTTGGCTTCCCGCTCTGTGATGTAAGTCTTGACCGACACTTAGGCTCTCGAGCTAAGATAGATGAGGGTATTCAAATGAGAACATTCATATGCATGACATTCCCAACATGAGGCTTCTTTCTACGCACGGGAAGACGCTTCCAGGCACTCAGGTGGAATCAAAGCACTACATTGGGACTACCCTCGGCTTACAAGTCGGTCTACTGTCCGTGACGAAACAAAATACACTCTGGACGTGTATCCTTTCGATCAAGGTGAATAATAGGTTGCCCTTAGAAGGGTGCATGCGACTGACCGGGTAATCGCCGTGTTGACTAGTTGCCGGATAAGCGCAAGAGGCCAGAGTGCATAAGTTGAGCATCACAAAAGCGCGTGATATCATAGACGGCCTTCCGCGCCAGTGATAGATTACGTCATTCAGTTTCTCATTCGGTTTGCAGAGCACCAAGGCTCTGCTGAGATGAACGCATTCCTTATTTTGGATGTTTCCCTCGCCCACGCCTCGTCAATTCCTCGGGCCTGGAAACATCTCGTTTGCATGACCACATATTCAAATTTCGACTTGACCCCTCCAGACACTTGTTTTAGACAGGCAAATCACAAGGAAATATGCACGATGCGGCCGTGGTGAGATCTATGTGATTGTCATTGCACTTCCGGAATCGTGTGACTTACGTTACTGCAACTGATAGAAAATTTGCCTGTAATCAAAACACCGCAATCTATTCCCAAGCTCAATTTTTTAGTACCCAGGAATTGAACTTCTTTACAGTATCTTCATCCACGTGATTGATAAATCGCCAGACTGCATGTATGTCGTCTTTGGATAAATCTCCAGAATGCATGTATGTCTGGTAGCCGTAACACTATTGTAATCTTTTAATGTGTAGAAATTTGTGACCAACAAACGGATAGGATGCCATAACCGGGCACGATAGAAGTGGCCGATTTGGTCGATCAACGATTGCATCCAGTGCGGGTAAAATTTACCAAGTCTAGCGGTCAGGGCATAGCCCTGAGAGCGGAGAGGAAGGGGTTTCTCAAAGAGCTGGGGAGGACGATGCGAGTAGGTATCAAACGCGATCACGTGACCCCGCTCGTAGCGTGAGAGGGCGTGCGTGAATAGAAATTGGATCCCGGCTGCTGTCTCCCTCATACGCATTTTCGTTGATTTCGTCTACAGCGATCTTCAGGTTGGCATGCGATCGTACCCCGGCATACGATCGTACCCCCTTCACTCGGATCAACAATATATTCCACGTAATTGGCTGCAGTCAGGTTTTAGCTCGTCATTAGGGAAGCTGCATGCAATTTGAGACGCACAACAATATGGGTCATCTATCGAAGGAATTTTCAGCATGACGTGAGCAAACATATTAAACTCCAGATGGCTTACGCAGATGGAGACCGTCCATTCGAAGTGGCTTTTTGACAGGTACACGGCCAGAGATGCGACCAGAGGAATTGTGTAGATCAATCCTGACTCGAAAAAAATTGCGGCCACTCGAGTGAGGAAATGTGTGGGCGCGGAGCCAACTTCGGGTTTGACCGAGCAGAGTCGGCGGATAATCAGGACTACGGAAAATGTAAAAGCAGCGCCGAGCATCGCTACACGAAGCAGTACGTACACGTCGTGGAAACACTTGTGATAAAAGTCAATACCATGGCCACTGAAATCAGAGGGACAATTGATGGATCATTGAAGCTCCGTGCTGGGGACAAAATCATAAGGCCTGTAATGGTCAGGCCGACACCTGCCATGCCATGCCAGGTGAGTGGAGGTCGTATGGAAAGAATATAGACCGATACCAAAGATCATGAACCAGCTGATGAGGGGCACCACAATCTTCTTCCAGTTTCGGTCATGCAACACATAACATCGATAAATCTATCAAAGTTAAATCAATTGCTTTCTAGAATAGCGTGTCTCACAAGAAGTGCGTCCCCAACTGAAATCTGAAACCCGTCGCTCAGGGCTGTGGCCCAGTATTTCCACCCGGAAACGTCCTTGAAGAACTGAAGCGGCCCACCCGGACCGTTATACCGAACGAATCCTTCGATGACAGTTTGTACGGAGAACACCGCAACACAGGTTGAGACAAGGAACATAATGATGGTGGCCAGGAGAACGGGAATTTTGATGTCCTTTCGAGGTCGAAGCTCGAATCTCTTTTCTTGCTTGAAAAGTAGGGACGCGAGAGAGGGAAGGAATGTGGTGGTTAGTATACCTGTCCAGTGCCCCATCAAGTACTACTGCACAATCTCCCTCCCAGACGAACTCACCATAGAGAATAGAGCCGAAGAACAGTCCGACCAAATGCTCTGTATCACTGTCAAAAGGGGCCATCCAGACAAGAATAGGAAGAGATGAGAGAATATGTTCTTGTCCTCTGTCCACACAAGGTCTTATAATCCTAGGCTTTGTGGAGCATCTGTCGATTGTGGGGTCAAAGATGGATGGTGGTGGTGATCATCATCGTAAATGATACGGGACCCTGAGATACTACAATCATTTGGGTGGCTTCCCGCTCTTTGATGTAGCTCTTGACCGATACTTAGACTCTCGAGCAAAAATAAATGAAAGTATACAAATGAGAACATTCATACTTGAGATGACATCCTCCACATCAGGATTCTTTCCACGCATGCGAAGACGCTTTCAGGGACCCAGGTGAAATCAAAAGGACCACAGCCAGACCATCTTCGGCTGCAAGTCGATCTACCGTCTGTGACGCCTCGACGTATATTTTTCGATCAAGGTGAATCATAGGTTATCCCTAGAAAGACACATGCGAGCAAACAGGCGATGACTGTGCTGACTATCTGTACGTCCAAGTGGCCGATAAATCTCCAGAATGTATACCTGGCTGGTAGCGGTAAAACTATGTTCATCGCTCGATTATCAGAGTTTCGTAACTAACAATCGACTTTCCTGTGTGAAACTGAACCATGGAAAATGTGTTCAATCAACGATTGTATCAAATACGGGCCAATGATCCCACCTGCTTGACGAGATGAGGTACGTGACTAGAAAATGAATCCCACTCGGTGTCTCACGGAGACGCTTTCTCATCGGATCTCCAGATCCGTTTTTGATTTAGCCCCGTGCACTCGGATCAGCAATGTATTCCATGTGATGGGCTGCGGTCAAGTTTCAGTTAGTGACCGGGGAATGTGGATGTGATTTGAGGCGCACGATGATGTGGGTCATCTTTGGGACGAACATTCAGCATGCTTGGAGCGAGAAGTACTATTGCAGGACGGCTTACGCAGAGAGACATTGCCCATTTGAAGTTATCTCGGGACAGATACACACCCAGAAATGCCACCAGAGCAAGAGTGTAGATCAATCCTGTTTCGAAAAAGATTGCGGCCACGCGAGTGAGGAAATGTGTTGGCACGGCGCCAACTTCTGGTTTGGCCGAGTGCAATCGCCGAATAATTAGGACTATCGAAATGTTGAGCCAGCGCCAAGCATCACAAAAGGAATCAGAGCATACACGTCGTGGAGACACTCGTGATGAAAGTCGAAACCATGGCCCCTGAAATCAGAGGGACAATGATCGGATCGTTTAACCTCCGTCCTCGAAGTATCATCACCAAACCCGCAGTAGTAAGGCCGACCACTGCGGTGCCATGCCGAGTGAGCAGAGGTCTTACGGCAGGAACGTAGAATGCTACCAAGAATCATGAGGTAACTGACAAGGGGAACCACAATCTTCTTCCAATTGCGATCATGCAACACGTAGCATCGATAAATCTCTCAAAGCTCGTTGAAACAGCGATCGCGTCTATCGGATAACACAACTCACTAGAAGTGCATCCCCAACCAACATCTGAATTGCGTCGCTTAGCGCTATGATCCAGTTCTCCCACCCGGAAACGTCATTGAAGTACTGGAGCGGCCCGCCGGGACCGGTATACTCGACGAATCCTTTAATGACCAGTTGGATGGAGAGCCCCGCGGCAGAGGTTGATACGAGGAACATAGTTATAGTGGCCAGAAGAATGGGAATTTTGATATCCCTTCGAGGTCGGAGCTCAAATCTCTTGTCTTGTTTGAGAAGAAGTGACGCGAGGGACGGACAGAATGTGGTCAGTAATATACCTGTCCGGCGTTCTCATCAAGTACGACCGCACAAATTACACCTGGACAAACATACCATAGAGAACAGAGCCGAAGAACAGACCGACCAAACGCTCCGTATGAGGTTCAAGAGGGGCCATCAAGGCGAGATGAGAAGAGAATATGTTCTAGCCCGAGTTCACACCACGTCTTTTATGATCTGTTGATCGTGCGGTCAAAGATAGATTTCGGTGTCGGTCGTATGGTATCCAGGACTCTGGGATGCTGCAATGTCTGTGTTGGCTTCCCGCTCTGTGATGTAAGCCTTGACCGACGTTTAGGGTCTCGAGCAGAGATGGACGAAAGTGTTCAGATGAAAACATTGATATACATGACATCCGAATCATAGGGTGCATGCGACCAACAGAGATGGAATCCGCCCGTCACTAAGTCCGGGGGAGCCACTTCATACCAGAGACAATTCACCAAAACTCCCTCCTGGAGAACGACCATCCCTTGGGCTGACGTTTAGCTTGGCCCTTCATGGACCTAGAGCGTGGATTAGATCGCTCAGTGATGATCCGTTGGAGCTGAGAGTTTCGTCGTTTTGGTCAAAGACTTGCGAAGAGGGCTTTGTAAGGGAGCGTGATCACATAGTCGACGGAGGATGATGGACATTTCGTGGAGTGCGATGAGCAGCGGTGGGCGAGAGGATCGCTACGACAGGGTACAATGGCAATACAGTCAGGAGATAGTAACCAGCGAGGCTACAGTCAAGAAAGTGTAAATATGTTGATAGGCCGGAGGACACAAAATGGGTCGGGCGGTCTACGAGCCGCAATCTGATCAGAGCGGGACTCTGCTGAGATTGTCAACATTCCGTGACAAGAGAAAGATACAGAGCGGCCTACTGCGCAGGAAGAGGCAAAGCCGTTTGAAATAGGCAACAGCCAGCCACCAAAAGCGGGGACATCCCGTACAGATCTCAAACAAGCCTGCGTCTCTTGTTTTTGCTCACGGCTGGCGTGTGCCTGCCCTTCACGCACCCGTTGGCGTCTCCTGCAGCCTCGCAACAGCTCCAATCGAAGTTCTCCGGATACTCCTCTTGATTCTCGTCCGTATCCATGGGCCCATGACAGCGTTCATCCCAGTCCGGGAAGCGCTCCTCGACGGCTTCCATTTCGCCTGGGAACGTGGTCAGATCTAGTCCAGCACATGCAGCCACGCAAGCCACGGCAACGCACCGGGGTGAAACACACACACGTCCTGCGCGGCAGTGTTCACGTCATACGACTCCCCGCAGTTCTCGCACGTCTCCCAACGCGGCAGGACGCGGACGGTGCTTGCAGGGGGCTCAGGCGCACTGGTTCCGACGACAAGCAGTTCCCTCGCCAAAGCGCTGTAGACTGCGGCGTCAGAGTCGATAAGTCGTACCAGCGTCTGGCGTAGGCGATGTTCAGGGGTGGATTGGATTGCCCCGCGTAGCTGGGCGCGATAGTTGGCGCCATCGGGGAGCGGAAAAGGCACAGGATGGGTGCGGTCATGACCTTCTTCCTCTGGGACATCGTCCTCCACGAGTCCTTCGTCGGGGTCGGGTTCGCTGGGTTCGCCAGTGAGGTCGATGATCTCGACTTCTGGGGCCATGTCTGCATCCGCGGACATGGACATGGGGTGCTTGGGTGGCTCGAGTATAAAAGAGAGTGAGAGTGGATGAAAGGAAGTCGAGAAGTCCTCCGGGGCTAAGTCCGTTCAACTGAAATTGCTCATTCGCGAGGGAGAAGCTCAAGGGTCCGAGTCGGATTCGAAAAACGTCCCACTCCGTCACGTGGCGTAACGCGCTGACCACGGTCACGCCTTTTCACTACCAGGAGGGGATTTGATTCGGGCTTCAATCTTCGACCTTCAAGTTTGGCATACTGGGATGATTCTCCGACCATCCATCCAGGGTAAATGCAACATCTTACTGGTGTTACATGAGACTTGCGATCGAGTCGGAGAGGATCCGGCGACTTTTGGCAGGGCGACATGCTACGGCAAAGAGAATGGCCGCAATGTTGCGGTTCTGATCCTTCTCGTCAAAACTGGACAAATGAGTCCTTTTCGCCGGGCTCGCACCGCCTGTGAGCTGACCGATCACTTCATTCGAATCCCTCGCTGACTGCTTTCCAGAACGCCTGACCATATAATCACAACCGCTCGGGACTCCTTGTTTCCACGCGCCGACTTCGAGAGCATACACTTACTTTTCGAAGGCTGGAGTCGAGAATTCAGCCATTGGGCCGGAGCTGGACCAGGTCCACCGATCCGACCCCCCCCGAAAGAATGATCGCTGATTTCGAGTGGTTCGCGAGATTCCTCGCGTTTTGTTCCAGCTCAGCCGCCTTCTGACCTTCCGGGATGACATCGCTAAATCTTACAGCATCCTCCCAGGCATACATAAACCCACACCCTGAGCTGATGAGGCTTAGCCCTCCCGGCTCCCCTCCCTTCCCATCCTCACGACCACCGACGACGACCAGTACCATGCTTCATGAACAAATTCCAACCGAAGAAACGACTTTGCTCCGCAAAGAAAAGAAACGCACCCCGCTTCCCAAACTGCAGCTCGCCATCATCCTCCTCATACAAATTTGCGAGCCACTCGCCAGCTCGTCTATATATCCCTACATCAACCAAGTACGCTTTCATGCTTTCCTGAAGTCTCGCGAGGGTCATTCTCAACTACTGCACACAGCTCGTCAGTGAGCTGGACATCACGGGGGGAGACGAGAAGAAAGTGGGGTACTATGCGTGAGTGCCTGGAGCTCGGCCTGTGTCTAACCGTGTCTTATCTCTTTGACAGTGGGATGGTGAGCACTTCTGTGCACAAGGAAGTGCGGGCTGACGAGAACTTCGGCGTTTCTTCGACATAGATTGTAAGCGCTCTTCCGCCTCGTGTGGGGGAAATCTTCTGATACCGGTGATCAGGAATCTCTGTTCTTTCTGGCAGAAGCGATGACTGTCCTACAGTGGAGTCGTGCGTCGGATCACGTAGGTCGGAAACCTATTCTCCTCATCGGCTTTCTCGGCTCTGCCATCTCCATTCTGTGTTTCGGTCTGTCGCGGACATTCTGGGGTTTGGTGATCAGGTTCGCCAAGTTTGCAAGGGCCGCTCTAGACTCGTATGCTCATTAGATCTCCCATCAGCCGTTCGCTATGTGGCCTACTCAACGGGAACATCGGCAAGTTAATTTAAAACAGGCGCGTGCCTTCGCGATCGCGCTAAACTTCTTCCAGGAGTTATGAAGAGTGCCGTCGGGGATATGACGGATCGGACCAATCGTGCTGATGCCTATGTTTTCATCCCTAGTGCGTTCTCTCGATTCGTCGTGCGGCGCTGACTGACTGTATCCCAAGTCGTCTGGGCACTAGGCGTGAGCATCTGATCCCAGCTTTACCGACATGAATACAGTTCCTGAGAAGATTTATGTTTAGGCTTCTGGAGGTCCGCTTATCGGCGGAACACTCACCAAGCCTCATGACCGCTTCCCGCATCTGTTTACATCCAGATTCTGGGTCGAATATCCGTACTTCCTGCCGTGCCTGGTGACTGGCGGGGCAGTGCTGGTGTCCTGGTTTATCGTGCTGGCCCTATTCAAGGAGGTGGGTTCACGAGCTCCTCGAGCTCCACACAGATTGCCTCAGCCCCAAGTTCGCAGACACTCCATCGAGAGCCCCACTTTGTTACCGAATCCGGCGCCCCTCCCAAACGACGGGGCCCTCGGCCTCTTCGAGAGCTTCTTGTGTTCCCCGTCGTCGTTTCGGTTTCGAATTACGTCTCCCTGGGATTCCTCAACACCACATTTCAAGCATTGCTTCCACTGTTCCTGGCAATGCCACGTGACATCTGCGGACTGGGTCTCCCTCCGTCCAAGATCGGCGTGATTCTCGCCTCGTATGGTTTTGTGACGGGGATTTTCCAATTTTGCTTCTTTGCTAGGCTGGCCAGACGATTCGGGGAGCGCACGATCTTCATCGCCGGCATGATGACGTTGCCGTTGATGTTCTTCCTCCTGCCAGTCATCAGTCTACAGGCCGTGCGATACGGATTGAACACCGTCACGTGGATTCTGCTGGCCTTGCTGCTGTCACTGGCTGCAATGAACGATCTATCATTCAGTGAGTCTCTGATTCATTGAGTCGCTGGGTATTATTTAACGCGAAACAGGTTCCATTTTCATTTTCATGACGTCGTCTGCTCCCAAATCGAGTCGTGGCAGCGTCATGGGCATGGCTCAGACCACGGTTGCTCTCGCACGTGCCGTCGGCCCGGCCATGTCGACTTCCCTGTTCTCCCTCTCCGTGCAGCACAACCTGCTCGGCGGGTACTTTGTGTACTTTGTGTGCATGTCGCTTGCCTGCTCGGCTCTCATACTTGCGAAAAAATTACCAGAGGAGGTATGGGAGGACGTTGAATAGACCATGTCGATACGCGACATTTCTTTGGGTTTGGGATTGAAATAAAAATATGGAGATGGATTTAGATGATCCGGTCTTATTTGGAATAGTTGTCCGCTCCCTGAGTCGTGTGCCACGCTCCTGGTTTAAAAAAATGCGCCACCATCTGACCCTCATCGATATGAAGGATTGCGAACTTGATCATCCAGCCATCAATCACTAGAAAGCGTCGGCTCTGCCGACAGAATGCCTTGCTACTCAACACAAAGATTGCAAAAATATCAACAAAGACATTGGTCATAATTAAGCCCCAGCAGCCCTCGTCCTTTTCTTCTTTGGGCTATCATCCATATCAGGTGCAGCTGGCCAACACTTCTTTGGGCTGGGCAGCAGTGCAATCTGAGACTTGATGACATATATCTTGACAATGTCTGCAACAAACATGTCCTCTTTCTGGCTTGTGAATGAGTAGTGGGTCATAGTGAAAGTGACTGCAACAGAAGCACTGGGGAGCTTTTTCATGTAATCCTATGGTGCGATGATTCTGCCCTCAAAATCATACATACAAAGATGATCAACCACATATTTGCCTCGATAGAGCAAAGCCGGTCACAAATGTCAAATTCGCATGCACAGCTAACATGCAGATGTGCGTAACTGGCAAGATTGATCAGAACGGATCAGAGGCCGGATCAGGTTCATCAAATTTTTATGATTTTACGTAATTAAGGGTCTGGAGAAGCCTTGACAAGCAAGGCAATTTGCCGTGCCCAATTTCCTTTTTGGCGCATGAGGCGTCGTGCCCACGACGGCTGACTCAGCACACGACCCAGTCAGGGCTCATCCGCAACGCACCACCATCCGTGAACCCGCTCTCCCCATGTCCGCCTTTAGCAACCTCATCACATCCAAATTCCTCCACTCCCGCGGCGACCGTTCCGGCGCCGTGCCACCCGAATCGCTCCCGCATGTCCCGACGCTGCGACAATACCTCGAGGCGCTCCCTACGGCGCGGATGTTCGACTTCGACGCGCTGGCGCGCGCGGATGTGCTCCAGGCGCTGTATTCCGCGTTCTGGGGCAGCCATGCTGACCTGTTTCTCCCCTCGGGGATGACGCAGGCGAACTCGATGTTGAGTGAGCTGCAGCTGGATGCGGGATTCTATGGGATGGGCAAGGAGGCGGGAGAGTGGGATGGGAGGGGTGGGCAGGTCGTTCCCGGACGGCCTTGTAGTCATGTTTTCAAGAAGGGAGAGAGTTGTTTTCGATGCAAGTGAGTCGCCGATCGTCCCTTTCTCCTCCTGCGTCTGCGTCCAGCCGACCATTCTCCATCATCCTGCACCCCTGGAGACGCATTTAATCGACTTGAATCTGACTGTCTCTTACTCACAGGGACTGCACGCTCGACGACAGTTGCGTCCTCTGCGCGCGTTGCTTTCACGCGACCGACCACGACGGGCACAACGTGAGCTTCTTCATCGCCCAACAGCCCGGCGGATGCTGCGATTGCGGGGACGAGGAAGCTTGGCGGCGTCCGATATCCTGTCCATTCCACCCCACGGACCCTTCGAATCACGCCTCCCCTCCATCTATCCCCACATCGCCGATCCCCGACGACGTGCCGCCCGTCGCCGACTATCCACATCGCATGCCCATTCCCCAAAATCTCCGCGACAGCATGAGCCGCACGGTCGGCTACGCGTTGGATGTCATTCTCGATACCCTCGCCTTGTCGCCGGAGGAACCAATAGCGCCTGCCAACGAAGAGGAGCTGAGGAAGCAGCCGTCCGCGGATCCTGGGACTCGGGATCACTTCTGTGTGGTTCTATGGAACGACGACAAGCACTCGTTCGAGGAGGTCGCGAAGCTGCTGGCGGAGCTAACGGGGGTGTCGCACGCGACGGGAATGAAGCTTGCGAGGGAGGTGGACGAGCAGGGCAGAGCAGTGGTGATTACGAGCACCGATGCCGCACACTTGATGGCGGTCGCGCAGGCACTGACGCACATCGATCTGGGCGTGACCGTGCGGAGAGCGTACGACACTTTCCGGGAACAAATTGTCGCCACGATCATCGAGTGGTTACTGGACCTGACGAGGAGCCAACTTGGATCGGATGCGCTGGTCCTGCGAGAGGTCATTGCCAAGGAGCTGTTGTCCCCGACCAGAACGCGATACCACGAAGCTCGTGTTCGGCTGGATTGCCTGTTCTTGGATCATACAAGGCTTTGGAAGCGTCCACGACTCAGTCTGAAGGAGATGTACGCGTCTATTCTTTCTTTGAGTCGCGATCACAAGCTAGCTATTGGTGTGTGTGGGATTTTCATATCTCTATCGGCGCCACTAAGAAACTTCCAGCGGGCCACTTCGCGTCCGTCTATCCGTCGATTCTCTCGACCTATCTCCTCGTCGACCGTGAAGCCGAGACCTCCATCAAGTATCTCGCACTGCAGCTCTTCACTGTGCCTTCCGCGGCGGCCCACGTTGTCCGCAACCATGATTTGGTCGCGCGCGTCTTGGCTCTCGTCCGCGCTTTCTTCCAAAACCGAATCGAGGACCGGCGAGTGATCCTCGACGACGATCCGGATCTATGGTCTTTATCAGTGCCCGCGCTCGACCCCGACTCGTTCCCCTTCAAATCCAAGCGTTTCATGCCGATTTTCAGCGATCTGCGGCATCTCCTCGGATCCGCAGGTGTGCGCGCGCTTGTGGCCGAGGGCGGTCCCGTTGGCTCGTCGCCGCCGTTCGACTCGCCGACGCCGGGCTCGGCCTTGCTTCCCCATTTCGCCGCCACGTGTGCCCTATTTGTCGGCATGCACCCGAACCGGAGAGCCGCGCGGGCTCATGTCGAATACGAGACTGAGGCGTGGATCAGTGTGTTTAACGTTGCGCTGTCCCTGGGGCGCGTGGTGAAGGCGGTGGGGAGCGCATTCAGCGATGCCTCTTCGGCGCAGCTCGTCAGTGCGATCTCGGTGGTGCTGGAGTGGATCGCGCGCGTCGGCGTGAAAGACGAGGACCCGGTCGAGTACCACTTGGTTATCTTCGGCCGCGACGAGTCGTATGAGGTCGTGGATTTCGACGTTTCGGCCGGGGCGGTCAGTTTCCACCATGCGCTGCATTGGCTGTTTGCGGAACTGTGTCGGCACGTCGGGCTCCTGGACAATCTGAAGCAGGTTGTTCGTGGGGCGCTAGCTGGGGAGTATCGACAGTCCGTACGCGATGTGGACCGAGCTGTGCTCCGTTTGGTCGACTTTCCCCTCCGAGGTGCATGACATCCTTCATGGCTTGATTCACATCTGACTAGTTCTGCAGTCCTGGCTATGATCGCACAGATTCGGACTGGATTGTGGGTCCGAAACGGATTTGTGATTCGTGGACAACTGCTGCATTATCGGGATTTCATGCTGCGCGAGCTGTGCTACGACCAGGACCTGTTTGTTGTACAGACTGCGCTCGTGCTCATGGACCCAGATACGGTTTTGGCCAGCATCCTCGATCGATTCGGCGTCATCGGATACTTTGGTGGCCGGGCTGAAGGCGACGAGGATGTGCTCCCGGAGCTAATGCACCCGGTGTACGAATCTGTGCAACTTGCCGGGATGGTGGAAGAGCTGCTGTATGTTCTGATCGCGATCCTCAGCGAGGCCTCTGCTGCGGGAGGGATCCCCATTGAAGTCGCCGTCCGCCGGGAGATCGTACATGCCCTCGCCGTCGGGCCCTGTCCTTTCACGGATCTGGTCAAGCGGGTGGCCGAGCGACTGGTCGACGATGTGTCTTTCGAGCGAGTGCTCGACGAGGTCGCCACGTTCCGCATCCCGGAGAATGTGGCTGATACGGGCAGCTACGAGCTCAAGGACGCGTCGTTCGACGAGGTGGATCCGTTTTTCTTCCACTACACGCGCAATCGGCGGGAGGAAGTCGAGGCCATTCTCCTGACTCGGCTGCGCAGGAAGACGGGTGCGACTGATCCTGTGATCGTGCCTCGGCCGTTGGGCATCGAGTATGGCCCGTTCAAAGATGTGCTGTCGCGCTGCTTCGAGAGCCGGTTTCTGTTGCGGATCCTGTTCTACTCTGTGCACAATGTTCTGATCCAAACCGACGCGACGAGCACTCCTCCGTCGGCCGAAGCCATACTCGATCAGGCGCTGCACTTGATTATGCAGGCTCTCGTCGAGCGCCCAGAGACGTTCAGCCACCTCGCCGTCGCGGTCACATTCGACAACATCTACACTATGTTGGGTGCTGTTTGTGCTCTGGAGAGTCACGACAAGTACAAGACGTACCATGCCAGGGCTGGGTGGATCCTGGATCGTGTTGCTGTGCACCAGCCAGCGGCAGTGGATGCCAAACGCCAGATTCGGGCCGGCGCCGGTCCAGATGCAGCCGCAGAGGCCAAGAAACGGGCCGCACGGGCGAGACAGGAGGCGATCATGCGCCAGATGAAAGCACAGCAAGCCAGCTTCGCGGTCAACTTCGAGGATGATGTCGATGACGACGACGGGGACACGACGATGGATGACGATGACACGGCGGAGGAGCAGAGTTTCGGGGCGTGCATCGTCTGTCAGGAGGATCTCGCCGGGCGGCCGTTTGGGAGTCTGGGCCTGGTCCAGCCGAGCCGGTTCATTCGCCGCCATCCGGACAGCCACAACAGCTATCTGAACGAGGTGCTGCAGACGCCGTCGTCGCTGGACCGAAGCATCCCGCGCGACACCAAGTTTCCGCCCCAAGACACGACGAAAACGCCGCTGGATGGATTTCCGGCGCAGTTCACGCGGTTTGGGCTGCACGCCTCGGTGTGCACGCATATGATGCACTTGGACTGCTTCCACACGTACAATATCTCCATTCGGCAGCGACATCGGAGCCAGGCGACGCGCAACCAGCCAGAGAGCATCAGCCGCAAGGAGTTCGTGTGTCCGCTCTGCAAGAGTCTCGGCAACGTCATCCTCCCGGTGTCTCGCCCGTCGAAGAGCGTGACGCTCGTGCAGGTGCCGTTCCCTGACTGGATCCGGGCCGCGGGGATCAGCATCCTGAAGAGCAGGCCAGATCCGCTGCTGGACTCGCTTCAGTTCCGGAACGGCACAGGCGAGTTCGTCTTCTGGAGTGCCCAGGATCCTGGATACAGCCCGGGCACCAAGATGGTCGACACTGTGATGAACGCGGCCAAGTCCGTGTCGCAGCACACGAGGCATTTGCGCGACCGGCCGGAGCCGGAGATGGGCGAGAGGGGAGCCGGGATTTATCTGCCGGAAGAGCTGGTCGGATACACGCTGTGCGCGCTGGATGTGGCCCAGCGCGGCGGAGACGTTGCTGTCTCTGATGCGCAGATGGGGATGGTGCGTGGTCTGTTGGTGTGTCTCACCAGGCTCGCCGGGCAGCACTTCAAATCTCGGGGCGATGAAGGCCGGGAGGGAATCAAACAGGCCATCATCAAGCGTCTGTTGCCGGAGTGGAGCAGGACCTCGCTCACCTCCTTCTCGTACCCCCTCCTTCTGCGCGATCCGCTCACGATTCTCGTCGAGACTGCGTCGGTCGCGCCCGAAATCCTGCGCCACGTGCTGATTCTGGCGTACTATGCGTGTTTGGCGAGGACCGTGATCGGGCTGGTGTATGTGCTGAACAAGTCGCGGAGCCATGCGACGACCCCGATCGTCAAACGGATGCATCAGGATATCTTTGGGGACGTGCGCATGTTCTTTATGTCGGTCGTGCGGCATTCCCCGGTGTTCGAACATACGGCCACGCTCGTTTTCGAGACGTTCGGCGAGGCCCGCATCGAGAAGCTGCTGTATGCGTTCACGCTGCCGTTCCTGCGGCGGGCTGCGATTCTGTGCCAATCCGTGCTTCCCGCATCGTTCTCTGTTACGGGGAATCCAGCGGACTGCGAGTACAACCGTCTGCTGGCGATGCTGGACATCCCGCCGCTCTCCGAGCTGCCGAAACAGGACACGCTGCAGAACGCGCTGTCTGGCTGGTGCGCGCACTACGGGCACTCCCACGCGGCGTCGCAGCTCAACTGCGGCGTGGTCCTCGACTTCCCCGGCATCTATCGGCTGGCGCGGCTCCCGGTCGTGCTGGACAACCTGTTCGGGGCGCAGGACAAGGCGCTGACGTGCGCGCGGTGCTCGATGGTCCCCGCCGACGCGGCGATCTGCCTGCTGTGCGGGGCCACGGTGTGCTTCCAGAGCGACTGCTGCCGGGAGGAGAGCGACCCCGAGCGCGGCGAGTGCAACCTCCACTTGCGGGAGTGCGGCGGCGCGGTCGGCGTGTACTTCTTGGTCAAGCGGTGCATGATGCTGTATCTGTATGGAAATTCCGGGACCTTCACGCCGCCGCCGTACCTGGACGCCCACGGCGAAGTCGATATCTCCATGCGGTGAGTTTGCCTCGTCGTTCATCCATTCGGTAGGGGGGGATCGCTGACTGGATCACAGCCGAGGCCGGAGACAATACATCCACTTTGCCAGATGGGAGGATGTCAGGAAGACGTGGCTCACGCACGGGATACCGACGCTGATCGCCCGCAAAATGGAGGCCGCCATGGATTCTGGCGGCTGGGAGACCTTTTGATGTATCATTTATCTTGAATCTTGTACTCGTAGACTGCGCAAAGAGTGTATCACCCTCACCTGCACTGCCCGTTTGACTGACTAACTACTGGTCTCCGGAAACGACTGCCACACCTAGTGTTTCGTGGTTGACCGATATGCTCCAAGAACTGAAACCATTTCACACGTCGATCACATGCGATATGTTGCCCGGGTTCGACACCAAGACGCAGAAGCGGCGTTCGTACTCGGGGCACTGAACAGGATCTCATCCTACATACTGATTGCAGGCTAGATGAATCGGAAATGACTCCCCCTGTTCACTCAGTCCCTTCGCTCCCCGTCACTCACAAGCGAGACAAAGGCGGTAAAAATGTCCTCGGGATGGAGTCGGTTCTGCATCTGTCCACGGAACAGCTCAGCATTTCTCTGGTGTGATTCGTGCTGATCTTCCGTCTGCGCCTCCAACAGAGCCGTGTCCAGGACGCGCAATGCATCCACATTGGCCATCCACCCGTAGTGCCGATTGACGGCATAGAAAAGCACCCAAAAGAGCGCATGATCATCCGCAAAACAGTCCCTGGGATATCTGCGGATGAACCCGGAGGCGGCGCGGGCGAATCGACGTTGCAGTCTAGTCGGGATCACCGCAGACATGCGGGTGAATGCGTGCACCAATTTGAGCGTCTCCAAGTCCCTGTCGTGCTCCGTTCGACCCGGACTCCGGGCTGCAGTACACTGCTCGAGGAGCGTGGTCCACATGCACACACGCGCACAGTCGTAAATTTGCTGTGCCGATGCCTGCTCCGTCCGTTTATCGTTGTCCAGGCCGAGCACGGAGCGGAACCATTGCGCATCATCGAAGATACTCAGCCATCGCTCCCATTCCGACAAATCCCTGAGCCCAAAACATTTGAGCACGACGGACTGGACGATGGCAGCCAAACGGTGTGTGCGGACGGCCGCCGCTTCAGCGCGCAGAGTGCGCAGGACCCGAAGATGGGTCTCAAAGTCATTCGGTGGCCCATCGGACTCGAGCAATCTCCGATAAATCAGCTGGAGCGCGTCGACGGATTCCTGTGGGTTGTCTCGGTACTTCAAGTTCTTGCATATCTTATGGCACAGGAATCGGGTGTAATGATGCTTAGAGTCGAATTCCGGGTCGGAGGTGGCGAGGGACGGATGGCGGACAAGGAACGGCCCAAGACCCCACAGCGGCCAATGGGGATACTTCGATATCTGGGCGAACGGGCTGATCATCAGGCGAGCAGCAAACACGACGTTGTCCGCTCTCTCGCCCGCCGTCTTGTACAACGCCGAATCGATCAGCTTTTCGAGAGCGTGATGCAGGGTTCTATAGTCGTACACTTTTGTGGAGTGCGGTTGATTGGTCGCATCCCGCTGGAAGCCGGCAGCGCATTTGGAAAGCACCACCAGATAATCCGCGTACGCCGCTTGCCGTTGCTCCTCCCCTGCGGCACGGATCTCACCGGCGGAGTCGCTGGGGGGCGTAGCAGCCTGTTCCCGGCTCCGAGACTCGAGCATGTTCAGACGGATCAGGGCGGACACGTCAGGGATCATGCTCTGCACGTCGTCAGAGTCAATAAACTTCGAGCTGAGCAGCGCTTGCTCGGCGCCGGCTTCTCCGATGGGACTATGCAGAGGCGACCCCGTGTGGAGAGCGAACGCGCAGGTGGCCCAGATGGCCCGGAGCACGGAGATCTGGCGGCGGACGCGGTCCCTGCGCTCGAGCAGATTGCTGTTGGAGCCAGCCATGAAGTCGGCAAGACGCCGGCCGAGATGGACTTCCGGATCCTGCAACAAGCTCAGGAACTGCGCCCGGTAGATGCTGCGAGGCTTGTTTTTATCGAAATCCCACAGCGTCTGGGGGAGCCCCTCCACAAACGGCTCAAGCTCCCGATCGTCAGAGAGCGAGCGCACGGTCCACGCAAGGGCCCGCGTCTCCGTCTCGACAGTGGATTGCAGGGCTTCTGATCTCAGGGCGTCCACCATGCTCTGGGACTGCGGACCAGTGTCTGCAGGGGCTGAAGGTCCGGCAGAGCCCCGGGAGTTCGTCGCAGTAGATCGGGCAGCTTTTTCGGCGTCCGTCGCAGGGGCTCTCCTCCAAACAGCCGCTGCCCTTTGGGTACAGGAAACAGCCGCTGCTCTTCGGATATAAGCCCTCAGCGCGCTTCCAAAGTTCTGGTTCAGCGACCAGAGGATCCGTGTGAGGGGTGTCTGGTACGGACAGTCGAAGAAGAGCAGTGGAAGTGCGGTGAATGTCCCGTAGACTGCGACAAAGAGGAACAGCAGAGCAGATGTCACGGCGAAGATGACGACGTTGACGGGCACCAGAAAGGCCACCAGACCCGCAAAGAACAGAACCAGCGACGCGTGCAGGAGAAGCGGGGGAACGCCAACAACGAGATGCATATTGAAGCGGCGCAAGCCGTAGTAAAGATACATGTACACGCGCGACCGGATCGAGATGGAGGAGAACATGGTAGTCCGGTGCTGGTACTCCCGGGCCCACTGCTTGACGAGTGTCGCGACGAGGGCACTCGACAAGCTCAGCGCGAGGCTGGTGAACCACGGTACGTTGCATATGATAGACGAGATCGGGGGCGAGAAGGGAGCGGCGGGAGGGAGTGCGTCCGTCACCGCTGTGCCGTTGTCCATGTTCGCCAGCTGGTGCGATATCTGGCTGAGGAGTGCAACGGTCTGGCTGAGCAGCACGACAGTCTGGCTGCCCGAGTCGGGATTCAGCGTTTTGTAGCTGTCAATGATGAATGTGGTGACGACTCCCGAGAAGAGACCGGCCTAGAGAGTCCAGTCTAGAGAGGAAGAGGGATTGAAAACGGAAGGGGGGGGGACGCACAAAGATCAGCAGACCATCCATCTCACTGCGCCAGCCATCGATGAGACCCTGATCGTAGTTTTGCGCCTCCGAGATGTAGACGCTCCAGAGCTTGTTCCCGCTCGCCCTCTCGCGCTCGAAGTGTGCTTCGTCGGCGTGTGCTTCGTCGGCATGTGATCCGTCGGTCTGTGATTCGTCGGACTGCGATTCGTCGGACTGCGATTCGTTGGACTGCGACTCGTCGGTCTGGAATTCGTCAGACTGTGATTTTTCGACCTCTCCTTTGTCAGCCTGCTCTTCGTCAGCTCGAGACATGGTCAACGGCAGAAAGTAAAGGACTCTACCTCGTGTTCGTGCAGTGGCTCTCCATACATGCACACTGCCTCACTGGAACGATGCCAAGGCTCACAGCCACCAAGCGCCCAGGGTATGGCAGCCCATCGGCGCTTCTAGGAGATGGACAGATGGCATCAACAAGCCCTGGTGAGACAGAACCGGCCCAGGAGGCGCATGTGGGTCCATTATCCACCGTGTAATCTCGGTGAGCAGATGGGAGGTAGTCGAATTCCAACGAGAAACATAGTTTGAAAGAGGAAGAATAGATTCAGATAGGCCCGTTGTACTGGTCACACGCAATGTAATGTGATCGACCCGGGTCTCTCGCAGCTTTTTCTCCAAGTTGCACTTTGATAGCCAATACGATGTTTTGTCAGGCAGTCCAGAGCTCCGATCTGACTAACCTCGGCGGACATGGCTCTCCCCATGGTACATGGTCCTTGCACGCTCTATAGCAACAACAGATAGAATGACGTTCTCCACCGTGGATGCAGTCCTCAGAGTGATGCAGTCCGCATCGAATTCAAACTGGTTGTTCATAAGCGCGTTTCTCTTCACATCACACTTGTCACGAATCTCCACTGTCTCATCACGCGCCGCACAATGTCAAGTCAGGTGATCGCGTTTGATGCTATCGTTGATCGATTGATTCTTTGCTGAAACATATTTCTGCTGTGCCTTCTACAAATTCCAAGTGCTCTAAGCTGTGTAAGGTCAAAACCATCGATCGCAGATTTCCATACTCTCTGAGCGAACCCCGAAATTCCGGATTACCTCGGCTCGTGACACTGTATCTGTGCGAGAATAGACAACAGCAGCCCGGGCCTCAATTGTTTCGCTTGGGCCAGATTGACCGAGTTGGTCTATGATGGTGCGCGATCGGAATTATCCACGTAACAAGGCCCCAGAAAACGATTGTATGGAAAGTTATTGTCGTGTAAATACCGCCGCCCGCGCCGCGCCTACTGCGCCATCGCCGAAGCTTCTCTCACCTTTCCAGATGCAGGTGCACACCGTACGCTTAGTTGCGCTATTCGTTAACGCAATTCTCTATGGTACGACTCGACGGTCGGATATCCCCATTCGCTGCTCAAGATCACGCAGGCATTCTCGTCACCACCTTCGACCCGTGTTTGAACAGCTTTGCGTGGATCTCCCGGCGAGAGAGGCCGCACCGGAGGATTGGCAGACGGAAAGAGATCAAGCTGCCGATTCTGCTCGCCTCCATATCGATGTTCCTCATCGCGACCTTCTCGACTGCGCTCTCGCTCCGCAATGTTCTCGATGCGTTCATCTCATGGATTTCGCCGGGGAGGGCGGGGCGTTGGAGTTCTATCGGCGCCATGACGTCGGCTGCCAGACGCATTGAATGTTGGCAGTGGAGGACACGGCTCAGGTCGCATGGGGTGATGCGTTGCTTGTATGTTGCCGACTCCTCGGAACCTTCGCGCCTGATTCTCTTTCTCCAGATCTACCGATGTTACGTGTTGTACGACAGAAACTTTCGCAAGGTTCTCGTACCATTCATAAGTTACTTGACGCTGGTCGGTCAGAAATACTTTTTGCAAGTGGACGAAGGAAAATTACTGATCTCCCGTGGCCAGTTGCGACTGCGCTCAGCACCTATCTCGAAATTAGTCTCCCGCCGACAAGACCTTGAATGATTCTTCGGTGCTACCTTACCTCGCAACCAGTCTCGGTCTGATGTTTTTTTATGTGAGTGGTTGCTAGTCCTGTTTTTCTGGCTATGAGCACTGAGTCCAGCTTCATAGATCTTATTGTCAGAAGGCTGATCCAGATGGACCACGACTCCGCACGTCCCTTGGCCAACGCTGGGTTGTTGCGGCCTCATTTCCTGACCCGGGTAGCTCAGATCTTCTTCGAGACCGGCTTGATCTACACGCTCTCCGTCGTGGTGTCTTTCATCCTGTATCTGAGTAGGAGTAGTCTGGAGTATGTTGCTTCTCTGTGGGTGCGTCCGGAAATTTATCACACAGACCAGATCCCGAGTGCTCACATGACTTGGTTCAGATCATTCAAATCATAGTGCGTTACCAAGTTGGACAGCGAAAACCGCAGCAATCCGAGATGAACCACACAGCATATTACCTGCAATCTGCTCCTGGTTCGTGTGCAGGGCATGGGGCATGAACGTCTGCCTTCCCGCTGCATAGATTTGGACGAGACCCTTCCGATAAAGCTCGTTTTCGAGCCATGACATGGACCGGAGACTTGACATTAACTTTTAATTATGCGCAGTTATTGCATCGCCTGTATTTTCAATGTCCCCCCTCTCATTTTTGTATATGTAATTCGGTTTTGCAACTAAGAATGTCTGACAACGGTCACCCATCGGCGGCAGTTGCTCGACGGTTTCCATGGTGCAGCGGTAGCACAGGAGTGACTTAGTCCGAAAAGGGAAACCCAAGTTCATGAGACGTTATGAGACGTAAGAAAATGACAAAGTTGTAGTTTATTCGAGAGTTGGATGGATGTGCGAGCCCTCTGACAGCTTATGCGGGAGCGGAACCTGGCCGTAAAACATGAGTACAAATCGGGCACCAGACAGACATGTTACGAACCGACGTTGCCGCAGCCACTGACCGCCGGCCAGAAGGACGCCTTCTCGCCGCTCAGGCAGCCTCCGTTCCAGAGCGGCGCACCATCCGAGCCGGACCAGGTGCTGCAGCTGACCTCCTTGAATGTGCCCTTCAGCGCACCGCGCGGGGGCGGGAAGAAGGCAGCCGCGCCTCCGGTGTCCGAGCAGATGTCGAAGCTGGATTGTGACACAGGTCAGCAGATGGCAGCAGCTGATGTGCGCGCGCGCGGAAGTACGTACTGGACAGGCGCGGAGAACTGGTTGAGCGGACGCGAGACGGACTGGTCGCAGAAGCCCTGTCGGAGTCGTGTCAGAGCGGCGCTCAGGGCGGATAGAGAGAGACACCCGACGCACCGTTCCGCCGGCGGTGTGCGGGCACATGTCCGTGACCTTGACCACGATGGACTTGCCGAACGGCCCCTTGAAGCCCGCGTCGTACGGGTCCGAGGTGGCGGTCAGCGCGAAGCAGCGGCCGCACGAGTCGCCTGCGCCCATGCCTGGCAGCGAGCCGAACGCAAGCTGGTTGATGGCCGCGGTGTAGCCAGACCCGGTCCGTCCGCAGGCCGGGGTCTTGCATCCGGAGTACACCGTGAACGTCGCGACTCCCGACGGCTTCTGGACGTAGCCCCCGGCGGCGAGGACCTGGAGGGGGGCCAGGAGGGAGAGGAGGAGGAGTGCTGCGCCGATCATGAGGTCTGGTTCGAGGAGAGTTCGAGTCCGGGGAAAACATCGCTGCTGCCTCGGTCTATTTAAGAGGAGTCGCTTGCAATAAGATCTCGGAGACTATAACAGCGATGGTGATCCGCTGGCCCAGACTGGTTGGCACCATATGCATACTCAGCAAACCGCCATCCGACCCTGCCCGAGTGTTTGGGAAGTACGCGGTGAGATGCGCACGGGAACGCGACATAGCGCGGGGAAGCTCACGCCTCGCCGCGCCTCGGATAATCAGAACGTCTGTGTTTGTTGTTAGTCGAGAGGCGAACGCCGAAAGCTCGACGTCCAACTTGAAATGGCAACCAGTACGTACGGAAAACCGGAAATAACTCCTAGGCGGCTCCGGACCCTTTCCAGTGTCCTACTTTCCACGCGGCGCATGATCATTGGAATTCGGAGGCGTCGAGGAGGAAGCGACATAAAGCATCGAGGTCGAAAATTGAGCAAGGTGCGAATGAGAGGGGTGGGCGGAAATCGGAAATACAGCAGTGGCTGCATGCAAGTGACTGATAGCCAGCCGTCTGGGTCGGATTCAGGCACCGGTGGACAGAGCAATCACCACGCGTGACGTGTTTCACGATCAGGTGATCAGCCTTACTTCTTTCATTCGCTGGACCCTCAACCTGCTCTACTCCAAGACATAGAGGGAAAGTCGCGAAACCGGCCCACTTGATACGTCCTCGGACATGGGTCACTGTCTATCTGTAGCGCACCGGCCATTTTTGTGTTGGTTGCGACGGTTCCAGGTTTTGGAGCCCGTTCCTCCAGCTGTCAATGTCTGTTCTATGAAATCTGCCACAATTGCATCTAGTTCTCCATGGAAATGATATATGCTTTGCTCCACATATTCCTCAGTTGCAATGCATTACAACAGGAGTTGGCATCAACGGCCATCACGACGTCGGGCCGACCCGATCATGATGGCATTGATCATGACATTGACATGAGCGCTGAATGCATCACTACCTTTCTTGCAGCCACACTCGTTCCCTACCTATCCTCCGCCTCCTTGTGGCGCCATGCCCCGAGAAAACAGCGACTCCGACGGTCGGTCGCTGACACCTGACATGGAGGACGGCTTCGCTTCTTCGCCCACACACGATCACCCGCATCCCCCGCGCCCCTCGTTCCACTCCCAACGCCAACACAAAGCGCACGAGGACCACCCTCCCCCGCTGGACCTCCGCCACACGCACATCCCTCCGCTCGATCGATTTCGCCAGGCCGCGCGCAAGGTCATCGCTCTGCACCGCGGGGTCGACACCGTGCAGCAACGCGGTGTCGGCATCGAGCCGGGCGTCGACCCCCGCTCCCCCGCCGCGGACGTCGAGTTCGAGCACCTGCGCGAGCGCTGTGTGATCGAGATCGCGGACTACTCCGCTGTGCGCAGCAGCTTCGGGCGGATGACGAACGCGGAGTTCGTCGAGCTCATGAACGACCCCGTCGCCAGCGAGCGCGAGCGGTGGGTCAAGGTGCGGTGGATCTCGATTGGCGGTGTGAGCTGGGATGTCATCAAGGCCGTGGCTATAAGATACAGTGGGTGTGCAGCCCTTGTGCCCCCACGTGCCCGAGCGCTGACGACCGGAGGGCAGACCTGAACCCGATGGCGCTGGAAGAGATCGTGAGATCGACCACGACCTCGACGGCGCGGTCGAAAGTGGACTACTTCTCCGAGCACCTGTTCCTGCGCATACTTTGCCACGAGCTGGGCAACGGCAATCCACTGAACGAGCTGCTCAACCATCCTACTGATACTACACTGGTCGATGGGAGCGTACCTACGAAAGGCGACGGGCGTCCGACATTAGGGGAGCGGCGCGTGACTGGGGAGCACAGACGGTTCAACGAAGCCGCGCTCAACATGCTGAAGAGCAGTGAGCGTGTCGATGTGCATGTGCTTCCGATGTACATCTTCCTCTTGCGAGATGGTGCGTCTATATTCTCCCAGGTCACAACCGGGCGCCATCTAATTCAGAAGAATAGGGACTGTTATCTCATTACATTCGGCGCCGAATTTGGATCTCACTCAATCCATAACGACGCGACTACGGCAGTTCAACTCCATGCTTCGGATGTCAGCCGATGCACCCCTGCTCGTGCAGAGTATTCTCAACATCATTGTACACAAGGCCCTGGAGGTGCGACGCCTGCGTGCGCTCTCGCATATCTACTGAGCGCTCCTAGGTCGTGCAAGCATACGAAGAGAAGATCCAACTGGCCGAGCACATGATCCTCAGCCGACCGACCATGGAGAGTGTCCGAAACATGCATGTCCTGAGCGCGGATCTGCTGCTCCACCGACGGACACTGGCGCCCATACAGGCGGTAGTCGGCACGCTGCGAAAGTACGACGTCGATCGGGCCGCTGCGCTCGTGGACACGTCCCAGCACCCCGATGAGGAGATCAAGGTGGAAGGCTACATGAGTCAGAAGGCCTTGACATATCTAGTGAGTGACTGGACTGAACTTTTGCTCGGTTTCAGGAGCCTGACGTGCTTTCATCCAAGGCAGACGTGAGCGACCACATCGACCATGTGATCACGCAACTGGAAGACATTGCTGGACGCGGGCAGAATCTCGTGGATTACACGTTCAGCGTAAGTGCTGCTAGCAACCCGCCGTTCTTCTGCTGAGATGGTCTTCGACAGATGACGTCGTATGACATGAACCAGGTTATGTAAGGCTCATCTCTGAAGTATCGCACCTGCGCTGTTGACTAGGGCGATTTTAGGCGACAATTGATGATCGTCTCGATCGTGTTCATGCCGTTCACGTTCCTCTGCGGCTACTTTGGCATGAACTTTGAGCACTTCTTCCCTCATGAAAGGCCTGACAAGTAGTGCGTTGGGATGACTCGCGTTTCCTTTCCCCAATCAACTGACCATCTATCCAGCTACTGGATCATCTCACTCCCCATCGCAACGGCCGTCATCTCCCTCTTCTTGTGGCCGGACATCAAGGGTGCCATCCATTATATGCGCAAGCGCGCGCTCGTCAATAACTCGCTAAGCGATCAGCGCAAGCTCAAGACTGATTGAGCGCGTGCATGGCCATGCGCATGTCTTTAGGAGGGTGTACTACTTATACTGTTGACATTCATTTATGGGTCTGGGTCCTGGGATCGTGGGACAGAGGGCAAGGTGCAGCCACGTTTTGTCCTCGCGGCACCCGTCCGTATCTCCTCCCGTACTCCAAGAGATAGATGGGATCGGCGAGAGAAGTTTCGCGGCCAAAATCAGTGGCGGCTGTGGGCGGTTGAGTGCTAGTTTCAGCTGTGCGTGCCCTTCCCAACGCCCGACGCGTTCTTTCCTGCTCGATCTCGTCTTCGCCCTTGCGTCCCGATAACGCTAGATGTGTGAGCGGCCCTGTATGGGCTGAGGCGCGCAATCGAGGATCTCAACCCTCATTGCACACCAAAATGCCAGCTGTCAGCCGTTTCAGTTTCGGTTTCGGTGCAGTGCGGCCCGGCTTGATGTGCACCATATTTCATGTCAAGAGCTGCAGCGGAGATCTACTGATTCTACTCCTAGGCTCGCTGCGAAGCGCAGGATGGGAGAATGCTGTCGCTAACGAGGCCACCTGGGACCGCTGTTGCATACCGCCGGATGCCATTTACGGTGGTGGGAGGTCTCGGCAAGTCCGCTTAGCTTTATGGGCGGGTCCTCCATCCTTGAGACGGGTGTGCTTTCACCAGCGATGTTCCTTGACTCCTATCAGATGGGAGAAATAGAGAGCATGGTCGACAAGCGAACGGAGATTGATCTCACTGGAGGGGGAGCAGTAGGCATATTTAACCTGTTTAGATGCAACAGTCAGCCAGCAGCACTTGCATCGTGCCTCGAATTGTGCCCATGTCTCACGAGATGTCCACCGAAGCTGCGGATGTTCCCCCACTGACCACTTGGGCCGAGCTCGAAGCCCTTGGGTGGAACAAGGCGGCCGTTTACAACGCCGTCAGCGCTCTCCGTCCCGGCACAATGTCCAGCGATGACCAAGTGCATCTGAACGACAGCTTCGCCAGCACTGTGAAGCCTCCGTCAGTTGACCTCCCACTGCTTTTTTGGCCGCGTTGATGTGAATTGCGACCATCCGCTCCAGCATCTCATCGCACAATACGACTATGGCTGTCAGAGCGACGCTGGACCCGGCTCGCACGGTCATCAAACACTCAGCCCGGACGCCGGTCGTGATGTTCGACTCGTCGGCGCCCGGCCATGAGCATTTCCCTGGGACATGGGACAAAGTGCTTGACGCGTCCGTCGAGGTCAGCCTCCCCGGTGCGTCGGTCCGCCCTCCCGCGGAAGACCAGAGTCCAACATATGCATATGTCCTTTCCCAGCCCGAATCACCGTCAGCAACCGGGTCGAGTTTCCCGACGTCGGGGGCGAGATCACCTTGACCACCGTCGCGGATGCACCGTATCCGCTTAAGGCGCACCAACCGTACCCGCAACGCAAGGATTTTGTCATCGAGTGCGTCCAGCCTGTTCCCGCGGAGGGGGTGCGAGCATCGGCGCAGCTGGACTGACTGGGCTGCAGTATCGCTGCCAACGAGCGCGTGACCATCGTCGGGACGCCAAAGGTCGTGGAGACCACCGAGATTTACACGCTTGTGCGTGCTTTGCTGGTTGCGGTGGCTTATTGACCGACGGGTGCGCGTGTTTTTTTTTATTATAGAAGTACGGTTTGACGAGGGATAGTCAGCTTGGAACTGAGTGGTTCACCTGATGCTGAGACGAAGCCCGTGATGACGCGCATATAGCCGAGGGGGAGGAGTGAGCCGTCCCGGCACTGCCTTGTGCACCCGGCTGATCAGCTGAGCAGGTTCCAGGGAGTCAGACACCGACATTTTTGGCTTGCCGAAGTGGCTTGTGCCCGCGCCAAGTGGCTTTTTTTGGCTTGTGATGGGATTTGGCCTGTGAGTGATGCCATCAGGCTTGCAAGCCAAAATGTCGGCTTGCCAAGCCAACATTTTGGCTTGTGTCCGGCCAAATAAAACATGATTATTTCTATACTCTATAACTTTTCGCGGCTCTACAAGTGTTTCGGGTGGTCGCGTAAGACATGTAAGGCCTATGACAACATGAATGAGCTACGGTTTGCCATACAGTTCGTGAATGATCACTTTTGAAGATCCTGGTCTCAACTTGGGTCGCTACGGCATTGTAGGACCGCAAGCCGGTGGGCTTTTCCGCTGAGACCAAGTCACAGACTGTTTCTGCCCCTGAATTATGCACGCAAGCGGTGCGCAACACCGTGTTTAAGTTTTTGCGTCAGTGTTTTGTTGAACAAAATTCGATTGTTTACCGTTCAAGAGCAGACAGATCGATCCTTTCCCGCTACGAACGTCAATTAATCTATCTACAAGCCCCGAACCACGGCCGAGCATCTGTCCTTCTTAGTAGATCCAGTTTATGCCCATGAATGCACGCAGTTCATGGACATTGCATTCTACAGCATGAATCAAGGCTGCGAACCAGTGGAATCGCGCAAAGAGAGCGCTATATTGTGCAAAGGTGACTTCACGACACCTGTCTCTCGCAGTCTAGCAAGTACGCCTCAGTTGATTTCGGCCTAGGATTAAGAAATTTTGTAAAACCTACTGAAGATATATGTTATAGGCAGCCCTAAAAAGCGCGCAAGCTTCTATACATTAAATATACTTGCTTATGCGCTGATTCTAGCAGATATCGTTCGGAGACAGAGTGTTGTGAGCCCTATTAATCTCAATGGTGTGTAGGACAGAGATGGGAAAGTACTCTGAATATGTCCGATCTAATTTGTTTTTTGGCACTCGAGAACCTTAGAGGAGCTTTAAATATCGATTGGTGGAAAATTCTGTGCAGAGAGGTTGTTGGACATAATAAAACCCATGGATTCTATCCCGATCCGCAGTGCGAGTAGACAAATGATCGCATCAGGCAGAATGGCTTGCAATTGATGTCCCTTGCATTGCTCGTGCAATAAATTACTGCAGTTCCTCATGCTTTTCGGGTCAATAGAGGGATCTTCCGCAAAACGAAATAATGCATTTTGCCCTCTACTTTGCTCAAAAGAGCTGCGACATCCTTATTTCTACAGTCCAACTAGTGCAAGCTGTCATGTCCGATCGCATCAGGCAGATTGGCTTGTAGTGGCTTGCGAGACAAGAGTGCCAGTGCACTGATTGACATGTGGCAGTGTAAACTTTTTTTGCTTCTCTGGACGCACTCAAATGCTTGATCGACTGAAGCGCTGGTTGGGTTGGAACCCTTCCCCCGAGCAAGCACTCCCTTTCCAACAGCAATTCCCACCTTACCATGGTGCACCTCCAGGAAATGGCCTATGGGGACCATTGCATTGTAGGATAATCTTTCCGTGTATTGAGTGGAAAAATGACCATATAAAACAGATCCGCCGCCATTTAGTTTTCCGGACCCATCAACTCAAAATGCCTGGTCTCACATGAATCTGGGTCCAAACCCAAACCCTCCCTCTTCTTCTACTGCGTCATCCGGCACAGCGTCTGGCAACCATTCACACCAACACACATCAGCTGGACTTGGACCTGGAACCACAGGATCTGTGTATGGGATGAGATTTCCCCCTGCCTGTGCGTCATTTTATTATAAACAGTGCTCTTATTAGCTCACATGACAGCTAGTCCCCCTGAATCCATGGTCAATGTATCCCGGCACTCCATACCCCTATCCACCATTCGCATTCTACCCAACTCCCTTCCATGATCTCCCTGGTCATCCCTCTGCTGCGCCGAGCATCCTTTCTGCCCCAAATACCTCGATCCCGCACTCTGGGCCTGCCGCAAAAATCGAGGTCATTCCTGACTCGAACACTGTGCCCTCAACTCGCTGGCCAGATGGGAACTTCAAAGTCGACTGTCTTATTTCTGAGCTGCCATACGACTGGAACGATGAAGGATGGGCGTGGAGGTCATCCGGATCACGTAGAAACGGTCTGCCGTCCACCTCAGTTACCACCGCCATCACCCGGTTGCACCCCCGCGGGGGTCCTCCTGGGTACCCTCAGACGTAGCTCTGAGGGTACCTAACAGGTACCCCCCTGCGGGGCCCGCGGGGGGGATTTGGTCCATTTGGGGGCGGGGGCATATGCGGGGGTCAGCAGGGGGGGGTCTGTACATGTCATGTGATTTATCATTGGGAGCGGGCAGGTGGGCGCGAAAAAAAAAATGAATCACATGACACATCCAATGGGCGGGATGGCGGCTGATGGCGGGGTAAAAAATCACGTGATGCACTGCATGAAAATTATCAAAAATGGCTAGCAGGGGTTGGCGGGGGTTGGCGGGGGCGCTACTGGCCCCCCGCACACCATGGCGGGCAGTGGGCGCATTATCACGTGACTTTTGGGGCACCTTTTGTGCACCATTCGGCATGATTTCGGAGGTGTTGCTTGATCCATTGCATGCTGTGGCAGACAATGGGCGCATAATCACGTGATTTTCCGCCCAAAAAAATGGAAGCCTTCCCCAAATCATCCTGGTATCATTTCTATCGGTAAATACACTAGTTAAGCATGAATTTGAGCTTAGAAAGCCCAAAATGCACCCTGCACAATGGGACTGGTGATGCACTTGATCCCATCATTTGGCGGGGTCTGCTGCGGGGGGTGCCACGGGGGGTGCCACGGGGGGTGCTGCGGGGGGTGCTGCGGGGGGTGCCGCAGGGGGTGCCGCAGGGCCCGCTGTGGGGTCAACCACAGGAGCAGGGGTAGGGGTGCATTGCATCATATTTTGATCTATCTATTCTCGCTGTGGTCATAGCATGCAGCATAATTATCCTTCATTTTGCCAGGAGTTTGGAGGCTGTGTCTGGGGTTGGTCTGCAGCTACAGCCATGTGACTCCCTGATGCTTCGGCAGGGGCTGGGATATCAAAACTGTGCAAATTTACCTAAATCTTTTGGCTTGGCTTGGGGCACTGATATATATGACTTGGTTCATTTTAGCATGGTCTGCTCAAGCTGTCAGGTCAAACTAAAAATTTGAAAAATGTGCAACTTGATTTGTTAGGCAAATCTCCCAAGTACATGCTCCAGGGACAGCCAACATCATCAACAAGAAATGGCTAATGTTTCTTTTCTCTGTCTGTTTGCTTCAGGTAGTCTGTCTGCACTCAAATTTTTCTCTCCATTTGCAGCATATTCCGTGGAGGTGTCATAATTGTTGATTTCCGGATTTCATACTTCTTGTCTACACACCATTTGGGCCCTTTACTGAATCCAATAATACTGTAGACTCTTACAATGGATTGAGCAGGACATTTGTCAATTAAATCCTTGCAGGGGTTGGGGGGGGGTCAACCACAGGGGGTGCCGCGGGGGGTGCCGCGGGGGGTGCCGTGGGGGTGCACAAGCATCTGCCAGCCTACCAAATGTGGATCAACTACAAAATCACTTTCCAAAGCTTCTGTACTGCAACCCAAGTGACTTCTAAGTAACCTTTACCCAATCCCAGTGAAACAACTTCACTGCTCTTGTTTCTGGGTGACAATTGATTTTATGAGCTTGAGTGTGTATGTGCGCTTCTTAGTCGGAAATGAGGCCATGTGATGAGAGGTAGGGCACCGAAACATTGTAAAATACTATATTCAACATGACCGGTGGCCCATGTCTCTTCAAACCAGCCCATATCTCATGTTTATCAAGACCCTATTTTTCGGACTCATTTCAAGTTTTTGAATAGTTCCAGGGTCCAGGGCTCTCAGAATTTGTTTCAGACACTGCCAAAGAGTATATCATTCAGCTGTATTGAATTGCTTGTGTGTAGAAAAAATATTTTTTGCCATACCCAAAGTGAACCATGTTGAACCATTGTCTACATAGGAACCTTGAGCAATGGTGAACTCTTTTCATGTTTCGAATTTTAGGTGGACAAATGATATGAAGTATCTACATATTCAATAAGAATAGCAGAAGGAGACCTTATTCCGATGGTTTTCAGCTGCATAACTGTAGGAACAGTGTTAGAAGAGCAGTAAACACTTAGGTACGACGTTTATACAGGTTCTGATTGGCTAGTGACTTGACGTGTTCCGAGCTGTCAGTTTACATAATCTTACATATAAGAAAATCACGGGGACAAGGCACCGGTGCAGCGGGGGGTGCTAGACTGGCGGGGGTGCCAGCGGGGGTGCCGGCGGGGGTGCCAACAGGGGTGCCGGCGGGGGTGCCAATGGGGGTACCAGCAGGGGTGCAGGCAGTGGGTCATGGCAAGGATGTGTGCAGCCCCAGAGGTAGTAAAAGTAACCATCTATGTCTCTACAGTCTATCTTGCAAATATACGAGCTCTGAGTGCACAGAGTGTTGTATATGAAATTTGAAATTCAAATATTACCAATCTCTGACTATTGTGAGGCAACTTGCTGGTGAATCCATTGTCTCATATTCCACCTAGGAATCAATTTAGGGCATGTCAAATCCACTCTATTACATCTGTTCATGTTGCAACTAAAGCAAACGGCTTGTAAAGTAACACAGAACAGATGAACTTCAATGAGTCCCAGACAGGAAGTGTGACATTAGGTGCATAATTAACGTGTGGTATTATCCACTGGGTAAGATTAGACTGTGCCTACAGCATGATCAGTTTACCAATGGGCATGTGTATAGAATGAGCAGACGAAACAATCAATGAGTTGACAGTGGACCCGATGCAGCCCATGATGTCAGCCCACCTACCCTGCCAGCCAAAAAATGAACAAATCACACTTTCTTTTTAACCCTACATGCCTGGATTATGCAGACAATATTGCACAGGTTTGATATCCCAGCCCCTGCCGAAGCATCAGGGAGTCACATGGCTGTAGCTGCAGACCAACCCCAGACACAGCCTCCAAACTCCTGGCAAAATGAAGGATAATTATGCTGCATGCTATGACCACAGCGAGAATAGATAGATCAAAATATGATGCAATGCACCCCTACCCCTGCTCCTGTGGTTGACCCCACAGCGGGCCCTGCGGCACCCCCTGCGGCACCCCCCGCAGCACCCCCCGCAGCACCCCCCGTGGCACCCCCCGTGGCACCCCCCGCAGCAGACCCCGCCAAATGATGGGATCAAGTGCATCACCAGTCCCATTGTGCAGGGTGCATTTTGGGCTTTCTAAGCTCAAATTCATGCTTAACTAGTGTATTTACCGATAGAAATGATACCAGGATGATTTGGGGAAGGCTTCCATTTTTTTGGGCGGAAAATCACGTGATTATGCGCCCATTGTCTGCCACAGCATGCAATGGATCAAGCAACACCTCCGAAATCATGCCGAATGGTGCACAAAAGGTGCCCCAAAAGTCACGTGATAATGCGCCCACTGCCCGCCATGGTGTGCGGGGGGCCAGTAGCGCCCCCGCCAACCCCCGCCAACCCCTGCTAGCCATTTTTGATAATTTTCATGCAGTGCATCACGTGATTTTTTACCCCGCCATCAGCCGCCATCCCGCCCATTGGATGTGTCATGTGATTCATTTTTTTTTTCGCGCCCACCTGCCCGCTCCCAATGATAAATCACATGACATGTACAGACCCCCCCCTGCTGACCCCCGCATATGCCCCCGCCCCCAAATGGACCAAATCCCCCCCGCGGGCCCCGCAGGGGGGTACCTGTTAGGTACCCTCAGAGCTACGTCTGAGGGTACCCAGGAGGACCCCCGCGGGGGTGCAACCGGGTGATGGCGGTGGTAACTGAGGTGCTGCCGTCCAATGTGTACTCAGTCAACAAAAATCTCTGCCTTGGGATCTATCACTGCGCGTGTCGTGATTCGAGCGGGAATTTCATTCGTCTGACCCGCCCAAAGAAGGAGAAGAGGCCACGAGAAGCCCAACAAAACGATCGATGTCCCCAGTGCCGCACAAATCTGGTTTACATCTCATGTGACGCGTCGTACACAACTTACAACTACGAAGACGCCAACGGAGCCGAGCACATTGTCCGACAACACGAAGGCTACCATTCCCATGCTCGACCACCCACAAAACGGCTCAGCGCAGCTGAAACACATGAACTGGACATCCAAGTCCGTCAGAACCCAACTCAGATTGCACAACAGCTTCGAGTGGGCGCTGAATTGGGTCAGACTCCGATTGGAGTCATCAATCCCACTTTATTCGACTCACGGAAGGCTCGCTCTGAGGTCGAACGGAGTAAAATTCGGCTCGGGATCGTTGCTCCGACTCGCTCAAGACAGAGTGGCTTTGATCTGGTTGACACAATGTCTAGCCTGCGTGATATGTTCCAGACGCCATTTATCATCAAGTCGGAGCTCATCGGCGGTCAGTTCGTGGTCATGCAAACGCCGTTTATGCGGGACGTGCTTTTGCGTGATCAGATTCAGTCCTGGTCAGAAGAAAGACTCGAGGTGGAAAGTGGACGCCATGGTCTTCCAACAGATGGATGCCACGATTTCTTTAACCGTGGTGTCTTACTTACATCCCTGGTATTCTCCCCGACACTTCTGCGATGGTGTCCTGTGCTCTACACGTGGATCGGACAACTTGACGAGGCGCATCACAAGTCGCATTTTGATCAACTCCTTCTGGCCATAGCAGAGGTCTGTATTCGAAGCCTAGGCCACGAATTCAATCCACTGCTATTCAGCACGGTGCGTGCAATTATCTGTCACCTGCATACCTCCTCATTTGTCCGTCTCTCAGGTCGTTGATTTCTCAGCTGCTCAAAGGAATGGCTTCATTTCCGCATTCGTCGAATTCATGTGCGCCCGAATCCCTGGATGGAACAGTCTCAGTGATGAGGCTCGAGCGGTCGAAAAAAGTGCGCTTCGAAAGCAAGCTGAAACGCTTTTAAAGGGCTGCGTTGTCCACTGGAAACGATCACTGCACAAGATCAAGCAAGTTGTCGGTGTCAAGTATTCCTATCGCTTTGACAGCCTGGTTCGTGTGCTCGAAAGCGAGCACGCCTCTTCAGAGGAGTTCCTTGATGCAGTCGAAAGCATTCGAAACGAGTTCCCGGAAATCCGGCCATGGTTGTCCTGGTGGACTCTCGAAGGAAACGGGCAACTCATTTTTCCGAGTATGGCTTCGATGCCAGCTCAGCTTCGTGCTCGCATTCCAGACTCAACAAATGCTGCGGAATCGGCTCACTGGGTCTTATATCGTGCGGCCGGAACTGGCCATGATCTGGTCGAAGGGATCCGACGCCTATATGTCTTTTCACGTGAGACAGAACAGCTTCACGAAGCAATTCTCAGTGCGCTTTTCATCGAATTTTCTGACAGCCTCACTGACAAGCGTACAGGCGGACACGTTGATCCAAAGTTCGGCGGAACAAAACCGCAACCAAAATCACATATTCAGTGGCATGAGAACGATGGCCGTGCTCCAGATACACGGGCCCGACTCGAAGCTCTGAGCCACCTGGAGGCAGAGAGTAAAGTCCAAGCCGCGGCTCTCACACACGATGAACGATTTACAGCCTGCAATGTGCCTGAGGCAATCAAAAAAAATGCAGATAAGCCGCCGTCGGTTTCCCCCTCCTCTCTTGTTCTCCAATCGTATAAATGGAACTCGATGTCTTGTTTCTTGGACGCCTCGCTTGAGGCGCTGTACCGATCTTTTACTTCGCTTTCAACGACTCAAAGAAGTGACCTCATGGCTCTAATCCGCACCGATGCTGCCTCAACTGGTCTGCGGGACATTTTCGAACATTTTTGGACTCGTGGTATTGCTTCTGGCGAATGGAGCTCGTCGTACCTGCATGCGAAGAATTTCCGCAACACATCAAGGCCCTCGCTGCATTGGTTGAATGCGTGTCTGTATTTCGGGCAAGAACGCGCCAAACTCCTCTTGGGCAGGATATGGGATGGAGGGGATAGAGTAGACGGACAACCAGGCTGTTGTCGAACTTGGATGAATCAGATGTTACGGGTAAGTTTCTCTAACTTTGCGATGGATATATTAGCTGAATTTTTGTCTTAGATCGATACAACTCTCGCCATCCAGAGCCAATTTGGGATTGGATATCAGGTTCATTTTACCTGCAAGGCCCATACGCGTCACCAAACTACGCAATTTATCCGCCCAAAAATCGAGTTTGGGCTCCATCGTGATGATATATTGATTGCACAAGCCTCTTCTGACGGACGGGCCACGCTTCAAGACTATTTTCTGCACTTCATTCCTCGTGATTCCTTACAGGGAAAGACAGCACAACCATTGCATCGATCACAGCCCATTCCCTGCGAGGACGGCTCTCATTGCGCCTCGGAGTCCACAGTGGCATCCATTGTCATCGAGTTTCCTCTCATTCTACGCATCGGGACCGGAACGTTGACAGATAATCCAAACGAAAATGGGATCTGGCCCTGGAAAGGAGTCGATTGTCAATGCCCTGTCTTTCCACTCGAGTTCAGTATTGGGCCCGTGAACTACAGACTCGTGTCGGCTGTCAAGTTCGTTCCTGGCGGTGTTGGGCACTTTATTTCGACGATTGTCATCAACGGCACGGTGTACTTGTACGACGATACGCGCTACAACGGTGTTCTGCAAGAGATAGGGCCGCTCTCTGACATCACAAATTGGGACTTTTCGACAAACTATGTGATCTATGTGCGGACAACGAAAGAATCGGTTTGTAATTGAAGTTTTTCCGGGCTGCCCGTGGTACTCACAGCGCCACAGAGACTCAACCGATCTGTCGAAGAGATTGAACAAGACTATACCAAGATACCGTCTATTGATTCTCAAAGTAATCCTTACCGCATCGTCGATCCGACTCCTGTTCCAGATCGACCGACGACTCCCACGCGAGCCATGCCAGATTGGTTGAAGCACCACGAAACCCCACATGCGTCCAGCGACAATCAGAGCAGCGAATTCGAGATGTTGGGAGCAATCACGTCTTCATGGGATGAGCTCGAGGTCGAGCGAATGATCGCAGAGACGCTGGATCCGGTGCAGGCGTCGCCAGCTCACATCGGAAAACACCTGCTGAGTAGTATGGACAAATCGCCTTCCCCACCGCCAGCGATCGCCACTTTATCTGGAGCAGATGAAGCTGATTCGGACTCGAGCGACTCGGAGTTAGAAATGGACTCGGGGAAAGCTGTCGTGGAAGAGGGCAGTACGCTTCGATGCGATGGGTGCTCAGAGCAAGCTCAGTTTGCAAAACAATCAAAGCGGGCTAATGGCGGTCTGGTGCCCTGCGAATCATGTCGCCAGTGCTCTCACATCAGCTGCCTGGATTCCGACACGAATTGGCTCTTGGATCGTGTGCGATTCATCTGCAAGTTGTGCGATAATTCGCACCCAGGCTCGATTCTGGCTGTTCCTTATCCAGCGACCAACGATCCGGACGATTCTGGGAGCAGGTTTTATCCTGCAGTTCTTGTTCGGCGTCATGTTGAGCGACGAGGGCAGTCAGACGAGTACGAATTCAGCTGGTCCGAGTTCCTGGATGGCGTTCTGTTCAACGCTCCAGATCGACCAACTCAGCTGGATAACTTCTTTCTGCCTCATGCAACTTTCGTTCGCTACTCAAATATGATTCATAAGGGACGCAAAAAAGTCCCAGACTCAAAGGTGCGCCACTTATAGGATTATTCCAATAATACTAATCAAAAATGGCTTACAAAGATAGGGACATATCGCGTCCCATTCTACCTCAATCCGAAGGCGGAGATCCATGTGAACTCGAACCTTGCTCAAGTGTTTTCCGCTGCTATCCCGGTCGTTGGCAATGTCCTCCGATTGTGGGACCAGCGTCATGTGGTTATCAAGGCCTGGATTCGCTACAGCAGGGAGCAACGAAAGAAGAAGAAACGCCTCGGCCCCGATTCTTGGGCGTCGAAGCTGGGTCTGATATTCACTGAAGAACTCGATCAGACCCTCGGGTATGCACTGTCCCGGCTGATGATCCATACGACGTTGGCTGACATACCTTTCCATGAACGCAATGAGCGCGTGCAGAGCGTCGGTTGCGTTCTCTTCCACCTCCTCTTCGTCCAGCGGGAGCTTGGAGAGCCCTTTGACGCTGGCGGTGCTTCTTTCGACGATCTCCGCTCGGAATCCATTCTGGCTTGTCCCCCAAAGCACGTGGATGCGGTCGAAACAGCGATGTTCCAAATCTGGCGGGTCCGCTGGAATACGGTGGATGAGTTGGGGGAGGCGCGAAGAAAATTCCGTGCAAATCATTGCACATATGATGCGCACCATACTTGGCCGGTCTATCGCCGGGTTAGTGGTGCCGCGCCGCTAGATGCAGTCGTGGCAGTGATTCCAGAGCACCTGCGTAGCGAGGAGGAACAAGAGCCCGCACCCCCGGAGCGACCGAAGCCGAAGCCGCGCAAGAAGGTTGCGACTGTGGCTAGCGTCCGCAAACGCTCACGCGCCGAGGAAGAACAAGAACCCGCAGCCCCGGAGCGACCGAAGCTACGCAAAGACATTGTGACTGTGGCCAGCGTCCGCAAACGCTCACGCGCCGAGGAAGAACAAGAGGAGGATCTCCCCGCTCAGAAACGACCAAAGCGGCAGCAGCGCAAGAGGGCTGCTGCGCCGGCCAGCAAGACCCCAGCGCCGCCTCAAAAGAAGGCTCGAGTGACTCCGGGAAGAAAAAAGAGGGTTTAGATGATAACTACGTACTACAGCCCATGCGCGATAATAAAGGGAGGTCTAGCGTGTCAGTCCCGACGTCATTGATAGCATTGTGGGTGGTGTAAGAGATTGAGGAGACAGCCGTTGAGCACTGGCACCAGTAAAGTTGACTTTGATTGAGCGCGAGGATGCGAAGTGAGCTGCAGCGGCGGAAGCGAGCCGAAGGACGAGCATGATATTTCCGTCAGCGAAAGTGATGCACAAGCCAAGCCCACGCCCAAGCCACGCAAGCCAAGCCCGATCAGCCAAATTCAAACTCCGACATGCGGGGCAAGCCACTTACGCAAGCCGGTATGTGAAGTCTGCTTCTTCATCAACGAAGTGCTTTTGGACAGCCTCGGACAGCCCCCCAGTGGGATCATGGAGCTGACGCTCAAGTACAGGACCGCAAGCGTCCGGGTAAACTTCATTCGCGAGACAAACGTCGTTGTTGGGGACTGGGACGAGTGCACTGGAAACGGGCAGGTCATTGAACTTAGCGGGGACGAGATCCTGCCGGAGGTTCAGACGCGTTCGGCCTCCTCGTTCATTGACATGTATTCGGAGGTATTTTACGCCATCCAGCATGGAAACGAGTTTCTCTGTTTCCCATACATGTGTCTTTTTTGAGAAAGTTCTAAATGATCGACCTTGATTGAACGAATGAAAATCCAGATGCATCATGCTTTTAGATCAGTTGAGAAGAACAAGGTTTATCAGACAGCTGTTGGGAGGTGCTCTGCGCAGTCTGCAACTGGAAAGAGGTCTCCTGATGGAAATAATCGCAGTATAAAACAATCCATATACTAGTTGTTCCATTTCTTGCTTCAAGTCTCGTCTGTTCAATGGGATCCACAAGTCGACGCGGACTCAGCATCACACGTGATCGTGTACCACGCGCTGGCGTTGGCAGATGGCCATCAGCTTCCTATCATGATCATCACCATGCATCTATGCCACCCATCATGACACGCTCCCGCCCACACAACCTTGTTCATCCCCTCTTGCCAAGTAGCAAGCTCGCTCAGCACTGTGCCGATGGTCGTATACGGGAGCACCAGCACCACCCCCTCCCCTGGGGTCCTGCGCCGCAAGATTCAGAGCCTCGTCGGGTTCTCGACCCTCCCGAATCAAGTGCGGCAGAAAAGCCTCAGGGACGGGTTCCAGCTGACTGTCATGGTCGTGGGTGCGTGCTGTGCATCCCTCCCCAGATAGGATTTTGGTGAGAAGATCGCCGCACAGGGCATTCGGGATCGGGCAAGACGACGCTCGTGAACACGCTCTTCGATTCCGCGATCTGCGCCCCCCGGGAGGTGCCGCATCCGTCCGTCGACCGACCCAAGACCGTCGCGATCGAGACCACCGAAGCGGGTGGGTCCTGCATGGCGCATGGGCTGAAAGGAAGTGTGGCTGACGGACGCTTCCCTGTGTAGATATCGAGGAGGATGGGATCCGTCTGCGGCTGGCGGTGGTGGACACGCCCGGGTTCGGGGACTTTGTGAACAACAGTGGGAGGTGCGTCGGGAGGCGTTCTGGGATCGTGAAGCTGACACAGATCGCGTATTCACAGCTGGGATCCCATTCTGGACTCGATCGAGCAGCGCTACGACGCGTACCTGACGCAGGAAACGAGGGTACGGCGGACCAGGATCGTGGACACGCGGGTGCATGCGTGCATCTATTTTATCGAGCCGACGGGGCATTCGTGAGTGGAGACCGCTTCTGCTGTGCCACCGCTTATAGCTTGCCGGCTAGCTTGAAGCAAATCGACATCGAGTTCATGCGCCGGCTGCATCACCGTGTCAACCTCATCCCGGTTATCGCCAAGGCGGATACCATGACCGAGGACGAGGTCGAGGAATTCAAGGAACGGGTACGTACGATCCCGAGCCCATGCATCCCATACCAGTTTTGCACCCGCATCTACGCCCTGCTCACCGGGCGGCGCAGATCATCTCCGACCTGTCGTTCCACGACATCGATTTCTTCCGGCCGGTGATGTACGACGACGACACGGACGAGGTGATCGGCGAGGCGGAGGAGATCGCGCGCGCGATCCCATTTGCGCTGGTGGGCAGCGAGACGCCCGTGCGGACACCCGACGGGCGGGTCGTGCGCGGGCGTGCGTACCCCTGGGGCGTCGTCGAGGTGGATAACCCCGCGCACTGCGACTTTGCGAAGCTGCGCCACATGCTGATCCGGACGAACCTGGAGGAGCTGCGCGAGCGGACGGCGGATGTGCTATACGAGGCGTGGCGCACGGAGAGGCTTACGGCGCTTGGTGTCGTGCAGGATCCGTCGGTGTTCCAGGAAGTCAGGTGGGTGTATGCTCAGGCTCTCGTGGTCGTTCTTTTGGTCTTGCATGGAGAGCTCATGTATTCTCTCCGATTCCAGCCCTGCGGAGCGCATGGCGGAAGCGCGGCTGATGCATGATGCTAAGCTCGCCAAGATGGAGAGTGCGATGAAGGAGGTGTTCCGGGAGAAAGTGGAGCTGCAGGAGCAGAAGCTGAAGCAGTCCGAGGTCGAGTTGTACGCCAGGCACAAGGAGATGAAGGATGCGCTGAACAAGCAATGGGCCGCCCTCACGGAGAAAAAGAAGCAGATCGAGAACGGTACATATGACCCAGTGAGTCTGATGCTACCTGCAGCCCCGTGCTTGATGCTGAATCCATTTCCTTTCTTTCCCAGAAGAAGAAGGGTGGGCGTGTGTGAAGCATGTTTGTATGTATCCACTTAGCTTATCTATGGCCGGCGCGGAGGATGTGTGTATATCCATCTATTTTTGTAATGCTTGTATACCCTGTTTTCTTGGGCTGCATTCTGCCGTTATCGGAATAACCACTTGTTGTCAATGCGCGATGCCTTCCGTCAAGGATACAAGTACAGTATTATTGGCTACAACAACAGTAGGCTATCTATTCTACATTTACACAGTGTATTACATTAGTGGTACATGAAACCAGCTCAACTCAGAAAGAAACGCGACTCATCCACTGCCTGCGCATCGAGTGCGAGCGCCTCGCCTGGAGGTTCTTCTTCCACAAAGGCTGCAGCACGAGCTCCGGCTGGGCTACTGCGGACATGTTCAGGATCGGGAGCGGGCCGCTGGGTGCCGGAGTCGGGAGAAACGCATACGAATCCTGGAAGATGTCGTCCTGCTGGCCGTCCCGGAAGCCATAGAGATCGGTGTAGAATGGAGGGGCATATGTTCCCTCGAACATCTGCACCCTCAGTCGTCAGTTCCTGGCAGACACATACACTGGGCATGGAGAGGACGCACGTTGTTTCGCTCGGCTTGGAACCAGTAGAGAGGCTGCTTGGCACCATACGTGCAATTGGACGGCGACGCGTGCCATTTGCCGTTCATAGAATCAGCACCACAGCGGCGCGCGACTTGGGGTTTGGCCAGAGGGACTTCAGATGTGGATCCTGTGACATTGCACTTGAAGCCGGTCATGTAGTCTATCGCGCCAGGGTCAGTAATTTAATGCATGCAAGGAACGAATGAACGCACTCTGCTCTCCACCGCTGTCAGGCTAGTCGGCCGTCAGCCACAATGCACCAGGTTCAGGGGCTACGCTACACACGCACCGAATGAATCCACAACCACGCACACAGACACCCGCCCGGCGGGCACGGCGGCATTCGCGCGGGCACCTGGAAATCCGTGAAGCGCGTCCACACGCACGTCTGGTTCACGCTGAACACGGTGAAGTCCTCCGGCGCGACGGTCTTGTCGTCGGCAGTGTATGCGATGGCGAGCGCGCAGCCCGTTAGGTCGTCGAAGCCCTTCGTGTGGAACTCGTCCGTGCCCGAGCCGGGGCATACGTCGTTCGAGTCGGGCGTCGGCCGGATGTCGCCGCCCTCGGAGGACGCGAAGAACGTCGTGGCACCCTTGTTGCAGGCGATCTCGGTCGTGGCGGCCTGGCCGGCGGGCAGCTCGAATATGTCGGTCGGATGTGGGGGGAAGGCGAGGTGCCCGTGGAACCACCATTGGTTGAAAGTGAAGTTGGTCAGTGGGCTGACCTGAGGCGCACCGAGCCATCAATTCGAGAAGACGACTCGAAAAGGGCATGCACGCACAGGTCGGTTATCGTAAGGGAACGTTTGCTGGGTGACGTTGAAGCCGTACATGGAGGGGTGCCAGAGAGCTATGAAGACTAAATTGAGCAGTGGAGACACGGAAAGGGCGATCCGAGCGCACAGGCATGTCCAGAAACGGACTGAATGAGGTCAGCGCCAGCCAGGGCGATGAGGGTCGTGAAAAGACGTGAGAATGGCATGAGCAATGAGCGACACGGAAGGAAAACACAGAGAAAGTCTAAAGAAGTGGATGGTCCTCATCACGAACGCGCCCGAGTCTTATATGGGGACAGCAAAGAACAATGAGGACTTCGGACGTCCTCGGCTAGAGAACAAAAGCCGCGGTCTCTATTGTTCTGAGCTCAAGTGTCGTCAAAACACACAGGTTGAACGCGCCCATCAAATCTCCAGTTAGCAGGCAATTCGATGTAAGAGATTCATTTGAAAAGTTCGAAACTGGTTTGAGGTGCTGAATGTACAGGATTCAAAGGTTCGGGATGGGCCGATGAAAGAATAGTGGTGCACAGCCACATCACTGTTTGTTCTGGATTTCACGTGACCCTCATTGTTCATCCCACGAACTTCGCAGCTGAGTTGTCAATCCCAAGTCCGAAGTGAATAATCCTACACTGGAAGTTTTTCGATACTCTAGCCTCCGAGATTTTCTGGAGGATCAAACGTGTGCTCGCGACAGGCTGAATTTCATTCTGGGAAGGCACATCTGTCAATGGGGCCTTTCGTTTCCCGACGGGCTGAGGCTGGCCGCCCCAATTCCGAATCAGACCTGTGTTCGAATCGTGATGTGTCCCTCGCTGGAGCCTTCGGAGACGAAAGTCGCATCTTGGCAGGTCCTTCGCTGTCTGCAGTCAACCTGCCTGCGAGCTGGCTTCTCTGCCCTGGACCGCACAAAGCGCTGCGGCATTGCCGGCAGCGTGGATTCTGGATTCCCGTAGAGTGTATTAGCGTTTCTTTTTTCCTGGAGGGTGCCTTCTTGCTGACTGGATCTATGTACCCTGGGAGTGCGGCCAATGGCAATTGGGACGCCGCTGGGCTCTCGCAGGTATAAAGCGGGGCAGATTCAGAGGTTGCTGACCATCGCACTCCGACAACAACATGCGTTTCACATCTTTCATCTCACTCGCTCTGGTGGCTCCCCTCGTCTCTGCCAGCGTCTTGCCGCGCTCGGTCAGCTCGAAGCACGGCGTGATCAACGCCCCCACCGCGGGCACGGTCGTCGCGGCCGGCTCATCGTTCCCGTTTTCGTACCAGGACAGCAACTGGTGCCAATCGGGCTACTCGCCCATCAGCGTCTGGCTGACGGACTCTGCGCCCACCACCGCGAGCATCAACGCGACCGACGGAAGTCTTTTGTCGTCCAAGCACTACTACGGACGGTTCTTGATCGCCAACTTCGGTGGGTAGCGTTCGCAGTGGTGCCTGGGCGCCTCCCCTCCTGCGGCTTGACTAATCGGGCGGCTACGAATGCAGGTCTGCCTTCGATCGGTAATCCCCCTCCCCCGGCCTCGTTGACTCTCCCTGCGCTGCCTGCTTCGCAGCTTCCGGGGAGCTCGTTGTACGTCGTCGTGGTCGAAACTGGCAATGGCTGCCCTCCGGTGGGTTTCTTATCTTATCTGATCTTCATTACGAATGCTGACATGCCACAGGGAAACGTCCCTGCTCAATACGCCGTGACGAGCAAACTCGTCGTGTTTGCGTAGATCCAATATTGGTTAGGAATCATCATAGAAGGACTGTGTATAGAATGGTAGAAATGTAACAATGACTGAATCGACTCTGTTCCATGAATGCATGCGCTTGAGTAATTTCAGATCGATAATTTTTCAACGACGCGACCTGCACAGTACATAGTACTCTTGCCTTGCGTAAGTACAGTTCTTCTCATTTCCCACATTACATCTCTCGGGCTGATTCGGGCATCTTCTTAAGGTCATCTCCGAGCTTGACCGTTCATTCCGAGCACGAATTTGACGACGCTGAGGACATGGCAGATCATAGTGCTCTCAAGACCCACCAACTATGATCGCGAGCGGTTCAAGTCGGTGATCAAGAGAAAGCGGCTGCAGCCGGCCCGGGTAACCAGTCGATGCGGTAAATACGTCATCATCTGATCAGCGATAAGTCAAAAACGTACCCCAAGGCAACAGGCGTTCCCGATATTCTCCTCCCTCCGTCATGTCCTTCCCCGTAGATCTCACCAAGTTCAAAAAGTGTGTGTTCCCAGTCTCGATTGCATGCGCCTGAGAATCGTTTAATCGCCGCAATCTAGATTCAAGCTCGACCCGAGCAAGCCCCAGCTCGCTGCGCAGGAGAAAGCGGATCTCCTGGCGAACATCCAGCTTCTGCGTGATGCGATTGTGTTCTTCACCGCCAGTGGCGCCGCTCGTGGGGTGAGCGGGCACACGGGCGGGGCTTACGACACCGTGCCCGAGGTGTGCATCCTGCTCTCGCTGTTCCATGAGGACGTCGAGAAGTACGTCCCCATTGTCTTCGATGAGGCTGGTGAGTGTGGTTCTCTACTCTCTCGCTCTCTCTCAGTCCTTCCACCGCCGTCTGTCCCTGCGTGTATGCTGATGCGCATCGTTTCCTTGCACAGGCCACCGTGTCGCGACTCAGTACATGCTCGCTACGCTCGAAGGCTCCCTGCCGGCAGACCACCTCCTGCACTACCGCGAAGCCAACTCGAAGCTCCCCGGCCACCCGGAACTCGGCCTCACACCGGGAGTCAAGTTCTCCTCTGGTCGGCTCGGTCATATGTGGTGAGCTCTCTGTCCGGGTATCTGGGGTTTTTGATCCCCAGCTGCAACCCAACCAACCCGGCTCTGATTTCTGACGCACGTTCGCAGGGGCCTTGTCAACGGTGTCGCCCTGGCAAATCGCGGCAAGACCGTGTTCTGTCTCGGATCCGATGGTTCGCAGCAGGAGGGTAACGACGCCGAGGCCGCCCGTTTGGCTGTCGCGCAGGGCTTAAACGTCAAGCTCCTCATCGATGACAACGATGTCACCATCGCTGGACACCCGTCGGAGTACATGAAGGGATACAGCGTCGCTCAGACCCTGCAAGGCCATGGTCTCAAGGTCCACACCGTCGATGGCGAGAACATCGACGAGCTCTGGGCCGCCGTCTGCTCGATCGTCAGCCACGACGGGCCCGCCGCCAGTAAGTCCCTGCCATCGCGCTCATCGTTTGGTAGGCTTATGATCGACTCGCAGTCATCTCCAAGCGTCTGATGGCGCCTGGAATCGTCGATATCCAGGGCTCACCGCACGGCCACGATGTTGTCCCCGTCAAGTCTGCCGTGAAGCACCTGATCTCCCGGGGCTACCCCGACTTCTCCGACCTCTATGCCGGCATGGCAGCTGCGGGCGATCCCATCCTGTACACCGGATCGACCAAAGAGCGCGGCGCCAACCGTGTCGTGTTCGGCGAGGCCGTGAACCTGGTCCTCGACACCCTCAGCAAGGAGGAGGCGGCCGCCAAGGTCATGGTCATCGACAGCGACCTCGAGGGCTCGACTGGGCTCAAGGTCATCCACCAGAAGCACCCGGAGGTGTTCGTCATGGGTGGAATTATGGAGCGCGGTAACTTCTCGGCTGCCGCTGGTTTCGGATTCGACAAGGACAAGTTTGGTGTGTTCTCAACGTTCTCGGCGTTCCTGGAGATGTTGGTGTCGGAGATCACCATGGCGCGTCTCAACGAGTGCAATGTGTTGTGCCACTTCTCCCACTCTGGTGGTACGTAGCCGTGGATTCATAGTTGCTGCTTCATGCTCACCCATCCCAGTTGACGAGGTTCGTCGCAAGTTAGAGGAATATGATAGACACTGATGGAACACACCTCTTTCTCTTCTAGATGGTGAGCCAAATCGGTCAGACACACCGACTGTTCTCTAACACTTCCAGGCTGACAACACATGCCACTTCGGTATCAACTCGTTCTTTGCGGACAACGGCTTGTCGGACACGCACTCTTTCCTGTACTTCCCTGCCGATCCTCTGCAGATGGTCGCCGTGGTCAAGCGTGTCTTCTTCGAGCGTGGTCTGCGATTCGTCTTCTCCACCCGTGCCAAAGTCCCGTACATCCTGAAGCAGGATGGGAAGACCAAGTTCTTTGGCGACGACTACGAGTTCGTTCCCGGAAAGGACGAGGAGATCATCCCGGGTACCGCGGGATACGTTGTGACCTTTGGAGAGATGCTGTACCGCTCTTACGATGCCGTTCTGCGAGCAAGGCAAGCGGGGATCGATGTGGGGTTGATCAACAAGCCGTCACTGAACATCATCGACGAGGCTGTGCGTTCCCATTTCTCCGCCATATCCATGTCTCTCCTTCTCTTCCTCTTATCGCGCTGACCGATGATGTTCTCCTGCAGTCCTTGAGGAAGATCGGATCGTCTGGATTCGTGCTTGTGGTGGAGTCGTTCAACCAGAAGACCGGTCTTGGATCGAAGATGGGCACCTGGCTGCTGGAGCGATCGCTGACGCCCAAATACGGATACATGGGTACCACCCGCGAAGGGTCTGGCGGACTGTGGGAACAAATCCCACACCAGGGCCTCGATCCCCAAGGTCAGCCCTCGATTGCCAAGTCGGGTGTCTCCGGAGTGCTGAATGTTTTCGTCGTGTCCCTTCCTTCTTCTTCTAGCCATTCTCCTCAAGATCAAGCAGCTTTCGCAGTAGATTGTGCGTGGAGGGAATTAGTCAAAGTCAATGCTGTATACATATGTATTATCGAGATTCGTGTCCCTTTTGAGCGGATTCGGAGGCGCTTCTATCGAGCGAGTCGAAAGCGCTTCTATCGAGCGAGATAAGAGGCCCCCCGTCGGCACTCAGCATCGAATGAGGCCACGAGAAGACAGAGAATCACATCACATATCTCGACGACGCGTGGCATGGGCCGAAGAAAGAGGGCATTGGTTCCGCTGCGGCGGTGCTGGCTCGGGCATGTCACTGACTCGCTCGTTTGCTTGCTTGCGCTGCGCACCCGACGGTAAAGCCGTCCGAATCGACCCGGCATCTTCCACCCGCTCATGTCTGTTCCCATGGCCAAATCGCGAAAAACCCAGCCCCTCACACCGACGGCTACGATAGCTGGTCACCGACCTGCCATAAGAGGCGTGCTATTCATAAATATTAATGAACACCCCCCAATGAGCACCCCCACCCAATGGCGCTAGGGTAGTCCGTAGATTATCTGATTCGGAACCTCGCTGGGGGTTGCTGGGTGTACCGATCCAGTCGGAGGGTTCTGGCTGCAAGCGCAACCTCGAGGGTGGCCCTGAGAATCATCATGCCCGGGAAAGTGCGTTCACGTGACGTCATTTGGATGATGGTGAGACGTTACTTGTGACTGTAACGAGCATGGCTCTCGGTGCTAGCCACAGTGGCTGACAGGCCAGATGCTTTAGACGGAACTTCATCTCTCGTCTTGATCGGCCCGTATGAAGGACGCAAAATAACGCAAATGCTGTGCAATACCACCTTGGGCCTTTGGAATGGTTCAGCGCGCAGTTGCGACAGAAGTGGCCCACTGCACGGTGCATGCTCTATATATCCCACTCGACCGTGACTCTGCACGCCTCGGCATGGCAATCAACACCCCTCGAATTCCTCGCGACGTCTATGCAGATACAACATCGCACGTTCTGGTCCACCGCTTCCCGGTGTACGGTCATCTGCTGAGTGCCCTCCCCCTCCGACTCCGATCTCCGTCCGGCCTATCCGACTCGATTGGAACCAAGTCACCCGATTTCCTGGCAGCTTGGTGAAGCTTTGCGCGCATGAAGGTCCTCTAGACGCGTCGCAGTCTCCCTGCGGCAGGATGTGTGTCTGTCTTTGTGTGGCGCTGGGCGAGAAACATGAGACGGCTTGGCTTTCCGGATGATCCCCACGTGCGCTGATGCATTGCGCCCCTGCTCTCTGGGCTCTCGCCAGGCTACTTGATCTCAAACGAACCCGGAGGCGACGCGATGGTTGCTGTCGACTTCTCTCTCGCTTGGCGTGCGGCACTTGTGCTTCCTCATGACTCATGAGCGACTGCGTTTCGACTTGCTGTGGCTGATATCGCCAAATCTGCGCTAGAATGTCAACGGCGGCTCCAGCAGAGCTGAATGGATGGACCACTCTTGGTGACGTGTGCATGCACAATCAACGTCCCGTTTGCTGTATCCATTGGGCAACGAGTCCTTGTGTTACTGAATGAGGATGACCATGGTGGACGTGCACAGGAGTCGCTGGCTTCCTTGTACGGAGTTTCAAAACATCGCAACGAGAATGTCCCCTCTGCCCTCGAGACAATCCGGCAGCGCTGCGAACACCAGCGCATGCCCAGCGGCGACGCGTTACATCACAGCGGTCCCAGCCGCGAATCTTATACAAAGAGATGGCAGGTGAAGGCGAAGCCGCCTTTCCAGTCATGCTATGTGCCTGGATGCACCTGAATGTGCTCTGACATCACAGTGGCCCCTGATCGGGCGAGAAAGCGGAGGAGGAGGAGGGGTTGGAATGGGCAAGGCGTCGCCGTGTTTGGCGCGAGGCGGAATCTCACGGCTAATCCCTGGTATCTGCGCTGTCGAGTCTATGGAGTTCCACCAGACAGCTGTCGCGGATAAGAACTAACGCGACACACACAGGGACAGCTCGCAGTCCACAGCTATCATTCCAAAAACGGCAAGTCAGAAGGCGGTGTCGCTTGTACACAGCCGGGCACTGACATATGCAGATCATGAAGCCCTGAGTGAGTGCTGGTTTACGTGCTGGACCGTTTTATTTACCGTTTGAATAGCGGTCTCGACTCTGGAGGCGGCTCATGTATGAAACGCCTATCAGGCGCAAATGATCTTGAAACCCAAGCCAAGAGAGAGAGCCTCTGTGATTCCGGTCGTGGGCAACCGTATGCCACAGTCGCTGATCTGGGCTTTGCAGCCTTTTGAGCCTCTCTGAGCCGACCTGGCTTGCTCGCGACCATACTACGTCCAGCTGCGTAGCATAAAGTTTGGCTTGCGCAGATACGCCTGCGGCTGATGTGCCGCCCCGTGCGACAGCTTCCAGTCGTCCAACCTTGTCTTGGCGAACGCGCCGATGGAGAATTTTCGGTCTGATTGCCCGTTTGCACTCCCGTGAATTGATATACTCGAGTATACCTACCTCCCTCCTTGCACGCCGGACCTTTTTTTTTTTCAAATTCACTCCACTCGCGAATGATTCTACGACGGGCGTCTCTGGTGAGGCCCCTCCTCGCGCTGTTCATCGCATCGTCGTTCGTGCTCTGGCTGTACATCTGGGTCTTTGATCCGCTGGCGAAACACGAGTGGTGGCGGAAATTCAAGCTCGGGTGGACGTCGCCCGATGCCGAGTTTGCGTTCGTGCAACATCCCGAGGCGGCTGCGTTGGGGCATCCCACGTTCGAGGATGCGCGGAGGCACGAGTGGGACTTGCCGCAACACCATCTCGCGCGCCTCGGCGCGAAGGCTGGTCCGCGACCCAAGTGAGTTCTACTTCTACTCACCGCTAGGAAGCAAGCGCCCATACTTACTGGATGTAGATATCTGTTTTTCAGTGCCGCATCGTGGGGATCCGGCTGGAACAACGTTTTGCAGGAGCAGTAGGTGTTGTTGCAACAGTCTCCGGTCCACTTGAGCTGACGTGCGCCGAACCAGGCTGATAAATGCGCACCTGGCGTACGCTACGGACCGCGCCTACGTGTTCCCGTCGTTCACTCCGCGCGACCACCCTCCATTTCCGGACATTGTCGATGACGGGGAGGGCCAGTCCCACCGCCGGTTCCTGGAGATCCCGTTCACAGCGATGTTGGCGGGCGCGATTGGGGGTGGGCCGCTGTCGGCGGATGGCACGAGCGACCCGCTGACACGGCGCTCGGTGTCGGAAGCGCACTGGGATATCGTGTGTCCCGTCTGGAGTCGGTATTACATCAACGTGAAAGACATGCGCAAAGCTGAGCATCACGAAGAACATACGGACGCCGAGCAGATCATGGCTTACTGGGTGGACAAGCTCAGGAGGATCAACACCCCGTGCGTCAGCCTCACGAAATGGAGTGTCTTCGATTACTTGCAAGTCGTCTTCGTGTTTCTCATTTGGCTCCTTGCTGACTTGACGCGGCTCAGAAACATCGGCGGACCGCAGATTCTCAGCCTCTGGCCGACCGGCTACGGCGACTCACCGATCCTCAAACACTTCGCCTGGTCCCCGCTCATCACCCAAGCGCTCTCCGAAAACTGGGCGCTCCTCTCCAGCGTCCCCCCACCCCCATCCCTCTCCACGGACCACTCGTCCGCAAACCCCTTGATCCTCCACCCGCCCTACCCCGCCTCCTCTCCCTCAATCCCGCACCTCCTCGCAGTGCACGTCCGCCGCGGGGACTACGAGGGCCACTGCCAGTTCCTCGCAGACGTCAACGCGCAGTACAACGCATGGAACGCACTCGGCGAACCCGCACCCGCCCGGCCGAGCCCGCGCGCGGGCCTCCGCAGCGCGATCCCGGCGAACTACACCTGGCCGCGCATCCCGGACCACCTCGACGTGCGGGCGGGCGAGAGCGGCCGCGACGCGCGGCTGCGGCACTGCTGGCCGACGCTCGAGCAGATCGTCGCGAAGGTGCGCGCCGTGCGGACGCGGGCACCTGGACTGGAGCGCGTGTACGTCGCGACGGACGGCGAGCGGGCGTGGGTGGGCGCGCTGGCGGCGCGGCTCAAGCGGGATGGGTGGCGGGAGGTGGTCAGCTCGTTTGATGTGCGGCTGAGCAGGGAGCAGTTTGCGGTGTCGCAGGCGGTGGATATGAGCGTTTTGGCGGCGGCTGAGGAGTTTATTGGAGATGGGGTGCGTGTTTTCTCTTCCGTTTGATCCGCAAGCAGCTGATGGGTGGCAGTTTTCGTCGCTCTCCAGTAACGTCGTGCAGATCAGGTTGGCTGCCGGTAAGGACGCGCAGACCATTCACTTTTGGTGAACGTCCGCATCGTGTCTATTAATGACACTACCTACCGATCTCAGTAGAGATTTCTCGACCCGGTCTTCTATCAGAGAGTCCTTGTTGAGACAGTTGCATCACGTGTTAGGATTATTCATTTGAATACACACGTGACCGCGTCTGAGACCCAAGTCAACATCGCCCGTAGATCTGCCCCCGCGGCGTGCTCACCAGGGGTGCAACTGTGAGGGTCAGTCAAGACTTACTATGTGCACTATCGTCCTCGGCCATTGTTCTTCGGCTACCCATGATATCGTAGACAAATGTCGGACAATAGGTTTCCTTTTTAGGCTTACAATAGCTGATCGCCGCACCCATCCCGATGTGGCTTTCTGAAGAAAGCAACCAGAGTGAGCCATGACAAAACAATCTCCCTCTTATTCCTCGACCACAACAACTCCCAACGTCTCGACCTAAGTATGCGTGTGCTCGACAACTCACCCCCAACCGCCGATGCTCCCCTGGCGCTAGCGTTCTTCGACGGTCTGCAAGATCCCGAATGCGCGCGACTGATATTACGTGAGAGGTGGCGCCTCGAGACGCTGGTCCTAGTCTGCAAGAACGCACACGACATCCCGTGCCTGGGCAACCCCTTCCCGGCGCTCGAGCGCCTGATCGTGCGCCCGGACCCACCCGACCGGCTGCACAGCGGGGGCCTCCTGCGCGCGCTGCTCGAGCTGATGGAGTACGCGCAGTCGCTGCGCCAGCTCGTGCTCGTCAACATCCCCGCGGGCGCGTTCCCGCCGTCGAAATACCCCCCACCGCCCGTGCCGATGGAGGAGCTGGAGGAGATCGTGCTGAGCAGCACGCGCACGGCGCAGGCGCGCTTCTGCGACGGCCGTGGGTCGCTCAGCAGCGCCGCGGCGATCCTGCCGCACCTCGGCGCGCTGCCGCGCCTGGGGCGCCTGCGCATGGACCACTTCGATCTCGGGGCGGAGGGCTTCGCGCGCTTCGTGCGGGTGTCGCGCGCGCCGCTGACGAAGCTGACGGTGGCCGAGGGCCCGTTTGCGGAGATGCTCGGCGCGTTCCACATGCTGCCGGGGCTGCGGGTGCTCGAGATGACGCGCGCGCGGCTGGACGAGAGCACGAAGACGGACGATCTGATCGTGCTGAACAACCTCGCGGCCAATCCGCGGCTGCTTCCCGGACTGCGCGTCGTGCTGCTGAAGATCTACCGCTGGAGGAAGCGGCAGCCGGTCCTCAGCCCGCTTGCGGTGTCGCAGATGTATGCCTTGCTCAAGCAGCGCAGGACGCTGTGCATCAAAGTCACGCTGCGATCTTCGAAGGAGGAGCAGTGTCTGAGCGCATACGAGTTGGCGCGCAAGTCCGGCGACAGGCTGAAGATTGTCCATGAGTATTACGACCCGCGGTATGACTCTGATTCGGGATACTAGTCCTTCACATATGTATAGATTTCTATATACTAACTTAAAGTATGTACCTATATTTATAATGTAATGCAGATCTTCCCCGGTTGTAGTCAAGTCTCGTGCAATGCAGGTGATTCTGGGGAGCTTATGCTGCTTCAATCCTGCATGACCAAAAATACAACATGAAAATGCTGACGACGGCTTCATTATGCAACACCCTGATCGCCGGAATGATTGACAGAACAAAAGTTGGTGACACCACCTTGCGCACCACCGTCGCTCTCGAGCCCAGTCATCACTCTCAATGGCATCCCGGGAGATCATCAGTCTTCAGGTACCCCTCTCCCGCCCTCCCTGCGTGCATCACGGACACTGATCGGCTTGGACCCCCATCCCAGGTCGGACAGGCAGGTCGTCGCCCCGGGCACACAGCGAGCGTGGATTGACGCGCCGAGGTGTTTGCAGGCGGGGAACCAGGTCGGGGAGGTCTTCTGGCAGGACGTGCTGGCCGAGCACGGGCTGGACCAGGCGGGGGTACGTCGCCTCCCACGCACCGCGCGCGCCGCGTGGCGAGTGTGCCGTTGTGCATGCCACCGTCCCTCACGTGTGATGGCAGATCTACCACGGACACGATCCCGTGCAGCTCCAGCGGGTGCGTCTCACCCCATGTGGCGAGCCGATCGCGCGCTGCGTCCTGTGTGCTGATTCTGCAGATCGGCGTGTACTTCTCCGAGGTCAACTCGTCGTCCGGCAACGCCAAATACGTCCCGCGCTCGCTGCAGCTCGATTTGGAGGCGGGGGTGTGCGATCGGGTGCGTTCCGGGGTGTATGACTCTTCGCATTTCGAGTGACAAGACGATTCGGCTTATAGGTGCGGAGCGGGCCGATGGGGAAGCTGTTCAATCCCGAGACGTATCTGCATGCGGAATCGGGGGCAGGGAACAACTGGGCCAAGGGCTGTGCGTGGATCCTCTCAGCATCAATCTCGGATTCTCATCGCATACCCCATCAGTCTACACGGAAGGTACAGACGCTGATCCCGGTCCTTTCTGATCTTACGCACTCACTGGGGATGATCAGGAGCGGAGCTCATCGACCCGATTCTTGTTCGTATCGCTATGTTTCGCTTTCAGCAGTGGTTTACACGCGGAGTAGGAAGTGTTGCGGAAACAAGCTGAGCTATGCGACGTTCTCCAAGGCTTCCAGGTGATCCACAGTATCGGAGGCGGAACTGGGTCCGGGATGGGGTGCCTGCTGCTCTCGAAAATGCGGGAGGTGTGTCCAACAACGCATTCTCTATCGCACATGTTCATCTTGAACCCAGGAATATCCTGATCGAATGATGGCGACATTTTCCATTTTGCCCGCGCCAAAGGTGAATGACTTGTCGCAGGAGGAAAAGAAGATGTCCCTGATCATTCCTTTTTTTCCCTTGACAGGTGTCCGAGACCGTGGTTGAAGTACTTTATCTACCCGTTCATTGACCTGCGCGTGTTTCTGACATTCGGAAAGCCATACAATGCCATGCTGTCCATGCATCAGTTGGTGGAAAATGCCGATCTCTCGGTATGCTTGGACAACGAAGCGCTGTGCGATTCCTCAATATCCGCCTTTTTCGCTAGCTGACCCATGCGAATGATTAGATACGATATCAGCATGCGCAACCTCAAGATCGCCAGTCCCAGTTTTACGACACTCAATGGGGTGCGTCACACCTGCCATGTTGGGAGCACGTCGCGAATAGTCTTGCGGCGCAGATTGTCTCTAAAGTCATGTGTGGTGTCAGCACGAGTTTGCGATTCCCCGGACAGCTGAACGGGTTCGTGCGTTTTACTAAACACAATTCGCCAGCCTCGCTCAGCTTCGACAGTGATCTGCGCAAACTGGGCATGAACCTGATTCCCTTCCCCCGCTTGCATTTCCTGATGCCCAGCTACGCTCCGATGTACGACGCGAGAGGCCAGTCGTATCAGAGCCTCTCGGTTCCCGAGCTCGTGCAAGGGTATGCCGTCGTTCTCCCATTCGTGCACCGAATTCCAACAGCTGACTTGGGGGGACCACCACATCAGATTGTTTGACCGCAGGAATCTGCTCGTCGCGTGTGATCCGCGTTTCGGGTCTGTCCTTCCGTGCGGGGTAGACATCTGTGGAGACTGGCTGATCCTTCGTGCCAGACGTTACCTCACGGCAGCTACCATTTTCCGGGGAAATATTGCTTCCAGAGAGGTGCGTGGTGGAACGGAGGACTGGTCATGAAGTAACTGTTTTCGTCAACAGGCCGAAGTCGGTGACATCACCCTGATTTTTCAATTTTTTTTTTACGCAGTGATCAGGTGGCCGTCCGAGATCTGCAGACCCGCGGCTCGAGTCAGTTTGTCGAGTGAGATTGTTTGTTGGCAGTGATTAAGCGATCGTGCTTCACATCCTCGCAGATGGATTCCTGACAACGTTTCCGTGACCCTCGTGTCTGTTCCACCCGTCGGACAAAAGCAGGCGAGTGGTTTACAACGCGAAGAGCTTACGGGCTGATGGATGGTGATCAGGCTGCTGTGGCTTTATCGAATTCGACCTCCATCCAGGAGCTCTTCCAGCGCACCCATGAGACGGTGACGCTCCTTTTTTTTTTAGCCGCAGTCATGAACTGATTTCTTATGTCCTCAGTTCAGTGCCATGTATAAACGCAGGGCCTTCCTGCATTGGTCAGTCGCGCCTCAAAACTGTAGATTCCCAATACTGAACGACGCACTCGACAGGTACACCGGAGAGGGGATGGACGAAATGGAGTTCTCCGAGGCCGAGAGCAATTCGCAGGATCTCATGTGAGTTGTCTAATCCGCTGTGTGCTTCCCAGCTCGAACTCATTTGCATTCCAGTGCCGAGTATCAGCAAGTGCGCCAATCCGCATGTGACCATCGTAAATTTCCGAGGCTGATTTCCTTTCGCAGTACCAAGAAGCTACAGCTGACAGCGAGGAAGACTATGAGGAGGAGGAGGAGGACATGTGAACGCCATCATAGAGTTGGTTTACAACCTTGGAGGAGAGATTTAATTTCGTTCATTAACACAGGAACGCACTGCTTCGGCTACATACCGCAACATTTATCCTCAAAAGATCATTCCTCATAATTTGGGTCTCGGTCTCAGTGTGATAGAACGCCTCTTGGCAAAAGAAGTAAATTACACACGTGACCCTGTCCCTCGTGATGGTCGTGACGGTGACAGCTCGGACATGACGTGAGAACGGCCTCGGCCCGTCGGCCAGGCGCTGCCCACCTTTTCTCACCTCCTCTTCCTCATGAGCTGGCCTCAGCGCAGCTGTACATGTCAACCTCCCAACTCCGCGCGCGCACGCTCTCGAAACTCGAACTGACCGTCTCTGTGGCCCAGAGCCTCAAATGGCCCGCTACCCAGCACTCGATACCCACCGCCAATTCGCTGTGGCCGCAGGACGTTTCCCCGGAGGAAGAGGAGGAGGAGGAGGAGGATGGCGAAGACGACGACGACGACTTGCTGACCATCCCGGCCCACTTGACGCCGAGTCGACTCACCTTCAGCGGTGGGCGGAGTGAGTATCTGTGGCGCCCTGAGTGAGCTCCTCTCGTTCCTGTCTCGGTATCATTTCGAAACTCACGCGTGCCTGTGTCGGCCCACAGGAGCAGGACACCCAACACCGCACACACGTTCGGCTTCCCTCTCTCCGCACGGACCAACAACACCTTCTTCGACCTCCAAGCCGGTGGCGCCGGCGCGTCTTCGTCCTCCGCCGACGCCGACGCCCGCAGCCCACTCGAGCGCCACAAGCGGCGGCTGCGGCGGGACACCACCGCGGAGGCGGACCTCCTCCGCATCACGGCGTCCGGGGCCCTGCACGAGCTCTCTCCGGCCGAGCTGCAGGCCGCCGTGGCGCAGTTCGCGCACGAGTCCGTCGCCGCGCTGCTCGCCGATGCGCGCGCGGGCCTGGGCGTGGTCCTGGCCGCGGGGAAGAAAGACCGGTCGCGGTGGATGGCCGAGCAGCGGGTCGCTGCGCTGGAGGCGCTCCAGGCCCAGATCGCGCGGCCGGCGGTCGCGGCGGTCGGCCCCGGCGGCGGATCTGCCCAGCTGCGCCGGGAGACGAATCTGGTTCGCTTCCTCGCTGCGCGGAGGGGCGGCGAGGCAAAGCTTGTTCCCGTCTTCACCCGCAAGCGGGATACCCGAGGACGCCCACAGGAGCAGAAAGAGACGCAGAAGCAGAAGCAGAAGCAAGAGCAGCAGAACCCGAGATACCGCCCAGTTGCGGATGAGACGCCGGAACGTCCTTCGCGGAGTTACAAGTCGCCCATGAAGCTGCAGGTTCCCAGCCCTGAGGCGGCGTCGCCTCGAGATGGCTGGTCCTGGGAGACCCGGGTGCGGTCTGTGCTGATGACGCCAGAGCCCAAGCCTGAAAAGCGCACACGGTCGGAGGAGGCCCCTCCTGAGCCGACCCGATCGCCGTCGTTGAGGATACGGACGAAGACGCCGAGCTCGGATGGGGATACGCGGATGTCGTTCATGACGTTGTCAACGCCAACGAGTGGCAACTTCAGCCCGATCCGTGCAGAAACGCCACTGACAGAAGAAGACGAGGAACAGGAAGAGGAAGAGGAGCGTTACGAGGACGAGGACTACGAAGACTATCCGACATTTCGTCCACACGTTGTCCAATCGGACGCATTTACCCCTGCTTGGCAGCCCCGTCGGCCACCGACGCCGTCGTCGCGGCTGGCGCCGATCAGCACCAAAGCGCCGGAGCCGATGCCCTATCTGACGCAGGACGCGCAGTACCCGTGGCTGGCGGATCCCAGTACCTGGGGCGTATCCCCGTCTCCGTGGCATGGAGACGGCTGGGTCGTGACACCCGCCTCGGCATCGACTGCTTCGACTGTGTCTCCATCGGACCTTGCCACCCCACTGTCAGCTCTCCCTCGGCGTCCGCCGGTGCCTTCGCGGTCTCAGACGTTGCCGTTAACCCCAGCATCGTCTCTGTTTTCCTCGTCGTCATCTTCATCGTCCTCGTCCCCCAGGCGGACCTGGAGTCGGGAGCCTGAGTCGTACCTCCAGGTGTCTTCGCTGGACACCATCTCCGAGTCGCACACGGGTCCCAAAGCCAGCGCTTCCTCCCGTGCCAAGCCGCTGCCGCCGATGCCTAGCCCGTCTCCCAAGGCCAGCAGAAGCTTCTTCTCAGGACTGCTGGGCAAGCGGGCCTCACGCGAGGACGACGGCAGCCGCACGAAGATGAAGAAAAAAGGCAGTCTGCACAGCCTCAGGAACTACGCCTACTAACTGTCGCTTTTTGGTCTCTCTTGGTCTCCGGCACTCTCTTTTTTGTATTGTACTCTAATAACAACAAATACCTCGTGGACAATTCGCTCACCCCTGCGCGCGCCGTTCTTAGAGATATGTTCCGAAGCTCCAGTTGACGGGGATGTTCGTCGCGTTGGCTGCGTAGAATGTCGGCTTCACGCGTCGGCCGCCTAGCGCGTGCTGCGCTGCGGACGCAAACTTGATCAGCGTCGGCTCGCTCCATGCGGTACCTACGATCGAGAGGCCGAACGGCACATCTGCAGTGAAAAAGAAACCGTTATTCGCACACATTCTTGGAGACTACGAGACACCGCCTGCTTACGCCATTCGTCGATACCGATGGGCTGCAGCAAAAACGACGTCAGAGTCATGGAGGCACACGATCTTCGAAAGATGCTTACGATCGTGACAATGGGGTAGCCGGCCTGCGCCGGGATGTTCGTCCCCGCGCCGTTGTCGTCCGAGGGGATGAGCAGCGCATCGAGATGCACTTGCTTCCCGTCGATGATGGGATGCAGCGCGTAGTCGATACCGTCTCTGCGCGAGGTCTTCCGGCACCATGTCTTCGCACAGCGCATCAGAACAGGGGACCTATACATGAGATTCCGCGCGCGTACCAGAGCCTGCTTGTAGGTCGAGTTCTCGATACCCCCCGTGGCCAGCGACGCGAGCAGTCCGTCCTGTCCCGATGCGAAGGCCGCTGCGATGTTCTACGCCAGGCCAGGGAACGCATCAGACACGGGACAGAGAAAGGATGGAACGGAGGACTGACGGGTTGTCCGCCTTCGGCTGCCTGCGCGTCGTTGAAGGCGACGATATCCTCCAGCGAGCGGATGGTCGTGTTGCCCAGCTCAGACAAGTAGGCCTTGATGTTGTTGTAAAAGTCGACCTGCAGAAAGACATTCAATACGTTGCCGTGGAGAGAGGCAAGGAGTGGAGGAGACGGACATTGACGACGGTGATCTCACTCTGGTTGGCAGGGCCGAAAGCCCAGTTCCAGCCGGCCGGTGATACGATTTCCTGGGAGATTGGGTAAGGCTTGACAATGCGCGTAGTGAGCTGAGACCTACATCGACGTATTTGTAGTTCGTGTTGTTGTACACTCGAGGAGCAAATAGGTCAGGATGCTGGCAAGTCGCTATGATTCGGATGGAAGTCACCTTCAACGCCGTGCTGAAAGACGTCAGCAAACAGGCGTCTGGAATGCACTCAAGCTACCTTCTTCAGGATCTCTACGGCCTCCAAGAGGGCCGGAATTTGGTGGCTTGTAGTTGTCCCCTGCCTGAAACGTGGTCGGCCTGGAACAAATAGCGCCCACGGTCGACGACCGCCACTCACCAAAGCCGCTTCCAGGGAATGCCGACCTTCATCCCTTTGAGGCTCGACTTTTCAGACACGAAATGCGCATAGCCTGGGCAATTTCACCGTCAGCTCTTCTCTCCCTGCGAGTCGCAGAAAAGCGGCCTACTCTTGGGTGTCTTGCCCAGCTGCTCCAGCGTGGCCTCGTCCCTCCAATCAAAGCCAAACACCGCATCGAGGGCCAACGCCGCGTCCTCCACCGTGCGGCCAAACGCACCCACCGTGTCCTGGTGCGCGCTCTCCGGGATGATCCCGGCCCGGCTGGTGAGCCCCACCGTGGGCTTGATCCCGACGATGTTGCCGCGCTCGGCGGGGGATATCACCGATCCGTCGGTCTCGGTGCCGTATGCGACGGTCACCATGTTTGTCGTGACGGAGTGTCCGGCTGGAGCGGAGGGGCGCATCGTGAGCGACCGCGAGAGGCATGGGAGGGGACTGATTAGGACGACGTACATCCGGAACTGGAGCCTCCTGGCTCCTGCGTGAGATTGTAGGAGTTGCGGACCTGCCCGCCGCGCGCACTGTATCCCTCCGAGTACGACGTGCTGCGCATGTCGGCCCACTCGCTCATCCCCGCGTGCCCCAGGATCACCATACCTACAAGGAGGGGGGGATGAGTGGTACATCATCATCCGCGCGCATTCAGAGGAGGGTACACGCACCAGCCTCGCGCATGCGCTTGACGACGTGCGCGTCCCGGGGCACCACGCTCCCGATGAGCGCCAGGCTGCCCGCGGTCGTCTGCATCTTGTCCTTCGTCGCGAAGTTGTCCTTCACGAGCGCGACAATGCCGTGCATCGGCCCGCGCTTCTTCCCCGCCTTGAGCTCCGCGTCGAGCGCATCCGCGATCTCGAGCGCGTCGGGGTTGAGCTCCATCACCGCGCTGTGGGAGAGGCATGCGTGTGAGTTGCAGCGCACGCGCGTAGCTGGCTGTGTGACGTACTTGACGTAGGGATCCACCTGCGCGACGCGGTCGAGGTAGCACCTCACGACCTGCCGCACGGACAGCGCGCCCGCGTCGTACCAACGCTGAATCTGCGTGACCGACGCGTCTTCGAGGACGTGTCCGTGGCATTTCGCCATGGGGAACGTCTCGGCGGCATGGGAGACGGCGCTCAGGCCGAGGGCCGATAACAACAGCAGCAACGGAAGTGCGCGACGTGGCATGGCGGTGGTAAGCCGGAGGGTGCGCCGCTGGGTTTATATCGGCGTCCAGACTGTCGCCGACGCTCGGCACGGTGACATGGACTTATTCACTTATCGCGCGTCGGCATAACCCACAGGGGGACGAAACCATGTGATCATGGGAGTTTTGATAAGCAGAAATGAAAATGGCTGCAAAGTTCAACCGTATGTCTCAAAAAAATCTTCTGAGTCCTAGGCACATAGGTAGTTATTTATAAACAGTCAGCTATCTGTTGACTACGGGACGGACAAATTTATC